TAACTATCTTATTATATTCCTTCCTTAATAAGCTCTGGTTATACATTGTTCCCTTGCTCTAGGAAGCTGAACCCTTCCGAAGTGGCTTACATTAGTGAAGCTAGTCGGTATCGGGAAAGTATTCCTAACATTATCTTATTCTACTCTTAAGCTTCTTTACAGTTCCCATCTGTAGGAGGCTTCTCTCTCTTGATTTCTCACCCTCAGGAAGGCCTTGACATCGAGTGTCTTACCCCCTGAAGTGGCGATCAGCCTAACACCTTTACACCTTACTACTATACTAGCTATATATTATTAAATTTAAAGTATCTATAAATATACTATATATTATTAAGTTTAAGGTGTCTGCAAGTATATGGTATTCCCGTGATCCCTATTCTGTCATGGCGCCTATACCACGCCGTCGTCACGCCGTACGTGACAGATAAGTAGTAGATAACTAATATAGATTTATTTATTAAGCTTTACCAATTTCAGCTAAATATAATATTAGTCATAGAGTATCAGAATGATTAAATTTTAATCATTTATAGAAAACGAAGTATATTTATAAAGCGTGTTTCCAGCTTTTCAGGTTTTCAGTTCTATAAAACAAGAATATGATATCAGCTTGCGGTAAGTCCTAAATTTGCATTCCTGTAGCCAGAAATTTTGAAGCCTAAATGACGAATATCATTTTGCCGAACCGAAAGCACATGAGCCATGAATTTAGTCGACATCGCCTGAAAAGAGCTTTAAAACACTTCCTTAGTGAATATTGTGCTTAAGAACTTATCATTAATATTCTATGAACAGGTAGAACTTTGACCCTCCAGCATTCGCCTCAGAACCTCTACCTCAGCATCTCGCTTAGCAAGTTTGATCTTGAGCTCATCGCGCTCCTCTAAAGCACTTTGAAGCTGGTTTTCAAGCTCTTTGATCCTATCGATCTTCTTTTGGCGATACTTAGCTGCAGCCAAATTGTTCCGTCTGCGCTTTTCAGTCCTCTCATCACATATACTCTTTGATTTATTCGAAGTACTTTTCCCAGGTAAATTGCCTGTCGGTCCACAATTTGAAAGCTGTTCAAAGCCAGAGCTCTCGGATGCAGACTGAACTTCATTTGTGTGGTCCTCATGTGACGGGAAAAATAAGAATAAGTCTGGACGTGTTTGCAAGTCGTTATGTTCAAAAGATGCGTTATCCATAGTCGTTGATACGCCCGATACTTGATTATAAAGAGTAGGATTGTTTGATGCAGTCGCACAAAAGGAGTCCAATTCGCTCGTACTGATGCTAGAAGTGTTTTGTTCCAACAGTGGCGTCGCTTCTGAATTTGTGTATGAGGATTCAATGGAATCAAGATGATCGAGGCTTGATTTGTTTAGAGAATATAGCCAGCTATCCTGGCTTGTTGAGGATAACAAGTTGAGCAGGTCTGAAGAAGGACTTGGCGGTGAATGCACGACCCATTGTGATGAATCAAAGTCGAAAGGCGAGTTATAGGAAATAGAGGTGAGGCCTCACTATGAGGCCTAATAATATAGAGAGTATGATAGTATAATTGTTGTGGAAATCCTTAGCAAGAATAAGACTGTGAGTTTGGCTGCCGAGGCTACGCATATGTATGTTTTCCAATCAGGATGAGTCAGAATGACTCATAATGAGAGAAACGCTAAACCAAAGCTCGTTTATACGCGGCTCACTCAAAATATCTCTTTTTAGCAAGATCCATTCATCGAAACTCCATCAGATATTTGTCTAACTTGGGCCCTCTCAACTGAAGCTCGATATCATCCTAAAAAGTTAGGAGAAATTACTACCATAATATAATTCCACCATTATGCTATTGCAGTTGTACCAGGGTGTTCCTAAGCAATGTTCGCCTTATTGCCTGGCAATGCATAGTTCTATATATGTATAATATTGGAATAGGAGTTTTAGGTTTGATTTATCGAAACTACGCAGGTTGTAAAAGAGCAGACTTATACAAATCACGTGCAAATTGCTGATCTCTACAGGCATACTATATAATACGCCAAATTGTAGCATCTTCAGTCACGCTTCCCAATGCCATTTTTTGTGCCGAAAACTTCTCTGCGATTTCTCATAACGGGCGAAAAATAAATACAACCATGGAAGAAGATCGCATGCTCACAAATATCGGCCTGGATATTCCGGAGACACTTGACCCTGAAGCAAAAATCTCGCAAAAAGTGCCCAAACGAAGATTTGTAGGCAAACGTGTGGCGGAAAAGACTGCATTAACAAATTCACTAAGCGGTGACATAAGCGAAAGCACCGCAGTCCAAGGCGTGATGTGACCATGAATCTTGGATAGGCTAATCTACTGACAAGCAAACAGCGAGACCTCTGACAAGACGTGCACGCGCACTCAATACCATCCCTCCTGAGATTCTTAACGATGATGACCTCAACGCAGCCATTGCTCTCCTCCCGTCAAACTATGCCTTCGAGATTCACAAGACAATACACCGGATACGAAGCTCCGGGTCCAAGAAGATAGCGCTACAATTCCCTGAAGGCCTGTTGATGTTCGCGACCACGATATCGGATATCATCACTCGATTCTGCCCAGACACTTCAACACTGATAATGGGTGACGTCACATATGGTGCATGCTGTATTGATGACTATACTGCGAGAGCTCTTGGATGTGATCTCCTCGTTCACTACGCTCATTCATGTCTGATTCCAGTGAGCGTGACACAGATTAAAACGCTTTATGTGTTTGTGGATATCTCGATTGACGTCCAGCATGTCCTTGATACCGTACGACGAAACTTCCAGATTTCCAATACAATTGCTTTAGTCGGCACTATTCAATTCAATTCTTCCATTCACCAAATCGCGTCGGTGCTCCGTGAAGAGGGATGGAATATTATCGTCCCACAGATAGCGCCACTCAGCAAAGGAGAAATTCTTGGTTGCACCTCACCCCAGCTATCCGTGGACTCTGCTGTACAGAACACTGCTCACATGGTTTTATATCTGGGGGACGGTCGTTTTCATCTTGAGTCAGTCATGATACAAAATCCTTTACTTCCGGCTTATCGCTACGACCCGTACTCGCGCCGCTTGACCCGTGAATCATATGACCACGACGAGCTTTATATGCTTCGTCGATCGGCTATTACTGCTGCTCGCAAGGCCCGCAAATGGGGCCTTATACTGGGCACACTCGGCAGGCAAGGCAATGCTAATACGCTATCAATGATTGAATCCATACTAGAACAACACAACATCGAGATAGTTCGTTTGGCTCTTTCAGAAATATTTCCGGGGAAGCTGGCGATGATGGCTGACGTCGAATGCTGGGTACAAATTGCATGTCCACGGCTAAGCATTGATTGGGGCTATGCTTTCCCACGTCCGCTGTTGAGTCCATACGAAGCTCTTGTGGCAATGGGCGTCAGGAAGGCTGGATGGATGGAAGATGAATCTGCAAATAAGGTGTATCCTATGGATTTTTACTCGGAGCGAGGACTAGGAAGAATAAGGGCCGGTGATCTAAATTCATTGAAATCATAGAGTCGAGATGGTTTAAAATTGCCTTCTTTGCAAGATTTTCCCAAAGCCATTCAACTACTTTGCCTTTTCAGCTGAGCGCAGATTGTCCATGTTTATGTTCTCAATCTCATCGCAGTTGCTGAATTGTTTTAAATGCAGTCCAAGCAGAAATTCCAAGTGCAACTGTGTTTCCATTGCTTATTAACTGCGGTCAATTTATCCTTGTGACGTATCAAGACCTGTGGTTTTATCTACTAACGGCACTCATCCAAGGCATTCTCCACCCTTGAATTGTACGAACTTAGGAAAGTCCTGATCATTAATAGGCAGTGTTTACAATTGCGAAAGTCCGACAGGAGAAAGAATTTAGAAGATTGAAGACCAGAGATGGACGATTACAGATTTCTTATCTATCAGTAGCAAATGTATTCATATCGCGGGAACTTCAGCTTTCCATAACTTCCCATGATGTCTCTTTAGAATCGACATTTGGAACAGTAAGATAGGATGCTACTAGTACAGATGCTGTATTCATAGCACTACTTCTTTACCTGTGTGCTTTACTGCCTGCCTTGGACTGTGCTGGCTCCTTTGCAATTGCTGTCAGCTGATCAGCGGTTAGTTTACGTCTCGGTCGTAGCAGATCTTCTACAGTCACGCCATTCCCGAGCTTAGTGATTCCCATGACAGGAGGGTCGCCTTTCTTACAAAACTCCCACAAGCCTAAATATTCGTGTCAGAATGTTGTCGGCTTAATCAAGGACCCGACTAGACAGAACGTACCAGGCAGCTTATTACCAGCTAATCTGAAAGCATCCCTAACAACCTGCTCATGCACATCACCACTCAACTCAAAAACAACCCTCGAAACCGCAACACGTGTTGCCCAATGATCGAAGCTACCTTTCCCCTTGCCCATTCGCTGGTCATTGCCGCTAGCGTATACGCCGATGTTTGCTACGACTCGTGTGAACAGCCTGTATCGCATACCCCTCAATCGCTTCTTGATGGTTTCTTCGGCTACTCGCAGCTGAGCTGCTGATATGCGCCGACCATGGTCCTTGAGCCTCAAGCCATAGTCCCCCCAGATGACAGTTGTGCCGCGAGTTGAGCCACCGGTTGCTACTCGGGGTCGTCCTTTACGTGATGGATATTTTTCGCCACGTTTGGGTATGAGCCAATTTTGTCGAATACATGCTGAGGAGAAAGCACGCTTCGTGGCTTGGTGATGGGATGAAATTGGAATCGTGCGTGATGGAAGTGGTGCAACTACAATCAACTATCAGTCAGAGCATAGGGAGGATTTGCTTCTAGATTACCTGCTCTAAGCGATAAGGAGCGAAATTGGTCTATGAGACCACGACACTGCTGGAAAGGAGAAGGCATTGACACTGTGCTGCTTGTTCGAAGGAGATGGTTCAAGGTATCCATTTTGCTTCCAGTCAAGCATAAACGCGCGTGTATCGCGTCTCTCATTGCGTCGGAGTTCTGCCCAACACGGTAATCGCATCTGAGCAACCCTCTGATCGACGAACATTCGAAGGTGGAAATGCTTCGAGCTATTTAACTGTATAAGACAGGACACATTCCCGTACCAGGAATATCATGCCACAATCGCCATGCACGCATACCCTAGAGTAAACTGAGCCCTATCAAGTATCTGCTTACCTCTTAATTCGACACAATTCCACCGCAACGCTACGTCCACGGAACGACGACGATGGACACAGACTACTCCACAATCAAGCTTACGGAGTTGCTCCGACACCCAGATGACCTCGACAAAATATCGGCTCTCAAGTCTGAGTTCCAACGCAAGAAGTCAGCTATTGACTCTCAACTTCGACTAGGACTGCAGGAACAGCTTTCAATAACCCAGACTGGCATCGGGTCTATCAATGAAGGGCAGCGAACAATCGAAGCAATTAGGACCGAAATGCAGAAGATTGACAAGCTGTGTGCTGAAGCCCAAAATATGATCAACGACTTTCCACATATCAACCTAGTTGCTCAAACGCACCGCAATTTTTCACTAGTCGAGGAGATGAAGAATATCATTGAAACATTTGCACTGCGTCTGGAGAATATCGAGAGGATGCTTAAAGAGGATGATACCATGTTAGAGAGCCAGCCAAATCTCCTCCAAATCCATTACGAGCTTACACAGCTGCGAGATGCAAAAGATGCTGCCCTGGAACAAGTGAAAGAACATGAAGGCGGTCAGGAGTTAATTAATAACTTACAACTTCCCTACGGAGGCACACTTCAGGATTGTTTCAACAGACTTTCTGAATGTGTGGAATGGTTTGACGAGCATATTGGCCTGGTTTGCATCAATTTGGTACAGTTAGTCCAACAAAGCAATGATAGCTTGGTTGTGCGACTAGCTACGATCATACACGAAGAAGAGAAGAACGATAAGAAAGCCAAAGCACTCCAAGATGCTCAGCAAGAATACAAGGAAATTGCCTCGCGTTTCAAAGCCATCACCAGTGGCAAGAAAGAAGTTCGTGGCTACAAGGAGAAATTCATAAAAGCTATCGAAGCGTATGCCGAGAATCAGCTTGACGAGTCCAACCAGGCCTTTGAAGAGGACCCTGAAAATATTGACAAGTCCTTCCGATGGTACTTCAATGACCTGATCGCTGTCAAGCAAGGTATGCAACGGCTGATGCCAAAGAAGTGGAAGATTTTTCAAACATACGTGCAAATATATCACAAGCAACTGCATGACTGGCTTATTTCACGAATTGATAGCCCCGATCTACGCCCTCCCCAGATTCTTGCAATTGTTAACTGGGAAGAAAAGTACTACAAAAAAATGGCTAAGCTTGGTGTAAGCGACGACTGGATGCGTCCGCATTTGATAGACTCTCGTGGGCCTGATCTTATTCGTGAGTATCGCCAGCTCATCGTCAGGACCGTCGATGAATGGATGTCACGTATGCAAACAACCGACACAGCCAACTTCACGGCCCGTGACGAGAATGCTCTGGACCAAGATGAGAACGGAGGATTCCGTACTAAAACACTTTCTGACATGTGGCGTATGTTACGCGAACAGCTGGAAGTAGCCAAGACATCAAAAAGAACAGATATCCTGGAAGGCGTTATTGAAGCAATGTTTCGCGCTCTCCAATCGCGGCAGCGCATGTGGGAACAGCTTGTTGATACCGAACTAGCCAAATACTCGGAGAGCAACAGTAGCTCTGAAGGCTACCAAGGGCTGCAAGATTGGCTCATTGCAATCGCAAATGACCAAGTAGCATGCATAGACGATGGAGATGGCTCTGAGGCAGCGCAAGGATATCTTACTCGCTTCGCCAATGAGATTTCCCCAGTACTTTCGCCTGAGTACGCACCTAAGGCTGCACAACAAATCGAGAGTCTGCGAGAAGGCTACATAGACCTATCGACGCATTGCTTGTCTGCATTCGCAACACTCGTAGTGCTTATAGATTTCAGGCCATTGCTTCCCGAGTTCTTCACGCCAGCTTGGTACGGCAAGAAGGGCATGGGCCAAGCTATATCCACATTCGAGGACTACCTTTCTGATTATACGCCTGTTCTTCACCCCCTATTACAGGATATACTCGCTGAGGAACTAAGCACCGAACTTCTCATCAAATATCTTTCCGCAGTTCACAACAAGGGCGCCAAGTTCAGACGTACGGATCCGTTTGTGGACAAAATCCGTGACGATGTTGTTACAGTTTTCAATTTTTATGAAAACTTGCCCTGTGGAGATGCGGTCAAACAAAAGTGGCGAGCTGTAGAATGTTTAGTTGATTTGCTTGAAGTTGAAAAAGCTAGTGTGCCTGACGTCTACGAAAGTGTGAAGCGAGGATATTGGGATGTCGGCATGGGATGGGTGGAGGCATGTTTACGTGCACGTGATGACTTCGACAGGAGCTTACTTAGCGCAGTCAAGGCTAGAGCTGGAGCGATTGAGGTCGACAGAGGTATGCCTACAGTTATGGAAAAGGTCAAATGATAGACTCCTAGGGGTAGAGCTGCCATGATCTGTGTATAATACCCCGTTATTTTCGAACGAAATGAGATACTCTCACACACGCTTTAATATCTTATCATAGTATACAATCCCCTTTCCCAATCATTCCAGGCTGTTAGGTCTCTATAGAATAACTTGCTCCTCAGTTCGGGTCCTTTGGAATTCGTTTCCGCTGGCTTAAATTAAAGCTTGAAGTGACTCCAAGGTGAAGTATCGTCAGATAAATCAGTTCCAGGTATTCATGGTCATACCACTTTCAGCTAGTGAAAATCTGTACTTGAAGGTTATCAAGATTCATTCATATATATAGATGTGCTTATCGAGTACATGCATGCCAGTGGCTTCGTTGAGTTTGAATTCAGCAAGTACATAGCTCGACAATTTCTGCCTCGGTACTTCCAATCACTCGTCCCCAATTTCACCAAGTAGCACTCTTTTGACGAACACCTAGTCTAAGAGATCGCGCTGGACAAGATATGCATTATGCTTGAAATAGCATGTCATAAATATCTGATGATCCGCTAAATACTTAAAAGCTTCGACAGTACTGATGAGCGAGAACACAAAAAAATCTTGATTTGCACCAGGTTTGATTAATTTTTAGAAATATCTTTTTGATTGTACATATAGCCATAAATTCAGTTTACTTATTTTTTCGTATCGCGTGATTTCTAACCTATTCATTGACCGACAAGACGCTGTGCTATCAGGCCCACACTGAATAATTTTCGCATCTTCTTATCCGTAGAAGCTATGGAACCAATACCGGGGAGCCAGCATGTATAATTTCTTCTACAACCCATATATGATCCAATGATAGAGGTGATCAGGTTTTGATGTCAAAATGTCCGAGCTCTGACGTGATAAAACCAGAGTATTCAATAAAGTGAACCTCTAAAAGCTCTTCTGAGCTCGCCGCCATCGTTTTCTCCTCTCCCGCTCTAGGCTGCTGCTCATAGCCACCAGCGTAAAATGTGGCAATACCTGAAATGAGTGTATTACAGCTAGGCGTGCCGGCATGTATAGTTTGGGTGTGATGGAGGTATGCCGACTTGGTCTAATTTCTCAAGCTTGGCGGAACAATATCCTTTATCTTCCTGCCTATTTCTCCGCGTTCTGATTCTCGCTCGTCACCATGGCTGATGTTGAAATCCATGACACGCCAAATACCCTGCTGGCTGTTGTTGCTCTCGACGTCGATAGCTTTGGCCTGCGACTCATCTTTCATGTCGTCCCTAAGGGTCATCTCCCAATCGGATGAAGGCGGGCCTCTCCTCCTTGAAGAAAATCTCCAAGACGAGCCTGAATTCGAATGTCCCTTGTCGGAACTCATGGCAGCGCGTGAACGGAAGGAAGCTTTGTGGAAGAAAGGCCGCAAGGTGGGTATGCAGGCTGCAACTAGAACGACGTTCTGCTCGATCAGGCCCCAGATAACGAGTGGAACAACATTGTAGACTACGAAACCATCAGTGGAAGATACAAGGGAAACCTGCCTGAAAATACTCACGCGGGTCTGTTCGATCTGTAAATAGATGCAGGTATGTCGCCTTCACAATAGTAACAATGGCGCTCAACAGGGTTAGCCCCATCATAATGCAAATGCCCACCTTAGTCGAGAGTGGCATCTGCAGCTTCCAGAATACGGACACAGGAACAACTGCCAAAACTATATCTGTAACTGTCGTGTACCCGCTGACAAAGTAGTTGAAGTCGTCGAATATATGTGGCGACCAGCACTTCCCACCTGGCGTGTACGGATTCCATAACATAGAGCGCGGTGTGCATTGCATGAAAATAAGGACGACCGCAATAAGGGCAACGGTTACCTGTACAATCACCATAATGTACAGAAGAGTAGCGCGAAGTGGATTTCTGTCCAACACATTGACAACAAGGATTGCAATCGAGATGTTGGGAAAACTGAAGGCGCCTTGGATGGGAGTGTTAGCACCGAAACAGATAAGCAAAGACCCGGATATGACAAACCAATGTTGAAGGCTAGAGAGGAAAAGTTAGCATGGAACAACAGGCTGAAGTGATGAATAACGCACGAAAGCCCAATATCTGCCAGTAAGCGGTCTTAACCAACCTATCTGGGCCAAATTCCTCGACAACAACTTGAGTATGTCGACCAAGCCCCAGGGTGACTGAGTAGGATACAAAAGCAGCGGCAATGATGCTGAATGCCTATTTAACCTCTCGTCAACTACTTTGATAAATATATTGTGTTTCACATACTTACCAGCGACAAAAAAATGAAAAAGTCATCCCATCCTAGCTTCCGCGTGATCTGCGAGCGAGTAAATAGCTTCAGAGCTACAATTATGATCGCAATGCCTGTAAACACCCAAGCAATGATATTGACCTGTGGTCCACGGCTTTCCTGAAGCTGGGAGGCACTCAGCGCTGGGCTGTTGCTCGTCATGTCGATAGCATGAATGACAAGTGGTTCAGGCTGGACACCCAAGGGTTTCAGGACAGGAAAAAAAGGGACGAATCACAAGATTGCGTCCCAAAATTCGTATGCCAGCAGATGGCAACTGCACCGAGTTCACGCACTAGATTATGCGATGCTTCAGTTTCAGTATAGAATGAGCTTGCTCCGTATCCTCCTAGTGGGAGCTGACGACCGTAAAGTATAAGAAGCCGAGTATGCATTGGCCAGTTCTGATCATGTCCCTTCAACTAGGATGAAATCCTGCGGACAAGGCTGGCTGCTGTCAAGAGAATAATGCACAGGCCTTGGACGTTGAGTATTAGGCGAGTACGGAGTACAGGCGATACATTTATCAGCCTTAGGTAAATGATGATTGCGCTCTGATCTTTGAAGGGAGAGAAACAGCGGAAACCACGACAAAGTATCCCCGGTCCAAAAAAAAAGCCACCAGGGGGTGAGGGGCCCAAGAAGAAGGACGTGGGATCTTGGGCCAGGTGCCTGAACACGAAGCTTGAATGTGGCTCCTGGTCAAGACGGGGTGGTTCTCCGGATACGATGGTTTTTTCAGCAAAGATCGGCCATGATGCAACAAACTCCCAAAGTTGAACGTGCTGGAAACAGTAATTGACCCTTAACCGCGCGCAAGCAGATGAGACAATTTGGGCGAGGGAGTATGTCCGGCCCGACGCCCCGGACCGTGGATAAGGAGACGAAAGCGCGCTTGCCGGTCGTTAATTGGTTAGCTGTCAGCAAACACCCCGAGTCATGCTTCTTCGTTTGGAGCTCTCCCGGTCTGGGAGGCACAATATTATTGCATCGCTTGCGGATATGCAGATAGAAAAGATTTTGCCGTTGGCGCATGCGCAGCGAGACCGCTTTGCCCGTGGAGCACCGCGTCCTCTAGCCCCATGCTTCCGTCGTCGACACCTGCATATTGCACCTTGATCGTGCCGGGGCCCTCGTCTTTGTGATCAGCGAGGACGGGCTCGTCAACAGGCCCAGGGAAAGATTACCGTGCCGTCACCTCCAAAGAGAGGCTCAAAAGACTGCACGGCTGCACAAGAAAGAGCACCGCGATCGGAGAGTTCGTGTAGTCTCCCAGTTATTCCTCGTTATCTTCCTGAGCCTCGCCGCTTCGTGTCTCGGCCCCCCGTTGTCCCCTTGTCAACACTCTGCATGACACACTCTTCAACTTTGATTTTTCCGCCCTCGCACGCTCGTGGCATTATTTTCTGACTTCGCAGATCTCGTCTTAACAGTTTGCCCAATTTTGAAGTCATTGTCACATCTGTTAGCTGGAAACACGGCCCATCCCCTCCCTCCCATCTCCCCCAAGGAGAAAAAAAAGGGAAAAAGAGGAAAAAGAAAAACGAAAACGAAAGGAAAAGAGCTTCTTTGCTCCTTATGGACTGTCCAGATTGGAAGGGTGACTTTCGTACCATTTTCGCGCAAAGGCAATTAGTTGCTCGCAATCCAAAGCCGAGCGTCAAGAAGCCGTATGATCCTTCAAGCCTTCCAAGCTCTACGGCCCGCGTCTGTGTACGGAGCAGAGGCTAAAACTTTCTGGGCCATCTCGGTTGCAGGCGATACCGAGCCCAAAGCCAAGCACCAGCATTGGGCCGCTCTGACTATTGGCTGCAGTGGTTCTCCTGCCATGAGATTTTGCTGTAGATCCATGGTTTCCACGCGGCTTGTCACGACATCGAACTAGTAGAGTAAGGCTCTACAGCAAAGCCATCAGTTCGTGATGTGTGCCTGCCGATGAGCAAGATGATCTGCAAGAACTCTAAACAGCCTGTGCATGACAGCAATCATTAGAGAAGCTCAGCTTCCCCTGTCGGTCATGCCTTTGAAACCGTGTTGATCTTTCTCACAAAAGCACTGCTATTGTATGATCAACGCACACTCGAGTCGATTGAACCTTCGTCAGTACATCGCCTCTTCGCTCCTCACGCGTGGGTACCGTTTTTCCTTCGATGCTCATACCCATATCGCCCATTTCGACATCATCATTGCATTGAGCATTAGAATTGGTTGTCATGCCAACATAGTCTGATTATGGGCCACGCCTTGTGGCCCCTTGTCCGAATTCAACGATCTTGGATCCTCTCCTCCGTACGCAATCCATTCTCCGCAGAAACGTCTATATTTATCTTTCGCTCGATCGACGTATGACTGTAGAGACTGCTACTGTTTGCATGAAGAAGTGACACGACAAATCTGCCCAAGTGATCGAATGAAATTTATTTCTTAGGTAGAATTATATTCACTGCACTGTTTGGAGGTACCGAATGATATCAGACATACTTGTTCTCGATTACCAGCATTACATAGGATGGATTCTGGAATGTCATAAACTATAGTCTGCAGTTACATGGTTGCGATCTACAAGCGCCAAGAACGTGTCAACGAATTCTTATTCTCAAGAAGTACACAAGCAGGCAGAGGTATGTACATATACATCGTCTCTTGCGCCTCAGAACGTGTGGGGACATCAAAAGCATGTCTTTCCACGGCCGTGGTAAAACTCAATTCTAGGCACCTCCTTGAGTTGAGGAGTAGCTATGTTCGAGAACGAAGGAAAGAGAGAGTTGGGACAAAGGCGCTTGACTGTCCGAACACAAAAGACTTGGCCAACATGAACATTCTACACGCCAAGAATTACAAAAGCATTGAGCAACTTTTCAACGTCTGCTTCGAAGGCGGCTTGTGCTTGTGGCGACGTCTGTGTACATTGTATGGGTCTCATTATTCCCTTGCCTCCACATCCCGGTTCGAAGCTACGGGGAAGTCGATCCGGCTATTCTAGTGCGCCACCCGGTTGTGTCCTCGGAGGTGTGGTGAAGGACGGCACGGCGACGACTTGGGCTCCCGTCTGTACGATCGATGCGTTGCGACGCATCTCGCCAATGTGCTCATGTCACATTACATTTGGCCGTCTTATAAAGCCGTTATCGCATTCAGGTCGGTCCTATGCTTCGTACGTTTCTCGCTTGATTACCGTATTTTCCTTCCTGGATTATCAGTGCCTTCTGCAACCTCCGTGTACGCATTCAAGAAATAATTGCTGGCAACAAAATCCATCGGTACGGAGTGCCAGTTCACAACCTTCGTCGCTTATTTTAGGACTTGGTGTCAATGTGATTGAGGAGATTGATTTCACCTGTCTGCTATCAATGTCTTTGTGGTCGCTGCGTCTGTTCGAGAAGAAGAAAAAATTTCTCCGTGCGCAATGGCGTTTTTCTCGTTTCAGTACTTTGTGCTTCGAGGCACAAACAGTAGGACCATGCGGCGTCTCCCTGTGAACTGAAACTTTTGGGCTAATCTTATGATGATTCACTAAATACACAGTTTGTTAAGCTCGCAGAATCATTACGGAGCAACAATAGTCCTCGCAGTGTGTGCAATGACCAAGTACTCTGCAATTGTTGATAAAGAAGAAACTGAAAATTTTTGAAGAATCTCGCTGCTTCAGTTTCTGTCTTAAAGGCTACTATCCCCAAAAAAACTGGAATTGTTGAAGATAGGCCATTCTCTTCGAGACTCATATTACTTCTTCTAAACGTTTCCAAGACTCGTAAGGACATTTCGCGTTGCTCGAGTTTCTCCTAGCGATAGGAAAATAGACGGAACTAATCACTGGCCGTTTGCTTAGGTACATCGTGATGTTCTCTTCTGTCATGTCATAATAATTTGTTGCTTGTCCCGATCAAGATTTTATTCTGTTTCAAAGTGTTTCAACCCTATTCGTAACGATGTTTCGTTTACCCGGTAGAAATCCACATGTTTGATCAGATATGTGGTGGCACCAAAAGTGTAGTCCCGGAGCACTTGCTATCAACCTGAAATTATGGTGATGAATAAATACATCGAGAAGCAAAGCGACAGACGGCTTGGTTCAACTTTGAGATCGCGTATCCGAACTTTTTTCGTTAAAGCAAGTCGTGTTAGTACATTTTGAGTTCACATTGCCCTCCTCTTTCATCACGTCCGTCCTAGCATCGGCTGGGTTTCAATCATCGCCGTTGTCGATAAGCATAATCTTGAGAATAGCATGTGGAATGACCGAACAAGACTATTGTGTGGAAGCATGATGGATTCGGAAAATCTTCAATTCTGAGAAGAGAGAAATTTTCTGGCGAAGTACATGACGTTGACGAAAGAACCGAGTAACAATATCATTAAGAACCTCCGGATAATTAGAAAGGCAAGAACCTTTTCAACGATCCTATTGTATTCAGACGAATAATAAATACCAAAATGTCCTATTTACATGCATAACCTGTTGGAATAGGAAAGACGGAAATTTTAGCACAAGCTAGATTTACGTCGAAATTGATTGTTAAAAATGGCGGATCAAAAAATGACTTTATTCGACTAGCGTAGTAGAGGTGTGGAAATTTAAATGCACAGTCGCCTCAGCCAGAAGCACAGAAACGTCATCCCGAATGTTTGGCAACAACATGATGGTTCTTGGATGATCATCGCCATGGTCGTGCATCGTCGAGCCAATGGATACTTCTATGCCTTACGTCGGATCTTCTCTACTTGCGCCAAAGAGCTCTTTCCATGATCCGTCTGTGACCTTCTTATCTGCGCCGTATAGACCAATATCGTAAGCTTTTTTCATTTGCTTGAGGCACAATTCACGACGTGCCGAAAAGTCGAACATAGGCTTCGGATACTGTGCATAGCGAATGCCCTTCTCTTCGACCACATCTTCGGAACCATCACCTCGAATAATACAACCCCATTTTCTCTGATCTGCGATGGGTGCCTTCCAAGGTTCATATATGTACTTGTCCGAGAAATTTTTCAATTCGGGGCAGAACTTGCGAACAAGCTTTCCGCTCTTGTCCCATTTGGCTGGAAATGCAGTGGGAGAATAGCAGCGGTAGAATTGACTAAAAAATGCTGTACATGACAGCCATTGCCAATTTCCAGCGTTGCAAGCGGGCTCGTGGTCGATAAGCAACTCTTCAAAGACTTCAGCACCACGCTCCCAATCCACATAGCACCCTCCACGTGTTAGAAAGCAGGCAACAGCATGTCTTCCCAAGTGATGGATCCACCCTTCTAGGCGAAGCTGTCGCATCAGTGCATCGATCCAAGGAAAACCAGTGCGTCCGTACTTCCAACGCTGAAAATATTGCGCCGCTGCCGGATCATCAACATGATATTCCCCACTTACATGACCTGTATCTGGGTCGACTTTTGAAGGAAGATGCCACGGGACAAATCTTACGTACGGATTATTGAACGTCTGCCCAAATACAGTACCAATTTTGGCTTGAGCACCAAAGTACATATCTCTAAAAAGCAGCTGCCCCGTGAGTGAAGTTGGCGGCGTTGACGCACGGCCTTTGTATCTTGCAACAGTATCCTGTACACCCCAATAGAACCTGCGACAAGAGAGGGAGCCAAAGTGCAGGTGAGGTGAGAGCAGCGTTGTTGATTGAGGTTCGAACTCGGTCGGAGCTGTTTTGGGCTTCTCAAATGTGGCAGTATACTCATGATTTGCGAGAATTGCTTCTAGCATTTCGAGTGCAATGGTCTCACCCCCCCGATGCGATGTAGTTGGTTTCTTGAGTCCAAGCTCGTCTATAGTCGGCACAGCAAAATCATTTTCTGGGCCCGCAATGCTGGAATAGGTGAGTTCATTTCTGTCCCTGTAGATCGAATTGACATCGTATGGTTTAGATGGTTTCTCATGTTCAAATGAGAGACTCAGATTTCCGGGATCGGGAATTTTCTTGGGCGGAGGTATGGGGCGGTTGATTTCTCCAACTTTGGCGCCAGCTTTTTGAACTTGGCTCAGGCTCATCGTAGGGTTTCCGCTGTTTGCAGCCACAAGCTCATCGCTATCCCATAGCGTCCGACCTGCAATACACAGAACTTCGACACCAGCATCCTTAGCCATGCTCTTCACTTTGTCATCCCTCTGGCGTGCATAAGCATCGGTGTCTTTCTCGAATACCAGATGTGTGATATCCCATTCTCTCCAAAGTTTGGGTAACAAAGTTTGTGGGGCTTCACGCATCACAAACAATTTGGACTTCTTGTTGAGTTTTGTGATGCTATTTGATAAATCATTTTGGCAATCAATGCTAAGGCATGTAAGCCGACACTGCAAATGTGTTTTTACGAGAATTAAACCTTACAGAAATTGGAATCTATTGGGTCCAACACGTGCTCTGTACATATAGTGTGGATCCCAGCACCAGATAGGATAAAAGGCCTCCGGGTCGAGGTCCAGGGCAGTTTTCAAGGCAGGGGAATCATGGAGACGCAGATCAGTACGAAACCAGTAGATGACACGGCGACCAGAGCCTAACTTCTGTTTTTTCAATTTGGGTGTCATTTTAACACTCCTTAGGCAGCTAGAATTAACTATATGAAAAGCTTTTGCGAGACATGAACATTGGTACAAGGGGCCTCGAGCACGACGGAGATCAGAAGTGCACAATATCTTGGTGGCTGTGTGCACTGGAATAACGATTAGCATGTAGTGAAAATATAGGAGTGCTGAGATTTCCGGAGTCCATTGCGGGTATATGTAAAGAACAAGATTCTTGCTCTCGACGGAACTGGTCAGTCGATGATGCGGTGGTTTTATGGTGGCGGCTGCTGGCCCAGACGTGTGCTGCAGTGGGAGCTTAGTTCTTATTTGGGGTTAGCGCATGTCGCATGTCTAGAGGCCATGGCAACTGACTCTGACGCAAGACGCTCAGATCGAGGTCTTACTACGCACCATCCTCATCATTCAGCAAAGCGTGATACGCAGCCAGCTCGCTCCTAGGCTTTCTCAGATTTGCAATAGACCCAAGCAAGTGAATACTGCATACGGAAGCATTTGCGAGCGCCAGATATTGCATCTCACTTAGGTTGTCTCAAGCCCACGCGGTGTATCACGAGCCTACAACAAAACCCCCAACCTATCTCCAACGCCATAATACTACTTTCTAAAAGTCTTTCTTTTGGCTTTAATTGAATAGAAATTAAGAAGCAAAGAGGAGTCGAGAAGCCCACACTTGGCAGCCAAGTTCACGATGCCTTACACGCTCAAGATCCCGTCAACAGAAGTCATTGACACAGGAAGTTCTAAGCCATATACGGTATATCATGTAGTCATCGAAACTCCCTTGCGCACACAGACACTGCAGAAGCGATATTCAGACTTTGAAGCGCTGCACAAGCAGTTGTCATCGACTCTAGAAACTCCGCCCGCGCAACTACCCAGCAAGTCGTGGTTTTCTCGTACGGTCAACAATCCGGAGCTCACTGAACAACGCCGCAAGGGTCTTCAGGCGTATCTTCAAGCGATTGAGACTTCGACTAACGCGAAATGGAGGACTTCGGCTCCGTACAGGGCCTTCCTCGGCTTTTCCACATCTGCGTCGTCAAAGAAGGCAAGCGTAATCGAAGAGGAAGCCTTGGGTCCTGCTGCGAAGGCTGCAATGACGAGCCACCAGTGGCTAGACTTGCACAACGACTTAAAGGGGTATATACAAAGCGCCCGAACGGCACTGGCGAAGCGGGATCAAGCTAGCAGCGTCACGTTGCAGCACGAGGCAAGTGCGCAGGCGAAGAAGTGGCTCGTAAAAGCTCACACACTCATATTGAAACTCGACGATGGGCTGAAGGGCTTGAGCGAAGGCAAGAACGGGGTTGAGAGGTTAGGCGACGGTGAGGTTAGGCGGAGACGTGATTTGCTTAGCCGCGCAAGAAAGGAAAGAGATGCGCTGGAGGGCGTTCTGAACAGCTACGTCACACGTAGTTCAGCAGCAAGATCGCCTTCTCCCGAGTTCTCGCCATCATCATCGTCCCAGAATCAAAGTTCCAAAGCTAACGACATGCCGGGCGCTTTTCCTTCAACAGCGTCAGCCGGACAGGCCCCACGGCGTGTTCTCGGTGCAGCAAAGGAGACGGAGCGAACGAGAGAGCTGGACAACCAAGGCGTTCTCCAACTGCAGCAGCAGATTATGAAAGAGCAGGACGCAGACTTGGACGATCTTGCCGTTGTGGTCCGCCGCATGAAGGAGATGGGTGTCGCCATCAACGAAGAGCTGATTGAACAAGGTCAACTGCTTGATGTGATAGACCAAGACGTGGATCGAGTTAGCGGGAAGATTGATGTTGCAAAGAAGAGGATCAAGAAGATACGATGAGCGGGGATGGCATGGATCTGGACTGGCTTTGAGCATAGCGTTTGATCATTTGTTGGTACTGTAGAACTCCCCCCCTGGCATGCGCAACGATACCCAGATTACTCGAAATGAAAGCGATTTGCGAAACGGAAGAAGGTTTTGGAGATTTGTGAAAGAATAAAGAGGCAAAGAAGTCCCTCCCTTTGCATCGCTCCCAAAATTCGCAGTTTCGCCTGTCTCCCGTCATTCCCAGCCTGATGCGGCCGCTTCGCGTCCTGTGGCAGAGCGCAACTCTTACAAAGTTTCAATGTCACAAGTCTCTCGATTCAAGCACGATGCTAACGTATGAAGCCGGCTGGTGGTCGTAGAAGCCACAGCCCATTCCTGATTTGCGGAATCGCGCCATTACACGGGTCCCCTGCATGGCACGATCGGGTTGATTTCTGGAGTTTTCGATTGCAGACGGACTGCAATTAGAGAGTCCATTGTTGCAAAAAGACACGAAATTGGATGGGGGAGGGGTTAACGAATATTGCCAGGAGAAGCGTCGTTTCCGATACAAAGTCTATGCTAGTGCTAGATTAGTCCACACTATTTTCCAACAAATGTGCTAATAGTACTATCTCGTTTCCGTCGTTATTGGTAACATTAAAAGCGAGCAAGCGCCGCTCTCTCACGATGCTCGTTGAACCCGTTCCCGTAAAAAAATTCGCCCTAGGTCCTACTTTTCTATCTGCCAGCAGTCGTAACTAGCTGTTCGTCGTTGACGAAGACACTATCTCAATTGTAGGATTCGATGTCGCCTCGAAACCATGAGAACCAGGGACCTCTGCAGGAGGTGGATGGTGCTTCGCGCTGCTGCCTTTGCCCCTCCACGTGCTCACGGCTGGGATATCGGCCTTGAAGCGTTTCTCCAGCGTGGAATAGGCTTTAGGCGTAAGCTGTATCAACGTATGCAGTGGAACTTCCATCCAAGGGCTGCGTTCTTGGGGCACGTTCATGAAATAAGCGTATATACAGCGTAAAATGGCTTGGTGGGTGACGATGAGGATGTTCTCCGAGCGCTCGAGCTCCATGATGATGGGCTCCAGACGGATGACGACGTCTCGGTACGATTCACCTCCGAGGTAGCGGTAGTTGTATTTGTCCTCGTCTCGAGCCGCAAAATCTTCGGGATACTGCTCCTCGATCTGGCCGTAGGTCAGGCCGTCGCAGACACCCGAATCGAGCTCGTCAAGTGCCTTCCACTCAAGTTTCTCAAAGGGCAGGAATCGCGCTGTTTGAATGGTTCGCTTGAGCGTCGATGTCCAGACTGTGAGTTTGCAATTGTCGCCAACTGCTTGTCGAACCAGCGCCGGCAGAGCTCGTGCGTACGCTTCGCCTCGAGGGGAAAGATCAGCATCACCGCCAATCTTGCCTTCGAGGTTGTACATGGATTCTCCATGTCTAGATAACCAAATCGATCTGGGCTTGATGTGCAGATTCATGAGGTAGTAAACCACTCGACTTTGCAGATAGTCTTGGAGCTTGTTGATGATGACGTGACTGCCCACGTTGATGAGTTTGACGTATGTCAGATGCGCTTCGTCCTCGTCGATCGTCTGGTAAACTTTCTCGTAGTTGCGTATTCGCTTGAGAAAATCCTTTGCTGCCTCCTCGGGATCTTGGCCCACATAATCTGGGCTTGTCGTTTTGACTTCCATAATGTTTGACATGATGAGGTCTTCGTCGTCGCACTTGCTTTCAACAAACAAAGTCTCTATGCCCTCTGCATCACAACGCTCTTGGATCCATCTCCGCCGAGATTTCGTACTGTTGGTGGCGTCCAATATGGCGATCAAGCCTCGTCCCTCTGCGAACCACTTGCACATGTCTGCCACAGCGGCTTCAGCAGCCGCTTTCCTCATCTTCTCGCCCTCAGTGTTGCTGGTATCGAAGAAGTCGGCCGAAGGGTTAGGAGTCGCTGTCCGTCGATACTGGCCCACGTTGAATGTTTTCGCCGAGATAGAGAGCCAGTGGAGGTAGCGAACGACTGCAACACCAGGTCAGCGACAAACAAGTTCAAGGCATCCCATGTGCCATCTCTGCTCGCTCACCTTTTTGCGCAATCAAGCTCTTCCCCCTAGCCGGCAGCCCCACCATGACGACGCAAATCTTGGTATCATCAGCCTGCACGCCAACACCGTTAGTTTTCCGTGACGGCCTGATCAAGTTTCCTTGAGGCACGCGATTCATTTCCTGGGCGAATTGCTCCGGCGGCCGGGGATCCACAGCCATGGTGTCGCTCGTTCGGGTTCGGGCAGTTAGTGTTCTGAATTAAGACAGCAAACGGGACCCTGGACAGGTATAGACAGCGGGAGCAAGCGCGGGACGTATATGCGGTCGCACGAAGGCGTTCGCTTTTGTCGGACGCGACGAATGCCCCGATTCTCAAACAGCAGGAAGCTCCTTTCTGAGCGGGGGAACCGGGCTGATCACGCCGACTCTAGGCGCCGTTTGGCCGCGGATCGTGGTGGAGGTCGAGAAGAAAACGGAGAAGGCCACGGTCAGCCAAGTGTGCGTGCTCACGAGATGAACACGCGACACCTTTTGTGTATGACGGCAGCGGACAGCTGGTGGTGAATGGGTGTGCTTGGGGAGAGTTCGTTTCTTGCAGTCCGGCTGAAGACTCCGCACCTGTCGAGCACCACAAGAGCTGTTCTGTATGCAAGGTACTTTTGCGCTTAAACTCGGCCCGGCGGATATCTGACGCTGGAGCGGACGCGACCGACAGCCTCAGGCTGAGAGAGAGGGAAAACGAAGACTTCAGGACAACAGTCGTCGGGCACAGTGAGGCCAATTCCAGGCCGGAGACGAGAAGAAGCTCTGCTGGCGACGCCTTCGGACGAGTCGCTAACGCACTCCTCTTATCCACCACGCAGTTGCTGGATGAGCAGGAAAAAAAAAGGCCCAATGTGCCCATGCCCGACAATGACGCCACAAAACGCAGGCCGTGGAGGAGTCTGAGCAAGGACCCGCTGAACGGGCAGCCCGTAGCAGTCCAGAGGGGGGCCTTTTTCGGGGGGTACGGGGACGGTCCAGAGCCGGTGGCGGAAACGTCGCTCGTCAGCGCGAGAGGCAGAGAGAGCAGAAGCAGGCCGTGTTCCGAGCGTCGGCGAAAGCAGGTTGGCTCGGGATGCGGTAGCATTTTCCTTTCAGGCCACGACCGAAGGCCATGATGAAACCGTCGTAGGCTGGATGTCGGAGAAGCCGTCCCGGCAGGCTCGAAGGCTCCACGCGCAGCTCAGCAGCGCCGACAACGTTGCTGCGAGCGTGGATGAAGCGGAGCGGTCGCGTGCCCTTGGAAGCGCCAGGCCGGCAGGCAAGAGAGGACAAAAACAATAAAGAGAGCAGCAAAGACGCGAATGAACAGTGAACACGGCACTCACAATCGACATATGATATTGGCTTCGCGCCTCCGAAATGGACTGGCTGTGGGCCGTCCTGGTCTTCGTCACCGCCATTCTCGATCGGCCACTCGCTTCCCTCGCCCACTCTCGTCACCGTCTGGTCGCACGCGCGCCCACTCAGAGCCGCCTGTGGAACCCGTGGTGAAGCGACACGCGCACAAAAAGGCTGTCCTTGACGCAAGCGCGCACTTGGGGCTGTTTTTGGTGCTTGTAGCCTTTCGTCGGCCCAGCCGTGGGCACACCGCGGACGAGAAGCGACGGCCGCTTCTTTTTCACACTGCTGGACACAGCGAGCGGACGGTCTGGCGCGTTATCAGCGAGTCGATCAACCTGGTTCGCCCTGTACACGTTTCCTCGCAGGCGGAGACGCAGTAATTTTATATGCCAGCCCTAGACCGCTCTTATCTCTGGCCCTTCCAATCTGCTTTCAGAACGGTCCACTCAGAAAAAGCACGTTTCTGCCACGAGCTGACCCTTCGATTGAGAAGCGTTGAAGCTTATGTTGAACCGTCAATGACGCCCGCCAGAGCACCTTATTTGCCTTTCTAACCCCCAAATCCCCCGAACGTAGCGGTAGGAGTGGCACGTCTCGAAGAGCCGTTCGTCTGGCATGTGGTGATGTCAACGGTTACACTTCTCAAGCTTGAGTCGATTCGCCGCGACCGTCCGCTGTGGAACTCGTACGAGCCACCCTGAGAACACCGACGACTTTTGCAACCTTGCCCCAATGAACAAGTGCTCGTGAAAAAATCACGATTGAAAAATTCTCTCGAATTGTTGGTATCAAGTACATTTAAATAAAAAAAATGATAATAATAGAAAAAGACTAACGCGTATATGTGCCAATGTCAACTTCGAAGTGGTGGCCGTTACCTGGCCAATTCCAGTCATTCAAATCTCCAACAATTATTTCCTTGTTTTCCACAACCATAACCCAGTACCCAAGACCACAGTACCTCCAACCAGCAAAATATATACACAGCGGCTGACCTTCCGTCTGGCAGCTCGCCATCCGCGCCCTTCAACGACGCGACGTAGTCACATGCCCTCCTCCATGCCCACATTCCTCCACCACGGCTTCTCCCCGCCAAGCATCTCCTCTGTCTCCCCGACTTGCTTTCTCGGGCTCACCGCTCGTGGCTGGCCAATCTTGCCACTGAGCTTGAGTTTCATGACTCGCATGCTCAAGTTCATACTCTTCGCATCCATGGATCCATTCCCGTTGGATATAGGTTGCGTCAATCCTCGAGGCGCTCCTCCGGGAATGGAGTTCGAAACCTTGTTCGTGAAGCCACCCCTCATGACTGGTCGTTGCTATTGCAAAGGCTCCGAGGAAGATGATAGCCTGTTGAGGTGGAGGTACACGTCTGTTCCGTATCTAGAGTCTCGTATTTCAGCATCTCCGCTGCCCAACCATAACTGCAGTTCGAATCGATCATTGCTTACCCTTCCATACTAATGAGCTTGAGATCACCGCCAAAGTACCTGGCGTAAAGCCTGCTAATTGGCAACCCATATCCAAACCCAGCCATCGGAGCTTTGAAATCGCTCTTGTTAAAGTCGGGGTCCAGGTTCGGTGTTTGGTCCACCGTGGTGTACATATATGTCCACACCAGCGGGATCGCACTTCTCGGTATTCCTCCTCCTTCGTCGGATATCTTGATCGTGATGTCCTCCTTACCCTCGGCCACGATAACCTTCGTCACCGGAAAGTCCTCCTTGTCCTGGCCATGGGTCTCCACGACAGCCCTCAGCGAGTTCTTGAGCGTCTCAAAGAGCATGTGGCTCAAGTGTCCTGGCACATACATGAAATTGATGTTTGGATCACAGATGAGTTGCACCTTCGGCGCGTCAAACAAACCGTAGTGGTCCTCGCATACAAATCTCGCATTCTCAATCGCTTCTTGGGCAAGCTCGCGAACATTCGTCTTTGTGCATATAATGCCCACGTAGTTCGGATCCCTTCTCTGCCGCTGATCCGTTAGTGCAATGTGCTGCCCGATCAACATTCGTATGCCTATTCTAGACATGTAGAATCTATCCAAGAAAGCCTGTATGTTGTTGTCGATCTGCATGCGTTGCCGCTTACGCTTCCACTCGAGAATACCTTGTGCAACAGTGGTGACCACGCTGTCATGCCGTCTTTTGATTTTTTCCAGCGTCTGTGCAAATCGCTTATTGTACGCATCCAGCTCGGGAGGCCAATCATTTCCATCATCTGCTGGAACATAATATTTCTTCATGCTCATGTTTTTTCTGTCGTAGCCATTGCCGTTGCCGTTACCGTTGGTGTTACCGTTTCCACTCAGCTCGGGTCTGGATGTGTATTGGCCCTTCTTCACACTAGGGTTGCTTGTCGTTTTGCTAAGTTCTTTGTCCGCAGCGGCTTTAACCGGCTTGAGTAATCGCTCCTTCACTTCTGCGCTTATGGACGGTCGGGGTAGGGTAGTTAATTCCTAGGACAGAGTTAGATGTGCTAACAGTCATATACACAGCAAAGCGAGCTCATACTTCGAATGACTGTGCGTACCAATCCCTCACTCTTTGTATTGACGGCATTTCATTGAGTCCATCTGGCAAGTGCTCGAGCTCTTGGACGCGATGCGCAAGTCGTATCGGCAGCTCTTCAGATAGAAACTGTGAAGCGCGAAACAGCGTACCTAGAAGTCATCGGTTAAGCGAACGGAGTTGGACATGCCTCGATCGAGTTTCACATACCAGTTGACGGTCTCTCACCAAATTGGACCATCTGTCGAAGCGAGACACCTGTTGCCGGCTGGTTCGACTTGTTAGCTGTGGCGATCTCTTGTTGCCGTAATCGCTAATGGAACTTGATGCCGAGGAACATGCTGCGCTGGGATCACGAAACAATGGTCGAAAGATGTGAACAGGCGCAGCTCGTTTATCGAGCCGCTAAAAGATGCAGAATTCGGCGGACGGTACGGATTATGGCTCTTAAGGGGCAGAGATTACTCACAAAGTTCGCGTAGTGACTGATGGTTTCCATCAGCTGCGCTGACCGCTTCCAAGACATCTTCGCAGAATCAAGGCCAGCAGGCCTCTACACTGTAGCCGTCTCCAATGTGTTGTCGCTGTCACTGCAGATGGCACCACGTCTCTTGAACCGAACCCAAACCCAGTATCTTGCGTATACAGAATGCGTCGTCGGGAGCGAGTACGGCTACCGCGGGGCTCTTCTCTGCCTGCTTCGACTGCTCAAGCAAAACGATGCTATGTGGTCAATTGACATGAGTGGGAGCAGCCAGGCTTGAAACACAAAAGGCACGCGAGCAATAGGCAAGGGGATAACTAGCAAGGAGCAAGTCGGGACGGTCGTGTAAGTAATTGACTCGGAAGCTGGGAGCAAATGTACAGTCACGAGCTCTGGGCCGGTTGGGTGGGGCGTGGTCCTTGACTCTTTCCCCAGAGCGGACGCGCCTTCCTTTGGCCCCGGTGCCCGATTCGCTCGTCCATTTTTCCCTGGGCAGCTCCTGCCTCTATTTTTCCAGACCTCCGAGACGGACTCAATGTCTCGTTTCCACCGCCGCTTGCTTTTTTCCCATGAAGCCCGTACTCTGCAAGTCCTCGCTGTCGGCATCCATCCCGTGCTCTTCGCCTCCTCAGTTCCTCCCAGAGGACAAGCTACCCAACCTGTCGCGACAATGTTCTGGTATCCTCGGCCTCAGTCCTGGATCGGGCCTGATCGGACCATGAGCTGCCACGGCTAGACCACTTCCGTCAATCTGTGCATTCACGAAACCTGAACGCGAAGTTGTCTGCTTGAGATTGGCGCACACAACGTAAAGGAAGAGCTTCCTTCGTAAGTGTGGCATGATCTTGGTCTGCCTGACCCGCCTCAGAGGCCAAAAAACCCCTCGAGGACGAGAAAGCCATCCGTGAATAGATAGATTCGTCACTGATAGCTAGATTTTCTTTTCAGGCACTCTGGTCGACTGAGCCGGTCGTCTGTATATCAACAGCGACGTTTATTGATTGGACCAAAAAAAAAATCGCGATAATGCCATGTACAACTTCGGCCCTTCGTAGAACCTTGAGTTCTGCTGCTCGTGTAGTCGATCGATCTATCCGGTGATGAAGACCACATTGCTCTTCGTCCACCTTTTGCTGATCCCCATACTTGATTGCTTTGACTTCGACTCGGAGATTTGTGGATGACTCTTCCTCTAAAAGCCTGTTGGTTAGATATTGCTGGGGAATCTTCTCTGTACAGTTTCTTGCACCAACAAAGCCTGGACAAAGCTGATTACCTCCTGACGGGAGTGCTGGCTAGACCTAAAGTATGGGCAGGATTGCTGTCAAAGCATTGATTGCTGTCAAAGCATTGATCATCGACGCGTCCGAAGAAAGAAGTAGGTATCGATTCAGAGAGAGACAAGAAATCGGAGGAATCTCTCCAGGATTAAGTATCAGCTTGAAGAACTACCTACAGCTACCAACTTTCTAGATAACAATAATGATGATAATGATAATGATAAGAACAATGATAAAAAATTTAAAATAGAAACCGCTGGATACCCGATCTCCATCGTTTTGCGCAGTTGGAAACAGGCATAAGAATGCTTGGGGCATAATGTCTGCCTATAGTGTTCTATGTATGCTACAGCAGGTTATACAGCAAATGTTATTTGGATGATTGCGATGCCCTATAATACTGATTCCGTTCTTCCAGAGCATCCAAAGCAGCAACTCAAAAATAGTCTCTTGGCCGAAATACATTACAAAAAAAAGCAGATCCGGATGGGACGTTTGAATTTACTGCACTGGCCATTCTTATCAATGTGATCATCCTCTCAAGGGACAAGAATAACTAGAAGACAAAATATCCTACGCGTATTGATAGATATAAAGTGAGTCTATCTTCAATATGCATATTGTGAAATTATGTAAGTTATTTCACCATGTATACGTCCATTCAAGCATGGAATAGCCCATAGGCTCGCGCACGAAAAGCCCTTAGGCTTAATTGGGGCGGCATCCTGACAGGCTCTTCGTTGTTTGCTTTGCCCATGTTTTTTCACAACGCCACCTGCGAACAAAATGAACCCATTTCCTGCAGATTTATATAATATGAAGCAGGGATATGTTGCGCTTAAGATGTGCAAATCAAGTCTACAAGTCAAAACCTGTAAAAATCATCGTGATCTGCATTTACCCCGCGCATCCAGTCGCCTGCGATATCCACGTCGAGTAAAGTCTTCTTCCAGCTCGTCACGAAAATGAACTATGACGTTTTCTAAATATCTGTGTACTTTAGTCAAGCTTCTCTTCTTTAAGCGGCACCTTGAGAGCAGTTATGGCTTTCAGGATATGTGTGTATACAAAATGGTTTTCATGAAGAAACTTCTCGCCTTATTTTCTCTACTATGGACCTACGTACAATGTTGGCCACAAAGAGACCCAGGGCCTCTTCAAGTCTGCGGTGATGCTTTTTATCAAAAGTCCGAGGTGCGTACTAACTCAGCTAAGTTACGCCTTGCTATAATCGCCTCAGCTAAACAATTCTACCAGTACACCTGCTATGAAGGCGACTTCTTATGTCCAGTCATCGATGGAGCCCCAACGTTACCTTGCGGACAGGATTGCTACAATTCATCTATGTATTCATGCATTGGCGGACGTTTGACACTCATACAGACCAAGAGCGATCATAGTTGCGACAATTCGTCGAATCAATTCCACATTAGTCAACCGCCATATGACAACTACTTTTACTCTGATTGTCACACAGCGGCTCAAGTCGTAGTCAGTAGTCCTGTCAATGGAAGCAATCTTACGCTCATTAGTCCACGTCTCATCGTGGCATGGCCTGGTGGTAACAGTGGGATCGCAGCATTCTGGAAACCTGAGAACGGTGTCAACGGAACTCTAAAAATTGAGCTTGATAATCAGACCTCGAGTACTGGAGCCTTATCCCCAATCTACAATAGTACTGGCAAGAGCAGTTATCCGACTGTTGGCATCTCAGGCTTTCTTAAATTCAATTCTACCGCTGTGCTCTCTGTTGCAATTCTGGGAGGAATCAGGACGATACGCGATTTCACCGAGGGCCCGAGCATTTTGGTACCCGAAATTCAAAATGCCACAAAGTATGACCTAATTGACAATGGCACATTGATTTTACAGAGGCTATGGCTTGACAACCTGACGACAACATCGTTGTCGTTCACACCGTTGCTTCCAGGATCAATATCACTCTCTGGCAATGTGGCTACCTTCGAAGCCGGACGGTATCTTTTCACGGCAACTTACGACTATCCACAGCTTAGTCAACTAAGTGCGAAAGAAGCACTTAGAAATGCCTCGTGGGATTTAATCACCCAGGACCCCGACCAGACATCTTCTCTATCCTTCTTTTCGTACAAATCAAAGCTTCTTGCTGGTGCATGGCGCTTTCTCACGTACTTTGGACGGGATTCTATGCTTACACTTTTGCTTATGCAACCTGTTCTTAGCGAAGGCGAAGGTGGCGCAATTGAAGCTGTCATTGCCTCCGTTCTTGAACGAATCAACAGAACAGATGGAAGTGCCTGCCATGAAGAGACAATTGGCGACTATGCCACGTACTTGAATGAGAAGGACAACATTACAAGCACTCAACCTCAATGTGATTACAAAATGATAGACACAGACTACTATCTTCCTGTTCTCATTAAAAACTACTTTGTTGACACACCAACAGGTGTAAATCGTTCAACCCCATTCTTTCAAACCATGGCAACTTCGGATTTTGGCAATGGGAACCTGACCTATGCAGATTTGGCGCTTATCAATGCTGAGAAAATTATGAACACGTCCGCGGCTTTTGCAGCGGATGGTGGACAAGTTCGCGAAAACTTGATCCATCTAAAAGCTGGACAATTGGTGGGCCAATGGAGAGACTCAACGTATGGCATTGGGGGTGGGCGTGTGCCTTTCGACGTTAACACTGCTCTTGTCCCGGCAGCACTACGATCTATCAGTACTCTAGCATCGCATGGATACTTTCCAACGCACCCCGAGTGGAATAGAACTGCAGCCCTTTATGCGCAGACATGGGAAGATGAAACATTACAGTTTTTTGAGGTCAGGCGTCTATTTTCTTTCTTTTCTTGAATTTCCACTTTGAACTCTCTGTTAGTAACTGACACTGGTCCAGATCAGTATCCCACGAGAAGACGCTATAGATCTTGTTCAAAACTACACAACACAGTCCAATTTTTCTGGGCCTTCCAACACAGGCAACATCACAACTACGGTAAATTTCTACGGACTTGCGCTTGATGGGAACAATAATCAGTCTTTGGTTAAAGTTATGAATACAGACGATTGTTTCCGACATTTCCTTTTGAACACCACCAATCAAACTCAGCTTAGCCGCTTCCTATCCTCTACTGCCGATCATGTCTTACAGCCATTTCCGGTTGGGCTTTCCACCCCCGTCGGCCTGTTGATAGCGAATCCTGCATATGGCGGGGATCCTGTATACGCGCAAAACTTCACAAACAATGCATACCAAGGCACTGTTGTATGGAGTTGGCAGATGGCAATGATGGCTGCAGGCTTGGAGAGACAGTTGTATCGCTGTAGAGAGAGTGCTGATCTGCCTGATTTCTGTGCTGATATACCGTTGAGAACCAAGATTTCAACAGCTTATAACCACCTTTGGGATTTAATTGAAGCGAACAAAGACCAGTTAAGTGAGGAAATGTGGACTTGGGTTTACGAAAACGACGAGTTCGTCTTAACGCAGCTGGGCGATCTGCCACCGGCGCCAGGCGCAACGTACACTGGTAAGTAGAAGTAGTTTATCCATGGATCAGAAGACGATAAGACTAATTTTTATGCAGAAAGCGATGTACGGCAGCTCTGGAGTTTGACTTTCTTGTCGGTGACGCGCAACAAAAATTTAACTTAACATGATATAATCATGCTGATTGAGGGAAGGTTATTGTACATTGATCTAGCCCTCTACAAATGAAACTCTGGCTTTCCAGCAACATGTTTTTTTTTTTTTTTTTTTTTTTGGAAACTTTCAACGGCTGTATGCTGCTTGACTTTCAAGGCCGTTCAATTTCGCCCGTCTCCATGTCCGGAGTGTCCCAAAGTAGTCTAGCGCGAGAGCTGCACACGGACTCCAGACTATTCAGATGCATCAGCATCATCGATTTTATTTTGGCCTCGCCATCCTCCCAATCTGTCATCATCTATCTCTCATCTCCTGTCATGATTGTCACAATCTCCTAGCACTCTCTATAGTTCAAACACCAGGGAGCTGAGCGGGGACCCGAGAAGACGATGAGGCCGTTCATGCGCCAAGCGGGCAACGCCGCTCGTTTGTCCCGGAGCATCGCGCGACCAACTTCGGCGCACCGAATTCTGTGCCATCCGCAACGAAGCGCAGCATTCCCACGTCCATTGTTCGCCAAGCAATCATCGCGAGGATACTCTACCCAGCAGAAACCGGAGGAAAATAATAAGAAAGAGCGAAAAGATGAGGGCGTTTCCAAGGAAGCTGAAGAGCTTAAAAAGAAACCAGACGGTGAAGAAGCAAAGGATGATGGCCAGATCAATGCCACGGGGCAACCAGAAGGACAGAAGGAGTCAAAGTCACCGCTCGAAGGATACCAAAGACTCACGGCCCAGGAGCAGAAGGCGCTGGATGAGCTCTTGTCCACTCTCAAGAGAAGTCTACCGGAGGGCCAGGCTAAGGATATTGAACGCGCATTTGCAATGATTAAACGGGACGGTATTCCCAATGAACTGCGTGAGATATTGAATGGTCTGAAGAGTGGAAAATCTCTCGATTTGGCCAGCGCCGCTAAGCTCGTGAGGATGACCACAAAGCTTGCCCGGAAAGCCGCCGACGAGGTCGTCTATAGTGAGACCAAGTCTCAGACACCACGCCAAAAGTCAGGGGCTCACGATCCGGGTCCACAAGCTCAGCGCCCTGGAAAGAAGGAGGGCAAAAAGGATGGCCAAGACCAAGACGACTGGTCCAAATACGAGATCAAATTTGACATGAACACCTTTTTGCTCTCAACCTTCCTTGCTTACCTTACTTACCGGCTCATCATTCCCTCGGAGAATTCCCGCGAAATAACGTGGCAGGAGTTCCGTACCACATTTCTTGACAAAGGTCTTGTTGAGAAAGTGGTTGTTCTGAATAGCAATCGGGCAAAGGTATTTTTGCACCGTGAAGCAGTTGCGTCGATGTACCCTGAGTCTCCTGCCGTTCACGCCAATTTCTTCTACTATTTCACCATTGGATCAGTGGAGGCATTTGAGCGAAAGATGGAGGAGGCACAACGAGAATTGGGCATTCCGTCATCGGAGAGGATACCAGTCGCTTACCAGGACGATGTTCCTTGGCTTGCAACAATTTTGTCATTCGGACCAACGTTGCTCTTCATTGGTGCTATCTTCTGGCTCTCTCGACGGGCTGCATCGGGCGCGGGTGGACAATCGGGTATTTTTGGTATGGGACGAAGCAGGGCTAAACGGTTTAACCATGAAACAGATGTCAAGGTCAAATTCAGTGATGTAGCGGGCATGGACGAGGCCAAGCAGGAAATTATGGAATTTGTTTCCTTCCTTAAGGAGCCAGGAGTGTATCAGAAGCTTGGAGCAAAGATTCCCCGCGGTGCCATCTTGTCTGGACCTCCAGGAACGGGTAAAACACTTCTGGCAAAAGCTACTGCGGGAGAATCAGGTGTGCCATTCTTCTCCGTGTCTGGTTCTGAATTTGTTGAAATGTTCGTCGGAGTTGGTCCATCGCGTGTTCGAGATTTGTTCGCGACAGCTCGGAAAAACACACCTTGCATCATATTCATTGATGAAATCGATGCCATCGGTCGATCGCGAGGAAAACAGAATTTCGGGGGTGGGAACGACGAGCGAGAGTCGACGTTGAATCAAATTTTGACGGAGATGGACGGCTTCAATACTTCAGAACAGGTCGTCGTCATAGCCGGTACCAACAGGCCCGATGTACTGGATAGCGCACTCATGAGACCTGGACGATTCGATAGGCACATCGTTATTGACAAGCCAACAACGGAAGGGCGACAGCAGATCTTTGCGGTGCATCTCAAGAAAATTGTAACTAAGGAGGATATTGAATATCTTAAAGGCCGTTTGGCAGCACTGACACCTGGCTTCTCTGGCGCAGACATTGCCAATTGCGTGAATGAGGCTGCTCTCATAGGTATGTCTTGTACAAACTTCTAGTAACTATCATCATACTGACCTTGCATAATAGCCGCTCGCAATAAAGCTGAATCCGTTGAGATGAAGCACTTTGAGCAAGCAATTGAGCGTGTCATTGGCGGCCTCGAGAAGAAGTCTTTGGTCCTTTCGCCGGAAGAGAAGAGAACTGTCGCGTATCACGAAGCAGGCCATGCTATATGTGGGTGGTATTTCAAGTACGCCGATCCTCTTCTTAAGGTGTCGATCATTCCACGTGGTCAAGGTGCACTTGGTTATGCTCAGTACCTGCCGTCTGGAGACACGTATTTGATGAACGTACACCAACTTATGGACCGGATGGCGATGACTTTAGGCGGTCGCGTTAGTGAAGAGTTGCATTTTGACACCGTGACTTCAGGTGCGTCTGATGATTTTAAGAAGGTAACACAGCTTGCCAGCGCGATGGTGACGCGCTTTGGTATGTCCAAAAAAATCGGTTACCTCTCCTTTGAAGACGATACGCAGCAGCAATTGCACAAACCATTTTCAGAGGAAACCGCAAAAAACATCGACGCGGAGGTTCGACGAATCGTTGATGAGGCCTACAAGCAATGCAAGGACTTGTTGACGGAGAAGAAGAAGGAGGTAGGACTTGTAGCGGAGGAACTGCTTGCCAAGGAAGTCCTCTCTAGGGATGACATGGTGCGCCTGCTTGGTCCAAGACCATTCGCTGACAGAGACGAATTCTTGAAATACTTTGATGGACCGAAGCGTGGTGATGCGCCACCAAACGAGAGCATGCCATCCCCACCAGGTCTACCAGATAATCTTCAAAATCCCTCTGGCTCACCGCCTGAGGCACCGAGCCCCAATCCAGCGCCGACAGTGATGAAGCGGTTGGAGGCGCAATATGCTGAGAGGAGGCACTGGGTATAATCGAGGCGTCTGGTTTACCAAACAAGCATCACTACAAAAATATGTTAAAGAAACTCTACTCTGCCCGGAGTGCAAGGCATATCCCTTTGTATATAAATGTTAGCATGGAATGGAGAATGTAAATAGATATCATTTTATGCTAGAGCAAATCATGTATTATCTACATAAGATGCCACGGCTCACGATTTTACTTCTGAATTCCGCGATAAAATGTACCATAACAGTGGATCAGCGACTGACCAGCGCTCCGGTATCAAGATTCTTAGTGAAGAGAGTGTCTCCTTCCCGGCTCTTTGATTAAATCTTTGGCATAAACATCTCCATCTTGGGTCTGTACAGAAAAAGGACTATCTGCAAAGAACCTTTTTTAGGACAATGAGGAATGCAAGAATAGCAGCAAAACAGGTCCAAAATTAAGGATAAACACGCTGAAGAGACCTGTAAATGTTGAAGGAAGAACATGCTGCACTCTGGAAGTTGAGATTTTGCGAACGAAAGGAAAGAGTCAGCAGACTGAATGGTTTTGTTTCGCAACGATACTTTGGAGCCGCGTAGCCAAGACGAACTCAAGGGCCAAGTGAGAGGAAATATGTGTCACTTTTTCGTTGTTGCGGTAGAATTTGACTCAGAAAGACAATCGAGCTTAGCACTTGGAGAAGCTTTGTAAGTGAAGACAGACAGACATATGTGTCCAGTTGGCAGAATCTCTCTCGTTTAGCCTTGAAAGAAATTCCAAAGTACGTTTGTTCTGGCAGGAGAGTTTGATCCATATTTATTCATGTGCTATAGTGTACAGATAAGCCCTGCTGATTTTCCGAAGCACCAGTGAGCCGTCACCACACCCTCTCACCAGCACAGGTACGCCAATGCCCTAGCCAACCTTCGTCTCGACGCTGCCAATGGGCCTCTCGACTAGCTCCATGATTCCATCTACGATTGCTTTTCTCGCCGGCTCTGAGCTCACGTGCTTGCCACCAAGATAGCCGAGCCACACGAGGCGTGCAATCCTCTCGTCTTTGACGCTGCCAAAGTCCTCCATTTTCCCATTCTTGTTCTGAAAGAACAACCTCATCGCCCCATCTGCGTCTCTCATAAGTAATATTACGCTGCCTGTCGGTGCCTTGCCCTTTCCCTGCATGATGTCCTTGAAATCTTTCATCGCTATGCGAAAGGAATCGTCAGAAAACCGCGCGTCTCCACTTCTCTGAGCATCTTGAGTTCTGCTTGTTATGCCCCTGACCCAGCCATCTCTCAAGTGGCCAAAATCCGTGTTCCTCACAGGTACGATTCGGAAAGCCGACTTTAGGCCGAGTTCCTTCTCCCCAAGCAGTTGATCCCAGATTTGCTGGCTCCTCTCGCTGTCCAACAATGCGTTCTTCAATTCGTCTTTTTCATTGGCAATGAGAGCGCTGCCCAAAGGATTGATATACTTGACCAGGCGAGCTTGTAGGGCAGCAAGAGAGGAAGTCTGCACGTACATGCCCACAACATAGACTTGCATTCCGAGAAATGACACAGATCGTATACCCAAGCCCAGAAGTGTGTATTCCTCCTCTCCACCGTCCGAATCCGACGTCGGCAACGTAATAGTTTTGGGGAAATGGGGCACAGTGCTCGTTCCTGTCTTCACCAACTCAACAGCCACGCCGTTCGACTCATCTTTAGCAATCACCCTCTGACCTCCCGCAATGACAACAATGGGTTTCCCTTGAAACTCATCCGCCTCTTTCCCACCAGGCGCATCCATACTAGCTCTGGGGATCAGGCCTGGGTTGTTCCTGTTTTGATCTCCATCACTCTCCTTTGTTGACGTCGCTCTCGCGGCAGGAGCAGGATATAGCATGGTTGTAATTCCTGTTGCCGCGATTGTGCAGACGAGCCCCAAAGCTAGATATCTCATTTGGCGTATATCTTTGGCCCGCTGCGCCGCCCAGACAGGATCGACGGATATGTTATCCATTGGATTGCGTGACGTGCCTTCGAAGAAGTCCGCATGTTTGGGATTTCCATACCGAGAAGTTCCATAATTCCGTCCACGCGCTGGGCGTACTTGCTGTCGAGCGAGATGGGAGCTGCGAGAGCGGATCGAAAAGATGGATTGAAAAAGCAGACGCCTGTTAGCAAGGCGGTTGCACAAAGAAGGGGCGCTCATTGTCGCATTCAAGAAAGATCTCGTGCTTTCATTCCACAGATGATTGCCAAATGAATGGATTGTTGTTGTACCTCCGTATCTTGTTCAAGGACGAATGGTTCGATCGCGGGTTTTGCCAAGAACGATGCTCTCCGCAGCCCGTAGATCTCCGAATACGTCACCTGTACTTAATCCCGTCAACAGTCTCAAAATGCGAGGTCCCATGATAATGCTCGTTTCTGTATAGCTTAGAATGAATTTTATCGTACGAAATAAATAGTACTACTTATTCAACATGACAGCGGCTCTAGACCCGAACACAGGTGGTAGAGCAACGTTTTCACAATTGGATCGCACTTCAGCCAAGGCTATAAACCCACACTCGGGCGATCGAATCAACGGCGACCTCACAAAATGTTGACCATATCTGACATTGATTAAACATGGTGTATGTTCTAACCTTAGTCAATGCCATTCAATAGCCTCCGCATTCCTCTTCTTCCGCTCTTTTTTTCTCAGGTATGAAGATGATGGTAAAAAAGTGGGCCGCGGCAAAATGCAAAGAACCGCATATCCACAGATGTGATTCCCGTAGACCCATTTAGAACCCCCCGGGTGAAGCGCCATTCAAATACATGCAAGTTTGTGTGTTGTTTCATCATCAACCACCGCTGTTTCAACCTCATCGCCGTATGTCAGACAATCTAGTAGCCATAACCTTCCAGAGTCTTCTTGGTTTCTGAGTCGACTTTCGCGGCCTTCGCAGCCTGGCCGATCTGTTGACGCATCTTCTTCTTGCGCTCGTAGTATGCCGCGCTCTTAGCCTTTCTCCTCTCCTCCAGTCTGCAGATGGATTAATACTCAGTGCCACCATTGTCGGACATAGAAAAACATACCTCGCGACGACGTCCTGGTACTTCCAACCAAACTCATGGCCTAATCGGCCAACAGTGCAGTACTTGCGACCAGGCTTGAGTCTAAGGACGCGTAGAGCCTGTGGAACAACCATGCGCTTCTGGGTGTCGTATGGTGGTGGAATACCTTCGAAGGTCTTGAGGCGTTCCATGGCGGCTGCACCACGGGCGGTCTTGTGTGGAATCATGCCACGAACGGTTCGCCAGAACATCTTAGAAGGGGCACGGAAGTGGAATGGGCCTAGAAATCATCAGATGGGTGGACGCTAGAGTGAGAGGCATTGCAAAGGAACCTACCACCGCGAGTTGGGTTAAAGCGAGTTTGCTTGCGCATAAACGCCTGGTACTTCACTATTGTCGCTTGTTAATCACATGTTCTGTTCCCAACGACAAATGCTCCGGTGATCGATTGACAAAGGGATGTACGCTGCGAGGATGTGTGTCGATGAGAAGAACCACTTACACTTCGCACGGAAGAATTCTGAACGCGTCGTTAGCAATTCGATACATATTCACAATCTTTTCAGGCTCAGCTACTAACCTCCACTGATATTCAACTTCTCGCATCGCACCACCACAATCTTTTGGCCCTGTGATGAATGGTCAATATTTTTCCCTCTTCTTCTGTTCTAGTAACCGCCGACGACATACATTGAGCAACTGCTTGGCGACAATGCTCGCAAGGCGGCCGAGAAGATGTCCGGACCCATCGATAACGATCTAAAAAGCGTAATACCGTCAGTTCAATATCTTCGTCATGTTCCTAGATCGAAATTGACTATGGGCGGTGGCAGCAGCCACGAGCGGATGCCGCACCGCGCAAAGATCTTTCGTGGACTCAATTAGGAGATACGTACGACAGGCTCGAAAGACGACATCTTGTCCTTTGTGGCGAGACAGAGAACTGCGAAGATGTTGTGCGGGAGTGTGTGGATTTGTTGGCAGTTCCGACCTTTTCGAGGTGTGTGGAATTCATTCGGACTGTGCGATATTGTCGCGCTATTCCAATTCAAGCTAGAATGGTGCCTCTTTTTCAAGGCGGCAAGGCCACAAAGACCATGCTGGTCAACCACACGCCAAGCCGTTAACTTCAGAGAAAAAACTAGGAAAATTTGGAAAACGGCATTCAGTGACAGTCAATCAAACTACCAAGTTTGTTGCATGATTCCGGACTGTCTTCGAAATCTCTTTCGAATTCCTGCAACCCCCTGGCGCTCAAAATGCCGTGTATCACGAACACATTGACGTTTTGAGCCGGAAAGGCACTCCGCACGAAGGTCGTTGCCCATGTACTGATTAATTTATTGACTGATATCTACGGAGATGTCCATATCACTTCGTCTCTAGAATCTCACTCAACCTATATCGTCTTTAATCCTAGCCTATCTCTGACTCGCTTTTCTCCTTGGGCAAGCTCTGTCTGACTGGCCTTCTCGTAAAGCTCCTCCAACTTCTTATCCACCCCAGGTCCCTCCTTGTCCAAGGCTGTAAACTCCTTTGCGAACTCCCCGCTCAGGATTCTTTCTTTAGCCACTCGTTCAAATTCTTTCCGCATCGCTCTCGTATCCAGCTCCATGCTTCCTTTCAGCTGCCCGTATTGACTGCAAAAATCAGATCATCTTCCAATGTATGCAATTCTAGAGGGAAAACCAACGCACTCACCTCACAGAACTATGGTGTACCAGTTGCCTGATAAATCCGTCATCTGCGCACTTTTCGAAGACTTCTGCCGGTTCCTTGCTCAACCACAACTCATGGACCAAAGCCTCGTCGCTGCACCCTAGCTGCTTCAGCACGCTATACGCCTCTTGAAACGTAGCAATCACGCTCGGCCAGACAGCCTGCTCGGCAAAAAGATCCATAAGTGTCTCCTCACGTGCGCTGCTTTCGATCACTCCGCCCTTGGTCGCCCCAATGCCTCGACACAGAGCCAATGCAATGTCCCAAGCACGCCCGGTGCCGTCTTGCTCAACGGACACGAAGCAGGGGAAGCCCACTCCGCTTTGGTAACGTGATCGAACGGATGTGCCAATCATGCGAGGAGCCACCATGACGACATCATTGGACGGAGCCACATTAAGGTACTTGTAGAACACGTTGTAACCCGACGCGACCACCACGCACGCCGTCTTCTTCAAAGTGGGCGCGATGTTTTCATTGAACAGCTTGGGTTGCACTTGATCCGGCACGAGCAAGAAGAGCACGTCGGCTTCCGAGGCCGCGCTCTGCCAATCTGAGGTGAAGCCAAAGCCATCTTCCTCCGCGGCTTTGGAATAGTTGTCGTTCTTGTTCGCAACGATGATGCGGGTGGGAAGAATGCCTTCTGCATGAATCGTGTCGCGCTGGCGTCGTCGTCAGTATGAGAACGATCTCCGGTCTTTCCGGGAGAACATACGAGGTTCAATGCCTGGGCCCTGCCTTGATTTCCATAGCCAACGAACACGATCGTCTTGCCCTGCAATGCATCAAGCGAGCAATCTTTGTCATAAAACAAGCGAGCCGACATGATATTTGTCCACTCAGTGTATTTCAGCACTCAATGGGTTTACTAGAACGGTCAGATGAATTTTGCGCATTTCCAATCAAGCTCGATTCGATGACACTACATATATGCGAGCGAGCGCCGTATCCCCACGCCTGACCATGGTGCATCATAAGGGTCCGGTATCTCGCGTTAGCTTGGAGCGAGCTATGCGGGGGTGTCGTAGGCGACACTTTGAGATACGCACCCCGGAGTTTGAACATCCGAGTTGTTCGTAAAAGTCACATGATACGAATAAAAGAAGAAGCCAATGCTTAAGCGAGACGGGAAAGAGGTGTTTAACAATTTTAACCTGCCGTGCATCTGTAGAGATGGACGAAGGACATACAAAGGTAGAGGATGGGAGCGGCGATGACCGATTTGGGGGAAAAAAATAGGAATTGAATTTGCAGATCTGCATCGTATCTAAAAGCTCAAAATTTGTACAACGAAGGAATGTCTTTGGCTCATTGAAGTCGCCCTAACGTCAAAGAAAAATGTATCCGTAATGATTGCCTTAATCAAACCGCTTTGATTCACTCGTGCTGATATATCGTGCGCCGCTTTATTCTCGTCTGCCGTCCAAATCCGCTCGTTCTTCGAGAATCACCATGAGAAAGCCTCTTCCGAGAATTCGATATTTGCTCTGGTCATCCATGATCTGCAGCACTTTCTCACGTCGTCTGCCAATGCTCCGACACCACACACACTCACTCCAATGGCACCGATGGCGGAAGCTACCTCCTGGTCAACGAGTGCCGAGATGTTGGGCTTGCCAGGGAACATCTGCACGCTGGCGCTCGGGCTCTGAATCTCCTTTGTGCTCTTAGGCTTTGTTACAAAAAGCATGATCTTCAACACCTCTCTGCGCTTCGGCATCGATAAGATGGCGGTCATCCAGGGTCGGATCCACTCCAGGTGCTCGGGTGACTGGATGATCCACACGAGCGTGACTTTGCGGGCAGCAACAGTTCCGTTGGCGTATCCGGCCACGAGGTCACGCACATGCGGGACTTGATGTGTGATGCCCACGCCAGCGGCGAACAGTAGCACCGTGCCGTATGAGTGGAGAGTTTGATGCCCATAAGGTCCTTCGAGCCAACACTTGGTCACGAAGCGGCCCTCGGGTGTCCGCTCGGCCTTCTTCCAGAGCTTGTCAGTAAATCCGGTGCGACGACGAATGATGAACGACATTGAATGCTCTCCCGTTCTAAGGACCTCGCTGGTTTCCATGTCAAAGCCTTTCTCTGGGTCCAAGGTCAGGCGCTTTTGATCGACACGCTGAGACATTTCTTCACTCCAAGCAATAGAGAAAGGGTGCGACGTCCACCAGCCAATTCCAGGCATGTATAGGTAAGCATGTGCACCTGTCCTGAACCGCCAGGGACGTGCCATCTTCACGGTAACGCGGACAGCTTCACCCGGTAGAGCTTCAACCTCTGCGGTAGTACCTCCGCGGCCTAAGTTTCCGTAAAGTAGGCGAGCGAGCCGGATCCCCCGCTCTGCTGCCCAAATAGCGACCACACCTTTAATAATGGCGTGTTGATAGTAGTAGTCAGGTTCCTTAAGATGAACCCACACGGCGGCTACTGCCAGAGCAGCAAGGAGCTGATGCCCAACGAGGAAAGTTTCGTAGAAAGCATGACGAAGAGCACTGGGCGATTGAACAAGGATGGCTGCAAATGCGACCGCTCCGATGAAGCCCGAAAGTATAAACTCGCTGTTGGCAAGCGTTGCTTGAAAAGCCGCAAATCCTGCAGTTTGGTTAAGCGTCATGTACAGGAGCTACAATACGTCTGAACTTACCTTTTGTCTGTACCTTGTTGACGATCCAGAATGTGCCATGCAGGACTGCTTCTGTGACGACAATCCTGCCTAGCCATCGATGGATCAAGTTGTACGTGTCAAATGTGATTCCGGTCAGCGTGATCAGGGGGTTGTTGCGACCGGCGAGAAGAAACAACGGCACCATGTTCATGATAGCCATCATACCCGTTCTGTTGACCAACATTGAGTAAATTTGGGAAGATGGTGCGCCGAAATCGATGTCGAACAAGGTCAGGAAGATGCTGGTTGCCACATAAAGGACAAGGAAGAGTGTCTGAGCTCGACTGGGCAGCGTGCCCACGTTGATGGCTGATGACAACCTAAATTCGCGATGATGGCGCTTGCGGAATAGAGGAGCATCCACAAGATATTTTCTAAAGGCGCTATGAGTAGGCAGAGGCCAGGAGAAATACTTCTGCTTCTCATTGTTCAGACAGGCTAAGGTGCGAGCGAGGGCAAGGCAATGAAGGAAGAAGCAGTAGATCATGGTGCCGCCAACGAGGCCGATCCAAGCCCAGAGAAGTCCTTTGATCAGAAACCAGTTGAGAGCCTCTGGGTTGGTCTCCTTTTCAGCAGAACTGGCTTGGCCTGCGGTCTGCGGAGCCGCTGAGCCTTGAGCAGCCGCGGGAGCGGCTGAAGATTGCGCCCGTGACGTTGCTGCGAAGGCAACGAAGAACACCAGTTGCATCGACGCCATTTCCGGAAAGGGTCACGAAGGTTCTCAAAGGAGGAAGTTTCGAATCCAGATATGGCTTGTCGCTGTGTTCTCGTCCCGCTATGTTCGAACTGTTGTAAGACTTGGGTTGCAGTACCGATTGCTCAATTCAGCCTTGACATGAAGACGATTTCGGGATTGGTCTTGATTTAAATCCGTGCGAGAATATTTCACTGCTGTTCACGTTGAGCAGTAACCTAAGATCATCGACAAACAAGAGTGGAGAGCAAGCGACAGATATAGGAGGACTTGACAGCCGAGAATGTAGAGGTAGAGCTGTGACTATTTGATTAGCCTCCGCGCCGTACAGATGCCAACCATCTCTAGCAAGAATGGGATTTGATTCTCGCTGCAGAATAGATCTAGCCGTGCTATATGAAATCTGGAGCGCTAGCAGTTTCGGCCTAATGAGAGAGACATAATTTCGAGGCAAGGACCAAAGTTTACACAAATTGGTAGACGAATATGTGATATGACTGAAGATCGGGATGAAGAAGCACATACAATGAGACTGTGTCTTGCCTGCAAGATCAGAGTCGAAAAATGAAAGTTGTGATTCCTGCTCAAGGCAAGGAAGCACTTTAATGGCTAATTGCGACTTGCGCAACAGAACGTGCGAAGAACAAAGATCACCAGAAGGATGGCGAGCAGGTCAAACTAACGAGAAGAAAATGACGGTCATCACAAGAAAAGAGGCATCAAAAAAGGCCCGCAAGAAGCCTGATAATATAGCGACAGATATATGTTATCTTGGTAAGGACGGAGCACACAAGATAACCAAGCCGGACAGGATGGCCTGGAGAGCATACGTTAACGCGAACGCGAGGCTATTCGAGCGTCGGAACAGCATCATGCACGTACCCACCCATCATTATGCCCAAACTGTGCTACGGAAGCGTTGTTTGTTCCCTACAGGACGGGATCAAGCGAATTGGCTGGACGACGCCCCTTGCGCCTCGCTGCCGTTGCGTGTTCATCCCCCATCAAGATGAAGCAATCGCTTGGAAAAGTGGATCGACTGATTCGCGTGGGCTCCGCTGCGGGTTCAATTTGCCCACTCGATCTGTGTCCGCCATTGGTGCCGCTGTAGCCACTGAAACAAGGTCTTCCCCATCTTTGTCTAGGTTCAGTCTTGATCTTCTGCCATTCCAGAAGCTAATTTGCGCTCTTCTGTCCTTTCGTCGTCGTGTGCCTGCCAAGCACACGTCGTCATTTCTTGCCACGGCTCAACCTGAGACCTCAGTTTTGTTCCCGCGAAAAGGACTTTCTGATTGCGACAGCAACGCCGTAGACGCTGTCGAATGGAGAATAGAAGACGTCTTTTGGGAATGGACATCAGTCCCCATCGTTATTCATGTTGCGCAGTCATTCGTGAATCCAGCCACTATGCTTGCGCAAGCGTAGCGCTTCGTGTGCACGTACTCTTTCTTCACGGTCGAGACACACACAGCAGCGGTTCGACAAACAGATGATCCTGCCGACAAGAGTCATCGACGGTCAAAATCTCCCCTTTTTCCCGCCGTCACATGTGCATCCAGCAAGCACACAGTGTTCATTCCTAGGCTTCGTAGGCGACAGGGACCCTTCCGTTCCCTTTCTATGGGCTGGACAATCTCGCGGCAAGCGCCAAATGTATATTAGCATGCTTTCCTCCCTAATCAAGTGCGCATGTCTTAAGGAAGCAGATCGCGTACGGTATTCTGCTTGTCGACCACTCGTTCTGCAGTTGCTTGCTTGCTCTTCTGGTCCAACGCAGTTGAACACGCTGCAGCAATTATGGCCTATTCGATCCTAACCAGCCTGATGTCAAGCGCTAATCGTCGAACAGGCATGGGAGGCCACGCCTGTTACGTCAGGTATGCTCAGCCAAGACTCTTTAAGCATTTTTGGGATCCACGTTCATTGTTTCAAATATGCTCATGCCCTCTGCCACTCTTTCACAGATTCATCACGCCTCGGAAAATCCGCCCTCACGATTAGCATGATTTGAAGTCACACTTGCTCTGCTCATATTGACGTCACGGACTAGATGTCGCAAAATATTCCGTCTCTCATCTCCGTCCCTAGCCTAATTACTGCTGCTATTATGTGCTCATCCTTCAATAGCTCGCCTCATCCCGTCCCTACCTGTCCTTAAGGTTTACGAGGACGATTCTTGGCCAAGCGACCAGTCCGTGTCATGCGGTTGTGGCTGATTGGCGTTTCTCTCGTTTTGAGTCTGTCAAACATTGTTGCCGTTGGCTGTCATCGGCCATGATGGCCGCATGTTAAAACGCGCATCAACGATAAAACAAGCACGATTGTGGAAAAAGGCGACCGCTTGGGTACATGTGAATCAACGCTTTGAATTTCTTCCTTGCATTTTGCATCGTCTGGTCACGTCCTCATTTGTACTCCACATTCGCCAAGCAATGGGGATCCATAGTTGCACGACTTCTCCTAAATGAAACATGCTATACGCGTCCAATTTGCATGACATAGAAGAGCATGGAAAGTCTGAACATTTCTCAGCGCTACTATGGAGCTGGTGAACAAGCCCAGTCAAGTAGAATAGGAGCAGGGATTGCCTCTTGGGACAAATTCCATCACAGTCACCGTCCATCCCGACCATTGTACATCCTAGTTCAAGGTACCCATACTCAGAAGTTTCCTGTACCACATTCTTGAAACGTGTATTCTCTTGGGTATGCTGCGCGCGTAAATGCCGATGTCATGACGGCAACGACCACTCGAAATAACAATGGCTTTGCCCAACTTAAACACACCTTGCCGAAGATGTCTGTTGACTGTTTATGGACTTTGAGATCGGTAGTATAAATCTCGCGGGAGAAAATCGCTACGACTTTCGCTAGAGAGATTTGGACTTTGAATGTTCAGCTTCACATGATAGTACCCATTCGATACAAGTAATGTCCAACAATACTTGCTTGCTGGTTTTTAGAACTTGCTCGTATATTATCCATTCGTCGGTGTAAAGTTTCTCAATGGTCGTGACCCAAAATGTTCGATATCCGAATATACCTTCATTCCTGGCGCAGACGGCGGTGGCACCTGTAGTTCCAGAAAGATAGAACATATTTAAACTTGCAGGGGGCTAACGTCGAGCACTTGCCCCTTCTTGACAGTGCTTGCGAGCACTCATCTGTCAAATGGAAGATTATAAATTCTCGTCGTTAAGACCTTTATTTTCTTCGAATCTACAAATACATATATGTACGTGTGTATGTTTATGTCTGAAATTAGTGGCTGACATTTTTTTTTCTAATAACTTTATGAAGTGCTCAACATTTAGGCGTCATGTATAGGATTGTTGAGGAGAGTTTCTCCCCTCCCACCCCCCAAAAGTAGAACTTGATATTTGCTACTCTTTAGTGAGGTATCACTCGATTCAGTATGTTTCGGTAACTTCGCTAATACCTCAATGGCAAGCTTCAAAGGACTCGTAGAAGAAGCTGTCTGTCATGTCGGTCGGGCAGTGAACTGTCTATCTGTGCCGAATTATGGTCCAGTAAAGTCCATTAGGCGGAGAAGGACTCAACAAGCATACTAGGTCGTACAAAATGTTATTCCCCAGAACGTATGGCTATCTTGTTTTGAACCTTGCTCTAAATACAATGTAGATAGCTCGCTACTGGGGAAACAGTAATGCAGGCTGCAGTGACGTCGAATTTGAGATGGCAACTTCAAATATTCAGCTTGTCTTTCGATGGAAGTTATGGATTGCTTGTCTGTTCATAAGCAAGCGTCGTAAAAAAAGAATTACAGCTCTTCGGATAAAATAGCTCTCAGGGCAAGAGCTGCGGCATCTACAAAGACTCCTGTCCACGTCGAGTGGCCAGACTGCGTGAAAACGATCCTCAGTCGACTTATTCAGGCTTATAAAGTGCTTCGAGTTCTACGGAATCAAGCCATATGACAGACAATTGTCTGAGTGTAGATCGCATGAGAAAAAGTATTCATGCCAAGGGAAGGACGTCGGCTGCGAAATTGCGAGCGTAGAGCTTTGAGGCCCGCACTTTGGAGAGAATCTTAGCACGAAAAATGTGCAAAGCAATGGAACCAGCAACGACAAAACTTTATATTCACTGCGGTCTAACCTTCGCGAGCGATCTCTCCAGGATCATCACGTGTCCCTCCCTGTCTTTGTCCTCACAGGAAGACCTCGTCTCGTACACGATTTGACAGGTGACAAAATTCAAAGCAAAACGTAGCTTCAGGTCCTAAAGCCTTACGTCATCGACGCATTTGACGTGTATCAATGCTCGTTTCTGAGCCAGCGTGTTGTGTGCATTGCTGAAGCTAGCTGTTATCATCTTCGCGACTGCTTTGCTGCCCAAAAAAAGAACGCTCTCGCATCCAGCGTGGAGCCTCTACCCGGTGCGTTTTAATCTAGCCAGCTGCTCACCAATCTAAGAGAGATAAAGCAGACGCAAGAGGGGTATTTTCCTCAGAGCCTAATCCTTCAGACACCCGCCATCGCTTTCTGTCCGCGTTGTAGCACACAGCGTTTTGCTGGGTTTTGCTTCAGCCAAAGCTCGGCCAAGGACCAACCGCAAACAGCCATCTGACCGGCGACCATGTCGACAACGATCGCAGGTACGTTGGCGGCGCATCCTGTATTTGCCGAGTTTCCGGCCAGGAACTTCGTCACGGCGTCGGGCGTGGCCATATTCCACGTGAAGACGGCGAGGGTCGTTTTATGCTACCACACGCGCGACAAGTATTGGTTCTTGCCCAAGGGCAGGCGTGATGCCGGCGAGTCTTCGACGCGGGCGGCAGAGCGCGAAGGGTTCGAAGAGGTGAGCTGCGGAGCTGAAATTGGACACAGAATTTTTTTTCTCCCGTGCCTCATGCTGATCTCTTGCGACAGTCAGGCTATCGAAATCGGCTTCTTCCGCTCCCAATTCAGCACCGGCAGCCCCAGGCTGCGGCAACGGACCCGGTCTACAACGTGATAGAGCCAGTCTGGACGTCGCTTCTGCCACAGTCGCGGAGAACGCAGTATCTTCTGCATTGGTACATCGCAGAAACCTTGCCGCCGGCACTGGAAGCTAGCATGGGCCCGCCACCAGCATCACGCGAGTACCAAGAGCCTCCTGCGTATCCGCAAGAGCTCCTGCTTCGCGAAAGGATCGACGCAGAACCGCCTGGTTACGAGCCCGTGAAGTACGAGAACACAGGCGTGGACTCTGAGGAAGCATTGTACGCCAGCGAACTTGTGCCCGTTCAAGAGGCCATTTCAAAGCTTGGACGTAGTTCCATGGCGGAAGTAGTGCTCATCGGTTGGGACAGGATACAGGCAAGATTACTTGCAGAAGGTCGCTCGACTTCCTCCTATGATGCGAAGACGTGAATCTAAGCGTTTCCCGACATGCCTCTATCGGAACAATGAAAAATAAACATCAAATTGCAGGGTCATGCCCTCTCATGACTTTTTGCACGATTCGAGGTGGTGAGTTATGCCTGATGTGTTACAGGACTTTTACACTGGACGATGTCCTTCCAAGTTTGCCCCCATTGAGCTGTCGTCCAGAATGCACAAGAACCCGACCTCTCAATTTCGCTCGAGTTCACCCGAGACAGCCAGAATCTCACGGGACTTTCGCCTTGTTCTTGTCCAGGATGCACAATGCGCTCCAGTCCCGGAAATGGTTGAAAGCTTCATCGCTTACCCGGGCTTGAACTCCACAAGAAGTGGACGGTTGCGTCCATAGTTCATGACGCTATTGACGTCGACCCACGACTGCTTTGGCGGTTTTGGACTGTAGGGAAAGATCAGAGAAGGTCGAGGGCGCGTTACGCGGAGCTGGGATGTGTGCGCCTGACTCTGTGTGAGAACGACGTAGAGGAGTATTTGGACGGCTTATAAAAGGATTGAGAGAAGCAGACCCAGCGCTGGAAAGTGAAGTGGACGCGCGAATGCGTGACTGCTAGGAAGTTTGAGGATGGGCTGCGGAGGCGAGCCGCACATGAACAAACATATCCTGCGTTACATAAACGGGTTGCGCTTTCAGTAATCTCGGGCTGAGTGGTCAAGAATGCGAGCAGGACCACTCTCGACGAGTGATGACTTCTTCCCGTCCGTGCTGGACGATTGAGTAGATCACGTAGTGCTGCTGGGCTCATTCCTCCGTTAAAAAAAAAGGTCACAAACTCACACATATCACGCACATGTTCACTTGTACTTTCTTTGCCAGGCTAGAACCTCATGCTATTGATGTCAAGAGTTACAGAGAGAAGCGAAGGAAAGGAGAAAGATGCAGGAAGAAGCAATCGGCGTCCGGACCCAGCCAAAGCCAGAAATACGCCTCCCAGCGCAGAGCCGCCCAGATCTAGTCAAATACACCCAAGCCAAATCCAATTACTTGCTCGGATCTCTCTAACTCGGACCGTTCTTTCTTCCAACTTTTCCACCCAATATATGTTCTTTTTTTTTTTCTTCCCGCCGCCATGTCCACCCCTTTGACTTTTAACCAGTGATCTTGTAGATGCTTTCGGCGAGCCTCTTCACGTTACCACTGGTGATACCGGCAACACTAATGCGACCGTCCTTAGTGGCGTAGACGCTGCACTCCTTGGCCAGTCGTTCCATCTGGTCCGGCTTCAATCCCGTGTACGCGAACATGCCAATCTGGCTCGTGATGTGGGACCAGTCGTGCTTGCTGCCGAGAGCCTCGAGGTTTTCCTTGAGCAGTGCGCGCATCTTGATGATGCGGTCGGCCATGCCCTTGACCTCACCGAGCCACTGCTTGTTCAGCTTCTCATCGTTCAGCACGGTGGATGCGATGCGCGCGCCATGAATAGGTGGGTTCGAGTACATGGGCCGCACGAGGATCTTGATTTGTGAGTCGACCCGCTTCTTCTCTTCCGCGGATGCTGTGACGACGGAGAAAGCGCCCACCCGTTCGCCGTACAGGCCCATGTTCTTGGCGAATGACTGGGCCAGCACAGGCATGTGGCCCTCGGCGATGAAGTGTCGGAGGGCAAAGGCGTCGCGATCCGTGTCGCCAGAGGCGAAGCCCTGGTATGCCATGTCGAAGAAAGGGAAGTGACCTCCTTGCTTGACGGCAGCCGAGATGCCCTTCCACTGCTCCTCAGTGGGGTCGACGCCGGTGGGGTTGTGCGCGCAGGCGTGCAGGAGCACAATGCTGCCCTTTGGCATGGCCTTGATGTCTGCAATCATGCCTTCGTAGTCCAGGCCGATGGTGTCCGGGCTGTAGTACCTGTATTTTTCAACCTTCAGGCCCGAGTCCTTGAACACGGCTGCGTGGTTGGCCCATGACGGGGTAGGAATGTATATCGTCTTCGCCCCCGGATAGAAGCGCTCAAGGAAGGCACCACCGATACGGAGGGCACCGGTTCCGGAGATGGACTGCGTGATGGCAATGCGGTCTTCGGCGATGGCGGGAGACGACGCGCCATATGCGAGGATGGCCGCGGCCTTGGTGAACGACGGCACGCCTGTGATGCCAGCGTATTCCTTGTCGAGGTTGGAGTTGACGACCTTGAGCTCGGCCTCCTTGACGGACGGTAGCACGTACGGCTAGAGATGCGGAGACTGCTTAGCACAGAATGCCGACGCATGCTTGCACAACGATGAAGGGTAGCGTGGTGGAGGTGGAGATGGGCAAGGCATCGGACAATGCATTGACTCACCTTGCCTTGGTCATCGCGGTATGCGCCGACGCCGAGATTGATCTTCTGCGGATGACTGTCTGCCTTGTATGCTTCGGTGATACCTGTACGAAGCACGATCAGTATGCTGCTCCTTCTGTACGGCCGGAGGAAGCTTCTTCATGGCCCAAGACGGTGTGTCATACCGAGGATGGCCTGCGGTCGTGCGAAGGACCAGGTCAGCTACGGGATCACATCTTGTGAGTCAGTCGCCAGGACTTGATCTTACATCCTGCGAAGTAGAGTGGTCAGTTGGGCTGGTCGGCTTCAATTGGTTGTCGGCGATCATCTAACGTACTGGAGGACCTTGCGGCACGTTGGCCCAGGTCGAAGCAGACCTCGCGGCGGTGAAGCGCAAGCTCGCCGAACGGGTCGCCCTCAGCGCAAGCTGTCTTGAGATCATCTTTGCGAGAGACGTATATGTATGTGTGCTAGAAGACACCGATGCAAAAACGCAAGGCAGGAATACAATTGGACTAGCAGAAAGGGGCAGATGGGAGAAGGCAACGGAAGAGACAAGGGGAACGTGGGAAGGTGTTTTCGGATTGTGTTTAATAGTGACGTGGTGGTACGATGCTTTTTTTTCTGGGGAGAAAACAACTCGGGCGAGAGCAGCCAACGTCGGTGCTGTCAGAATCCAAGTCCGAGTCACCAACGCCTAACCCAAGTTACCAGCTAGCACTGTCTTGCCATTCTTATTCTTCTGATTCTTCTCATTGGCGTCGCCCCGAAGCTGGACCAGCCCGATCAAGCCCGGCCAGTCTCGCAAGCCGGCCAACCTCTTGACTCCGCAAACCCAGCACAGCTCCATGTGTTCTAGCGCCGGCCTGGCAATCCCACAATTCCCACCCGCCGATCATCGCGCCGTTCAAGCGCTCGTCCATCGGATGGTGCACTGCCCCAGCAACGCTGTCCCATGGGACACTGGACTCTGCGGAATGCTGTCGGGCGGGATCAGCGAACGCCTGGCGATGGAATCCGTCCCACAGCGAAGACGATCTCGCAAGACACGCATCATTGAGCCTCATGACGAAGAGCGTGCTTTGAAGCTTGTTCCATTCGCACGGCTGGCCTGGTCAGCCGACGCCATCCATTCGAGCGTGGGAAACAAACTTACAAAGGGGGAAAAGAAACGCGACTGGCGAGTTGGCGCCGTGCGCCGAAAGCTGGTGCATGTGCGTGCGCTTGTGCATGTGCAGTGCAGATTTGTGCCTTCTCTGCTGTGCGTCTTTTCTGATTTTCATTCCTTTTTTTTTCCTTTATTATTAATTTTTATTTGGCAGATTTTCTTTCCTCCACGAGCCTCTCCGCGTGCCGCTAACACCAGCGAAGTACCCCAGCTTCTCCCCTTCTATTGCTTGTCCCAGTCACATATCCTGTGCGTCGAGAGACACAGTAATGTCTCCGCATGTTACGACACGTCGTGTACGAGCACATAGAAGCTATAGCGCTTCATGTCAGGCTTCCCCTGATTTGTCATGAGAAGGGCCCATCTTCTGCTTGCTAGCATGACCTGCTGAAGATTCCGACTCTTTGCACCACGAATTGGCCTTGATTCTCGCACGATTCTGACTCCCGTGCAAGGATGCTCACTCTTCTGCACAATTCGTAACCTAGGACAGATATATCATACATGCAAGTCACCAACGTTGGCCCGACATCGAAAGCCTAGTTACACTAGGATGTTGACCTGCCCAGTCAAGCTTTAAAGCTACCACTTCCGGGCACTCGTCTGCTTCCACGCAGAAGCCCACCGTTCCGCATCACGACTGACAGCAATCGTACGGGAAAGTGGGTCTGGCGCGCACAAAGAGTGATCATGAACAGAACAAAGGAGATAGAGGCGAAATATCCTGCGGACGCGCCGCATAGGGTCGCGCCGTAAAGGTGCCTGCGACAATATCAAAACATCAGTTTACCTCCTAGCACGTCGGGCCGTCTGCGGTTCGCTAACCGTCTTTGGCCTTACTCGTCCAGCTGCTCTGCAGGTACACTGTTGTCTGCTGCCGCTGCAGCCATGGTTCGGTCACGAAACCAAAGAAACTGTGTGCAGATCGACCATTCCGGTGTGCCTGCACATAGATTTGCAGAAACTGCATTATCTTGCTTTTCTTCGTAGTTGCAATGTTGGCCCTCGCTTCGATGCGGTGCGTTCTGCGTGATCCGGCTTGAGGCGGCGTCGCCACGTGCAGGGGAGTTTGTCGTCGTCCGCGTGTACGGAACTTTTTTTCTTGGTTGAGAGCATCCACCACCGTCAGCACAACCACAGCCACCAGTTCGGAAAAAATGAGTGTCGCTACCAGGGGCGCAATCAGAGCCCTGTATAGAGATTTCTATGACTTGATCCCCCTCTTCTCTTCCTTCTGCGTACGGACGACGACCAGTGCAGTTCCACGATGCCGTCGCGTGAAAGCGTCAAGATGGATCTCGAATACCGTAGCGCGACGTCTGGACATGGAAGCGCATCGACGCGGCAGTATCTACGAGTCACCTTCTGACCTCTCGAATAGCCCGACAGAAGAGGCTGCTTCCAAGCTTGAGTATCAGCGTCAACTGCCACATGCCTGTCCCGGTTGCGGCGCGCTCGCCCAGTATGTACATCCCAAAGAAGCAGGATACTATTCTACGCAAAGAGCTGCGGTGAGGAAATACCTTGGCATGTCCCAAGCACGAGATTCTCGCGGGAAAGGCGAGGAAGACGACGTGGTGCGCAACGCGTTGGCGAATGTGCCGGAGGAATTGAGAGAACAACTCGGCCTAGACGCAACCCTTTTGTCAGGTAAGTTTGACAGTCTCCATGCCCATGCTGCATGCAATGCAAAGGGACGTCCAGACTGACAATATCGACTCAGACAAAGCTCCAGCAGAATGTCCTTCCATCCCCGTCTGCGATCGTTGCCACCACCTCATTCACCATCATGCCGGTGTTCCCATCGCACATCCTTCCCTCGACGCCATTGAAGCCACTATCGCCGAATCACCCTTCAAACACAACCATATTTACCACGTCATCGATGCTGCCGACTTCCCCATGTCTTTTATCCCTGGTCTGCACCGCCGCCTAGACCTCGGGTGGCTAAGGGGCCGCAATCGCAGGTCCAAGACGCAACACTGGTCGGGTGGAAAGTCGGGGCAGATGAGCTTCTTGATCACGCGCGCAGATCTACTGGCACCTAAAAAGGAGCAGGTCGACGGACTACTACCACAGTTGCGGGAGATACTGCGCTCTACCCTTGGCAGGACAGGTGCCAATGTGCGCTTGGGCAACGTGCACCTTGTCAGCGCAAAACGGGGATGGTGGACACGGCAGGTGAAGACGGATATCTGGGAGCGAGGTGGCGGAAATTGGCTTGTGGGGAAGGCCAACGTGGGCAAGAGCAGCATATTCGAGGTGATCTATCCAAAAGGAACGAATGAAGGGATGCCTGATTTTCAGAGTGTGAGGGAGAAAGCAAAGAAAGAAGACGTGCAGGCCGCGCTCTCGGCTGCAGAGAGGGCAAAGGTGCAGCTTATGGATGAGCACGAGCACATCGGAGTCACGAACTTCAAACCTGTGGATATGGAAGTCTCGTTTGCGGACAAGACGGCAACAGCTGTGGACGAGCGAGATCAGGACTTCTACGACACTACTTCTCTCCTCCCGCCGCCTCAACAGCCCGTCAACTATCCCGTCATGCCCATTATATCCGATCTCCCTGGCACCACTGCATCTCCGATTCGTATTCCCTTTGGTGCCGGCAAAGGTGAGCTGATCGATCTCCCCGGCATGGAACGCCTGTCCCTAGAACCTTACGTCAAGCCCGAGTATCATTTGTCCATCGTCATGAAGCGACGCGTGGTTCCCGAGCGAATTGTGCTCAAACCTGGCTCTTCTCTCGTGCTCGGTGGCGGTCTCATTCGCATCACGCCCAAGACGCCGGATCTCGTCTTCATGGCACACGCATTCGTGCCGATGAGCGCACACCTAACTTCAACTGCAAAGGCTGTTGACTTGCAAGAAGGGAGAAGGGAGCTGAATATCCCATCCATCATTCGCGAGGAGCAGCGGGAGAGTGTAAAGACAGCAGGTACATTTCAGCTGAGCAGCAATGTGACAAAGAAGTACGCTGGTCCGTTGACAAGAAAGGGAGACGTTGGATTGCTGGCGTCAAGGCTGCCATTTGTGGTGTGGGCAACGGACATTCTGATTGAGGGAGTGGGGTGGGTTGAGGTTGTGGCGCAGGTTAGAAAGCCGAAAAGAGTCGACGACTTTGAGTCATGGCATGACGATCGAGCGTTTGACAAGAAGGAGAATGAGGGAGAAGATCAGGAACCAAATGCCATGTGGTCACCTATGGATGCGGCACCAACACCTCCATCCACGGAAACGCTTTCAGAATCAAACTCTGTGAAGGATCAAGCCGCCTTATCAAATGCTAGTGCCGGAGCCAAACCCAAGGGCATGAAGAAAGGTAAAGACAAACACCCCCTCGAGTTTTCTCCTGAGGAGCTTGCCAAGACGATGCCTGAGATCGAGGTGTTCAGCCCTGAAGGTAAATTCATCAGTCAACGACCCAGTTTGAGCTGTTGGTTGCTTGGAGGACCCTTGGATAAGAAGAAGGCTGGTAGGCCCAGGAAGAGCATGAGCGGGGCAAAAAAGCGGGCAAAAGCAAAGGATTAAGGCTTTCTCCATGTACAATGACTTCGAATCTACACACAGAATCTACGCTCTTCTCGAGACGACTTTCCCAAGCGTTCATACTTTCCACAAACGTCCATACATGCCCCGTCTTGGTTCTACTCGTCATGATTTCGTTCACGTACTAGACCCACACCGGTTTGGCGAAGTCCGACGGTTTGTCGGGTTACTGTTTCGATGCCGTTCATCTAAGCAACAACCTAAAGTCCGAGACCACACCGTTGGTCAACAATCACTTTAGGCAATAGACTTTTGTGACCGTAGCGCAATCACGAATTCTGTGTACACAAACAGCTTAGACCACTTGTGGCGTTCATCTGTGGGGCTCGACTGCGATCGTTGGTCACGGCACGCCTAAGCATTTCTTACGGAGCGAATGGATCTTGCAAGTCGAAGGCACCGTTATACAGGTCTTGCGACCGGGCCGTGGGCATTTAGATCACAACGAGAGGTCGACGTGAATGCTCAGTATCGTGTGTCCAACTTACGTCGGCGGGCCGTCGATCCTACCCGCTTGCCAAGGGCGCCGCAAGTCTTAGCTACAGTAACGGTCCTGTTGTGGAACATATTGCGACCTCGAAGTCGCGGTACATGCTAACGCCATTGTATATGTCTTAGTGGGTCGATGCGCGGAACGTGGCGATTCCGCACATCGCTGCGCTCACACGTCTCGTCGGCAGTGGACACGGGTTTCATTCTTGCACCCATCAGGACGAGTTATGCGATGGATCAATTTGGACTGGACGCGAGTCCTGAGGAGCAGGAACTGGATATTTAGCCTATCAAGGATGAAAGCTGTACAGAGGTTCTGGGAATGACTGCATAGGTTGGGCTGGAAGACGCAAGTCTTGAGGGCATCTTCCGGCAGACGCAAGAGTAGTCGGTCACTATCATCAACTAGAAGAACTGAGGACTCTTTTCGAGCTTTTTTTCCTCACCCCAGGATTTCTTTACCAGGAAGTCTATATGATCTTCTTTTTCAGAGCGAATGAGAAGTTGACATGGTGCGTACACAATGTATCCCGAGGCTTCAGTCAAATCAAAGCTATGCCCAAATTTCTCTACTTAGTTAGGAATCCTAATGTGCAGCACAAGATTTCAATGTTCTTCCACCGGTGGCAAGGGATAACCTTAAGAAGAAAATCGGCTGGGGTTTTTTTAATCCGGAGCAGGAACATCGATGATGGAGCGCAAGCGCATGGGCGCGCATACAAGATGGAGCAAAGAGTAGCCACTCGTGTCATGTCCATTATGAATTTTAAGAGCGACCGTGTCATGAGCTCGTTCGCGAATGCGCATACGCGAGCCGGGGCTCACGCCAATGACAAGGGCCATTTGCCGCCGAAAGCAGTGGAGGCGTCTCGCTTTTGCAGCGTCTGCTGCATCAAATTTACAGTTGCGTACCCACAGCTTCATCTCCAGGGCCCCGGGGAGCCGCGAAACGATGTCGACGATTCCCAGCGCGAACATGTATGTCTGTGTGTGCGGCACGCGGCCCGAAACGGAAATTCGGAATACCCGTGGGGTCCCTCTTATCGTGCTTCGTTGATCGAGAACAGCACGCATCGAACAGCCAGGCCATAGACTCGTTTAAGGCACAACCTGGCCGCTGTTCGCCCCATCGGGCAGCCAGCGCCGAGAAATTTTCTGCGGGTTTTGGGAAGAGTCGCCAATCGTTCGAACCATCCTTGCCGATCGCTTCTGTCGATATACTACTTAAAGGGGGTTTTGCTGCTGTCGCTTCGACTGCTGCTGCTGCTGCGCTCAAGCGCGTCTGCTCCCCCCCATTGCTTTCGAATTCACCTTCGTCGCCATGGCCGTGTCTCCAGTGCTGGCCGTTGCCGTGCCGTCTTGCCTGCTCGTGGTGTACTGGCTCAGCCAGATCGGCAAGCGGCCTGCAGACTACCCGCCAGGCCCGCCCACCGTGCCAGTGCTTGGGAATATCCATCTGATGCCTGACGTTGACATCCACGGCCAGTTCAGAAAATGGGCCATGAAGTACGGCCCGATCTACTCGTTGATGCTGGGGACGAAGAGCATGATCGTGCTGTCCGGTCCGGAAGCTATCAAGGATCTGCTCGACAAGCGAAGCGCGTACTACTCGTCTCGACCGGAAATGTATCTAGCTCGACTGCTGAGCGGAGATTCGCGAATGGTTTTGATGGTACGGTTTTCTTTTCTTATTTTGACTTTGTTGGATTCGCATACCGTGTGTGATAGATGAGCCAAGGAAGAAATTTTTTTTTTAAAAAAAAATAAAAATAAAAATAAAAATAAAAAAAATAAAAAAGGTGCAGATTTCGACTAAATACCGATCATTTACAGGAGTACGGCGAAATGTGGCGAACGACCAGAAGGATCGTTCACAACAGCCTCAACATCAAGGCCACAAAAACATACATCACGTACCAAGATCTCGAGAACAAGCAACTTCTGATGGACATGCTCGAGCGGCCTGAGATCTTCAAGTCCCACATCAGGAGATACACGTCCTCCCTCGCTACGCAGATCGTGTTCGGTTTCCGGACTCCCAATCACGACGATCCTAAGCTCATCCGCCTCATCGAGGTTTGTGTTTTTTTTTCCTCCGCCTGTATCGCGTGAACAAGCTAGCGGCGTGCTGACCTGTTTGCCAGGGTTTCGAGGAGTTCTGTCGAATCTCGGTTGCACCCATTGCGAATGCCCTGGACTGCTTCCCGTTCATGAGATATCTTCCCGATTTCATGATCCCGATGAAGGGTTACGCGAAAAAGCTTCATCATGAGGAGCTTAAGCTTTACATGGAGCACTACGACAGCACTCGAGAGAAGATCAAGAACGGAACCGCCAAAGTAAGTTCAATCTGATCGCTGAGCGCGGAGATCAAATGCTGACCACTGTGGCATAGCCCTGCTTCACTGTGGATCTGGTTCGAGCTCAGGAGGAAGAGGGTTTCTCGGACGCCATCGCCTGCTATACCAGCGGCACGCTCTTGGAAGCCGGCATGGACACCACGGCTTCGACGCTTACTGGGTTCGTGCGAGCTATGCTGTGTTTCCCCGAGGTCGCCAAGACGGCCCAGGCAGAGCTGGACCGAGTGTGCGGCGACCGTTTGCCAGAATTAGATGACCTTCCTAACCTGCCATATATTCGCGGGTGCATGAAAGAGACCTTGAGAACGATGCCACCGGTGATCCTGGGGATTCCGCACGCAAACATCCGCGACGACGAGTACCTCGGCTACAAGATTCCAAAAGGCACGCAAATCTTGTGCAACGTCTGGTAAGTCCCAGCACGAGGACGGCCGTCTGTTTATCCGATTTGGCTGACTGCGAGCGTATGTAGGACTTTGAACAACGATCCAGAACGGTACCCTAATCCAGAGATATTCGATCCGACCCGGTGGGCGTCGGACGAACAGACGTCGGCCGAAGCGGTCAACAACCCGGACGTGTCCAAACGCGATCACTTCTCCTTCGGAGCGGGACGCCGCGTCTGCCCGGGAATGCACATTGCAGACCGGTCCATCTTCTTCGCAATCTCGCGCTTGCTGTGGGCTTTCGATTTCCACAGGCCTATCGACAAGGCCACGGGCAAGGAGATCGTGCCAGGTTTCAACGACAACACGGACGGCCTGGCGTCCTTCCCGAAGCCGTTCGAGGCGGACATCCGTCCAAGAGACGAGTTCAAGAGCGAAAAGATCAGGGAGGAATGGGCCAAGATGAGAGAATTGCTAGACGACGACCTGCAGTGGAACAAGCTTCCCGAGGGCTTGGTTTGGAAAGACTATATGAACTAATTTGCCGCGCGGGTGCGCAACCCTTTGCGGGCATCAATTTGGAGACTGTACACGTGATTCTTAGGTTACCTTCCTTTCACAGGAATAGCTATGGAAAGAGTGTATGCTCAACCACTCAATATGAAGGCCCATGTTTCGTGTTTTAGATTTTGTTAAGTCCACACATGCTTTGATACATACGTGTCACGCCCAGCACTGTGGGAGCTCGACCGCGTTTCTAAAACGAAAGGATGCAACGCCAAGGACGTGGTAAACATGCGAACTTCCGCATCAAATTTGGTAACCGTCCTCCTGCTAGGAAAACCTGTCGCATTGGCCGCACTAAGGTCCCATTTTAGCATGTCATAAGATCATGGGTCGTGAAGTAAGCATGGATTTTTCGTCTTGACGTTGGGTCTGGGTTTCTCGGTTCTTCACAGCCCTCAGCGTCTCCACTTCCAAGGAAGCGAGAACAAATGAAGCGGAACCGAGCGGACTGTTGTAGAGCAACGGTTGGTGTATGTAGTACTGCAGCCAGTCAGCGAGCAACGATGCGGCGGTGAAAACCCCGCTTATCGCTTACCTCATACGATGCTGTCGAGTTGAGACTGCAGACCGAGACCGTCCCATTGTAACCCAGCGTGCCACCGGTTTCGCTGACCACGAACGTGTCCACGATGTAGTCGTACGCTCGAAGTGCAACTTTGGATGCCATATCCGACAAGCCCGGGTCGGCGACGCAAAGCGAAGAATTCAGATAGCCAAGGCGTCGAGCGCGGAGCAGCGCGTAGACAAACATGGCGCTGCCGCTCGACTCGATGTAGTTCCCAGGCGCGCCGGGCATGTCGAGAATCTGCCACCACGCCCCAGACGCAGGGTCCGCCGCGTCCGCGATGGATGCGAGCAGCGAGACAGTCTTGCACTGCAAGTTCGCCCACTCTTTGCTGCCCTTCGCGACGGGCAGCAGCTCCAGCGTGTCGACGAGCGCCATTGCGTACCAGCCCAGGCTCCGACCCCAGACGTGCGGGCTGCTGCCCGTGGCCGGGTCTGCCCACACAGCCGTCCTTGAGTAGTCATATCCATGGACCAAAAGGCCGCTCGACGCGTTGCGACAGTGATCCCAGAGCACCTGCAGCTGATAGAGGATTTCCTCGGCGGCGGCTGGCCCCGTCGCTGGATCAAACGTGGTCGTGTAGAGGGAGTAGAAAGGCGCGTAGGAGTACATGCCGTCGAGGTATGACCAGTTGGGATACGTGTAATACCACAGGCCACCCGCGGGATTGCGTTTCTGCAAGTCGAGCGATGCCCGCAACGCGTTCAGAGCGGTCGTGGCCGCAACGTTCTGAGCGGCCTTGGTCACTTGGATCAAGCCGTTCCCGTCAGAGAAACGATCGAGCGGGTAGCTGGCATCCGCGGTTGCGTTGCTCAGCATGCCCGATGTCGATTCCACGCTTCTGACAACGTAGTCGCCAAAGGAGCCGGACAACGGGTCGTCAGGGACTTCGAGCACAAGTCGCGTGAGAGCTTTCTGAACGATTCCTGCCTGCAGAAGTTCGGAAGAGCCTCCGCTGCCGGTCACGATCCCCTGCTGACGCGAGACGATGCTCGACGCCATCCATTGCGAGTATCTGGTGACAGAAGCGCAAGTCGCGAGCGCCGGTACGCAGAGTGAAATGGCAACCATGGATCTCATGGCCTTGAATAGGTTCCCGCTGCATTCCAGGCCTTCAATGCAAAATGCGGCTTTTTCACGGCGCATCTGGGGTTTCTTTGTGCAACAGGGTGGTCGGCGATCGGCTTGCCCCAATGGAGCACGCCAGCAACGGGCATGGCTCCTGGACGCTGGAAAGCATAGTCTATGCTGACATTTTGTCTCCACAAAAATGAACAGCGACAAGTAGCACCGAGTAGAGAAATAGTGCGGAGCGGAGGCTGACCATAAGTAACCCCGTCAATTCTGACTTGTCAAGGCTCGAGTAGCAATACTCGTTTCGGTTTAGCTCCGCCCGCCCTTTGGCATTCGGTATCCACTTAAACCCCATTGCCGATGGTAACCGTATTAGCAACCATATAATCGACCATTCGTCTGATCCTCAACTTGGAACACAACATCGATAGACCTTTCCTCATCATGGCGCAAACGATCAAGCTAGCTGACTACCTGTTTACCCGTCTGCGCCAGTTGGGCGTGGAATCTATCTTCGGCGTGCCGGGAGACTACAATCTTCAACTGCTCGACTTTGTCGAGCCGGCGGGACTACACTGGGTTGGCACGTGCAATGAGCTCAACGGCGGATACGCGGCGGACGCCTACTCCAGGATCAAGGGTATCGCAGCGATGATCACCACGTTTGGTGTAGGCGAGTTGTCAGCGATCAACGCCATCGCAGGTGCAAACGCCGAGCTGGCGCCCATCGTGCACATAGTCGGCACGCCTAGTCGACAGCTACAAGAGTCGCGCGCGCTGGTGCACCATACGTTCAACGATGGAAACTACAGGCGCTTCGCCCAGATGCACGCCCTCGTCACCGTGGCTCAGGCCAACATTTCGGATCCCAGGTCCGCCCCGGCGCAGATTGATAACGTGCTGGAGCAGTGCTTGATACACCACCGACCGGTGTACATCGAAGTGCCCATAGACATGGTCGGACTTGAGGTCGATGCCTCGCGTCTTCAGACGAAGATTGCGATTCCAACGTCCGTAGATCAGCCGACCAAGGAGAAGGCCTTGTCTGCCGTGCTAGAAAAAATCAAGGCCAGCAAAAAGCCCATGATCTTGGTTGACGGTGAGATCAGAGCGCACGGCAACGTTGATGAGGTGCATGAATTCATAAAGGCGACCAACTGGCCAACCTTTGTGGCAAGCTTTGCAAAAGGTCTGATCGACGAAACGCTTCCGAACGTGCATGGCGTGTATCAAGGCCTGGTGAAGCCGGAGCAGATGGAGTTTGTCAACTCGTGCGATCTGGTGATGTGCTTTGGGGAGCATTTCAGCACCACGAACAGCTTTGGGCGATCGGCCGTTCCAAAGCCCGACGTTGCCGTCTCGCTCAGGGCGACGAGCGTGCAGGTGGGCAGCGCATTGTTCAGGGATCTGCCCGCCAAAGCATTCCTTCGAAGCGTGCTGGATCAGCTGAAGGGCCAAGCCGTGCCGTCGACCACCTCGTACCAGAAAGCACAGACGAACGGGGCCAGGTCCGTTGCGGAACTGCCAAAAGACGAACAGATCAAGCAGGACAACATGCACCACGTCATATCGAGCTTCCTCCGCCCGGGAGACACTGTGTTGGCCGAGACGGGTACGGCGGGCTATGTGGCGCGCGACTTCACGCTTCCGCAGAACACGAGCTACTTCGCCCACACGACGTGGCTGTCCATCGGTTACATGCTGCCAGCAGCGCTGGGGGCGGCCGTGGCTCGACGGGAGCTGCTGCGCAAAGCAGGCTCGGATCCGGACAGCGGCAGGACGATCCTGCTGATCGGCGACGGATCGCTCCAGATGACGGTGCAAGAGATCTCGACGATGATCCGCGAGAAGCTGAACGTCATCATCCTGGTGGTCAACAACAAGGGCTACCTGATTGAGAGGTGCATTCACGGCTGGAAGCAGGCTTACAACGACATCGCCAATTGGCGGTATCTGGAGGCGCCCAAGTTCTTCGGCGCAGAGGAGGGCGATTACGCTACGTGGCAGGTGAAGACCAATGGCGAGCTAGCTGCGGCTCTGGAGAATCCCAAGATGAAGGACGGGAGGGGCTTGCGGATGGCAGAGTTGATTTTCGACCCTGACGACGCCCCGGATGGGCTGTGGCGAATGCTGGAGGTGTACGTTGGCAAACCGCGAGCGGAGATCATGAAGGGACCTTGAATCCGTGCAAGATCCTCCGTCCGTCGCACCCGTGCTTATGTGTAGATCTCCGTAGAATAAGCGATGACGGTGCCGAGCTGGTTAGATTCGGCTCGGCCCCAGGTAGAGCCCCGAGGGCAAGGGCGAATAATGTTAAGCTCAGCGTTCTACTGTAGGCAGTACAAACGCGCCAAAACAGACAGCAGCATAAGTGGCCTCAAGGCTAGTCAAAGACGACAACAGCGACAGGTGAGAACGCGCCTCAGGTTCGTGGTTCATGCTGGAGCATGGGCTCGCCTATGTTATGCGGCTGGCATCTGTAGTCCCCCGATCCTTGAGCGGTAGAGAGGCCAGGAAGGGCGTTGCACGAAGATGACCTTTCGGGCGCTGCTGAAAACGCGTCGCGTGCTCGACCGACCAAGGAACGATCCCCATCTGCACGCGCCGAGGTGAGAGCGTCGAACAGAAAAACCACAAGGCAGCACTTCGCACCGGTCTTTCTCGTTACGTGCGTAGACGAAGGGCAAGAGGAAGGCAAATGCGGGAAGAAAAGGCAGGCAGCGATGCACATAGCAAAAACGTGCGTAGCGCCGAACTCGACGCGGGCAAGCTTTGTCGCTGCGTCTCGGGTGGGCGTGTCAGCCCAGCACAGTCTGTGACGGCGAAAGCATCAAGTGACGGCGCGGCTTTTCACGGTTTCGTGCCAGGAGATGCCCTCGTGTCACGCTCTGCAGTCAAGCTGCCGTGACCAGACGACGGAACAGCGGTCTGTTGTACTGGGAAGGGGGGAGAAAAGGGGTTGGTTGGCACAATCCGCGCACGCACACGCACACGCACACGCTGCCTGTCATCATAGAAATGGCTCGGTCGAGGTGCGTGTGCAAGCATTCTTGCCCACGGGAGCCCGCACAATGGAGAAAAGATGCACAAAAGGCGGGAAAGATGACGGAAGCTGCGCCAGCTGACCGTCACCACAGCGAAGACTGGGCGGCAGATGGGCTGTGTGTGTGAAGGCCAAGGACAGGCTCTGAGGTGAAATGTCTTCACGCTACGTCAGTCGTTCGGCAAGGCTGCAGTGCCCGCGGGCTAGAGCAACAAAATACACCGGAAGAAACAACGAAAGCAGTCACAGAGATTCGTCTGGCAGGTCTGCTCGGCGACCGTGGCGGTGTTGGATTGAGTTGTCTATCGGCGCAGGCTATCCAGCGACTGCCGTGGGAGCAGAGCGTGAAAGCCTAGTACTTCGCTCAAGGCAGACCAAGCGGTGGCACACAGGGTGGCAAGGGTACTGCGACGAGACAGAGTTCATGGCGGAGTGGAAACGAATGAGGGCTCTTTTATGTATATAGATATATATATATGTAGACTATATATATATATATATCATATGTATAAACATGTGTGCGTCTGTCTTTGACTCTCGGTGAGAGTGTGCGAGTGAGCGTGCGCTCTGATGGGCCAGACATCAGCCCACTGGCTTCAGCACAAACAACGCGATCTGACCGCGGCCGCAAGCAGCAGCAAAACGTATAAAAGCGCGCAACGGCGAGCCTGTCGCGGTCTTGGGAACGAGGCTGTGTACAGTCTTGGACGAGCAAAAATCAAGGTCAGCCCAAGCACGGCACAGGGTGTGCAGGGCAGCGCCGGCTGGGAACCAACAGAGGCGAGCGAGCGCCATGCACTTCCGCTCGAACGGAGATGCTGGGCGGGTCGGCCAAGGTGCCGAGAGCAGGACGGAAGGAGAGGGGGGCCGACTGGGAACGGAGAGGGAGGAAAGAGCGATGGACGGGAGGGGGCCGACGGTGTCTTGGAGGTCTTGGGCAAAATTAGGACGACGTGACGAGAACGGGGTCTGAGGACCAGCGCGGCAAGAGCCAACCGCACGCGGTTTCCGGCGTGGGTGCACTCTGTTCGCTCGATCGGCCCTTCTTGGTTTAGGCGCCAAGAGTCTTGGTACTCTTGGCATCACGCTTGTCAGCCAATTGCAGTGCCAAACATCGGGCATGGTTGCGACCGGTAGCCAGCCGCCTGGCCAGCGTGCACTCCCAGCTTGTTCCGGATCCCGATTGGCTCTCTGCTCGGAGCTGCTTGCTTCGGCAAGTCCAGCACCGACGGCGGGTGGGGGTGTGCGTGCTGCGCCCGCGCCAGTAGGGCGGCGGTTAACGCGAGCACAATCAGATACACACATGTCTTGGCACGTCCTGCCAAGAGCTTCGTGCAATGAATCTTGCGTAAGAAGACGAGTTTTGGCGAGAGCGTGGTCGTCGGGGCCCTTCGAGGGGCGAAGGACCAGCCCGGCTGTGATTTCCTGGGTACGACTTTTACTTGAAATCGGCTGCCTCGCCCAGATTTCCCGCCATGAGATTCCTCCTTCCGCTCGACTTGGCCCTTCACTGCTCAACCATCCAACCCACCTTTGCTTCCCGTCAGCACTGTGGTCCATCTCGCGCCGTCTCGCAGTTCTCTTCCGTCTTTCTTCCCCCTCTGTGAGCGGGAACAGCCAACCGCGCTGAGCTCTCAAAGCTCGCTCTGCACCATGTCAACTGCAGACACAACCGCCGCTGCCGCTGGCGCTGCTGCCGCCGCCGCCGCTGCCGCTCCGCAAGGCTCTCCGTCGCAGTCCAACGCGACTGCGCAGCCTCTGGGCGGCGTCAACAACAACAACAACGTTGCCGGCGATTCGCTTATCTGCCAGTGGACCAACTGCGGGGAGCGATTGCCCAGCCCAGAACAGCTTTATGTAAGTTTGTGGTTGTGTTCGTGGTTGTTCCTCGCATCGCGCTGTGGTTTTTTCTTTCACTGGCACGTTCGCGAGGCTGCCAAGCGACGACTTGGCAGCCTGCTCTGAGCGCTTTGCGTCCACACAAAGGCCTCAAGCTATGCTTGATGTCCTCGACATTCTCTCAAACCCACCACGCCCCTGTGTTGCTTCGATTTTTCTTCTCTTTTCTCGTTTCGGCGCCTCTGGCGCTGGGGTCGCGCCTTCGTCGGTGGCGGTTCTGGTGACGCACAAATTTTTCATCCCACCCAAGTCTACCTTAACCTTATTCCGACGAAATAGGCAGCCAAAAAAAACCCAAAAAGAGCTTAGGCTTTCCCCGTCTGCTTGCACATACTCACACGCATGGCGCACACACACCCGCTTGCACAACCTCTCGTTCACACGTACTTCATCCCAACATTTGCTAACCAGATTCGAAATTTTAGGATCATGTTTGCGAGCGACATGTTGGCCGCAAGAGCACCAACAATCTGAACCTCACATGCCAGTGGGGCAGTTGCCGCACCACAACGGTCAAGAGGGACCACATCACCTCACACATTCGTGTGCACGTGCCGCTGAAGCCGCATAAGTGTGACTTCTGCGGCAAGGCGTTCAAGCGACCCCAGGATCTCAAGAAGCACGTCAAGACCCATGCTGACGACTCTGTGCTCCTCCGTTCGCCTGATCCCAACCGCGGCGGACAGGCCGGCTACGGCGGTGGCAACAAGCGTATGTGACTCGAATCTCTCTCTACCTTTTGCGCCTTGCCTCGCTCTCATCACAAAACTGCCTGGCCTTGTCCTGTCCTGCCTGCCTTCCTACCTGCCACCCTCTTCCTCGTCGCCCATGTCCTGACGTTGCAACAGTTGTCGCTGACTTGCAGTCGCTGGCCGCTACAGCAAGCGGATATTATCCTGATCAGCATCATATAGCTGGTCAGCCTGTGTACTATCAGAGTGCCTCTGCCAACCCGAGCGCGTATCACGGTCCAGGTGCTCCGCAACAGAGCTCCGCCTATGGCCCAGTCTACTACGCTGTGAGCCAGCCCCAAAATCTGAATGCCGAGTATGAAATGCGGAAAAAAGCCGCCTTTGACGCGCTCAACGAGTTCTTCGGCGATGCCAAGGAGCGCCGCATTGACCCGACGACGTATTACGACGTAGGCCACCGATTGATGGCCCTGCAAACCATTCCAGCGCCCGTCCTCGCTGGCTACACCAGCGACGCGTACGGTGGCGCTTCAATCGCCACGGGACCGCAGCTCCTGCAGCCACAGTACTCGCTTCCGCTACCGAATCTACGGACCAAAAGCGACCTCTTGAGCATCGATCAGTTCCTCGACCAGCTCCAGCAGACGGTGTACGAGAACTCAAATCAGGCCGCCGCCGCGGGCGTCGCTGTGCCCGGCGCCCACGCTGTCCACACGGGCCTCAACTTCCGGACAAGCAACTCACCTCCAACCATGCCCGCTGGACAGGGTCAGCTTTCGTCGCACGCAGCAGGCATTCCAACCACCACCGGCGCAACCGACACCCCAGCGCTGACCCCAGCCTCAAGTGTGCTCTCGTACACCTCAGGTCACTCGCCGAGCTCTGTCAACTCCACACACAATATCTCGCCTAGCCAGCGGCCCTCAGCAGGTCCAATGTATCCCACCCTTCCAGGTGTGAACGCTATGGCCGAGGGCGCCTCCGGTCTTGGATCTTCGTTTGACGCCGACTTGCGGCGCCGCTACTCTGGAGGTCAACTGCAAAAGGGTGCACCCTCGGCCGGGGACGTCATGGAGACCGAAGACACGCCCGTGCAGTCGCCACGGTCCGGCAGAGATAGCCCCATGCCAAAGATCGACAAGCTGGGCGTTTCGTCACCGTCGATGCGTAACTCCAACCTCGATCCTGCACTGCGGTCTCCTGGCGCATTTTCGGAGGGGTCTGCCAGTGATTATGCGGACAAGGTCCAGGAGGCATGGATAGAGAACGTGCGCACAATCGAGATGCTGAGAAACTTTGTCAAGGAGAAGCTGGAGCGTGGCGACTACGTCCGAGACGACGAGGACGATCAAGAGGTGCCTAAAACGAAGACGGAAGAGGACGAGGCTGCAAGCTTGTATCCTGTGCTACGGGAGGTGACGGGCCATTGAGCTTTACGAAACGTGTATGTGAGCATGGATGGAGGCTTTTATTTGTGACGTGTGTGCATTTGCGATCGAAAACGCTTTTTTCTCATATGGTAAATCCGGGTTATACCTTGCCTAGGAATGAAGGCTCAGCGCATTGGAATTTTTTTTTTAAACCACGCCTATCTGAAATAAGGAATTTTCTTGTCAGCTATCCGATGGGCACTGACGAGGAACGTCAAACCCCTCCCGCCGGTGTTTTTTTTTTTTCTCCTTGTGCGGGTATATTTTGGGGCTCCTTTTCGTCCTAGACGTTTGTTATTGAAAGTATGACGCTGGAATGTGTAGTCATGTTCAGGCCAAGCACGTGTGGCTTATGAGCTCTGGAAGGGCGGTCTAATAGCCTTGTAGGGTAAGATCAGACGACAGTCCCTAATCTGCAGTCAGCCAAAGGGTATGTGTGAAGCGACTATTGCTCTCCAGACGTGCATGACCGTAGATACTTAGTTCCAAGTTGCACAGCAAGGATCTTCTGGCTTTTCGTCTTTTGCCCTGGCACAGTCTCTTTGCCATCCCTCTCCTCTGCTATGGTTTCCTCTCACCAGGCTGTGAACAAAACAGGGCAAAACGTCTCCAGGATCGAACCTGCAGCACAGCCGACATTCCCCCCCGTTTCCGACATGTCACAAACAAAAAATGAAATTACTGGGGGTCACCTTTCCTAAGAGGGGAAGGGGCACGGACCGGCTGGAGCTGGGACAACTCGACTCTGAAAGAGCGGTTGGGTAAGCGGAAAGAGGACATTTATTTAAGATCAAAAATCAAGAGAAACAAAGTAGCGCGATAGAAAAACGTTGTCGGCAAAGTTCCTTGCTCGTTGCCAAAACCTGCGGCCCTTGCGGGGACATTTGCCCAGGCATCATTCACGGTGTGATGGAGAGGGGCGGTCGGATCGAGGCTTGTCACCGTAGGGGTCCACGCAAGGGTTTCTTGTCTACTTGTAGCCTTACAAACGCACCCTGCGACACTTTGGCCCGTACCGATTTGCGTTAGCGCACCCGGGTGCCTGGGATGATGGGGACCCTCTTTTTGGTTTCCGCCGCCTTTTTCTCGAAGAGCGCAGGGCTGAATTGGGCATGTCTCCCGCAGACGCGGCGAGGATTCGTCTCTGTCGCTTCTTTGCTAGCGGGTGGGACGAGGGGAGAGTTGTCGAGCGAAGTACGAAGAAAGAAAGGAAGAGGAAGAGGAAGAAAGAAAGGGACAAGCAGGCTGAGAAAGCAAACTGGGAAATTTGGGGTGGTGGAAGGAAGCCCTAGCGCGTCTACGCGGGATGTGCGGCGGGTACTGCTGTGGCGCAGCGGTGGGCCACTTTTTGGCCATGCGGCTGCTTGTTTGCCTTGCAGCGAGAACCTGAACCTGCAGTTTTACACGGCCACGTGAAACGCCCACGCGGGGTCCAGCCAAACGTCGCAGAATTCGATCGAGGAAAGAAGAGCCTGGCTGCACAACACAGCTCCCCCCTTGTTGCGCCTGCCTGGCGAGCGCACGAGAAAAAAAAAGAAGAAGAAGAAGAAGAAGAGCGACGGACTGCGCCTCGATTTTCTTGGTGCGGCCCTGCGCTCGCCCCGTGCGAAGCGTGGGAGGCGGAGCGCACAATGACGCGAAACGACTAAGAGAGAAAGAGAGAGAGAGAGAGAGAGAGAGAGAGAGAAAGACGGAAGGAGTGAGGGAGGAAGAGAGAGAGAGACACTATGCGGTCACATCTTCTTGCGATTCACCATCCTCGTCTCTCTCCCTTCTCTTTCTATCTCATCCACATACACACATACACACATTCGCACGCCGTTGGCAATGCTCAACAGCTCGTTCTACGTAGTAGAACTAGCAAGCCCGGCCGGTTCCCTCCCCATCGCGTCCGGACGCTGTTCACGCCTCGCACGCGGGACACGGCACGCCTCCCAAAGCGTCACGGCCGGCCGCTAACGAAATGGTGTCTCCGGCCAAAAGCGGAACGCGGAGGAGTTTGCATTTCGTGCTGGGCCTTTTGGCGCGGGCGCGCACGCTCGAGCGGGTAAGGGACACACACGTAGACGCACACGTAAACCGACACGACGTAGGGCTTACGCTCGTTTCATATGCGTGCGGTGCTGGCGTTCAAGCCGAAGGAAGGGTGAGAAACCGCTGATCGCGTACGCGCAAATGCCTTTGGACACCTGGGCTGGTTCTGGCTTGGTGGTTTGGCAGTAGATGCGTCATTACCAGCGGTGCCTGCTCCGTCTCCCTACGTCCCGCGGTGGCAGCGATGTCTAACCGTGGCTCAACCCCAGTTTGCCGCGCGCCTCTTTTTTTTTATTTTTTTTATTTTCTCTAAGACTCCCGGCGTGGCATGGATTCTTGGGCCATTTTTCCTACCCCCGATGCATTTTTTTGCTCTTGGATTAAAAACCCTCCTGCTCTACGCCTTGTTGGTTGCATGCCGCCGCCTTCGTAGAGGCGCTTAGCTTGCTGGGCAAATTGGGGCAAACACACAGGAGCCAGCTGTGCGGAGGTGATGACACACGTGTCGACCGCGCATGCGATGCCCCCCCAACCCCCTGCCTGACCGCCAGCAGCAAGCGCTGCATCTTGCTCAAGTCTCGTCCAGCATCGCCAGCGCTCATGAAACGCACGTCCGATCTAGTGCTGCCAAGGCCTCCCTTTTCAAATCTTCTTCTTTTTTTCCCCCCCTCTTTTCGCCCTCTGCTCGTGCATGCCGGGTTCGTTCTGCCTCGCCCTGTCTGCGCTTTACTTTTTGTCGCGCGGGGCGGGCACGCACAAAAGAAGCCGTTTGGAGGGGGGAATGGGCAGAGTGGTGGTGGTGGTTGTGGTGATAGTGGCAAGGATATGAGAGCGAGAAGGAGGATCGAGCGCGGTGCAGGCACGCGCACATGTCAGGCGCCTCAAACGGGCACCGATCGTCGCCCGTCGTGACCACGTCCCCTGCAACAGAAAAAGAAAAAAAAAAAAGAAAACGAAGAGCCGCAAGAGCGAAATTGACAGAGTCAGGAAAGGCGGGAATCACTCCTGGAAGGGGGGAAGCCCTTCAATAGGCTCTGTCGGAACGTGCCAGGACGGACCTGCGCGCTGCTCCCGGTCCTTCTCTGCCCTGCCTAGGCCGCGGCCTCTGCTGCCCGTACGGACGACACAGACGCACATTGTTTGTCTGTCTGTCCCTTTTCCGGAGGCGTCTCACACGCACAAATGGCGCATGGGGAGAAGGCGAACGGCGGCGTCGAAGAATGGGTCGTCCGGATCACGGTCAGGGCGATGCAATGCGCGGTATCTTTTTCTTTCTTTTTTTTTTTTGGTTGTGTTTTGCTGGTAGAGCGCAGTGGTGCAGAGCAGAACAGCGCAGAGCAGAGTAGGGCTAAGCGAGCGCAAAAACAAAGAAACGCAACAACGCAACCCGTCCGTCATTCACGCAGGCCTTGGATGGTCTGCTCTTCTTCGTTTTCGTCGTCGTCGTCGTCGTCCTCCTCCTCCTCCTCCTCTTCTTCTTCTCCTTCTTTCTTCTCCGTTCCGCTCATTCAAACCCATCCAAATTCTCTTTTCTTCCGTTTTCTTCTTTTTGGATTGCGCGCGCAGGGCCGAGCAAGCCACCCGCCCGGCTGGCTGCTTCCCTGCTTTCCCTTTTCCATCCTGTGGCGCAGACGACACGGCTCAACGAGAGGCAGGTCGGATTGGCTGGAGGGGGGGGGGGGGGGGGGGGGGGGGGGGGGGGGAGAGGAGAGAAAGGGAAGGAAAGAAAAGTTGACCTTTTGACGCGAAGTCTGGGAAGCGGTGCGGTGGCGGCAGGAAGAGGAGGAGGAATATTGGTTTTGCTGTAACCTCCCCCAGCACTCCGCAGGCAGTCCTGATGACAGTCGGAGAAAGGTAAAGGATTGGTTTGACTTTCGGTTGCCACCCTTCCCCCGCCCCAGGGGCGTCACGGTCTGGAGGCGAAGTTATTAGGAGATGGCAAAGTCTATCCAGGCTCACTCCGACCCGTGTCCTTCTCTGTGTCTCTCTGTCTCTCTCTACTGTGGGCACACGTAGGTAATTTCGTGGTCGCGCTCATCGTCGTTGCGAGTGTCTTCAAGATTCAACAGACGAGGCGTGTATAAGGACCCACTGGGCGTGTGAGACGTTTCTACGATCGCCGTCTTTCTGGGGTCCCAGAGGCAGGAAGCCCAATTCTCTTTGGGACGCTCATCTCTTTACCACGATTACTCTTTCCTGCTCTGCGAGCCTTGGTGAGGAGACAAAGAAAGGATCGTGGATTTTTTTTTGTAACGGGGAATGGTGCAGACCCGTCCCAAGCTCGTTTCACGGCGCTCAGTTGGGCGTAGGCGGCAGATGCCCTTCAGCCTGACCCGCAGATGGTGGCTGCTGGGGCTAACCGGGGGCAGGCTTTTTTGGCTGATGCGGTTTGGCGCCAAAGGTGCTGTCTCAAAACGAAAAAGGGCGGTGGCAAAGCGAAACGGGTCGAATACTGTCGCGCAGGCATCGTTCGTCGCCGTCGTAGTGGCAGCAGGAGCAGTGGTGCTGCAGGCGGCTGGGACCAAGCGTCTGGCAGACTCGCCAGAGCGGTGCGGCTCTTGAGAAGCGAGAAGGGCCACGAGACATGCAGAGCAAGCGAGAGGCACGGCCTGGTGCTGCTCTGCGTTGGGAAGGTGAGAGCGCGAGGCGGCAAGAACGGTGCAATTCTCGCACAGCGACGGCGTACGGCTGAATCGGCGCAGGCTGACGGACGGGAAGGGGAGACGTGAAGAAGAACTGGACGAACAAAGAGCCAATTTCGCAACGGTGGCAGCAGCAGCATCAGACAGCTGTCACGGCCAGGCCAGATATCGACGCAGCGGGCTGCTCGGTGCGCGGCGATTCAATCCTGCTTCATTACCGCCGCATTCTTCTTCTTCTTCTTTTTCTTCTCCCTCGTCCTCCGTGTTTTATTTTCGTTCTTCGCTTTCCACCTTCCTCGAGTGTGTCGACCACGCCCTCCATCCGTCCGTCCATCATCGTCATCCGTCGCGGGCTGGCAAACGAGGACGCCCGCAAGCATGACGGGCAGCGCCATGATTGGCCAGCGCCGTTGCGACAGGAATCGGACCCCCGAAACGTCCAGACGGGCTCATTGGACAGACGGGCCAGGCCCCACGCGCGCCATGGCTCCCTTGGCTCCCATCAGAGCGTCTGCGGACTCATCTGAGCAGACGTGTGCTCGAGAAAGACGGCGGAGACCACGCGCACAGGGAGAGACAGAGGGGGGGAGGCGGCGACAAAAGAGGGAGAGAGAGAGGCAGCGAGAAGCGCGGGAGGGAGCGAGGGAGACGGGAAAGCGAGAGAAAGAGAAAGCGTGCGTGCGCGCATTGTATGTGCACGTATCGTACGTGTGTGTAGGAGGGTGTACGTGCGTGTGTGCGCGAGTGTGCGTCCGTGTGTCTGCTAATGTGCTCGCAAAGCTACTCCCTCCTGTCTGTTCTTTCGTAGTGTACAGCTGTGGACGAGCTAGGCACTCTCGGTACGAGGTCGAGTGATTGTGTGCGTGTGTGTGTGTGCACTCGATTCCTCCCCGTCCAAGTCTTTCGCGCTCAGTTGGAGGAGCAAGCTCGGGCGAGAGAGCGAGGCGCGCGTGACGCCGGCGCCTCGTTTCTTTTTCTCCTTCTCTTCATTCCGGCTGTTTTTTTTTGGCGTCCACGTTGCTAGATGTCTCGCTCGCGGCGCCCGTCGCCGCGCTGTCTGCGATGAGGAGGATGAAGCGATGATGGCGACGATGGTGGTGGTGACGAGGACGGAGCCAGGCTGCGCTGAGGTTCCGCAGCTGGCCTAGGTCGTGTTAGCCCAGCGCAGGCGCCCGGCCGCTAAGAGGCGGCAGCTGCAAGCAAGCAACAAACGCTGGCACCGCACCCGCGGCCGCGGCGGGCCCTGGGCCTGTCATCGACCTCTCGCCCGCTGCTCGTCCTTGACCCAAGCTCCAGCCCCCGTCGCCCTCTCAGCGTCCACCGTCACACACACGCACCCACACACCCTCACTCGCGCTCCCTCCCCCCCCCCCGGTTGGCCGCTTTGGGCCCTCTGCTCGTGAGCCCGCTCGCCCTCCCTCAGCCGCCCGCGACCCCTCGAAACCTCCCGATCCCTCAACCCTTAACCGTCGTCGCCATCTGTCTCATCCTCCAAGGCGCTCTTGTCGCTTTCTCCGTTCTTCTCAGTCCCTCCCTTCCTCCCTCTCCTCTCTTCTCCCGCGCTTGTCGTCCCCGCCCGGCCGACGAAGCGAGCGCCGCCAGCGTCGGAACCGTCCTCTTTCGCCCTGTCTGCTGGCACCACAACTCGCGCCTGGTCGCCTCATTTTTCCCGCTCGTCCCCAGCGACAAAAAATCTACACCAACGACTCCGCCCACCTTCGCCCGAGAGAACGGTCAAACGTCAGTCTTCCTCTCGCGTGCGTCTGCCTGCTTGCCTTCGCCACGCTGCTCCCATCTTTCCCATCGCAGACGGGCCCTCTCTCGCGCCCTCCTTTTCACTCCCTCTCCGTGCTCGACCAGCTGTCCTCGCCGCGTTTCCAACTTCGACGACCCGTTTTGCTCACTCTGCACGAGCGCGGCGACGCTCTGGGCGCTTCACGCAACTAGATTTAATCATTTCCCCCCCTCTTTACTCGGGGTTCCTCGCAACGCATCACGAGGGCTTTCGCATTCACCAACGGGAGCGGTGAAAGGAAAAGAGAGAAGAGACAACCTTGTGGGACCTCGCCCTTGCCAGCTCACGTCCGTCTGACTCTTCCCTCGCCCTCGACCGTCTCGACGAAGGCATAGTAGATTTCCTTTCTTCTACTTCTTTCTTTCTTTCTCGCTGCCCTCCGTTTTACCTCACTCTGTCGTCGCCCGTGTGACCTGCATTTCTTCGCTGCGCACGCTGGCTGGTTTTTTACTTTCGTGATACGATCCAGGGTGGAGACCACGCCATTTACTTTGCCTACCACCCTTGCCTTGGGTGATGCGCGACTAGGCGCTCTGCTCGCCGCCCGCCCGCCTGCACTCCAGCGAACGAAACGACCACACCAACACCAACACCTTCACCTGCACCCACAACGAGAACGACGCTGCAATCTCGGCCGCTCTTCTGCCTTGGAACCAAAGCCTGTCCGCTGCTTTTCAGCAAGCTGCGTTTCAGCCCCATTGGCCCCGACAATAGCTCTCCCTCCCCCCGTCTTCTCCCTGTCCGACACGGCCCGGTCGAGCTCACAGGTCACTCGCCGCGGCTGCAAGCAGCACACGACACGGTACCACCCGGGAACCACCCAGCCGCAAGACGTCACTTGACATCCTGTTCGACCACGGCTACGACGACGACGACGACGACTACGACTACTGCCATCCTCATGCCCTACAAACGATAGACCATCCCGACATCCGTCCACCATCACCACCACGGCCACCACCATGAATCCTGCCAACTTTCAGCAGGCTATGATGGCTGGTCAGCCCATGCTGCAAGGCGGGAACTTTAACAATACCATTAGGTCGAGTCTGCTCACCCGCTTTCAGCATCAGCAGCAGAATATGAATGGGTGGCAGTCTTCGTTGCAGCCAAATGAGCGAGTCAACCTGGTTCAGCAGCTGTGAGTTTTCGCTCTCGTCTCTTGCTCATGGCCCTCCGTCTCGTCGCATAAATCCCCGTCCCTCGTTTGCACCAAGTCCACCACCGCCGTCGTCGCGCGAAGGTAGCTGCGCTAACAAGCTCGTGCAGAAGTACATCGCTGGTCTTAGCGCAGCCCACGATGGGCCATGATAATGCCCTAAAGACGGCTCTCTCCATAGAGGCCGCACGATTCACGCAGAGTGGCAGCAAGGTATGTCTCTCACGAATCTGACGCGTAAGCGAAGCAACAACGTGCTGACGCCATTTTCTTTCGCTACGCGCAGGACCAGTACCTCGCAAACATGAGGCACCAGCTGCAGATGCTCCAGCAAAAAAGGATGCAGCAGTCGCAGAACCCGGGCATGGGCCAGATGAGTAATCCACAGGTCAACATGCAAGCCATGATGGCCCAACCTATGCAGCTCAATCTGTCAAACCAGGGAAACCACCAGTTCAACCCGCAGCTCAGTCGTCAAATGCAGGTCTCGCCGATGCCCATGAACGGCCAGGCGTCCCAAGGCATGCAAATGGGTGCCGTGCCGAACCAGAACCAAGCCATGCAGAACCCTCAGCAGCAGCAGCAGCCAGGTGGCAACGCTGTAACGCCCTCTATGATCGAGCAGCATCGGATCAACAAGATGGCACAACAACTGCTGCAGAAAGCCACGGAAGAGGACAAGCACCGGATCATGAATCAGTTCTCCGCCCAGACGCCGCAGCAGCAGGCGCAGTTTCGACAGCGGTTCGGCGATCCGATCGGGGAGCACTACCGACGCATGGCCATGCAGTTGATCAAGCAAGCGGCCAACAAGATGCCCAACCAGACCGGTCAGAACGGCATGCCAAACAACATGATGGGTCAGCAGGCGCCGATGATGCCGCAGCCTCAGATGCAGCCGCAGATGCAAATGACGACCAACCAGCCGGACGGTTCGATGGACTTCTCCCAGTTCATGACGCAGATGCAGCAGGACGCAATTCGGTCCCAAGACTCTGGCCAGCTGGTCGTGCCGGCGAGCAACAACGCGAGCATGATGGGCCAGAACTTGAACGGGATGCCAATGGGCCTCAACGGTCAGATGGGCACTCCGGCGATGAACAACGTCAACCAGATGCAGAACATGATGCAACAGCAGCGCCAGCAGCCGGCCATGACTCCACAGCAGCAGCAGCAGGCCGCCGCACGTCTCCAGGCCCAGATGCGGAATCAGGCGCAGAACGGCCAGGCGTCCCAGCAAAACCAGATGAGCCCGCAGGGCAAGATGAACAATCAAAGTCCCATGCCACAGCAGAGACAACCGGGCATGCAGCCTGGCCATCAGCAGCAGCAGCCCGGTGCGACACCACAGCAGCAGCAGCGGCCGACGCCGGCGCAGACTCCCCAGATGCCGCAGCAGCAAGGTCTGAATCCTCAGATGCTTCAGGAGATGATGCAGCAGGCCGCCCTGAACGGCCAACCTAAGCCTATTCGACGGCCCCTTCCAAGCGGTCTTCCTTCCAACGTGCCGCAAGAACTGCGCACTCTCCTGCAGACGTGCGATGACGACCACTACCGCAAGGTGATGGAGTATCTACGGAAGCAGATTGGCCCCCAGCTGCAGAACTCCTTGGGACCCATGCAACCCAACCAGATGGGCCAGCAGCCTGGCCAGCAAAATCCTATGCTGAACATTGGCCAGAACGGCCAGATGAACCAGGCGCAGCTCGCTCAGCTTCGCATGGCCGCCGCGCAGAGGGCGAATCAGGCACAGGCCCAAGGACAGCTTCTCGGCCAGATGCCGCCGGCCGGACAGGGCCCGCCTCTCGTCCCCGAGATCATTCAGAAGATGGACTCGCAGCCCTTCCCAAGGACGATCCTGGCCGCGAACCATGCGCAGATGGTGCCGGCGCACGTCACGACGTTTGGGCAGCTGAAGGAATTCATCATGAGCAACCCGGCCATGGCTGGTCAGCTGACTCCCATGAAATTGAGCAAGTACCAGATGGACATCTTCACACGCAGGCAAGGCGGCCCGATGAACGCCAACGTCCAGCAGATCGGCCTCTCACTCGGCAACGGCCAATCTGGTGGCGCACCCGGACCCGCACCCACCGCAAACATGGTGGCGCCAGGCGGTCTCAACACCATAGGGCAGCAGGGCCCTCAGGCGAACCTACAGCTGATGCACCAGTTGCGGAACATCACGGTGACTCCTCAAGAGATCATGCAAGTACGACAGAAGATGATGGTCTCTCCGCAAACGTCGGACGACGAGATAAGCTCGAAGATTATCGAGATGAAACGGAACAAGCTCTTGCAGAACTTCCATCAGCAGGCACAAATGTTGCAGATGCAGAATCAACAGCCAGGCGCCGCCGCCGCCGTTGCCGCTGCTGCTGCCGCTGCCGCTAGCAGCAACGCGATGCAACAGCAGAATCAACGCATGTCACAGCTGTCGATGCCGCAGCCACCCCAGCGCCAACAGGGTCCCGTACCGGGCCAGCAGACGCCGCAGATGACGATGCCGACGCCGACTCAGCAGAACAAACAGCCAACTCCCCGGCCCGTGCAGCAGACTGGCACGAAGACTCCGCAGCAGCAGTCGCAGGCAAAGACGCTCAAAAGACCGGCGCCTGAAGACGTCGTGGAGATCTCGGACGTTGGTCAGACCGCTCAACCGTCTGGCCCCGGAGCGAACAAGTCCGCACCACGAATACCTCCTACAGGCACCGCGCCGGCACCTCAGGCGACGGACCCTTCGACGCAAGACCTTGAGCAGCGCTTCGGAGCCATCCTGACGGAAGTCAAGTCGAAGCATAAACCGCGAGCGCCCCTGGCGCTGACGCCTGAGGAACGCGAGCAGCTGCAGCGCAAAGTCGAAGAGTACAAGCAGGTCATCCTGCGAGTGGGGTACTTGATTCGCATGTACTTCCTGCTCTCACGGCATGAGCAGCGGACCAAGCAGTTCCTCCAGGCATACTGTCATCTGGCTGACAACGTCAACGTGAAGGAGGGCACGCTGCTCGGCACGCCAACGTTTCGCGCCGACGAGTTTGAAGCTTTCATCCGAATTTTCAAGAGCCTCCAGGACTCCATGTCGAAAGTCAAGATGAAGGAAGACCCGAATTCGAGCGGCCAGAAGCCGCAAAACGGCCAGGCGAACGGCCCGCAGCAACTCAATGCGGCAAATCTGGACCAGCATAACACCAATCTTCGGCAGCAGGCCGCTGCTCAGGGCCATCGGCGTTCGAGCTCAAAGATGCAGGTGCCACAGGCGCCGACCGCGGGTCCAGGACAGCACCCGTTCGACTTCAGCACGCCACCCCCTCACGGCGTGCCCAAGTACGGCGAGGGGGCGGGCAATCTCACAGCCGACAAGCTCAACCTGCCGCGCAAGAAGCAGAAGAAGGACGGTCAGGCCCCAAGCAATGCCGGAACACCGGCCCAACCGGGCACCGGCATGACAGTCTCACCTCAGATCGGCAAGGCGCAGTCACCTCCGAACAAGAGGTTGTCCGTCGCAGAGGCTTCGCTGATGCCGCAGCCGCCAAAGAACCCGTGCAGAGACCCGATGTGCGAGTACAGTCAGAAGGGCTTTGAAACGCAAGCGGAGCTTGAGGCGCATATGCAGCAGGTCCACGCGCCTCCGGCTGATCCGCTCAAGTTCGCGATGGAGACGCTCGCCACGACGGTCGGGCTGAAGCCTGACGGCTCGGCCAAGATCGAGCCCGAATCGAAGGCTGACCAGGACGGTAGCGGAAAGTCGCTGGCCCAGGTCAAGCCTGGCACGACTCCGCCGTCAGGCACCACGCCTCTGCCCACCAAGTCCCATCTGAAGAGTTCACCGGCCATGGATCGACTCAAGACACCTCTGCTGCACGGCAAGTCGCCAGCGCCAACCAGCGCCGGTACCGTAACGGACAAGCCGCACAAACCCGATCTGTCTGCCGTCAAGACGGGCATACCTGCTGGCGACGCCACAATGATGGATTTGCTCAGCGTCGACCCCTGGAAGGACTCTAGCCTGCAGCCGTACGACTTTCAGGAGAGTTTCAAGAATCTCGACACCTTCACGGGCGACTGGGGCAACGACCAGGCACTGCGATCGCCGCAGCTGACCCCTGCAACAACACCGGACACAAACGTCACGGACAAGACGGCGTCGACCCGCGAGAGTGAAGTTCTGGATGGCGACGGCCTCAAGATGACACTCGCCGTCAACAGCCTGACTACCGATCCCAAGAATGAGAACTTCACCGTCTGGAAGGAGGTAGAAAACTGGGAGCCGGGCATCGTGGATCCGGATCTGGCCAACGATCTAGCCGCGGTGGGAATTGACGAGAGCATGGTGCTACGCCTGGATGACACGACAGACATCAACGATTGGGAGGCCCTTTTCGGCCCGGGCTCGAACATCGATGGGAACAAAGTCCCAGGTTGGGACAACGTCACGAATGAGTTGGTCATATAGAAGAGCGAGGGAACGGCGGGGGGTGAAGACATAGTTTGGCCTGCGCGCGCCCCCCCCCCCCCCCCCCCCCCCCCCCCCCCCCCCCCCCCCTTTCCCTTTTCTTTATTTAATCGTCTTCGCATTCTATGGGCTCGGCGTTTTACTTTTTTGCGAAATTTTCCACCGCCCTATTCAAACACCAGGGAATTCGGTGCAAAGCATAACGGGGCGCAAATCGCTTATACACCACGCGCGTGCCTGCGCACGCACAAATCCTTCAGACGAACCAAAAGGATCTAATGCTTGCATGTACTATGATGAAGCGGTACTTTCTCTCGAAGGATCTCTCAGATCGTATCTACGGCGGAAAGGCGGTGGAGCTATTTCTCTTGGATGCTCCTCGCCCTGGAAAATTCTTTGCTCTCCTGCTTTGCTAGTCTGGCGTTTTGGTCTTTCGTCTTTTTCTCCGTCTTCCTCCCGGATCATTCATCATTCTATCCAAGGTTGTAGGGTTGGGTAAGGTTATTTGGGAATCTCTTGGAAGGAACTGGATGGCTCAAAACTAATACCCCATTTGTGCGTGGCTCGATTTTAGTTCATTTATTTCATGCTCCTCGATCTCTTTTTGTTCTATTGGAAAGCAGCCCCCCTTTGTATAAGTGTGCGGACTCATTTCGTGACGAAAAGATGTGCTTGTTCACTTTTTATTGTTTTTTTTTTTTCTGTCTTTTCCGAGGGCTATGAGAAAACACATACACACACCGGCTTCGTAGTGTAGATTGGGCAGCCAGTCAGCATATCAAATGCATTATCTATGATCAAAGCAAAAATTTTTGAGCTTTTTTTTCTTTTTCTTTTTCTTTTTTTTTTTTTTTTTTTTTTTTGCGTGCCTCTTCTCTCATTTCAAAGATCCCATCATCGGGCCATTTCATCGTTTCGTCGTCGCAACCAACGTCCTTATCCGCGGACTTTTTTCCCTGCTCGCCATCTCAAATCCGAGCTGTCAGATCCGCTCCTCCCACCCCACCTTTTTATTTTTTTATTTTTTATTTATTTTTTATTTATTTATTTTTTTTTTTTCGTCATACTCAGTCGAGAAGAGGACTGTCAGGTTTCTTCTTCTGGAAACGCTTTTTGCAGAACCCCGAAGCCATTAGGGAAGCGAAAACCTTTTACTCTTCTTTTTTTTTTTTTTTTTTTTTTTTTAGAAAAAATTTTTCTTTTTAATTTCTTCAAGAAGAAAAACATTTTGTTTGTGCCATGTGTTCGGCATATGTTACGAAGACTAGGGCGGGTGGACAAAGTTTTTGAACAACGGGAAACGGCGACCTGTGTTGTCTTCGCTCTCTCTCTCTCTCTCTCTCTCTCTCTCTCTTCGATGCCTGCGCGTGAAGCAATGCCAACCACGTGGTGCCATCATTGTATTCGTGAAAACTAGGGCTCCTGTCACGCTCAAGAACGCGTCTGCAACAACAAAAAAAACTCAGTAACAAACTCGAGGATAGTACCCCTTCTATTCTTTGCAGAGTCACTTCAACAGGGCGGAGGCTTCGACACTCTCTCCGCCTCTGGACCCGTACCAATTTTCATTTCTTCGCCTTGCCCTTACCCTTCTTTTTCGGCTTCTCCTCCTCGCTATCCATCTCCTCGTCTTCGCCTTCTGCCGCTTTCTTCGCTTTTTTCTTGGGCGCCGCCTTCTTCTTAGGGGCCTTGATGTATTTGTCCTTCTTCAGATCCAGATCCTCGTCCTCCTCTGCGCCATCCTCCTTCTTGACGTCCGCATCGACGGCCAGATCCTCGTCCTCCACTTCGACAGCCTCCTCCAAGTCTGGCTTCTCTCTCGTCAAGCCAGAACCGCCACCGACCGTGGCCGTAGTTGTCGCCTTGACGAACGGCATGGGGTGGCTTGCCGCATTGTACATGCGCGTAAACGTGCTCTTGGCTTGCGATTCGATTTTGACATTCTCCATGTCCATGCGACCCACACCCAGCTCCATGATGGCATCCCAATCGTCGCGCGTCAGAAAGTACGAGTCCATGACATCAATGATAGAAGGCACAGCGTCCTTGCCTTGTACCTGTAACCTCTCGATGAGAGAGGACCAAAGAGCAGGGATGTACTGCTGCCGCACTTCGTTTCGATCTCCAGTGCTGCGAAGGCGCATATGACCTTGGATCTCCCGAACAAAGCGAGACAACTTGCCTATGCGTCGGGTCAGTATGCTTGGCGCCGGTCAAGTTCGCGTGGTACAAACCTTGCTTGCTGTTTTGACCCAGCCATGACGTGAATCTGGTCTGCCCATACCCCTGAAAGGCGCCCGCGACAAAACTTGCTGGTCTTACGAAGCTAAAGATCGCATGTGTGGGCATTAAACTCCAGTGCTGCTGACTGCCATGGATCATCCTGTCGACCAAATCACCGTCGCTGATACTATCTGCCGCGTCCGAGACCAGCTCGAGCGTCTTCAGATTCTTCTCCTTACCAGAGTACGCATTGGCTTTGTTTGGGAACGTGCCCAGGTAATTCTCCTGCAACATGAGATAGCTGAACTCATGGTCATTGAAGTACAGTTCCGACTTCTCATTGAGTGTGGTCTTGTTGCTCTCAGCCCACATTGCACCACCAAGGATCTTGCCGCATATGTCCCAGGGCTTGAGGATAATATGCTTCTCCCACGCTTTAGACATGGCTTTGCCTTTGTCAAAGTCCATGGCATCTTGATCTAGTTTCGAGGCGGAGAGCATGTTCACGACTTGGCGAATGTCTGCACCGCTGCCTTCAATTAGGGCATTGATGACAGGTGGGGGAATATTCAACTGCTCCTTGTATGCGATAGTCATCATCCTAGCGCGTATTTGTTCCGTTGTGGGACGCCGGAATTGCAGGTCATATGTAACGTAATCAAACGGTTTCATCTTGGGCAGCTTGCGATCGTTGCAGATCAAGATCATTGGAATCTCGGTCGTTTTGCAGACCTTTGCCAGCGCACCCACACCGCCCCGGTCACTGCCAGTCATGCCATCAACCTCGTCCATGATGAGCACCATCTTCTTTTTGGATCGATCGATTTTCTCGTCGCCTTTAGCAAAATATCCCATGAGTGAGGTAGTGTCTAATATGCCTCTCAAGCTCTGCTCCATCAGCTTCTTGCTTCGTGTATCGCTCGCGTTTGTCTCCACAATGTCGTAGCCCTCTGCTTTAGCAACCACATGAGCGGCTGTTGTCTTGCCTATACCTGGAGGACCATGGATGATGACTGCTCGAAAGGTCCCGCTACCGTCTTTGCCGGGAAGCTTGAATTGTTTGCGTTGGTTCTTAGGGAAGTCCCTTAGCCACCGTTGCAGCTTTTCGACCTGACCTTTGTTGCCGCAAATTTGATTGATCGAGTTTGGCGCGTATTTCGTTGTCCAAAGCTGTGAGTCTCTATGCTCAGCAGTCTTCGTAACATTCGGAGCAGCTTTGCTCGACAATGCTCCACCACTACCTGCACCGGCTGGAGCAACTTTCTTAGCCAGATTTGTCTCTTCTCTCTCCATTTCTTCCGCCATTTTCTTTATCTTTTCCTGTTCCTTGTCTTGTTTCAGTTTGTACGCCTCCGCAGCCTTGCCACTACCGCCATTAGCAGGCATTCGCCGAATCAACTCCATTAAACCGTGGGCGTCAATCGTCTTCAAGTTGTTCTCACGAATCACTTCAAGCTTCTTGGGTCCTGCATCGGCTCCTAAAACCACAAAGTCTGTGCGTGTACTTGCAGAGCTTTGGCACTTGCCTCCATACTTTTTGACCAAATTCTGTCCTGTTGTTCGGTCAAGGTTAGGTAGAACTCCAGTGAAAACAAAGTTCAGACCAGCCAAGCAATTTTCTGCGCCTTCGGGTATTTCGATTTGGCCACTGCTGGCTTGGGCAAGAGCATTTTGATGCTGACCGTGTGCCGCAAAATTGAACTTTTTATTCGGATCTCTGGGAGGTGGAGTCGGTGCTCGTACTTTGGTGATAGAATCAAAGATGGCCTGCGTATTCGCATTCTCGGGCTGGTCTTTCCTCGTCACCTTCTTCACAGGAGACTTCGTCGATACTGTTGTTTTTCGGCCTTTCTTGGGCGGCTCACGCTCCTCTTCTTCTTCACTATCAGGTGGAGACTTCCTTTTTTTTGCAGCAATTGAACTTTTCGCTTTTGATGGCTTCTTCGACTGAGCAACTTTGTCATCGTCCGATGCAACAAAGTCATCATCGGCATCCTTCATATTGACATCGTCGTCTAAATGGAAATCGCCATCCTCTTTCTTAGCAGAACTACTCTTTTTAGAACGCGGCGCAACTGCGGTTTTCTTGGCTGGAATAATGTCCATCTCGTCGTCATCGCTCTCCTCATAATCGTCCATTTTGCCGCTAGGCTTATAGTTTGACTTGAATATATCGTCATCATTGTCGTTGTCATCATCGATTTTGGCCTTCGATTGGCTGATTGGTTTCGTTCTAATGGGAGTTACCTGTCCGTTCGTCGACGAGTTTCCGTTTGCAGGTGTTGGCTTCTTAGGAGTAGCAGCGGGACTCGTCGGTCCTGTCTTTGTTTTCTTCGGTTCTGATCGTTTTGGTTTATTTAAAGCGCTGAAATAAGCCGACGTCGACGTCGCTACGTGTTTGGGAGATTCGACTTTCTTCGGTTTTGATATTTCCTTCTGAGTGGTTTTTTTTGGCCTATATCATATTACTTAACAGATTCAACAATTAAGAAGATCTCGCGGTGGTATACACTACTTCATCGTCATCTTCAGAGTCTTCCACAACCTTTGACTTCTTCGTGCGTCCTTTCTTGGGCTTCTCCTCCTTAGCGGGCGGCATCGCCGCCGGCGTGCCTGCGGGCTTTCCGCCAAAAAAGCTGCGGATATCGCTGGGCATTGACGCGAATGCAACAAGCTACGGCAAAACGTTGCTTCCAAAAACCCACTAAAATATTCGAAATGGAAGCAAAAATGGTGGTGGGCGAGGATGATTCAGTTGCGACGAGGTTCACGACTGACGCGAGATGGGCAATTAGTGGATGACGCGCGCGAACGTGACTTGGACCCAGCTAATGTGCGGACTCTAACCCAGACAGGCAGGGACGAGGAATAGCCAACCCCTTCCAGACGAGGAAAGTATTACATTGCTCGTCGCGATTGATCGTTCTTGAACGTCGCTCTTTCTCAACATCATTATCACAAGCAACCGCGACCATCGGGCCATCGCATCTTCACGATCGCCATCCTTCCCCGTCCAATTGAGCGAAAAGAAGACCCACGTCGAAGACCACAATCACATCTCAGAATGGCATACTTCAAAATCACACTTCTACGCTCAGGCATTGGCTTGCCCTACAAGCGTCGCGGCGTTCTTGCAGCCTTGGGTCTTAGGAAGCGCATGACAACGGTTTATCACCCTGTGTCGCAGGACATTGCCGGTATGATAATGTCGGTAAAGGAATTGGTTGATGTCGAAGAGGTGGCCGAATGCAAGACGAAAGAGCAGATGAAGGCTGAGAGGAGACCAGATCCGGGCTTCTACGTCGAGAAAAAGGCTGGCGGAAGCTTTGTCGAATGATAAGGATGATTGGTTACTTGGAAATATTGCTACATTGCAGCCGAGATTACCAATTCAGCGTCCACCGGTAGTGTGCTCTGCGAGGAATCGGGCACGAGTGATTCGAGTCTACTCGAACCTTGTCGTCGTCTTATCAAGAAAGTTGAGAATGGCAGCCAAATGCAATGTTATGCAATGGTCTTCCGTGTGGAAAACTCCGTGTCCTTGCCCATTGCTTCAGGCAATCACTGTTGCGAGGCTAATTCTTCAGCTACTTGGATGTCCGCTACCAGTTCTACTACAGACAGAGAACTTTTCAACTGGGACGAAGATGCGGATAGATTTGGAATTTCTCAATTAAATGCGAAATATACAATGTTCACTCCTCTCCAACTATGCAATGATTCAGCGCTATGACCGGAGGGCTATTATCCTTTCTTCGCCATGTATGTACAATGTATTATTTGCAGTCTTGAACCTATCAACACACGGGGTGTAGCATTTACACGCCATAATTCGCTTCGTATTGCACCTATTGTAGCCCTTGTACAAGACGTAGCATGGAATGTACAGCAAATAACTTGACTTTCATCTATCGGCTCTAAACGGACTTACTATTCGTTCTCCAGGGTATTCAACGATCCGGCGATGAAAATATTGCAGGAAAAGGCAAAAGTAGCAATGAAACGCTATGACTCTAAATCCCGAGTATGCTGTCATTTCGGTGGCGACCTTGCGCCTTGCAGATTTAAAGATTAGTCGGCAATTACCTGCCAATGACTGAGTCACGAGATATTACGAGAGGAATATGGAATTGGTAGCCAGAGCCCGAATCTTGCTCTGTTCCAGAAAAGATGAAAATGTCCTAAAGCTCTAAGCACCTGAGGTCGACTTTGCTCGACTTTGAGAAATTCAATCCAACGTACGGACTTTTTCATGGATAGGTTAATAAGATCTTCGTGAGATAAACATGATGGTCAGAACTAATATTTGTTTCGAATAATATCACGGACACAGGAATCGGCTCAGAAACTATTGAAACCAATTTGTCATCGACGTGGAAGTTTTCGACACGAATATGTATGATACAATTTAATTTAACAACCTACATTCTTTCGAAGATAACTACCATTGCCGACGTATGTATTCAGCTTGATAAATTATCCTAGTTGGATTGCGAGGTTCCCATTGATCGCTTTTACGTCGTCTCATCCGGTACGCGTGGCCTTCAGAAATGCCGAAGTCCATACATCGCTGACAAACCAATGTATGGAAAGTTTTCAACTTCCGGCTGCGACTCGGATAACGACATTGCCTCGTGTGCTTGCTGTAATGAGGACATCGGTCGCCCTCGTCAACCTCTGTTCTTTTATGACCACACACATAATTTTTATAAGAGGTTATGCACATCTTGTTCTGAACTTTAAACCTCTTCCGTGAAGTTGTCTAAATTGCTCGCTGCTTGATTTTATTTTCATATAACCATATAAAAAATAGAAATAATGCTTGTGCCGGCAGTGCTGCAGTAGCTCTGTGTTTCACAGTCTTTCAACACAAACTGGTAGAAAACGTAAAATGGCCTTCAGGTGCCGATGTGCCATGGATATGAGGTTATGACAGGTTTGTTGTAAGCTCAGTGAATCTTTCTCAGCAGTCATCGATGACGGTGTTTCTTTGTCATTTCATTGAATCACCGAATTTGCATCAGAACATTCTGAAACTACATTTGCGAACATGGTAATGGCGAGTTCTGTACGGCCACGAAGATTAGTTTTATCACTCCAAACCATGACGTATGTTTGAATTTCAATTGTCAAGATCCGGTAGTCACCCAGGAAGTGACAGCAACTCATGTGTATATCTTCACGAATGTCTTCTAAAACCAGGCTTGAACGACGGAATAGTTACAATGCGCAGAAACCGCCTTGAGAATACTTGACCCTTATCGGTTGAAATAACGTACTAACTTGTTTTAAGATAGAAATGCTTCTATTATTGTCAATCTAATCGCCGACGGATTGCTTTTAGGATAATGTCCATAGTTGAATTCCATTTACAAGCTTGCGACCCAAATGGGGAAAAGCAAGATCAGGTCGTCACCCTAGCCATGTTGTCACCAAAGATGCGACTATCTATCGCCTTATGAGTTCCATCTCTAATTCAGTAAGGAAGCACAAACCAATACTGCCTTCAATGTTGCTTTTCGTCGGCGCCACATCGAACTCGAAAATGTTTGTCTCAGTTAGGAGGATAACATAACAAAACACGAATTTGCAAGAGGTCTCGTTTTGCTCCAAAGATTCGAGAAGGCGGCTCGAAAAATGTATTTTGACAAACAGAGGTTATTTCGTAGAGAGCCAACAGAGCATCAATGATGTGCGGGGAAGGTGTCGAATTCCCGGTGAGGGGTGCATTACCCGGATCGAGGGTTTCTAAAATTTACTTCATTGCCGAGACTTATCTTCGCTATTCAGTATTTGGATCTCGATTATCACCATTTGATTTTGAAGATTTCGACGAATCATGTGTAGTATCGAAAGCAATCGGTGCGCGGTCTCGGTTGGCCCGAAGAAATTTGAGATACAGGATCGGCCTCTGCCAGAAGATCCTTTGCAACCAACAGAAGTTCTTGTGAAGGTCATTGCCACGGGAATATGTGGCTCCGATGCACATTTGTGGGAAGTTGGCACGCCAAAACCCCTGGCCCTGGGTCATGAGTCTGTTGGCATTATCATCGAGGTCGGATCGAACGTGAAGGATCGAAAGATAGGTGATAGGGTTGCTATTGAGCCTCGTCAGTCGTGTCACGAGTAGGATGGTCGTTGCTTCCCACTGTTTATATTGACCCTAACTTTCCGTAGGTGCTACTTTTGTAAGAGAGGCCATCCAAATACATGCACGAATTTTACGCATTGTAGTACCCCTCCGACGGAAGGAAGTCTATGCCAGTACTTCCGCTGCAAATTTGCGAGAGCTGTACCGATTGGCGACAAGATCTCTTGGGAAGTTGCAGGATGCATACAACCACTGGCTGTCACTGTTCAATTATGCCGAAAGGCCAAGCTTCGACCTCATCAAACGGTCGCAGTCTTGTAAGTAGTCCGAAAGAGATTCATAGTAACTGTTACTAATAATGACTTCCTAGTGGCTGTGGACCGCTTGGATTATTGGTAATGGCGGTGGCTAAAGCGTATGGCGCTCGACGAGTCATTGCGTTTGACATTGAGCAAAGCCGCGTTGACTTCGCGACCAAGCACTATGCAGATATTGGGGTGCTATGCCCGAAAGACAGTTCGCAGGATCCAGAAGCTTTTGCAAAGCAGTTTTTGACTTCGAAGTTGAAAGAGACCGGTCTTGAAATGGGATTTGATGTTGCGTTCGAAGTAACAGGCGCGGAATCAGCCGCAATGATGGCTATATATGCGTTGCGAGCACAAGGGACTTGTAAGATCTAGTGCCCCTCTTTCGTGTCAGGTTTCATCAACCGTCTGATCCTCTATTAGACGTCCAAGCGGGCCTGCATTGGAAGCCCCCGCGAATGCCTATGCTGTGGGTGGTTGCTAAGGAGCTGAAAATAGTCGGTATGACTAACTGTTTGAGTACGTCCTAAGTTTTGGTTTAACAATATACACAGGCAGTGTTTCCTATGGTTGGGGGTGTTTTGAGGAAGCAATTGATCTGATTGACAGGAAACTCGTTGACTTGTCTCCCATGATAACAGCGACTTACCCCTTAACACAGTCTCAGCAGGCGTTTGAGGCCCAGGCACGCAGAGAAGACATAAAAATCATCATAATGAACCAGCAGTAGTATAGAACTAGATTGATCCGAGCCTGTGTTCAAAAGGCATGCAGATATATGACTACAGGCTGTCTTGCTCCTACCTTCTCCACGATTTATCAAGTTCCACCACCTCAAATCTACAAGCTTTGACAAAAAGTGTCTAGAAAACATAATATATCGATGTATATTTGATTCACAGCCAGCCCAACACTGCCGATGACATAGATGAGGACAGAGAATTGGGATGGGATACACCGCTAGTCGGTGAGAGACTCTTTGCACAATGATTACGATGCATTAGACTCGAACCCCATGCGATAAAACAAGACGTGGACAGCTCAGCTCATTTTGATACGACTTAGGATGCTGATTGGGGGGAATAATAGACAGCCCCGGTTGCAGTTACGAAGGTCAACGGAAAGCTGTATTCCCGCTTTGCAGCACTTTCGCTAGTAACGAAGCTAAAACTCCTCCGAGGGAGGCGTTGTTCACGTGGAAAGAAAGAATTGCACAAAGAACGGCTCTATCCTCGGCAGAGACACGATGTACTTTTCCGTCAACAGTTAAGGAGGTTGGTATCTACGGCGTCTTAGCCTACTTGACGCCTTCTGTGAGGAAATATCCACAATATCATCCATTTTTGGAGTGCTGTAAAGGAGAAGGATCTTAAACGTGACACGGGATGCGGCTTTGAAGGCGTTAATATCAATATCTGTGGCCGTGGCCGCTTCAAGTCACTCTCAGTTATGAAAAATGGATTGTGCGCTACACGATTACGACCGATTCAAGAGACAGATCGTGAGAAGGGGGAAGAATTTTTGCTCGGATATCTCGTCTAGTGGCGGATTGTAAAACTTTGCACGCCCCCCTTCCATTGCCACGTCCAAGTTGCAACTCTAACTAGGAGCGGCACGTCCAGAGAGTCTGGATTCTTTATCTTTCCATGAAGGCATAGCCCATCATCTTCCTCTTGCCACTGTTGACTTCTAAATTCTCTACCTTCTTGACGTGATTGCCTCTCTCTCCACCATCGCCCTCCCCGTCCTGCTTTTTCTTCATCTCTTCCAGCATCTTGTCTAGCCGACAGTGCGGACAGAGTCCAAGAAACGTCTCCGTCTCTCTGATGAGATGTCCCCCGACACAAGACCACAGAAGAGAGATTTCATCCTGCGCGTATCGACTGCAACGCTGACTTATGGTCAACTTCGAGTGCGACCCTGGACATAGCGTGTACATTGTGGTGGTATAGACGCACATCATGGTTGTTTTGGACAGCCAGGAGAGGAGGTGAATCAGGGAGAGGCAGCAAATCCACAATATTGTCAACGATTACGTGTGTTACAAAGGCAAGAGCAGGCGACAGTGTAGTCACTTGTGTGGTAAACGTGTGTTCTTGATAACGCTCTTGCAAGATACGTGCGGCGGTGAAGACTAGAAAGAAGTTGGCAAGGGAACGTAGAACAAGTAACTGTCTATTGAGCATGTTTTATTAAGTGAACTATTTGAGTTACCACAAGTACTTCGTGGTGGGTTGGGTGGCCTTTTGACAGTCACCCGCTCTGGGAGTTGCTCCATCCCCAAGTCTTCGATCCGCTGGACCGTTGCGAGAGAAGAGATCTCCTCCACCTGTAGCCCTAACTTTCGTGGTTCTGAATATAAACCACTCAGACGCGTGGGCTCACCAATCTTCTTGATGGTTCATGCAAGATATGCTTTACATGCCGTTGGACGTTCACATGGTGCCTGAAGGACCAGGGCCTCCAACTTCTCGTGATCGGGATGGCAGCTCGAAGAGTCGGCCGTGCGTAGTGTCGTCCGTTGCTGTGTTTGCGGTCAATCCTTGGGTCCTTCATTTAATGTCCATGAGATCTTCACCCAAGCTGTCTCTCCGATCTGGAGCGGGTCTTTTCTTTGACGTGGTCTCGTCCTTGGTCAGATCTATGAGATCTGGATGCTCCGGCGGCGTGCTGTCGCTCAGATCTGAGTGGGCAACTTGCCCGTTGATCGGTTGTGGTTCAGGAAGATCTGAGGTTGGTCCATTGGTGTTGTGGGTAGTGAATGACGAGGCTGCTCCTTCGACGTATTCGGGTGGTGGGCTGCACACGTCACACTTGCCTTCATCGGTGTGGATGGCGGTGATGATCTTGTCGTGCATCGATGTTCGATATCGCTCGCCAAGCTCACACTTCTCGATGACCATCTCGACGTTGTGCCCGCAGGCAAGGAATTGTGTTTGCTCGAAATAGCACATTTTGATCCTCTTGCTAATTGATTGGATTGATATTTGGATAAATGAAGCGAGACTTGTATTGCGGTTCTATGTTAGGTGATGTTGTTGGACGAAAAGAAGCAGGCATGTTGACATGCAACGACAGGAATATATACACCAAAGTGAAGCATGACGAAATGCTTTGATAGATAACTAAGCAGACTCCCGGGAATGATCTACTCGCAGCGACAGTGTTCGCGTGTGTACTGGCTCAAGCAATGAAAGGTCTCCAACAGCCTGGCGGATGCGAGAAGTCTCGACGAAGATACGTAGCGAACCAACGAAACTTCTCGTACATCCTAGTTGCTTCTGGAGGCTAACCAAAGCGCTAGCCTAAATGAGGAAAGGCGTCGAGCAAGGATCCTCGCCTCGCCTAGTCCGCATCCTTGACACCAACGAAAGAAGCTGATTGGCCATGAAATTACCTCGTACGACTTCCTCATATCATCTTTGGATACCAGAACCAACCCCGTGCCACTGTTACATTTCGTACAGACGAGTTCACAAATAATCTTTCCCGATCCTCGTCTGCCAGCTTCTCTTCTCTCTCGACCTTATTGATGGAAGACTCTATCTATCAAGACCGTTCAATCTGCCGTTTGTCTCCAAGAAGCAGAGACAACTTGCCATTCCCTTGCGTCCCCACCCAGGAATTGCAGTCGAATTGCTCACAGGAGTTCATCAATATCGAAAATTCTACATACCAGTGCAAGCGTTGCTACAGCGAGAAAAACATGCTTTCAGTAGCCAGCCGAACAATGCGCAAATGATCATGCCATCCTTGGCCACGCTACCAACGCGCATGGCGACTTCATGGAAACCATGTACACGTAAAAGCAAACCCCTGGTCGCGATGACTCTTTCGTGCATGCAAGCTCATGGACCGTCAATAGTCTTGAGGCTCCATCTCGCGACGAGCTCTAGATCGAAATAAAAGTAAGAAACTGTGGAGCGTCAACAAATATCAGCGTTCAGCGCTCTGCGTCGCAGCATTCGATCCGCGGTTATTCAGGTAGACCGGGCGCTAGGTTCCAAGTTTCCAATCCAGCCGGTTTGCATGTTCTGCACTAAACTATCTGAGCCAAGTCGTGATATCTTCATTCCCAAACACGTAGCATATCCGCAAGTAAGGTCCGTCACGCGTGTTCTGCGTAATGTTGCCTCATTTTTGAGGTGAAGGAACCGCATGTCCGAGCTGAACACAATGTTCTGACTAGTTTAGTTGATACGCTGAAGGATTAAGGCAATGAAGAGCAGCGGGATTGGCATTTGCGATTCACTCCCGCCGGATGTTTCCGCTTCAAGTATATAAGTTACATCAAGTCATGGACGAAAGATTATCAATACACAAAGCACGTCTTATAATAGTCATATCGTCTACAAAGTTGTTCCAGGTCACGCCGGTCGCCCCACGCCACAACCATTCTATACATACAAGGTGCATGTAGAAACAAGCACCGGTTTCATGGAAGGTGTAAAAATGTCCGACACCGGCACATCCTCCGAGGAGCCGAAAGGAACACCCAATCTGAGCCGCTCTTTCATTGCTCAATCGCGATCAAACCATCGACCCCACCTACTTTTACTACCTTTCTTCTCGGCTCCGGCATAATGCTCCTCCTCGTCTTCCCACTTGAGTCTTTCTAGTCGTCTCCTGGCCGAGTAGGCGCGAGTGAATCTCCAGATCTCCGTGTCCGCCAGATTCCAGCTCTCAACCGCATCGCGGATGGCAATAAAATGTTTGCTTTTACTTGCCAGACCCTCTCTAATTTTATGCAGCCTGTCTCTCTCCAGGCTGAGCTGTTCCTGACTCACGACCGGGCCCTTCGTCTCAGCTTTAGGTCGCCTCTCCGGACCGGGAACCGGAGTCTCGCTCTTTCCATCGCCCGTTCCGTTGCGTGGGATGTCGAAGCCAAATATCCAATCTAGATCTTCGTGATACTCTGTCTCTGCTGTCAGAAACAGCGTATTCCAATACCCATGCTCCCCAGCAATAACTTCTTTAAGCGAAGATGATCGTCGAGCTGCACTCACACCTTGACCAAGCCAATCCTGAGTTATAGCTGTTATCCAGGCATCACGTGACTTGAAGCCAAGGCGGCGAACAAATCTAACTTCGACGCTGTCACGCTCGGCGTTCAAGGCCGTAGTCGTGAATGGGTGCGGGACGGAGCCAAGTTGGAAGAGACCGGAAATGTTACGATATCCTGCGGCTGTCGTGATAGGTTTTGGTTGCGAAGATATGCAACGCTTGCAGGTGCGCAGGTTATTTGGTGGACAAGAGGTGGGGATGGGGTTACGAGGGCAGTCCGTCAGGTTTCCAGCGATTTCGTAGGCCTGTTCTGTCAAGACAGTCATAAAGCGCGGGAGGGGTTTCAGTACGGCGACTCCCTTATCAAAGGTATTCTGCCATGTCGTCTGTAGGTGCGCGTTGATGAGTTCAGACAGCATCCTGTATCCACTGACCATATCCTTCTTGTCGAACATAGTTTCCGCAATGGGCTTGTAGTTTTCCTTGATTACATCCCATTCATAATATGCTATTGAGTCCGTTTTGGCCACTTGAAAGAGTTCATCAAATTTCTTGTCGCTCAAGTCGGAGACTTTCTTCAACTCTTCTGGTCTCTTGATCGCCTCCTCAATAGCGTTGTTAATGTCTTTCTTGCTACCGCAGTACAGCCCACTCTTCAATTTCTCGAATTTCGTGAGTTGAGGGTACGAACCTCGTCGAAGGAACGTAAGGGTCGACGATTCGTGCGAAGCCATTGGAAAGGCAAGCCAGTTGCTCAGGATCCCGTCGCCCATAGTGCCCCAGGCAAGCCAACGCATCAATTCTATGTCAATATTGTCTTGTAGACCCATCATCTGAACTTTCTTGTAGAGGGGGTTGTTCAGAGCTTCGGCCTTTCCAAGCACGATAGGTTTGAAACCTTGCGCCCACCACGCGCGACGCCATTGGAAAAGAAGTCTCTCCTCAGCGTCCTTGATTTCCGGACTGACTTTGGCCTGCATGGTCTGCTCATAGTAGGTATATATTGGCGGACGGGTCCGCAATGGTGGTAACACCGCCCGCTTCTCTTCCAGTGTTACCGAGCTGGAGAATGGATTTCGCCACCGCCAGTCTGAATACCATCGTGCCTCTCCTGCCGATGAGTTCTCCTGCTCCGGTGGTTTGTGTGCCGCCGGCCGAAAAGGGTTGAAGCTGTTTGGTATCGACGGAAGGTGAGGATCCCGTATCGACTGAGGGATATGCTCAGTCACTGCGGCCACAGCTGGATACTCAGATACAGAGGATCCCAGAGACCACAGGAAGATAAATGTGGTGAATATAAATGCGAATAAGAGCTGAAAACGCCGCGGAGGCATCACGATGTTAATCGGCCTGCCGAAGCAGGTACGTTGTGTCGGCATGGTGAAGGGATAAACGAGTGATGTGCAGCCGCCTTAAAGAAGAATTGTATAGGACGAAAATGATAATCGCGGCTTCATTGTACGTTTGCGCATAACATGTGATCTCAAAACACTGTCCAATTTACAGAGTTGAGAGCCATGGAATGATTGGAATGATCGTGTGCCAACTTCTCCCTGGAGCAATGGAGCATTTCTCGACGTGTCTTAGAAGAATTTCCAGAAAGAGACTAGCGGCTTTCGCCAGCGCTGACGTACTCCGAGGACGATTGCTGAAATCGACTTAAGCTGAAACACGACCGACCAACTTCAGCACTACGCACGCGACGGTTGCAAGATGCAGTGTGAAAGCCAACTGTGTACAATCGGCAGATTCGATCGCTATGAGGCCAACCAATGCGCCGTAAGTTTGCACACATCAGAGCAAGCTGTTGACACAGTCGGACTAATCCAATATCCTTCGGACATTCCTATTTCCCGCGACTAAACGTAAAAAGACGTCGCCATAACGCAACGGAGGCAAGATTCATGCCACTTAATCAAATCATGATGCAAATAACCAGCATAGCTTCGTATTTTGATTAATGGCCGCCGTATTTGATAGAATCTAGATTGAAGTCATGATCAGTTGTGACTCAGTTGGCTGCTCGTATATCCCTATACCACAAATAATCCATTCTGTCCATAGCTTTTGATCCTCATTATTCAAGTCTTGCGTCTTCCTTCAATTCTTCGTAAAGTCAATGCTCCGTTAGTATCGATGTCTTGCCAGCAGTCATTAAACATTCTCATTTCGGGCTGTGGGATTGCAGCCCCTGTCCTCGCATACTGGCTCTTACGTGCCAACCCTTTAAACACCATAACCATACTGGATCGAGACCCAGAGATACGACTCACCGGTGCCAGTGTGGATATACGTTCCTCGGCTGTAGATATCATTAAATGGATGGCAGTCGAGGAGGAGATACGCAAACACACCACCAATGAAGAGGGCATTCAATGGATCGACGCCACTGGGAAGCCGATTGCGACAATGAGGGCAACTGGTAGAACAGACATCCAAAGTTTCACCAGCGAATTTGAGATTTTCAGAGGAGAACTCGCTAAAATCTTCCTCGTCACGGTTCTCGACAGGGTGAACGTGATTTATAACGAGACGGTTGAAAAATACCAGGAACTAGAAGATGGCGTCGAAGTCACGCTCACCATGAGCAAAAATATGGTCAGATATGATGTCCTTGTTGCCGCTGATGGATTTGGCTCAAAAATACGAGGGATGATGCTAAACGCGCCTTCGAGGGATCAGGTCTTCGACGAGGGCGTGCACATTGCCTATTTCACACTCAAGAAAGACTTGCTACAAGGAGGCAAGTATGCTAAGTGGTATAGCACAACAGGAGGACGATGCGTCCTCGTACGGCCCGATCCCAGTCCCGAGGGAAGGACACGAGCAAATCTGATGACAGTTACAACGAAAAAGGACGTGGGAACGAAGAAGAGACTAAATGACGCGTTGGCAAAGGGTAACAACGCGTTCATGGACGTCATGAGCGACATGTATAAGGATGTCGGTTGGCTCACGCCTGAGATATTGAAGGGCATGCGCGAGAGCGACGACTTCTATTGCTCCCTTTTCGGGCAAATCCGCTCTCCACATCTTTGCACCAAACGAGTGGTCCTCCTTGGCGATGCGGGCTACGCAACACCGGGGATAGGCACGTCTCTCGCTATAATCGGTGCCTATGTGCTCGCTGGCGAACTGGCGACCACTCCGGACCACATTCCCGCCGCGTTAAAGCGATACGAAGCGTTAATGCAGCCCTTTGTGAAGTCTCACCAAGGAGGTGTGGGCGAAATCGCCATGCAACTTATGGTCCCCCAGACAAGGCTGGCAATCAGCATTCGGAACGCCTTTCTCTTCACATTCATGGGACTGAAGCTTGACAGGGTCGTCATGAGGGCTGCAGCTTGGATGGGCTTTTCGGAGAAGAAACTCGCTATGCCTGATTATCCGTGGACTAAGAACGAAGGATAGATCTGGGTTCAGGAATTTCGTGCCCTGTATCAACATTGTTTGCAATACTCCACTTTGGGTTGTAAAGAATAATCGCAATTAATTATATGCTGTTTGCCTAGTTCACACTGTTATTTATTCGAGTCATCATTTGTCGGTGGAGACGATCTGCTCGATGGCCTACCCATTGAGGTTGCTCTTGATTTCTTTACCGCGAACCTGTTTAAAATTAAAAGTAAAAAAAAGAACTAATAAAATGGAACAGGAGACTTCTCTTGTACAAATATGTAGCTCCATGAACCAGCGCACTTATCTTAAATAGGCCCAGTGTTGTCGCTTCCCTCTTCGCTCTTCTCCACCACGATTCCAGTATCCTCGTTATCAATCACACGTCCCAAAGGTGCCGGACTGCTACTCGCTCCAATCTTCCTTACATCTCTGCTCACCTTACGAACCGCCCGTCCCTTGACAACTCTCCTCTCACCGACGACATCATTGTCTTCCCCAAATAGAAAACCTTTCTCCTTTCTTTGGACATGATATTTTTTCTCGGGAGGCGCAAAAGAAGGGCGTGTGGAATCGGACGAATCCTCCTGGCTTAAGATCCACGAGTAACTAGATTGCTCGATTCGCGCTCGAGATGTGGCGTGATTCGGGTATGCTCTCGCGGCAGGTGAAGGATCTAACGATGCTTTCGCGATTGAAGGAGAAGTGGCAGAAACATGATGTGTGGATATGGAGGTAGTGGGTAGACTAGGTGGCGGACTCGATGTGGCCATTGGCCTGGTCGCTGCTGGCAGTGGTGATGGTGCAAGCGAGGATGTCATTCGCTCCAAACCCGAATCCTTCTGTTGATTCTCTAAGTTTGGCATTTCTTCCTGAACCTTTGCTGTATCACCAGACGTAATCTCAGCTTCCTTCGTGGCAGCCGTCTCCGTCTTCCTAGATATTTCTTCCTCGGGCAATGGCAACGTAGAGTCCTGCAGAAATACCTGCACGAATTGCACCTTCGCAATCGCCATGCTTAATTTTTGTAGAGCTTCCTCTCGCACTCCTTTTCCGTCCGCAATCTCTTTTTCAGCTGACCAAAGGTCCGCTACTGCAACCTCAAGCATCTGTGCCAGTTCCTTATTTCTTCGCTCCAACGTGGTTAACTTCCGCAACACGTTCGCTGCGATGTTTCCTGCGGTCTCAGTGGAGGATTTGTTACTCCTATGTCCAGGACTCATCAGAGAAGATCCCCGTGGCGAACCTCGGCTAGTGACCTGGAGATTCTGCACGTTCTTGCGAACTTCCCCCACAGCATCGCGTACAGCTTGATTAAAACCCCACTTCTCGCCGCGATTCATAAAACCACGAGCAGCATCGTTGATCAGGGTGTCGAAAGCATTGGGAAGGCCAGTTGGAACAAAAGGCGATCTTGAGCGTTGAGAACGTGGAGTGCCAGGAGAGATATTGGTGTGATCTGGTGTTGATGGTCGTTGGGGACGAGGCTTGAATGGAAGGGGAGCTCTCTTGGAGTACTTCTTTATAATATCACTCCCAGCTTCTACGCTGGGCGTTGAGCGTAGATACCGAGCATCCAGAACGAAGGAGCGCGGAGGATGTTCAGGAGAGGTTGGAGGATATCGCATAAGCAGCATTAATGCATCGTTAGTGTCGGCATCAATCACTGTCTCTACTTAGAAAGGAAGATTTTCCAATGCACTTGAGGTCAAGCTCACAATTCCATCGAATTCGCAGGATCATGGCGATGCAAATATAGTCTATGAGCTCAAGATTTGGATCGTCGGCGAAGAGCAGGTCCCAAACTCGTAGTGTGTCGTTGAAAAGGAATTCCCTTCCGAACAATAATCGCACCCAGCGCCTGATATTCAAACGTTAGTCGACAGAAATAGCTAAGCAAGTATAGCCCATACATTAGAAACAACTGCGGTGAAATATCCACCTCCATCAAATGTGCAGCTAAGCCAGGATCATACTGCGGAAGCAGGGTCATAAATATATGACTGCTTTTCTGAAGCATAGCGGATTCGTTTTCCACATGATTAACACCGGATCTTAGGAATTCCTGGGTTCCCACGCCAGCCGGATCATAAAATGACTTTGCTGTCCTCATGATCTCAACAAAGAGTGTGAAGGAATCATGCTCAACGTATCTCGCATCCAGTACCTGATGCAACATTTGCTCCTGCTCATCTACCTTCACAGCGTCCCTTTCCACAGTCCATAGGATAAAAGCGAGAAGTTCATGCATGCCCTGTCTGTAACCGACATCACGGTTGAGTTTTGTGTAGACAAACAGAATATCCAACATAAGACTTTGCGTTTCCGGTTGCCGGAAGTACGTATTCTCGGGCATGCACCGCTCTATGTCTTGAAAGATTTCCTGTCGGATGGCTTCGTCTTGCCTCAAGGTGGTCCACGGTGACTTTATATACAAGACTTAGTCCACAGTCAGACTATTATATGCCCGAGACTATGAGATAGAAGGAGTGGCAGATCATACCTCAGTGTTCTCGACAAGCGGATCGTCGGCAGTGTCCACCTCATCAGGATTCTCTATAGCGCGTAAATAGTGTGTGCGTAGGGCGTCGTATGCGGAGCGGGACTTGGTGAGACTGGAGAGCCATTGTGCTTGATCAAGGTTACGGAAGAGCAAAAATATCTGGACTCATCATTTTAGCCGCTCATTCACGCTTCGTGGTTTCTATTCCATGTACCTTCCAGCAAACAGATCGCAACCCTTCGAGGATGTCAAGGTGCTGGTCTGAGTCGAGGACCGCAGCTTGGAACTCGGCGAAGTTCGAGTACGCCAATAGCAGCTGTTGGTATTGACTGTACCCCACATCAGCAGCTTTCCTTTCTATATGTAGATACACCAATCTTTTACTTACTTGACCTCAGCCGCTGGTCGCATGTTTGTCGTTCACAGCTTGATTACATCACGCATCTTGACTTTCCTGAAATGCTCCCCGCAAAACGATAAGATGTGGCTTACTAAGCTTTCGGACCCTTGCAGTGTCAACTCAAGTACTAATCCCATTCTGTAACAAGAGGTTTTTCACGTTGCATGTATACGAGCAGAATGGATTTGGATTTGTCCAGACATTGACGCTACGACGACGCGACAGGTAGTGAGGAATGACCCAGCCGCAAAGTACAGACATTATGAGATTGGGCTCTTACTTGGAACAGCTCTCACGAACTTCTTGAAAGGGTTTTTAGTTTTGCGGACGTATTGCTTGCCGTTCTTCGGACTCGATAAACCGAGGAGTGAAGATGATTTCAGTAATCTGAACAACCCCATAAGCAAGAACACTATAGTCTACGAGATCCACGGGATTCCAAGATGAAGCAACACAATAATTTGGAGCCGGCAAAAACCTCGGACGACAGATTTTAAGGGCTAATGAGACGCTATTAGGCAACGCAATTCACATATCTTTTTGATCCTAGCAATCACCGCAAAGATACGTTGACAAAGTCAATACATATTCGAGTGACTATGACACAGCCCGTTACGGAAAACCTTTCGCGGTCATTTATAGATGCAAATTCATGATAGTAGTGACTCCTGCGGAGTAACCAGAATCTTGATATGATCATCCTTGTGCTTGACAAGAGCCTCGAACCCTTTTGAGCTGATCTCCGCGAGCCCAATGCGGCTCGTTACCATCTTTTCAAATCCTTTGAATTTACCTTCAGCAAAATATTTCACAGTGTCGGCGAAGTCATTGTCGTTGTATGCGCGTGAGGCCGTCATGGATATTTCTTTCATCATTAGATACCCGTATGGGTTTGGCATCTGCACCATGTGGTTAGCTTAGCAGTCTTCGCGAGAAAGATAGACCTACTGCTTGCTCCCAGCCTGCAACGTTGACATACAGGCCCTTATACTTCAAGGCATCGCAGGCTGCATGAAATCCTGGGCCCACGCCCGCGGCATCAAACGAAATATCAACACCTTCGCCATCCGTAAGAGCTCGGCACTCGTCGCCAATGTTCTGCTCCATGGGGTTCAACGTATGGTCTGCAAGCTCCTCGTTTTGCTTCCGCCGTGCATCAGTCGGCTCTGAAACAATAATTTTCTTGCAATTGAAAGCTCTCAGAACAAGCAACAGTGCAATACCGATAGGGCCACCGCCTACGATGAGCACTGTTTTATTTGTGAAGTCCAGGTCGCCGGCTCGCTTGACGGCATGCCACGCTACCGCCAATGGTTCTACCAAGGCCCCATACGGCAAAAGAGAATCTGGTATTGGATAAATTTGGCTCTCATGGATGGCCACATACTGCGAGAAGCCACCTCCTCCACCTGACAGCCCCCGAAACCCCCATTTATCGCAAGACACTGTCTCTTTTATCCCACAACGATTGCAAGACCGACAATACAACCGTGGATCGGCTACTACTGCTGTTCCGGATTTCAGATTGGAGTTCTCAGATGCCTGCTTTACTCGTCCACAGAACTCGTGGCCAAGAGTGACGGGTAGTTTCTCATTCGTCAATGGATGTGCGTCCTTTGTCGGTATGACCATTGGCCCTGATATCCATCAGCTCCTGTCTACGAGGACAACGTGTCTCCACACACCCATGATATACTCGTGCAAGTCAGAGCCACATATTCCGCACCAGCTGATTTCAATAAGAACCTCCCCATCCTTGAGATTAGGCTCCGCAACGTCAACGACTCTAACATCTTCTTTACCAAAATACTGCGCAGCTTTCATTGCTTATCTATTACTTGAAAAAAAATTGAAATGAAAATGTATGCAGAAGATTCCAGATTTGAGGGGCACTTAAGTTTGGCATCTCGGGATGTATTGGCAAATGTCAGTTTAGCTCGCTTCGGAGCACAAGAATGCGGAGTAAGCAGGATCTCGGTACCCGGACCAATTAACACTGTGCTCGTGAATGCTCACCATGTGGTAGAAAGTGACCCAGATTTCCCCAATGAAGAATGAAGTATCAGTTCTATTAGAACCAGAATGATCGAATGGCTAATCCGCATGCAAATTCGTTCTATTTAGTGTAGCATGCGGAATGGTCGTTGGAGCTTATAGTCATGATATCCGAAGTCGGCAATCATTACTGGATGCGAAAGTAACCAAGCTTCGATCTCAATCTCCTCCACAAACACTTTACTTCTGAGATCATTTTCAGAACACTTACCGCACTTTCTCCGTTCAATCTTGTGGACAAGTGCGTTTTTCCATGCGTGTTGATAGACTTACAACTAAAATCGTTATACTTTCACTCCTCTTCGCTCAACCCTAGTGCTGTCGCGTACCAGGAAATCAGAAGTGTTTCAGGAGTGTACAAGATAAGAATTTCGTTTCTGTAGTTCAAAGCTGAAGTGGATCCAGGGAGGTGTTGGGAAGGTCGAGATTTCTAGACGGTACCCTTATGATCCTTGGATGCCTATTCCTTGCTTCAACAACGATATTGCCGCGAATCGGGTTTACTCTAGACACTTTTCTATTTCAATATACGATTCTTGCTCAGAAATAAAGCCTTAATAGTAGCAAAGATATGGAGATCTGTTCTAGTCATTTACGTCCCGAAGGAATGCTTACAACCACTTCAAAATTGGAACGCTCTATGCACATATCCTTAGTAGTAGTCGATTACAGACTTGATAAACATCAATGCCCAAAAGGATAGTTCACTATACTAACAGTTTTTAGTCATGCATCACAAGAAGTTCCATATTTCGCCATTCGGTGCGAGCAATGCAGGGGCTGGTACTTTATCAATAGTTCCACTGAGCCAAATACAGCGAGGGAAGGGTAACAGAAATATCCGGTAAGCATGCTACGTATCGAATATGATCAAGCTGCATTGGACCCGTGGTGTTTCCGAGATTTCTCGAAAATGACAAGCACTCCCTTTCTAATCTGAAAAGACTACGCGAGTGATTGTAAAAGGAATAGTTTCCAGGGTATAGCCATCAAAGCTAGATTAGAATTTAAGAAAAGATCATTAAGAAAAATAGAGGCCGAATTCTCATCAAACTTAAGCCAATAATCGATCATAGGTTAGTCCTTGCAGTTTTCCCAGGTATAAACTGGACTGGAGTGAAGCGCTTTTGAGGTCAATTTAAGCCATATCGATGGAAGGTATGGGGAGAAGTCAATCCCATAGTCCCCTTTTTGCAAGCACTTCGTGTGTTCCGATATTCTGTTACAGGTCTGACTACAAACCTTCTTGCCGAGAATCATATTACTCTGCGTTTTTGGAACATGATGCGAGGGATATCATAACAAATAAAAAAGATAATTTTATCGCATTCGAAGTTATTTGAATAGGCCTCGGTTCGATCCTTTGCAGTTTCAAAAAATGGAAAATGGAGCTTTTAAGCTCATCCAGGCATTTATTCACCTAAAGCCGGCGCCGTGGCTGATGATAACGAGCCAAAAGCCCGAGTGAGCACTCTTCTTAAGTCTCTAGCTTGTCCTAGGTAAACCGGGCTAAGAGGCACCTCGATGTCAGATGACCGCCGCGTCAGGGTAGGGAGAGTGACTAAGTTACACTCGCAACGGATGTGTAGTCTTGGTCGTACATTAAGCATTCCAGCGAGCGGGTACGGTTACCTTGCGGTGGTAAGGGTATCGGGACTACCTATCATTCAAACTAGCCCGACAGATGTAGCCGCCTGAAGCTCGAAGGGGACGCCCTGAGAGCTGAGGGTGGTGAACTGTTTTGCCTCACGTTATATGAGCCCTCAAACCACTATGTTGTCTCTCTTTTTCTTGCTTCATTTTCTCACTGTCTTTATACATATCATTTTTCTTATATATCTATAACCTGCGATTTTTGTTTGCCTAACGGTAGTATCGCCTTATTGGTAGGTGAATTTATGTACTACTTCTGCACTTGGATCAAGTCCATCTTTTTGCACCTCTTTCTTGCTCAACGCAAAACGAAAAGATTTTAGTCTGATGAAAACTCCTCGGTGAAGAGACAATGTTATGGTGGCTCAAATCCAATTATAACTGTTCTTACGTAGAACCACACAGCATCAATTGTTCATATATACTAACTTCATAAATATTTAGCTTAAATTTTCCATAAAGTCATTCTTGATTCAGACCTATCATAGTTTATAACTATGTCATTTAAATTTCCTATAAGAGCTTAGCACGACGAGCTGACGTTTGTGCGATCTAGGTCGACCTACATCTTTAGACAAATCTATGTTCCAAGGTGGACTTTGACTTCTACGGAAAATAATGGCTGCACTAGAAATTGAAGCAAAATCGAGGAAAAGCCAATTGCTTAAGCAATTAGCTACGCTACCATTTTGTAAAGGCTATGGCTTTGTTTCGATCTCAAGTTAGCATAGGCCATGTACTTGCACTCTACACATGTTAATTCCTTGGTACTGCATGGTGCCAAAGACTTATTAGAAATTATTTGCATCCGCACATTAATGGTTATCCACATTTTCGACATTTAAATGTGTCTTTCGTGAACACACCAGCTGCTGGAACATATCAACCGTGTTCCGAGAAATGTACCACGTCGGCGTCATCCTCGTCCTCCTCAATCTTGTCCCGCAGACCCATGCTCTCCTCATATTCCTCTCTAGCAAACGGCAACTCATCTTTCTCTTCCTCCCATTCATTGAGCTTGTCTTCTCTTCCATCTTCTCCGCTTACTTGTGTCTCTACTTTTTCAGTCCGTCTTGGTTCTAGGTCAGGATCGACTTTTGTTCCCAGGTCTCTATCTTCCAAAAACCTTCTTCCAAGCAGTTTTTCAGGGAGGTAGTCCTGTTTCACCTGGCCGTCCACATAATCAGGATTATATTTGTATTCCTTTCCGTACCCAAGTTCTTTCATGAGGCGTGTGGGTGCATTCCTCAAATGCACGGGAACCGGGAGCCCTGCCACGCCCGGTTCACTTAGAGCCTGCATTGCGGCCCCAAATCCGCGATACACGCGTGTGCTCTTTTTACTCAACGCAGCTGCCACTGTCACGTGTGCCAAATTTATGCCGCACTCAGGCATACCAATCTTTTCGCACGCGGTGTAAGCCGCTGTCGCGAGCCCCAGCAGACTACTATCTGCGAGCCCCACGTCCTCGCTGGCAACCACAATGAGTCGACGTGCAATGTACAAAGGATCTTCCCCCGATTGTAACATGCGCGCGAGGTAGTAAAGTGCCGCATCTGGATCAGATCCACGGATCGATTTGTGGAACGCTGAAATTGTGTCATAGTGCTGATCACCTGCACGATCGTAGACCAGCGTCTGCGTCAGCGACTTCTTTAGAGTCGTGGTATCCATGTGAGGCCGCTTAGAAAGATCAAGCGCGAGTTCGAGAAGATTAAGCGCTGTGCGAGCATCACCATCAGCAAAAGCGGCAAGGTACTCGAGGAATTCTTTGTCCAGAAGGCGAGGAGGTTCAATGTTGTCGCCACATTCAGAAGCCAGGGCACGACTCATGATCTGGACGATTGTTTCATCTGTGAGCTTAGCAAGCGTAAAGGTCCGGCAGCGTGATAGCAAGGCGTTGATGACCTTGAATGACGGGTTTTCCGTCGTCGCGCCTATGAGCGTAATCTGGCCGGATTCCACGGGTCCGAGGAAGACGTCCTGCTGCGCCTTGTTGAAGCGATGAATCTCATCGCAGAAGACGATCGTCTTTCGTCCCGTGAGCAGCCTCTCGCTCTGCGCTTCTGCAAAGATCTGCTTACACTCCTTGACGCCGCTGCTCGTCGAATTGATCTCAACAAAGCGTGCGCCTGCCGTATGGGCGATAAGGCGCGCGATGGTTGTCTTGCCCGTTCCGCTGCCTCCCCACAAGATCATCGAAGGCACACGATTCTCTGCGATCAAGCCCCGGATGACGCCGTTCGGGCCGACGAGCTCCTGTCCCATCACTTCATCTAGTGTTCGTGGTCGCATGCGCTCGGCCAGAGGCGCAGAGTCGTGCAGTGCTCGGAGCTTCGCACGCTTGGATTTGGGCGAGAAAGCATCCTGCTTGGCCTGCTCGTCGGCCGCTTCCAATGCTCTCTTTGGCGCATTTGGCGTCTTTGCTCCATTCGATAGAAGTGTCGAAGATGGAGCCTCTACTGCCCTCAGCGGCGGAGGGGCTGTTTGCGTCGATCGGCGGCCGAAGAAGGTATTTGTTTTGGCTGTGTTGGCTGAAGGGGCAGCATCGTCGCTGATCAAATGAGAGGTACAGCCTGAGTCGAGATGCTCGTTGATATCAGATTCCCTAACAGGCTTTGAGCATACGGGACACAAGACCATTTAGCTTTGATGTTCCGATAGGGTTGGGTTACCCGGATGCGAGCTAGGATGTTAGGGATGTATGGGGGGCAAAGATAGCTTCGAGACGACCACGAGTACAGCTGAGGAACGACCTGCCGTCAACGGTAAAGGAAAGGAGCACAAGTCCGGTTTAGAGCCAGCCTTGTCGCGTGCTGACGCGCCCTGGTACAATCTCTCCCCGGCCCGTGGTAGAAAAAGCTCTCCGATACCGGCAGCCCATGTCGCATTCTTTGTAGTCAGATTCCGACAGCACGCAATTGGGCACTTGTATTAGAGTTGACTCTTAGGCAAGTCAGCCATGAATGCCTCTCCTTTGCTCATATCCCGTCTTCCACAAAGGCCTTGTGCTGAATTAGTTTCCAAGGCCCCGAAGCTGAGTCTTTCTCGTAGGGCTCAAAGACTTCAATCTCCTAGGGCGTTCTGCACCTCACTATCCAGGATGGCTGAGCCTTTCAAGCCGGCCAAGAGAGTCGCCAATCAGCAGCAGGATGTCTGGTATGTACTGTCCAAGACAGCGCTAGACATGAGCCTCATCGACGTTTGCTAGGTCTATTGTCAATGAGGCTGCCGCTGCCTCTCCCGTTCAGCCAATCGTGAACATGGGTCAAGGTTTCTTTGGCTACAACCCACCGAAATTCATCCTCGATGCCGCAAAGTCCGCCCTGGACCGTGTGGAATGCAATCAATACTCACCAACTAAAGGCCGTCCTCGGCTAAAGAAAGCCATTGCTGACGCGTACTCTCCCTTCTTCGGACGCACTATCAATCCAGATACCGAAGTCACGATCACAACTGGTGCAAATGAGGGCATGCTGAGCGCCTTTATGGCATTTCTCGAAAATGGCGACGAGGCGATTGTCTTCGAACCGTTTTTCGACCAGTACATAAGTAACATCGAAATGCCTGGCGGCAAAGTCGTATATGTTCCCATGCACCCGCCCCCGGACTCGGCAACGAGGACGTCCTCTGCGTCGGGGTGGAAAATAGACATTGAGGCCCTCAAGGCAGCCATAACGCCACGGACACGCATGATTGTTCTCAACTCGCCTCACAATCCGCTAGGCAAGGTGTTTTCAAGGGAAGAGCTTCTCGAAATTGGCGAGCTCTGTGTAAAGCACAAGATCATCATCCTGTCGGACGAGGTCTACGATCGCCTGTACTATGTGCCGTTCACACGTGTGGCAACGCTTAGCCCAGAGATTGCGAATCTCACCCTCACGGTGGGTAGTGGGGGCAAGAATTTCTACGCCACGGGTTGGCGGGTGGGATGGTTGATCGGCCCAGAGCATCTGATCAAGTATGTGAGTGCGGCGCATACGCGAATCTGCTACAGCAGCGTAAGCCCTCTGCAGGAAGCTACGGCAATCGGTTTTGAGGAGGCAGACAAGCACAACTTTTGGGAGGAGTCGATCAAGGAGATGAAAGGGAAGATGGACCGGTTTAACAAGATCTGGGACGAGCTAGGCCTTCCTGTATGCTTTTTTTCTCTATCTTAAGTTCTGCTGCGATGGTTGCTGACGTGGTCAACAGTACTCCGAGCCCGAAGGCGGCTATTTCGTTTGCGTGAACATGGCCAAAGTGAAAATGCCTTCAGACTATGTCTTCCCACCTCACGTAGCGTCACGTCCGCGCGACTTTCAGCTCTCGTGGTTCTTGATAAAGGAAGTCGGCGTCGCAGCCATCCCTCCGACGGAGTTCTTCACGCCGCAAAACGCTCATATCGTGCAGGATTGGCTGAGATTCGCCGTGTGTAAAGAGGACGATGTACTAGAGACGGCAAAGGAGCGGCTTCGAGGGCTTAAGAAGTATATTGTTGAGTAGAAAGGCTAGGGAAAACATATATCTAGATGGCAAGAGGATTAGATGAACCTAAAGAGCCAATAATTCACACTGCTTTTGGGCATCGGACTTTTTTCATTTCTTCCCGAGCGGCAACTGCGTCATTTTACTGGCGTCCATTGTGGTTAGAGACTAATCTGAAAGTTCACCGTACGCACAAGTCAGACATATTCTCTATCAGTTTGGACATTTAAGATGAACCGCCCGTTAGACGGCTTGGCTTGCTCAGCGTCTATCTGCATCAAAAAAGATAGCGCTAGCTCTTTCCATTTATTCCGCTGACTACAAATGCCGATGTCATTTTTTGATGGCCTCTTTCCCCCGTTTGGGTTTACTTCGCGGCGCCCAGAACAAGTGCAGGCATGGACACAAATTGTAAGTCGTACGCTTAATGATCGATCCACTTGCGAAATTACCTTGGCGTGGCCTTGGCAGACCTGTGCATTGTCTTTCCAGGTGCACAAAAGCAGGTTTTGAATGAGGCAGAATTCTTTCGAGTCTTCGAATCCATTTCTCCTCCATCTCGCTGCGGCTCGGACTTCCGCGGCATGGATCAGCCTGGCTTTTACGTACTCTCAGACAGTCCACGACCTTGGCGTCCTGTTTTTGTGTGGTCATTTGATTATTAATTGCATGTACAAAAGAATTACGTATCTAACGCTAGTGATATGCAGTGCACTTGCAGAGGGCGTAACTGTTCAGCAGTCAAACGGCTCAAGCCAGCCCGCATTGCATGTGTTGCACTCAAGCTGCCGAATAAGGGCAATGATTTGTCTGAGATAAACGCGGCCAGAGCGAGCAAAGTCATAGTGTTCGAGGTTTTGGTGATAAGTCACAATCAGAGTAGACAGTGCCAAATTATGCGAAGAGTGAGAAGCTTTGACTAGCCTCCAAGCAAGCCGTTACCCGGTTGTCAACTTTGTGCAAGGAACTTCGTCATTCTTGGTAGTCAGACAGTGTACTATTTCATCCCATGCAGCCTTTCTTAATTCTCGCACATTCCTCGCAGATTCTCCGTAATATCTCTATGCGAAGAACGGGGCCCACCTCACCGTATCTTCGGCATATATCTGCTTTTTGAGGCTCGACAATCAGAACAGACGGGAGATGTACTACGTTAGCTGCAGCTGCTGGACCGTGCACGAAACCCGATCATATATCAAAGTAAAGGTCTGTCAATTATCAAGCGTCTAGACCACCCTTAGCAGGATCGTTAAGGGAAGACGAGCGTGCGCTAGACACGAATCCTGCTCATCCTGCGTCGACGATTCGGGTGAAAACCTCCACGCGCAGCTTGCGGAACGTCGCCGAATGTTCATCCACGCAGATTATGACTGCCGTCAAAGACGGATCTGCAATTTGCTAAGCGCCTTTTGCCATACTTCGGCAGCCACGTGGGAAAATGAACTCTGGTCTCAAAATTCCAACATCACAGATTGCTATGGAGCTTTCGCTGCATTTGCTAAGTTGCTGATACCTCGACAAATTGCGGCATCTTCCAGGTCGGGCGGCCCGTATCTGCGAGAGGTCATTATTGGGAGCTGGCCAATCCATGTTTGTGAACATGGCGTTCGTTGAGTTGTAAGCTAGAAACCTTGTTTTCATCATATTTGTGCTTGATGTCGAGGAATCACTTTCTGCACCATACAACATTGTAGCAGAAATGACATAACCGGGGGGCGTATGACTTTCAAAGGCCATCTTTGAACAATATCAGTCAGGCTTCCTGACATAGAAGAGCAGACGAAGGATAAGAGCAGGGGCGGTCTGAACACGCGTCCAATCAAAGGCGCTTACAATGTACTCTGCAGAAATGCTTGCATTTCCATGTCCATCAGCTGTAAGTCAGCCACCATGTAGGTCTCGAATTCTTCACGTCATTGTGCACAGACGGTAATATAGGAAAGTCTTTGTCCCATTCACGGAACAAGCTCCTCGTTTCCGTTGCTTGCGGAGTTGAGGTAATCGCAGGATCTTGTGAAGTGGCTAACGCTTGTTGGCCCCGCTAGCGTCGTATGCAGAAGTCAATACTGCAGCACAATGATTCAGTTCTGCATTCTCGGCCGCCACCGGTTAAACTCGAAATTCGCGGGCGCAACGCGAAAGTCACCAAAACAGAACCCTTTTAATTCTTGAATGGAATTCACTTCGCAGTATTGATTCCCTGTGCAATGCTGGTCTCAGTCCAAAAAAAGTGGTTCCAAAGCCATAGATGCTATTATATGTCTACCAATGCACTCGGACTTTCCGCTAACCTGAAAAGAAAACTAAGAAACCGGATATCCTCCGAGAGTACATATGCAAGATCAAACGTGGAACCCTGGAGCTTTATATCCTTGACTGCGGGCCGTAATAGCCTCGTCTTTCCCTACGATCTCGGCCTTCGAGAATCTTGTACTGGTACTTGCCATGCTTTCGACGATACCCCATTAGTTCCTGATAGTCGGCATCGCAGATAATCCTTTTCGACCACAGGTGGCGGACGAGAGCGTACTCGGGCAACGCCGACGCCATGGTATCTCCCAGCTTGAAGTGCTGCGCCAGGTGTGACATGTTGGCCGCCCATGAGACGTTCGGATCTGGGATGTTGAACGTCATATCACAAAGGGGACACGTATTCGACAGAGGCGGCGACTGTCCCCGGAAGTGGGCGAGGTTATGCTCTTTCCACTCCATCTCATTGGTGGACGCATAGTCACAACGGAGGAACCAGAAACGGCAAGTAAAAGTTGGCGGCGGCATTGTGGCCGCTTCTATGACATCGCCATCTGGCACAAGCTGTAGCACGCCTTGGATTGGGTCTAGGTCATTATCGAGCTCTGAAACGGTACATACTGTGGAAGACGTCGTCCAGCTTTGTAGTGACGATGTATCATCGAACAGGAACGACTCGTTGGCTGACGGCGCCAGATCCCCGCTTTCTGACCGCTTGGATTGCCGGGATCGTCTTTTGCCGCCCACGCCGCCAATAGGTGTGGTGCCATAAGCGCTAATCGTTGACGACAGGTTACTCTGCGGGAGCGCTTGCTCGGTTGTTTGACGCGGCATCTGATCTTCCGCGTCTGTAGTTGTTACCAGCAGACTGGTCAAGAAGCTGAGTGGGTTGAACAAGCGGTCGCTAATGTCCTCGTGGCTGGCTCGGTCGTGCAATGGCGAGATCGTAGTGGACAGATTGTGTGCGGAGTAGCCGCTGTCATTCAGCGTGTGCGTGTGGGGTAACCTGGCAACCTTTGATAGCAGGGTCCAAAGAGGATAGACAGCATAGTATACAAACGAAAAAGCAAGTGGCATTGCATATCAATGAAACAAGTTTGAACAATGTACCTTTTTTATACTTTGCGTAGGATGGTACCCCTCCTCCCCACGTACCGTTTTCTAATCGAGATAACCGCCGCAGGCTTCTCGATATAGAACAATCCTCACAGTATCAGGCGATAGCGCATGTGTTAAGGTTGGTCTGTGTTGACGCAGTCTGAGCAGTTGCCAATGTTATCCTAGGCGTACTCCGGGATAGCCTCGCCAGAACTAGAAGCGCTATTGGGGTTGCTAAGCGATCGGCGTCAAGGACTTGACTGTCACGGCTCACGGAGATAGATCTCCCCGCAGTAGAGGGGTAGCTGTTGAGCCGTTTGGCCAAGTTTATCGTTCGCAATGTGCTGTCTCTACATCCGTTCGAGCAATAGGGCACGATGTGAACGGTTAAGCGAGGAGCCACGAGATGAGGGCCTGTGCGGAGACTTCCTAGTCATACTGCCACAATCATCATGAGCACGTCTTTTGAGTTTTGGAGGCTGCTTCCCGCATCGCAATTGCGTTTTGACATCATGTAGAATTTTGCGACGGGATTTCGGAGCGCTCGCCGCTGCCCGAGGTGATCTGTCGGTTGAATCAAGGGGCGCGTATCAAACTCTTGTGAGCAGGTAGGGCTGTTAGCTGAAACACGTCCCAATTAAAAGCTTTTATGTTAGCACAACGTCCTTGGGCGCTTTGCAAGGACGTGAAAAGGCGCCCTCGTGACAAACGTGATTTTTGCTGGCTTCTAAGTAACGCTCTGCAGGATGCTGCAGGCACGACGGCAACCCTTGCATGTGCAGGACCTGCATATGCACCACTAGGTTCAAAAGTCGGCAAATGAGCGCATCTTTTGAGGACAACCGCTGAAGCGTTTTTATTTGCTCAATGTTTACTGTGCGGGGCAGTGAGCGAAATTGTACGTCCCATATTCAGCACCTTACTAGCCAAAATCCTTAATGCTTTTCAATCCTTCGCCGACCGAGACCCAGGCTCTATGTCACACCCTGACTTACGACGATAGCAATCTGTTGCACTGTCGCCTAGCTTGTGATAGCCCAGAGGCCACAAAAGGCTCCAACTAGCGGAAATACGGACCGTATGCCGTTCAATCGAGCCCACTTGGTAAGCAAGCCGTCGAGTTCACTGTCCTCCTTAGCAGCCAGACCAGATTCTGCAACAGCTAGCTTTGCGTCGAGCTTTTCGTTGGTTGGAAGCATGGTAAGGATGGTCCATGGTGCGATCATCAAAGTTGAGATGGCTGCAGCAGACAGAAAATATATCGACGTAAGCGTGGAGCTGCTTGCAGGTTTTTGTTGCACAGACAGTGAATACGCAGCATATGCGAAGGCGGATGCCGACAGTCCAGCAATTTTTGGCGCAGTCGTAAACCCAATGTCAAATATCGTCCGCCATTGTTTGGGAGCAACATTAGGCGGAGCCTTGGATACTGCTGACATTCCTGGCATGGTCATGCTACCAATGTAGCCTGTCATTCGATCAGCTGAATATTCGTCGTCGTACACTAGGTAACTCTGCAACCTACCTGATAGCCATGCGGCCGAAGCGCAGCCAAAAATCTGAGCAATGCGTGCTGCTGTCATTGAGCTCATCTTGACAAAACTGGATATGCGATGCGAGGCGATGAAAGGTGTCCTGTTGCTGATGTGGGCTACGTTCGCCAAGTGCTAAACTATAGGAAACGTGGAGGTTATCGAAAACTGGCTAGCACAAAGTGCATGGAAGATTGTAAGCAGCCATGGCGAGTTCATCCCTCCCCGCGCGAAGACCCTGGTCCTTTATGGCATGATGATAGGCCTGACAGGCCACTACCTCAAGCCAGCGAGTCTCTGAACGAGCAACGACAATACTTGACAAAGCCCATTGGCCGCTTCCACGAACTTAGCCCGCGCGTATTTGCGTGAGCGAAACTTTCACGTGGCATTGGGGCGCAGTTTGCTGATGGAGCCAGTCTCATCTACGGGGCAGACTTTCCTTTATTCCCTATACTGTTATCGCGACTGACAATAGAAAGTGAGAGTTGCATAAGGCTTATGCATAACCGGAAGCTCGGATCTCTAGCTATCCATGCCATCATGACTTTGGCAGGATGACAGTTCGATACCATGCACTCGTTACTGTTCACTCCCCCAGTAATTATGCTCACCTTGTCTCGCTCCAGATGGCTCGGCAAGGACCACCCCCTTTGTATTAAAGGGGATAGAGTTCACGCTGAATAAACCACGTATAGCTGCCTGAATCGCCATGTCTGCGAGCCCCACACCTTCAGCTCCTCCGGAATGACCGTGAACAGCAATCTAGTCGAGAGCTGGATACTGTGACCGACGCTAAATATTTAATGTTATAACGGGCAGGCATTATCCCTTCCTATCATTGACATGGGCCAACAAAAAGTATGCGGCGTTTAGACACCTTGACCTTCCTGGAATGAAATTTGGAGAGTGACAGTCTCGTGCTCCGACGGATAATTCATCGTGTTATGCCAACCTACATGTATATAGCATGAATAACAAGCTGTTGCCCCTGCTATGGCAGCCAGACACCACCCCATTCGTTTAGTGTGATGACGCCAGCCACGCCTGAGATGTGCACTAAGAGCATTAGAGACGGAGGATGGTACAATAGTTCCTCACTCTTGCCAGGCAACATGAAAATCATGAAAAACATGAAGTTCGTCAGATCAGCCAGGATCAGAGCCAATTCCACTGGGCATTTGGCACAAAACCTGGTCAGACTGCTGGCACTCTAATCGAGCATCGGTGCTGCTCGGACACGAGGTGACCTAAGTCAAGGATAAAAAGTCACCAGTCAGTACGGCGATCCGCCCTCGTTGGTATTGAACATGAGGATGCGCAGGCACCAGGCGTATAGTGCACAGATGCATTTTTGGCGGCATATCCTGGGACAGCTAATGAGCGCAATCTGTATTCCTTAACTATAACAAGCCGATTTTTCCTCCGCTCACATGTGGCATTGGTGATAGTACACGGTGTTACGACATGAGCCAAAGTGGCTGGAAGCCGCCACGCGCTCGGACCATCGCCGCCACCCACCAGAGGTCATTCTTCCATCGTCGAACTCTCCTATACACATCATCATTGTCTGTAAGATACAGTGTCTTGCCCATATTGTAAGCTACATCTACTATAGCTCTTAAAATAACGAAAGTATTTTCTCATTTTCCAGCCAAGAATGGGCATCATGATCTTGTGCATCCCCGTATTTTCACAGAACTGGCGAAGCCTACCAGCCTCACACCAACCTCACTACAACCACAGCATTTTTCTGTAACAAGCACAATGATTTCATTCTTTGGTAGATTATATGTCTGAAAAATTATTCTTGGCTCATTCCCAAAATCAAATATTCTTCTCGACATATTTATTCTTTTGCATCTCCGTCGAGTACAGCTCGTTGAGTCTCTCCTTGCTGAACATTTGGAATCTCCGTATGCCCAGGATGCGGTTTGCTGGGAGAGTCTGCCTTGTCGCTCTTCCCATTGTTGCGATTGCGCAGAATACAAGTTTCGTTACCGTTCCAGTTGTTATCAATGGTACGCTTTCTTAACATCAGCAAAGAATCCCGATCTCATCACTCACGAGCTTCTGCAGGCTACACGACCAGCATCGCTATACCAGCATACACGGGACAGTCAGCAATCGAAGCCACGGTAACTTTATCCGTGGCCTCCAACCCAGCTGAAATATATGGCACAGCCGCAGCTGGAGCTCCACAGAGCACGGCTACTGCAACGCAGCTCACTGTCGTCCCGGGCTCGCCACAGGGTTCGAGTTCGCCTGAAGCATTGACATCGACGCCGCCAGCGGGAACACCAGGGACTCCCGAATCTCCACCTTCCGTGCTACCTCTGGCCACTAATGCTCCAGAAGCTTTGACTCAGCCGTACGGAGTGTCCAATACTCCAGCCGTCGTGACGGAACAGCCCGCATCCACTGTCGAGGTCTCGCAAACTACCTACACGACTAATGCTGCCGGTGAATCCGTGCCCATCGTCATTCCCGTTCCAATTTCGGTTTCACCGACGACATATGAGACCACCATCTCCGGGTCGCCGGTTGTCGTTATCACCAACGTGCCTGTGACTGGAGTCGCCAGCAGCGTTGCTTCTGGCGTCTCGAGCGCAGCTGCCTCGGCCTCGAGTGCGGTGTCCAGTGCTGCTGCATCTGCCTCAAACGCAGTAACGAGTGCTTCTAGGGAAGCATCTAGTGCAGTTGCATCAGCATCGAGCGAGGGCTCGAGTATCACCTCGGCAGTCAGTGCTTCAGTTTCATCGGCTGCATCAGCTGCCAGCAGTGCAGGAGCTTCCGTATCGTCAGAAGCCAGCTCCGCTGCCTCGTCTCTCAATTCAGCAGCGAGCTCTGCATCGGCATCAGCATCCTCCGCTCTCTCAAGTGCTTCAGCATCCGCTTCCTCTGCCCTGTCTTCGTTCACCAGCAGCATCTTCAGCGCCAGCTCGTCCACTGCAAGCCCAACTGCACCTGTGCCAACGGCCCGGAACGCGGCACCAGATGCAAGGATACCAGGCGCTTTGATCTTCCTGAGTTGCGTTTTGACTGTAGCACTTGCTTGGGTGCTGAGCTCATGATCACAGCCACATGCGATCTCTTTTCTCTTTCATTCCGATGTTACAATTTAATATGTCCTTAATACCCGCGTAATGCATAATACAAGCGGCGTTTTGATATTTTAGCAGGGCGGGATCTTCTTTTTAGGAAAACACATACGAGGGAAGGATTGGAATATCATGACGTTACGGTTAACACAAAGGAGAACTAATGCCGGCAATGTATACATGAAGACAAAAAGCAAAAGAGAATAACAGCTATCAAGACTTCATGTTAGACCGATTCCGTCCGCAGTCAGAAGCCTTGATTCTTTATGCCATGCAGTTCTAGAGCAATCGTACGATGTCACCGCACCTAAATTGCTCGCATGCATTCCGGGGTAAAAAACCAAAAAGGCAAGAGGAACATGGAGACCGCAGAGATGACCCGACCAAACGCTTACCGTATCTAGCGTAGCGTGACTTCGGAGCGTGCACCTTGAGGCTCCGCAAACGAAAGCATGCTCCCAAAATTGTGTGCTTTCACGAGCATTCCGCATGTAAAATCTGCACTTGCGACGCGAGAAAATGGCGCAGGCGTTTCCCTACACGGTGTACTCGTGTCCCTGCGTGGACGTGACGACGCCGTCGCCTTCGTCGAAAGTCTCCCAAAAGCGCAATTCAACACAGCAGACCGCCACTTCGGGAACAGTTCACGACGATGACGACGACGAGGACAGAACGTTCGACCCTCGCTCCCCGCGCGCAAGCTTCTCCCTCTTCCCGCTCGAACACCTCCTGTACTGCACGGAGTGTCAATCTCTTCGTTGTCCGCGTTGCACGACCGAAGAGGTCGTATGCTGGTACTGCCCGTCATGCCTCTTTGAGGTTCCTTCGTCCACCGTTCGCTCCGAAGGCAACCGATGCACGCGGTCGTGCTACAACTGCCCAATATGCACATCCTTCCTCAGCATTGCAGCAATGGGGGAGACGGAGAATGGTGAGCCGGCAGGGCCCTACGTGCTGACGTGTGGGTACTGCATGTGGACGAGTTTGGACGTTGGCTTGAAATTCGAAAAGAGCAACAATATCACAGGCCAGCTGGCCAAGATGCGGAACGGCGGAGTTGCTGTAAATTCGGGAAAAGAGGAAGACGAAAGGAGGGCCTCTGTGCAGGACAGCAGCGGTGGCGACGAGGCGAAATCGCCGTCTGACGAGCAGAGCGGGCATCCGCCCACGACGGACGAGATCTTCGGCAAGCTGAACGCATTCTACAAGCAACAGTTGGAAGAATCGGCCGAGACAGGCGTGTACGGAGGCGCGGCCGGCGACCTCAACTACTCGTCTCCTTCATCCATCAACCGGCTGCTCAACATGTACGCAATGGGCAAGAAGCCCAAGTCACGGAAGCCAAAACCCATGCGCTCGGCGTACCACCCCAACGAAGGCCTGCAGATCTTTGATCCATCGTCATCTGACCAAATGACCCTGTCAAAGCTACGGCGGCTAGGCCTCGACGCAACCGCGACGCTGGAACAAGTCTACTTCCAGGACCCGCGCGCCGGCACGCCGCGCTTCACCTCGGACCTGCGACCGGTAGCGACGTTGCTGAGGACGAAGCGCAGCAAACGCTGTAAGACGTGCCGTACGCTTCTGTCACGGCCCGAGCCCAAGGTGTCGACGACGCGGTACAAGATCCGGGTGTTGGCCTCGTCAAACCTGCCCTCGCTGACGCTGCGCTCGCTGACGTCGCCACCCACGACGTCGAGCACGCATCCTCTGGTCTCGCTGCCCAAACAGAGCGCCAACCTGCCGTATGCTCGCCTGGCGCCGCTCGCGCCCCACCAGTTCGTCCTCACGCTGACTAACCCGCTCTTCGACGCGATCAAGGTCCTGCTGGCCACGCCCGCAACCACGCCCGGCAGGGTCCAGACAAAGGTCACACTGCTGTGCCCGCAATTCGAGGTCGGCGCGAACACGGACGTGTGGGACGAGGCGCTCAACAGCTCCGCCAGCGCGGCCGCCCGGCGCAGGTCCGTCATGCCCGGCGCGCCGGGCGCCGCCGCTGCCGGCGACGACGGCCGTCAACCAGAGGTCGGCAAGGTGTGGGATCGCGGCCGGAACTGGACCAGCGTCGTGATGGAGGTCGTGCCGGGCCTGCTTCCTGGCGGCGCCGACTCGTCGCTGACCGCGGCGGTCGAGAAGGCGACCGAGAAGAGCAGGGATGGCGTGGCAGACAGCGACAGCGACAGCGACGCAGGCGGCGACGGAGACGCCGGTCTGGACGAAGACGAGGACGTGATCGAGGTGCCCATCCTCGTGCGCATCGACTACGAGACGGAGGCCGGCGGTGGCGCAGGCGAGGAGAAGCGCGAGGCTGCCCCCAAGGAGAGAAGGGAGCTCGCTTACTGGTGCGTCGTCGGCGTAGGCAGGGTCGCCCGCTGAGAGGCCCGTCCGCGAGCGCGCTCCTCCCTCGGCGACGACAGCGATGGGGCTCCACCCGACCCCCAACAAGCGGCTTGTGTGCTTTGCACGACTGAGATACCCACGAAATGACGAAGCGTTTAAACAACACCCACTTTCCCCCCTCGTCCTGCTCCCTCCCTTTCTCTCTTAGTTCCTTTCGTCCTTCTTCCTCCTTTCTTTCTATCTTCCCTTCTCGCGTCCCCAGCAAAGCTTCCAACAAAACACCCTTTGCTTTGCCGTCCTTTCGGCACCTCCTCCCTCCCTCTTCGCAGTGACGCCCACGTCAACCCGAAGCGCGCCCCGAACGTCCCCGACACAAACTTGCCCGCACCGGGCCGGTGGATAGCGAGCAGACGCCCGGGCGCGAATCCGACCCACGCCTCTCGCCTTTCACCCGCCTTCCGCCCAGGAAAGCTCGTGCCGGTCGCCCAGGCCAGCTCACCCCACACTTTCAACGCCGGGCGCGCGCTGTCCCTCCCCCCCCCCTTCCTTCCCTCGCCCGCCCAACCGCCTTCCATCAGAGGTCCACCGTGGCGATCAAATCGTGCAGTGACGGCCGGTGGCGTGAATGCTGCCATCGGATTCTCCAAGCGTAGGCGGAACCAGAGAAGTTAAGAAGCGACCGAGGTAGAGGAAGCGTAAGAGAAATGAGGAAGAACGAGGCTGCGCAGAAGCACGAAAAATAAAGGTAGCGTATTTGTTTTTTGGGTTCATTTCGTCGTGACCTGGCCGACGTGTCAACACTAAACAAGGGCACGTGAGGAATTACATGCTTGCAGGTGGATCAGAAACGGGAATTAAATTCACTTTAGATATGTCGTTACAATCTAAGCTTGGTCGGAGGCTCTACGGTAGCCATGCGTCGACCGAATTGCAAAAGCCAAACCAAACCAAACCAAACAAAAACATGATGAGTAAGCCTGTGCGCTCCAAGACGCTATGTTTGCTCTCTTGTGTATGTGTGTATGTGTGTATGTGTGTATCGGAACTCTTTGACGAGAAAAAAGGACAGCATTCGGGGACTCAATTAGCAAGCAAAAGTTCAAAGGACAAGATGCAGATCGCTATGCAACATGCTCATGAAGTGATGAAGGCAAGGAAAGTTATGATGATGTCGATGTCGCTGATGATCAATGATGATGATGACAGTAGGGAAGTTTTTCCTCACAGCGTTCGGGGATGCTGCTCTCTTCATATCCACTCGTTTCCTACTTTCCTTCGCATTTAAAATCAAGCCCTCGCCATCCACTGATTAATGCAGTGGCGAAACTGTCCCCGTTGCGGAGACAAGCGACATCGCGTACGAACTCGAGTCGGCGCTCACCCTTGGCGGAATTGGTGGTCATTCCCTGCCGCTCAGAAGCTCCACGTCTGGAACCCCCCAGCCATAGTCCATTAGCAGAGCGCGTCCGTCCTGGCTCGTGGCAACGATGCGACGGTAGTCACCCTTGGCGGCCAGGATCCAACTTGTAGTCCAGTTGTCGTACGAACCGATAAGCTCGCCCGAGTGGAAGTCATACACGCGAATGCCTTGGTCATAAGAGCCAGAGACGATCCGGCCGTTGGCAGAGTCGAGGAACAGTGAACGCACGAGCGAGTTGTGGCCTCGGAACGTGTGCACCAGCTCCGTCGTGTTGGCGTCGAACTTGTAGATGACTTGATCGTTGCCGCCCGCGAGGACGTACCGACCATCGTCAGAGAACTCAACCGCTGCGAGGCCGCGGTCCTGGCTGTTGAATTGCTTGATAACTTCCAACTTCTGCAGATCCCAGATCTTGGCGAGCCCGTCGCCCGAGGCCGAGACGAGAAGCTTGCGGCCATCAATCTCGCGCAGTTGGACCGCGTTGACAGGCCCTCGGTGGCCGTGCAAGGCCTTGATTAGCGTAAATGTCTTGCGGTCCCACACGCAGATGTGCGCATCCTTGGAGCAAGAGATGATATACCGGTCGTCCATGCACACGTCCAGCACGCCCGCCGTGTGATGGTGCAGCCTGCGAATAGGCTCAAATGTGTTGATATCCCACACGATACAGGAATGATCTGACGAGCCGGTGACCATGATCTCCTTGTCGAACTGCAGGCATAGGATCGATGCCGTATGGTAGTCAGAGGGAATGTGGAAGATGGCGTCGCCTTCGGGTGTGCCATTCAGGCTGCGTGTCTGATGGACCGTGTTTGTTGGATGTGTTTCGAGCGTGGCGTCCGAAGCAGGGCGAACTGGTCGAGCGGCGGGGCCGCCTATGACCTTGCGGCACCTGTACGGGGCATTCAGGTCCCACACACGGATCGTTCTGTCCCTTGAGCCTGTGATTATCTTGTCTTCGTCGAACTGGCAGCAGTACACGCTGTCCGTGTGGCCGACAAAGTATATGGCTTTGGGCTGCATGGTCTTCCAGTTCTTCTCCACCTTTCGTCTGGCGGCGCACATCTTCTTCCACTCCTGCGGTTCGTTGGGCCGCCGTCCGAGGCCCTGGCCGCCGAACTGAATGTATGGCAGTACGTTGTCATCGGCTCGAGCGTATCGGCCTAAGAAAGAGGAGCGCCAGACAGCTGCCGATCCGGCAACCTCATTCCACCGCCTTGAAACACGCATGCAACGTGTCAGGGCGGTGTCGTCGAGATAGGAGAGTATGCCGGCTGCGATTTCGGTAGGCAATTTGCCAACAAGGTCTGTTCAAGTTAGCCTGATAGTTCTCTGCTCCAACAAGTTCAACAGCGCACCCAATGAAGGTGCACAATGTTGACCGCTGAGCGACAGTGACATTCCTCATCTCCTCCTTGACAAAGAGAAGAGAATAGAAAAAAGTCGCTGCCGCGGCTTGGCAGCCTGCATCCATCTCCGCGCCAAAAAAAAAAAAAAATAGCATATGGACGTCCAACACGTACCTGTCCTTGCTGGCGGCTTAGACCGCCTGCGATCCGTGAACTCGTCGAGCCCATTGTCCGCTTCCATGGAGTCATAGCCCGCATACAACATGTCAATGTCCTCTGCAATGGGCGAGAACTTGCCCTTGCCGCCCTTCCGCTTCTTTGGCACGCGCATGTCAATGTCATCCGACATCTCCTCGTCCGATAGGTCGTGTGGATACAGATGGTGGTGTTGATGTTGATGTATGTGTGGTGTCGCCTCTGGAAATGTAGAATCAACCATGCCATGATGCTGATGCAAAGACAGCTTGTTGTGATTGTGCTCTGCGGCCGCAGCGCGAGCCGCGGATCCGGGAGCCATACTGTGCCACGGATGCGGAGCCACGGTCAGCAAGCTGTGCTGAAGCTGTTCAGGGGTTTCAACGTAAAATGACGGTGCGTCACCCATGTGTGTATCCTCGTCGTGGTGATTCTGTGTCGTCGCGTGCTCTCTGACGAGCGAGTAAAACACACGCCTCGGATGAGCTTTGTCCCGCAGACTCTTGAATCGCCTGATTCCCCTACTGCTGCTGCCATTATTACTACTGATGCTGCCACTGCCATTGTGCTGCGGGACCCGCGGAAGAGATGAGGAGACAGACGCGGTGCTCCTCGCGGACGGCGTCGAGGCCAGCGTGTTGGACATCGAATTCAAGCTCGCCGTCGGATTGATGCTCGACGCTGCGTTCACTGGACTTGAAGCGGCACTGCTGCCGCTTGCGGCGAACGAGTCGTGCGTGCTCAACCGCTCGACGGGTCGCATGTCCCTGCCGTTGCCCTGAAGTGCCTTGCGCGCCATTGCACTGAAAGCTCCCCTCGCCTCTTCGATGCCAGCCTTGAATCTGTTTCGCTGCGGTTGAGCCTGTGGACCCTGCTGGTGCTGGTTTGCATCCACGCCACCGCTGCCGCTCACAGAGAAGGAGGACAGCAGGTACGAGGACGACGGTCTGGGTCGCGAGAATACGGCGACTGCTGACGTGTCTCTGGCGCTGTGGAAAAACTCGTGTGTGGAACGGCGAGTCTTCAAGCCGGGATTCCTTGCGTTTGCGCAGGACGGTGCTGGATATGAGGCTGAGCTCGAGGTTGCTGCGTTGCTCAGGCTCGTTGCGATCGCGGGAGCGTCCGAGGGGGGCCGAGCCAACGGAGACGACAACGACGGCGTATGACGAGCAGTGGAAGAAGACGAAGTCGGATTCAGGGTGCCGGAGGAATCGTTGTTGGGAAGGCCGGACGAGGTTTTTGGTCGCAGCCAGTTGTTATGAACCATTCTCCGGTCGAGGACGGTCGAGCCAGGCCAGTCGCACAGCGCCGGTGCTGGAGACGTCGCTCCACTGAACGAGAGATCGAGAAGCGTCTTGGCTTGCAAATTGCCTCTGCGAAGTATCTGGTCGGCACGCGTGAATGATTGCGCCGTATGTTTGTGCCGGACAAATGATGTGGATTACGGGTAGGGAGCAGTGCGTGCTGGACGGTATGGAAAAACAGGAAGATCCTGCTATCGGTCCAGGATCGACACGTCCAAATCAGACAAAGACAGACAGAGCAGCGAGCACTAAAGGCCCAGCCGGGGGGCGGGCGGGGGCCGGGGGAGGATGCTGGTGTCGGTGCTGCGAATGAACACGCAGTGATAAAATAAACCAGGACGGAAGAAGAAAACGAAGGAAAGTCTTGGGATATATACGCGAGAGCGTGTGCGAGCAGAGGTGGATTTATGTGAGAGTTGTTTTTTTTTTTTTTTCAGCGTGGCAAGACGCTCGCGGTCTTGTTGAGGAAGAGTCGACCGGCTTAGGCGGGAAGTGAGCGAGTTCAGCGAGTGAAAGAGAGAGAGCGAGGACGAGCGCAAGCAGGCGAGAAGCTGCCCGTGTTTAGTATCGACGCTCACAGGGTTTGTCGGCCAGCCTTGGTACACTTGCGTAGCCCACTCGACGCTGGCCGTGCTCTGAATTTTATTTTTATTTTTGATCTTTTTTAATTCCTTACTCCTGATGGGGCCCTTCCCCGTCGCCGGTCTCTTGTTCGGCCTTTGCTGGGCTCACGGCTCAGACTTTTTTTCTGCTGGGCCTGCGCGACTGTCGGTGAACGGAGACGAGAGGTCGGCAGCCGTGGGTTACACGCTAGCCCGGCGTCACGACCGCCCAAGCGAGCGGTTGGCACGATTCTGTTCCACGTCCCAAACAAACGCACGCCGTCACTGCTGATGGATGGTGATCCGCGCGCCGACAAAGCTTCTTTGTCGTACCTTTAATTTTTCGCCTTCTCTTCGAGCTGCGGACGTGCTTGCGTGCCGGGCGTACGCGTGTGGTTGCAGTCTGCTTCGGCCGGTGGCCAGATGACTTGGTGAGCAGTCGAGGCGCCGTGCCTGGCAGACGAAGGGGACGAAGGACGTGTACGCTGACGGCTGCTTTAGATGTGACCGACGCGCAAAGGGAACATGCCCGTACGCACGTTCAGCCGAGCGGCGTTGTTGCCGTGGTGGATGTCGGAATGTCGAGAGCAGAAGCACAGCCGTGCCAGCTGGGACGTGTCCGCACAAGTGCACGCTCTTGTTCGACGGCGGGACGGACGCAACAATGGCCCAGCAGACAGAGAGCGCGAGACACGAGTCGTGGTGTTGGTTGTTTGTATTGTGCAGAGGAGCTGCAAGCACGAGCACGACCTGGAGTCCTTTCTCGTCCTTTGCGTCCTGCTCGTGCACTCTTCGCTGGGTCACAGCCGCTTGGCTCTTCGCTCTGCCTGTGGCTCTCACCGTTCAGCATCGTTGTCTCTTTCTTTTTCCTTTCCGTCGTCCTGCTCGTGCCTTGCGTCGTTGCTCGCCCGCCAGCGTCTGCTTGTCCTGCTTGTCCTGCTTGCTTGCAGTCTGGTATTGGCTCCGAACCGGCCGGCACCACCGACTTTTGCCCAGCTTCTGCGCTTCAGCCCCGTCATACTGACCAGCATCGCCCGCTTGCTGCGATGCTCATTTGCACACAGGACGGATCAATCACCCGTCATGCACCCATCACCGGCTCCTTCATTTGTTCTTCCTTCGTCCCCTGCCCTGCGCCGGCCTGCACTGAGACTGCTTCTGAATGGGCACACTGGCCAAGGGCCGCGAAGCTCCCTTTGTCGCGCGCACTTGGCCGCCCAAACCGTCCAACATCTCGCTCCGACACCCACGTCCACATGAACACATTCTATGTACACTGCGTGTGCGCACATACATGCACGTACACGCACACGCACGCAGATCAAACGTGCTTATGGCATGCTGCATATGTCCGCCCTACTAGTCTGCGTGCAACCAGTGTCGTGCAAGATTTGCTCCTATCCAGTCATGTGAGCCCGGCATTTCTGCATGCCAATAGTAATTTCGCTCTGCCCGCGCCGTATTTCATCTCGCAGCCAGACAGTCGAAACCCGTCCCATGCGTCCGGCCGCGCATGCGTGCCGCAGCACATGATGAAACCTCAGAAACGAAGAGGCGGTCCGCCGCCGGAGAGCGAAACGCAAGGCTGATGCCCGCTCACATAACTTTCAGACCACACACGTCGCTCAAAGAAACTTCAGCGCGAAACAGCCGGCCCCCCAAAAAAGCAAACGTTTGCCCCCTTCGCCGCAGCCATTCTCCCTTTCAAATAAAGAAAGGGAAAGGAAAGGTATACGTCTTCCCCCCAACGGAAACGAGTGGCGGTAAGAAAAAAGTTGATCGAAACTATTGCCACACCCGATCTTGCTAGCTTTTTTTCCCGCTTCGGTTCCCGCTTTTATTTTGCCCTGGGCACTATTGACGTCCACTGCTTGCAACACCAGCCCTCCTTCCCTCTTTGCAACCGAGAAGGCGCGTTCGGCCCCGTACGCGTCCAGCTAAGAAGGAACCCTCCGCGCGCGCGACGACGTCATTCCTCCCGCCCGGGAGTCAGCGCTCTCACACCAGCGAGCAAACAGGCAGGCGCGGCGCACAAGCCGAACGAGCAGGAAGCGGCACCGACGACTATGGGCGCGTCTCCACGCCCAGGCACGGCGCCGTCGCTCCAGCCCGTCGAGCTCATCACCCAACTTCCGCTGCTGTACCGCGTCTTCTTCCTGTACCTCGAGCCCGTCAGTGCGCTGGTGGGCGCCTACTTCGCCGCTTGCCGCCCGCACGCCTACCTGGCGCTCACGCACTCCGCGTCGGCGCCCGCTCCGGCCGCCGTCCCCACCGGCACCGCCGTCGTGCTCGCCCAACTTGCGAACCTGTACGTGCTGTTCACGCTCAACGAGGCCTTCGTGCTGCGCAGCTCCCGCGACGTCCGCGTCTGGCGCGCGCTGCTTTCCGTCCTGCTCGCCGCTGATCTGGGCCATCTGTGCAGCGTCGCCCCGCTCGGCCTCCACCAGTACTACGCCGCCTGGCGCTGGAACGCCATGGACGCCGGAAATCTGGGCTTTGTGTACTTGGGCGCCATCATGCGCGTCGCCTTTCTGGCCGGCGTGGGCGTGCGGACGTCACGCACCGCGCTGGTAGCTGGCCCCAAGAAGATCAAGATGTGACGTGCTCTTTCCCTTGCCCTTCGCCCTATCACTCGCTATGCTCGTTCTAGGCAGTGCACCGTTCGGAAAACCCCATGCAAATTCCATTCTCGTCGCGTCGCGTCAGTCTTCTGCGGATGATTTCACATGTCGCTCCAGAATTGTTGGACGTTAGTGCAAACACTCGGAACCAAAGGCGGCTCCACTTCAGGGCAGCAGCGGGCTCTAGATGCGGAGAAGACGTGGTCAGTCGGTATGTTACTGTTCAGGACTTGATCGAGCGCGCGAATCTCGGTTCTCCAGGGTTCAGCGGGAACATGGGGAAGAAAAAGGTTAACTTTATTTTCCACGGAACTCTTTCACGTCAAGCTTCCAGACTCCCATTTCACGTGGGTACGCCACGATTGGAGCAAGGCAAGAACCAGAAAACTGGTGCGTATGTAGTTTGGATTTGCGGGGCCCGTGGGGCCATTGACGCTACCGCGGCCAGGTCTGCACGGAGATCTGTGGTCACGAATTCTGCTGAAATCACAACTCTAGGTGGTCAAGATCTTGGGACGCAGATCTACCTCGCCGAGGGTGTTTGTGGGAATGAACCGGAGCCTGGCCACACGCGTCGAGCGAACCACCTGTTCCCCGAACGGTCGATTCGTTCCGGAGCCTGAGTCAATCCTGAACATCGAGCCATTTGTGTCTCGGCGCGTCAATCCCACAAGCGATTGAGAAAAGCTTATATCCTGCGGGACGAAGCGGCTTTACAGGGATACGGCAGGAGCCGCTGAAGATTTGCGAGAGCATCTGCGGATCGCTGATGGATGCGTGATATCCAAGACGTCTCAATTGACGAGCCAGTCTCGTGTGAGAGTCGTCGTGCAGTTATCATGTACATGTCTTTCCGGCTTTGAACGTCTGAATGCATGTCATGTCACTCTGCTTGCGAATGCATCGGGGGGGTTTTACGATGGATTATATCGGACGGCTGTAATCGAGGCGGCAAGAGGCATTCATATGACAGCTCAATTGGCATTCTAGAATCTAACGCAGCTGCGGTGGAGCAATTCACACATACTGGTTCGCAATGACGATGACATCCCTTTTCGATGCACGAAATGGACACAAACCTTTCTGCGAGTTGACTTCATCTCCACAGATACTGACCTCGCAAAGTGAGGATTCTTGAAGAAAAGGGGACGTTACCAGCTCCGTACATGGTGCGCGAGACCATCACGTAAGCTTGGCCCCTGAATTTGGAGCGGGTAACAGTCCCTCGTCCTGATATAGCTTGAACCATTTCCGAATCATGTCATCCGTGTAGATCTGGCCCGTGAACCCGTGGCTGCGCACCTTAATGCAGCTCATCGAGCTGGGCGGGCTGTTCCCCCTCATGAAGATGAAGTCCGCAAACTGGCCGCTCTGGCCCAGAAACGTCTCCAACGCGGGCGCTCTGAGTTCGTGCTTCTCTCTGATCTGGTCCCACTCCCGACCGAAGCCGGCCATCTCGCGCGTGAAGGAGAACGGCTTCGTGGGACCCTCCTGCATGCCGAGCGCCTCCGCAAAGACGGCCCAGTGCTCCTTCAGGCTCGCCAGCTCGCCGTTCTCGAGGTTGTAGCACTGGTTGCGCGCCCTGGGCTCCCTCAGCACCCACTCGCACGCCTGCGCGATCACGTCCGAGTCGGTCGCCTGCGCAATCGCCAGGCCTTCTCCCGGGTAGTACAGCGGCTCTCCCCTCGCCTTCAGTACCGCCGCGTAGACGCCGATGGCTCCGTACAGGTTCATCGCCCCGCCGACGCTCATGCCGATGACGAGGCCCGGGCGGAGCACGTTCCAGCTCCAGTCCTGGCCCTTCTGCCTCGCCTTGAGGTAGTCCTCCTGCGCCCAGTAGAAGTTGGGGATGCTCCGGTCTTCGTCTCGGTCCTCCCTCGAGCCAACGCGAATCGGGTGCACGTGGACACCGTACGCCTTGGGGCCCTGCAGGATCGTCACGTTTCGCAGGCCCTTTGCGTGCGGCACTACCGCCTCGACCGTGTTGCGCAGCATCGCCTCGTTGCGCTCAATCTGCTTCTGCTCCAGCCAGCCGGAGCGCAGGTCAGGCTCCTCGTGCAAGGCGGCAAAAACGATCTGGACCACGTCCGTGAGAGGCGACAGTGCTTTCGCGCACGCCTCCGAGCTCGACAAGTCGACCGACATCCACGACGCGCCGTACGTCGACACGGGCTCACGTCGAGACACAGCCGTGACCTTGTAGCCTCGCTCGGCGTAGTACTGCATTGCTGCGCGGCCGACCACGCCAGTGGCGCCGGTGATCAAAATGTGTTCGCCGGCCATATTCCCGCCTTACACGTGTTTGTTCACGAGTTTGGAATTCTTTTTTTCTATCCAGGGCGATGAGGCGATGGGCGATGAGGATCACATAATTGCCCTGGAAATTGTCGGCAAATGCAGAGGAGAGAGTGAGGAGTAGTGGTAGTAGTCTAACCGCTTCTAGGTAGACGGGCTATCAAGGAACGGAACCTCACAAAGGTTTTGCAAACGTTTTTGCCTAGAAAAAAAATCTCGCGGTTCATTTGGCGCTTTCACGCGTGTCTTTCTGGATCGTGACGCGGTCCTGGGGGAAACAAGTTGTCATTGAAAAGTCTATGGCCAGCAAGTCAACTGCCTTTGCTCAGAGCTACAATGGGTCCCCTCCGTCGAGACGTGGGGATAGGACCAGCGGTTGAAAGTAAGAAGTTTAGATCCAGCGCTTGTTGCCGTGATGAGACAAGAACGCGCCGCTGTCGCCGTTCTCCACGCTCGCTTTCTCGTAGACGGCCATCATGGCCTTGACGGACTGCTCGACCGTTATCGGTCCGCTGAAATTCGGGTCGTATCTTTTCAAGATCGAGACCATGTGCGCCATCGCCTTCTGCGCTTCTTCGGTGCCTGCACGCGTTCCTGTCAGCAAAGCGTCCGTCGCATGTGTCGGCTACGTCTTGAGAGCGCTCACTGAGATCCATGTTTCCAGAGTCGACCATGCCGGGGCTGAGATTGAGGAACAGCACGCCGTCCTGCGCGTACTCGGTGCTGAACTTCGCCATTGCCGTGTTTGCTGCCGACTTGCTGATAGAATACGCGGCTTGGGAGTCGAAGCCGTACTTTCTCGTCATGTCGTCGTCGGAAAGGCCAGTGGCGAGGTGGATCACCTTCTTCCGGTTGCCATTGAGAATGAGCGGCATGAACAGATTCACGAGGTGAATGTTTCCTATGACGTTGACTTTGAATGTGCGTAGAAGCTGCTGTTCTAGCAACTTCGGGTTTTGACCTCTGCACGGGGTAAAAAGAAAAAAACGCGCTGTTAGATCTTCGTCACACGAGAAAAGGGGTGTGGTTTGTTCAACTCACAAGACCCCGAGAGGGGGAATGCCCTCGATTCCCACCAGGTCGGCTGCATTTGCTATTAGATAGTCCAGACTTCCGCCGGTGATCTCGGCCGTCTTATCGGCCGCTTGCTGGATGGTTTGGTCAGCGCTGACTTGACCTGCTGAAAACATCGCCTACCTTAAGCGAAGCGTAGTCCGACAGGTCGCCCTGCAGGATGTGTATGTTCTTCCTTGGAAACTCCTTGGAAACCTTTGCTTCCGTGGCGGCCTTATCGCGGGCCATGCCAATGACGACGTTGTCCGGATTGCTCGACAACTGTCTCAAGAACTCGAACTGCACGGCTTAGCTACAAGATATGTTCCGAAGCGGGATCAGCCACATACTCCGATGCCTCGTGAGACACCTGTGACAAAATAACTAGCCATACTTGAGTTCACTTTGGGGGCAAAAGGGGTTGGATTTTTTCTGCTGTTTGTGTATCCCTTATCTTGCTTGCAATGTTCAAAGAAGTACGAAGTCGTTGTCGACTCTCCGAAAAGAACGACAACACAGTGATTTATACCATGATCCGTCGTAGAAAGGAGCCTATTTTTGGAGTCTGATTTGCAATCAGTTCGAGGTTTTTGAACGCGTGAACCACGAACTCGCGGTCCACATCGGTCAGGCTAGTTCTGCTCGACATGGCCGGCCTCGCAGGTTATTACCATGAAGCCGAATTCAGATCTAGCATGAGAACAAGATCAGGGCTGCATGTCGCCAAAGGGCGGACACGCAAGGTGCCATTGAGCCTCAGCGACTCTTCGCGCCGTTCGCAATCCAATTAGGCCGCTGTATGATGCGAACGGCGTCGCAACGGCAAGACTCAGCAACGGAGATAACTGGATTTGATTTGTCATGGACAGCGTTTACGATCAGCATTGCCTTGTGAAGAGAGCTCCAAAGGAACGTCCCGTGGGTCTCCAATATAAGCGTGTTGTTTCTTCGCACAGCTCGTTTCGCAGAAACTTGCCAGTGTTCCGAATGCAGACTAGAACTAGTGCTCTTACTCTGTTAGGAGCAGGACTGTGCGGACCTTCGCGCGAGCCAAGACCTAGTTTACCTTGCTTCGAACCCATATCACAGCAACACCCAAGCGATTTCCAAGCAGAGCCTTTCGAAGTTTCTCCGACGGCATGGCTTTAACGGGGCACTTCCCGCAGGCTCGCAGTTTCTTGCCCATCAATGCGAATGTGGCAGCACTGTTCTCACGTCGTCGCTAAGTTTTCTCAATGGACGAAAGCAGGAAGATTACAAATGCTCCACGTGCCAAGACCGGCTGTTGGACTTGCAAAGGTGTGACGGTTGACTTCATGCCATTGTCGCTATTCTGACGAGGGTAAAAACAGACCGCAAAGTCGCTTGCGACCGACAGATCCCTTTCTGCGCCGTCTGCAGCAAATCAAAGCGGCCATGCGGTGGCTACGGCATGCGGCTGTCCTGGCCTCGAGAAAAAGACGCGAAGAGAGCGGTGGTGTATCAGCCCGCTTTGCCTTCCGGCTTCTGCAAAAGACCTCCTGTTGGACACGTTCATTACATCAACGCGTCCATGCGGGATGTCAGCTTGTATGAAGCAGCCTCCCTTGCACCTCACGTTTTGGGACGGCAGATAAGGGAGAGGGTACGACTATGCTTGCCGCATCCAGCGAAGCCATGGAAGGCGTCGCTTGAGGAACCGTCCGAACATGACTTGCTTGAGTTTTGTTCGTTGCCCCCTTGCAAGGCTTCAAGCCCGTGCTTACATCGAATGCAGTCAAGTCGTCCGCTGTGAATGTTCTTGCCATGCTCGATTCGGATCGCGAGCAGATTTGCCGGATCCTTATGCAGATGGCGCTCTCGGACAACACTTACGCATCCAGAGCGGTCCTTAATTCGATATTGGCCGTTGCCGCGCTCCTGAAAGATGGGCAGAAAGCGCACACGGCTCAGTATAAACGCGCCGCGCTTGATGCACTTTTGATCTCTGCAGGGACGAATGAGTTCTCCACCCTGCAGGGCAGCATCAAGCACGTCGCCGCCGGCATCTTGCTTTGCACGTTTGAGGTCAGGACTGTAAGTTGAAATCGATGGGTCCGGATGCTGACGGGATAGCTAGATGCACCAAGTACACGAAGAGAACTCGCAATGGATAGGTCACGTGTGCGGAGCCCAAGGCTTCATTAGGGTATTGGAGAGGGTACCTCACAACCCGGGCAGCGACGAGGCCGCTATATTGGGATGGGCGCTTTATTACGACGTGCTCTGTCGTTTTAGTCTACGGCACTGGTTCAGGAGCGAAGTCTTGCGCGCCGCTGTCGATCTGGAAACCAGGTCAGAGGACACCGAACAATGTGCGTTGCAGTACCTCTTGGCTCGTTCGTCGTCGGCCACTACGATATCCAACATCACAGATTACGCTCACCCCGTGCTTGCTCTGCTTTCCGAGGTCTGCTCCACAAGCCTGGACTCTAGCGAAGCGCGTTACCATTCCCAGAAGTACCAGGACTACCTCGTCGACCTTCGCAATAGACTCGTCGAGCTTCCAGCCTCACGTAGAGCCGACGCGACAGCTAATCAGTCATCAGCGCCGGCGGTCATCGAGCTTTTCAAGCTCACGGCGCTCATCTACCTGGAACGCGTCTCAAAGAACTTTTCTGGCCCGTCAGAGCAGATTGAAGTGTGGGCCGTGCGCGGCTTCGAGCTTCTCCGTTCCTTGGACGCATGCACGTGGCCATTTCCGCTCTTCATCCTGGCCGGCGAGGCGAGAACGGACGAGCGGAGAAGAGTCATCCTCGACGTGATGGCGAGGACGGCTCAGAAACCGCACCTGGCCCATCTACACGTCACAAAGGTCTTGATTGAGACAGCCTGGGTGCGCTGCGACCTCGACGTCGACGGCACTCTCAACTACATTCAAAAGCTGAACATGGTGATGAGCTCCAGCGACATTGTGCCGGCTTTCGTATGAAGGCATCGGCCGCGATTTTTGACCCTGTCGTATAGGGAACATAACAAATTCTAAAACTCGATCTCTCAACCCTGCCGTGCCGTCCGCTCTCCTCTTTTTCCACGTGCTTGATCTTCGTGACCTATCTATCACTACTATTCCCGTGCCTCCAACTCTCCCCTTCTCTCCCTTCCTCCCCATCGTTTCGCGCTCCACCTCACCTGCTGTTTCTGGCCGCCTTTCGAGAAGCGCGAGCCTGCGCACTGTCCAGACGAATGGTCAAAAACACACACACACACACACACACACACACACACACACACACACACACACACACACACGCACGCACACACACACACGCACGCACGAATGCGCGCGCGTATGTGTGTGTGAATGTTCGGAGAAGGAATCTTGTTACTTTGAAAGTCTAGCACCGACGTGAGAAGCGGAAGCGGAAGCGGCGACGGGCAAAAGGCGCTTCGTAAGACGACTTTCTGATCCTGAACCCGAGCCGCAGGCGTCGACGGGTCCAGCAAGCCAAGACAAAAAGGAGACGGGGGCCATGCGAGGCCAAGGCTGCTCTCTTTCGCTGGGGATTTTGTCGTCGACTTTGCGCTCTGCGTGCACACGTCCGAGCAACGACGTCGCACTGGCTGTTCGAAGTTCGACTTGCGAGAGGAGACGACGGAGTAGGCGCATGCGGTTTGTGAGGGGTTCTGATCGACCAAAAAGAGAAAAAAAAAAGAAAGAAAGAAAGAAGAAAAAAGGAGAGAGGAAGACAGACGGATAGAGAACATTAAGGTTCTTTCAGACACAATTAATGATTTCACGTCGTTCCCGTCCGCCCTAGCATGTTCATGTCAAGTAGTCAAGATCCACGGGCGCAGACTGAGACGCGACATCGCGCGTACGTCTCAACAGTTGCCAAGAAGCGTCAACCAGATGCGCCCGTGCCAAAGAAAAGAGACACATGGAAAGACGTATGTACATGCTCATGTCGAATCGCCCTTCTCCAATCCTCCCTCACGCGTCGAGTCCTCAGTCGTCGTCGTCGTCCGGTTCGGCGCTCACGCAGGCCTTCATTGGTGGCCTGACGATGTCGTTGAACAGGAAGGTGCCGTACACGAGGAGTGCAAAGCCGACGACCTGCAGCCACTTGAAGGTCTCCCAGCCAAGGCCCAAGCTGACGATCCATATGAACAACGTCCGGCACGTGTCGATTGTGCTCCGGCTGGTGGCGGAGACCGACCGCGTCACGGAGAGGCCAAAGAAGTTGAAGCCGCTAGGTTGGAGGGCAGAGTCGTTAGTCCACGAGGCCAAAGCATAGGAAGGCGGGGCGGACGGGAAGAGGAGGAGGACGATGAAGGGGAGAAAGGAGACATACCCAATGCTAATCATGATGAGCACGCTGCTCACAGCGATGCTTCTGTAATGCGTCATCTGCCACAGGCCCTCACGCGCGTCAAAGTAGCCACCCTTGCCCTTGTCCGTGACACCGTAGGAGAAGTGCAGAACCACCATGCCCAGCAGCGTGACCAAGAAACCCCACACGCCCTCCCAGCCGACGGCCTTGAGCGGCTCGATGGCGTACTTCTCCATGATGCTCTCCTCGAGCACAAACTGGGTAGCCGTGAAGATCTGCGCCGCCGCAATGAGGAGCACACCGAGGATCGTCTGCACGCCGAGCGTCACCGCCGACGCTTCGACGCCGTCGTCACCGCCGTTGGTCTTGCCAGCCAACGCGCTGCGCACGGCCTCAAGCAAAACCTCGCTCGTCGACTTCTTCTCCTTCTCGAGCGCGCCCGCCAGCCCCACGACCGCGACGCCAGCAACGACGACGAACAGGGCGAACCACTTGTACAGCCCTAGGCGGCGACGGAGGAACAGCACGCTGAACAGGCCGACGAAGAGCACGAGCGCACCCCGCGTCATCTGGTAGATGCTCGCAGCGACGAACAACAAGCCCACGTTCATGAGTGTCGTGCCCGTGATGTCGCAACAAGCGGGCAGCGCGAGGTAGGTGACTTTCCATCCCGTCAGCGGCCGCCTGCCCTCCATGCTCAGCGTCATGCTCGCCGCTAGCGGGTCTTCCCCGTCATCGGACTCCTCGTCCTCGTCGTCGCCTGCAATCTCATCGTCCATATCATCTGGGACGAGCAGCGGGTCCGTCTCGACAGCGGGGGTCGAGACGAGGTGTCTAGCACGCTTGTGGACGGCCCTCCTCTTGCCAAACGACGAATTCTTGTAGCGTCGCACGAGCGCGAAGATACCGACGACGAGCCAGGAGCCCATTTCCCCAATGAACATCTGTAGCGTTTGGATGACGGGCTGTTCGAAGTACTGTCGCTTCTTGGGGTCTTTCGCGTCGCAATTGTGCACGCACACCATGTCCTGTGATGGGGGTTTCTCCACGTCAGCACGTTTGGCGACACAAAGTAGGACGTTGGAGGCTGGGACAAACAAAAGGAGCACGTACTTGGTACTTTGTCAGAAGAGTGTTGCATACGCCCGTGAGCAGCATCATGGCTACAAGGAAGGGGATTACTGCCTTGGCCGCCATGTTGTTTTGTCGGTGTATAGCCGACCTTTAGGTGTACGTGCTGCCGCACCACGCTTTCAGGATCGGAGACGGTTTCCTCCCGTCTGTCTGCAGGATCTCGCTGGCACCGAAGAAAAACCCTACACGGCCTGTTTCGCCGGTGGCTACGCTGGCAAAGGCGGGATGCTTTTGTCGAGCCGGCTGTACTCGTTCTTGACCTCGGTGTCCGGCAAACAAGCAATGGAGGAGCGATGTGAGGAAGGAGTGACAAAGGAGGAGAGTTTTGACGATCAGCGCATGCTGATGTACACTACTGACAGAAGAAGGCACGGCAGGCAAGACGGAGGTGCGGCTCAGAAGCAAGCTCTCGTGATGACTGGCACACGACTGGACCTCGCAGTGAGGCTTGAAGCTTGGATGCGCTACAGGCTTGGCATCGGCAAATCGCTGCGCCTCCTCCGCAAAAATCACCCACAGGTCGCACGCTTGCATCCCAAATGAAAATTCTACTCTCTGGGTAAAGGAGAGAAAAAAAAACACGACGAAACGATAAGAAGGGATACTAACCAACGTGGTAGAAAACCGCATCGCTTCTATATTTTGACTTCGCCTAATGGCTAGAAGTGAAAAGGGAAATCTATCATAGTAGCTTTGAGGAAAAGCCCCCTCTTCTCAAGGAAGCAGACCTCCCTCAGGGTAATGAATTTTGCCTTTCATCACGGATCATGATTTTGGGCAACCCCCATTCATCGTTTACATAAGAAAAAGCATGAAGTCGCCATTAACACATTGCATGAATCGTTGTGTTTTGCGTGATTTTCGGTTGATTTGACCCGGCAATAGAGCCTGTGACCTGACGCTATGCTGAGAGATTGTTCTTGTCGTGGTGGTTGTAGGAGAATAGATGCACAAAGACGAGGGATATCGCTAAAACCAATGAAACCCATGCAATGCAACGCGCAGCGATGCATGCAGTCCGTACGATCGCGACGAGAATGTTACTCCTCCGCGACAGAGCAGACCAACGCAGCCGCTCATCGCATCTTTAGATCCACGGTTATGGCATCTATTTCTTGGAAGCCTTCTGGGCAGCCTTGGTGACCTTGCCAGCCTGAAGCGATTGTTAGAACATGGACATCTTCAGAATACACATTGGGGGCGGGGGGGAGGTTTGAAAAACGTACCTTGTCGACCTTGGCGACGGACTTGATGACACCGACGGCGACGGTCTGACGCATGTCACGGACGGCGAAACGACCAAGAGGTGGGTACTCGGTGAAAGCCTCAACGCACATGGGCTTGGATGGAACCATCTTGACGATGGCGGCGTCACCAGACTTGATGAACTTGGGGGAGGCTTCGACAGACTTGCCAGTTCGGCGATCGATCTTCTCGAGAAGCTCGGCGAACTTGCAAGCAATGTGGGCAGTGTGGCAGTCGAGGACAGGAGCGTAACCAGCACCGACCTGGCCAGGGTGGTTGAGAACGATGACCTGGGCGTTGAAGGACTCAGCACCCTTTGGTGGGTCGTTCTTGGAGTCACCGGCGACGTTGCCACGACGGATTTCCTTGACGGAGACGTTCTTGACGTTGAAGCCGACGTTGTCACCTGGCAGACCCTCGGCGAGCTGCTCATGGTGCATTTCGACGGACTTGACTTCAGTGGTCACACCAGCTGGGGCGAAGGTGACGACCATACCGGCCTTGATGGAGCCAGTCTCGACACGACCGACTGGTACGGTTCCGATACCGCCAATCTTGTACACATCCTGGAGTGGGAGACGGAGTGGCTTGTCGACTGGGCGGGATGGTGGGTCAATGGCGTCGATGGCCTCAAGGAGGGTCTTGCCGGTGACCTTGGCCTTGGTCTCCTTCTCCCAGCCCTTGTACCATGGGCAGTTGGTGGATGGCTCAATCATGTTGTCGCCATTGAAGCCGGAGATGGGGACGAAAGGAACGTGCTTGGGGTTGTAGCCGACCTTCTTGATGAAGTTGGACGTCTCCTTGATGATCTCGTTGTATCGCTCCTCGGACCACTTGGTGGTGTCCATCTTGTTGATGGCGACGATGAGCTGCTTGACACCGAGCGTGTAGGCAAGGAGAGCGTGCTCACGGGTCTGGCCATCCTTGGAGATACCAGCCTCGAACTCACCAGTACCAGCGGCAATGATGAGGATGGCACAGTCAGCCTGGGAGGTACCCGTGATCATGTTCTTGATGAAGTCACGGTGACCTGGGGCGTCGATGACGGTGACATAGTACTTCGGGGTCTCGAACTTCCAGAGGGCAATATCGATGGTGATACCACGCTCACGCTCGGCCTTGAGCTTGTCAAGCACCCAGGCGTACTTGAAGGAGCCCTTGCCCAATTCGGCGGCTTCCTGTGCGGGCGGTCAGCAAAATGTCGGTGAAAGAGCGAGGCCACGGCAGCATCGTGCGTAGGGCAGCTGCAAAACATTTTGGGCGATGCATGCAAGAGCAAAAGCCAAGGTCGGGGAATTGGGGGTGGAGAGCGGTGCAAAGACCAGTGCGTTGAGTGGCTGCTCACTAGGCGACACTGGCTTGTGCGTTGAGAGCGAGGGGGGACAGGGCGAGAGGGCGTGGGCGTGAGTCAGGGCCAAGACAAAAGGTGACCCCGCCAAAGGTGCCCCTCCACGGGTGTTTGTTGTGGCAGATAAGGTGGCAAGCCCCAAAAAAATTCGGAAAAATTTGGCTGCCCAACACACGACGTGTGCGATGCTGCAAAACCGGTGCTTCTTACCTTCTCGAACTTCTCGATGGTACGCTTGTCGATACCACCGCACTTGTAGATCAAGTCTGTGTCAGATGTGAGCTAGCGTTCGCAGCGTTGGGGGTGCACGAGGCAAGGCTTACGTCCGGTGGTGGTCGACTTGCCAGAGTCGACGTGGCCGATGACGACGACGTTGATATGAGTCTTCTCCTTACTGCGACGCAGCGGTCAGTATTGAGACGGTTTCCGGCGTGCACAGTCTGGCAGGGAGAGGGAAAAAAAAGTCTGCAGAGCCGCTGGTGGGCGGCGATCAGAACGCTTACCCCATGGTGAAAGATTTTTAACGGTTGGAAGTGAGTCCTGTGAAGTGCTTTTTGATGAAGATGTCTACTTCTCGGGTCGTTAGCTCCACGGCAAGATGCACCTCTGGGTGCCAGAACGTACAAGTCGCAGTTGAAAACGCTTTGGATTTCGGTATGCGGGACAGAGAAGAAAAGTTGGTGGTTTGGAGGGGTGCACCACCTTTTAAGCAGATCTGGTGTGCGCGAGGCGAGCGTGCCTTGGTGCCTTGCCGCCTTCAACGCAGCACCATCGTGCCCAACGTACACCACGAGCAAACTCGCAAAGAGGAAAAAAAAAAATCAAGGCCTGACTCACGACTCCACCCGTTCACAGCCGATGTCCCAGGCGGGATTACCACGCGTCCGCCTGAGAGCAAGGGAAAGAAAACCCCCCATTCCCATTCCCCCCCTCTCTGCGCTGCCCACCAGCTGTCCGCCCGACTCTCGACAGCGGAGCAGAAAAACTGGAAACAACATGCGCCCCATTGGCTCGACACACGCCGTGCTTCTGCTCGCGCACTGAAGCGTAACCGATCATCCGTCGCCACGACGGCGCAAGACAAAATGCAGGGATGCTGGTACATTTTTTTTTCTTCACCCGGTGAGAGACCTTCGTTTGTTGCTGCCCCTCGAAAGCAAAGCCCACTGCCAACTTGTTTTTCTTCCCTTTTTTAGCCTGACCTTCCTGGAGGTATGACCGGGGGGAGGGGAGGGGGGGAGTGGAAGAACTGTCTCTTTTGTGGCGTTGCCATCACACAGATTCGTCCCACCGGCCGTTCTTCCACGCACGGAAATGTCCCTTTCCCCCTCCCCTCCAAAAAAAGAGGCCTCGCGGCGTACCTTGATGTCATCGTTGAGTGTGCGTGGTGTGCGCACACATAGCTTTCTCTTGTGTTCAAAGCTGGCCAAGCCCCTAGGCGCAGTCTCGTTGCGTCGTCCTTGTGAGACAACCATGATATAAGGACCCGGTGGCCGATCCCACGTTTGCCCTCTCGTGACATGTTGGCCTAAGTTAACTAATAAGTCATGGGTTTGCCAGAACCGCAGCGGTGTCTCTTTGCGTGAGGCCGCCAAATGTTTAAATCAGCGTCAGCCTGTTTTGTCAAGTTCGTGGCGGTACAGCATGACTCTTTGCACAGCGAACCCGCTTCGAGTGTCGGGCCAAAGCCAGTCATCGTCAAGTTTGCATTCGGAGTATCGATGAATACATACATACATGCATGCTACAGAGCTCGAGTCCCATCCCCACCGCGATGGACGAGCTACCTCGCCAAGCTAAAAAAAATTAATGGGGAACATGACACACCATGAAGTCATCTACAGCGCACGGCAAGTAAGCCCTACGTTACAACAACGCACGATCGAAGAAGCGTCCGTTCGGAAATCGTTCTCATTCCCTCTGAAAGACACTGTATCTACACTCAAGCCTCACGGCCGTCTTCCTCATCTCTCGCTGCTTCTCGCACTCTTCTCTCCTCTCTCTGCTCCCAACTCTCCCCCCATCATGAAAAAAAAGCACACAGATATGAGCAGTATGATCAAGCAACACACAATGAAATAGATAATCAAAGACTATGTGAGCGTGTTGAGTTCAAGGGATATCTGAAATGCATCAATCTCGGCAAGGCAAAAAAAATTAAAAAAATAAGCAATCAGCGCTTTAACACAACCGGAGCCAAAATGAACGAGGCCTAGGATGAGATGTCTCGCGTTTGGACCCAGAAAGAACAATGTATGTTTGTGATGGTGAATGTGAACGAGAGGGAAATGAAAACAAAAGAAGGGCAAAGGGAAGAGAAAAAATAAGCCCTGCAAGGTCGAGAAAACGCTATCAAGTCGTCCACGCGCGCACATCTCTTTTCGCACAAAAACTCCTGCCTCTCTGTTGGCCCGCCTGCCAGTTGGACGCCACGCTCCTACGGCTACGGTTGCCAGAACTCCAGCCGTACTATCGGTGAATATTGGGAACGGGTCCAAGACCTGTTCTAACCCTTTTTTCAATGTGACAGACAAGCCACCATTGACGAACGCCGTGCAACTCCGCTGTAAGCCCTGTAGTAGTATAAACACAAACGAGAAAATAATCTGCATGACGAATGCTATGAGGCGAACGCAGCTGTGGTCCTAGCCTCGGGAAACTTTTTTTCGGCGTGGAATGTGTGGATGTGAGTTGTGCGTTTTCGTATGCGCTTGCATGTGTAGGTTTGTGACAAGTGATTTCGTCGAGGTGCCTGTTGGCGTTGATGGGAAACGGCTTTTTACATTACGATGCAGCAGCACCCTTTCTTCTCATTAACTTCTTCGTTTGGCTCGGGCAGCTTGACGTGCTCCTGCGGCTTCTCAACCTTCGCAGGGGTTGGCGCTGCAATCGGAGGAGTCGTGATCTTGGGCATGGTACTGTATCCGCCGTGCTCTGTGCCACTCGTTCCAGGTCTGCTGGCCTGGTTAGGGCTGCCCAGCGGACTGGCCAGCGGCCACTTATTCTCCGTCTGTATATTCGCCGGCCGGCTCTTCTCCGTCGGTTTCGTGTCTTTGTTGCTGAAGTCGAGGCTGAGCGGCCGCTCGATTTCTTCCGTGTTGAGAAGTCGGAACTCGCGATCGTATACCGTACCCGTCTTGCCTTCTTTCTCCCATTTCTCTTGCGCCAGCCGCCGTGCATGCGTAGGAAGCATTTGCTGATCGGGTGGCAATCGAGGATCAGGTTTGTACATGGTCGCCAACCATGGCGGATCCCCTTCAGGCCTATGTGACGTGCTTGGCCGGCCAGACGATGTGCCTGGTCGCTTTTCGGGTGAGTTGCGATTTTGCTGCGACGAGGCACGGTACTTGGACGTGCCCGAAGCATTTCGCTGGTTAGAGGCTTTGCGTGTGCCGGATGTTGATGATCCTTTGGCTGGAGCCTTGGTCTTTGGCGGGGAAGAAGAGGGAGAGTCGTCCGATGCCGATGGTCGTCGAGCCTCGAGCGGTGTACGGGGCACATCATCTTCCAGCATGACCTGCGAGCTGATGCTGCGGCTCCTCGAGCGTATCTCGGGTATGCCAGTGCCACTGCTCGCTCGACTCCGTGGCAGCGGCGAGTCTCGCTCCATGATGATGGACGGCACAGGGACTGGACTCTGTTTGGGCATTGGTATCCTTGTGCCATTGGGCTTCAAAGGCGGTGATTGAAAATATCTGCTCTCCTGCTCCGCCGCCACCTCTTCCGGCGTGCGAAGTTCGAAGTCGAAACCTTCATCTTCCTCCTCTTCTGCAGGTATGGGAGACACCACTCGCTGCCGCTTCGTGTCGTGGTTCTTGGGCGTCTTGTATTCATCAACATCTCCGTCCTGCTCATAGTCATCCTGTCTGACGTATGCGGTCCCAGCGCCTGCTCTGCTCCCTGAACGACTCGTACGCACCACGGGGAAACCAGCCTCTTCTAGCTCTCTGCTTTCGATCTGGGCCAGCTTGTCTCTGTGGATCCAGTTGTCCTCGTCATCTTCAGGATTGCGTATCTTGGCATTACTCGGCTTGCGCTTTCCGCTCCTATCAATGCCATTGCTGATGCTACGGCTCCCAGACGTAGTCTTGTACATGTCGAATGAGGCGTCCGATTCGCTGTCCTGCCTGATGCTGCTCTTCTTGCGGGACATTTTCCTCATCGAGGCCGAGTCATTCTCAGGCCCTGGAGTCACTCGGGCGTTAGTGTCCGAGCCGTACGACATCTTGCGGCTGCCGTTCACGTTTTGAGACAGCGGAGGCCGAGAGTCACTTTGTCCAGCTCTAGGCGGCTTGTCGTCTGTGTATGCGGATTGCTGTCGCGTATTAGCTGCTGCTCATCTGAAGCTGTGCGTTACACGCCCTCGTCGTCGAGGAGAGCGCAGAGAGAAAGTCAAGCGAGACGGAACGAGACTGAACGTACTTGATTCTCGTAGTCCCACGCTGAATTTCCGTGGGAACTGCTTGGAGGAGTGATGGTTCGAATCTGCTGTGTGGCCGACATGGTGGCCATGCCGGCAGTCACCCACTACCCAGCAAAACAACGAAGAGACGCCCAAGCAGCGAGCACTGTGATGCGCCCGATCTCGCGTGCCGGTCGCTGTGTCGGCGGGTTACCTGCCAGCAGCCGGCGCAGCAGCACGAAACGAGCGATTCGGATCAAAGGGACGTCACTCTTGTCACGTCTCGCGTGCAGCGGCTCCAATTGACGGTCTGAGACTGGCACGATCGGGACGTGACTCTCTCAGCAAAATTCCATGAGGTGGGGAACGTGCGGGCGCAATGGACGTGTAACAAGAAAAGTAGTCGACGCTGCTCACGGTGCGGACGGTGTTTTTATTCGCTGGGATGCTGGGGTTATCTGCAGGAGGTGGATCATGAATGCAGGCTGCCGACACCGAAGCTGTCCGTGGATTGACGCAGGCGGTTCAGGATTGGACGAGGCGACGGTGCGCGCGGGAAAGGCGAGAGGGGCGCGCCAGGAGGAGGAAAGGAAAGGCTGACGGAGAAGACGACAAGAGAGGGTGACACAGGCTCACAGATACGCAAAGGCAACGCACACGAAGCGACGGGAGTGCTGTAGAGTCGCGGTGGTGGTGGTACGGGCGAGGAGAGTCGTCAAGCAGAAGCCCCTTGGGCCTGGGCGGCCACCGTGAAAAAGGCAAGCCGCCAGGCCCGGGGCGCCCGCCAATGACAGCGCGTCGGGCCCCCGGCGTGTGGCTCGGATGGGCCTGGCGCACACACGACCCGGCGCGGGCTCTGAGCCTCGATTGATTGTCCGTGGTGAGAACGGCGCCAACGATGGACGAGACCTTGGGCGCCGCCCCGTTCCCGTCGTCTCTCGCCGGCCGCGACGGCGTCGTGCTGCTTCGTCGCGCCGGCCTGGACCTGCGTGTCTGTCCCGCTGCCGCCTTGCCCGCCTCTGGAGAACCACGGCCCTCCGTCCGCCAGTGGCCTCCACATGATCTTCTTCACTCGCCCCCGGGAGCGCTGACGGGCATCTGCCCAGTGTCTGACACAAACCAACCGGGGAATTGCTTCTTCTTCATTTCCCATGCAAGTCCACTATGCCCACTGCGTAGTCGGACGCCGTGCTGGTGATTCCCTTTGATTTCATAGCCAGGAGCTTAGCACGTCCTCATAATGCATGGCCCGCCCGGGCTATTTCACCTCGTGAAGTCTCAGTCCAGTCTACATTCGTGCCCGCTACGCCTCCTTTAAGTGTAGCGGGAGCGCGCTAGCGCCTCACCTCCCTCCGCGTCCTCAAAACGAATGAGCCGCGCACCAGCGGCGATCCCGCCCTGGGCCAGAGCTCCAGAGGCTTCGCTTGCTAGTCACGACGCTGCTTCCGGCTACCGGCTCGGAGGTTCTGTTCATTGGTCGATCAAAGAGCCTCTTGCCTTCGATCCAGACTAGACCCTCCACAAGGCTGAAGGAATTTTGACGTCCTGCCGCAGTCCGTCTCCCACCGCTCGTCGTGGCCGTCACGTGGACTGGGCGGTAGTGCCTCCCACGAGACCGCGTTCAGCCTCGAGTCGACCACGATGTATTTATTTGCATCTCACCTGCCTTAGACCTGCTTCCTGCTTCGCTAGCAATGCTCTGGGAACATTCCTGGTCCTCAGCCTTGCACAGAAGCCTTAAGTGAGTGACGACAAGTGATGTGACTCGTCGGCCAAAATCAGTCAATCGTTAATCCAGGCGCCAATCCTGTCTTCACACGTGCATCCGACAGCCTCATCGCCTGCTCAAGGCAAAGAACAGAACGTTTGACTTGACATAACTTAGGCCTCCGGCCGAATCCCAATCGACTTGGGCTTCACCTGCAGGGTGGATGCTTTGCTTAAGTTGCACTTCAAAGAACCCAACCCTGTTGGTTCCCCCCCCCCCCCCCCCCACGTCAAGCAGGCTTCCAATATCTCTACGTTGATGTGGCGCTTCATTCTTTTAACAGCTCCATGGCTTCGTCAAGATTGGAACGATTTAAAGAAGCTCTCAAAGATGACATGGACAAGCTTCCAGCCAAGCCAAGAACGAGTTTGACAGCCGAAGTCATTGAGTCTGCGGGCCCGGTCCAGGCCGACCATGCCGTGAAGCCTGATATGAATTTGAATAACAGCGAGGAGACATCTCATGCGCCTACGGGGCCTCAACTTTCGGCTTTCAGTAACATGGACGGTGCAGACTTCGACAGCGACGATTCCGAGGCAGGGTGTCCAGTCCAGATCATTCCCATCGTCGAAGATGATGAGAAAATTGAGAAGGCGAAGGACGATGACAAATTTCAATCCGACATGCCCAAGAGAACTCCAGAGCTGAAAATGGAGGTTGCACAACTGACTCGGCCTGGTGAATCATTCTGTCCCGTGCTTGCAATAGCCAAGTTCCCCTACAAGTTCGTGCCAGATGCTGACTCGCAGGCCATCGCCTCGGCGTTCTTTGACCGTGGACAATTTTGGAAGAGGGGCTGGGACTTGTAAATCACGTCATCGCAAACATTGTTGAGTGTAAAGCTGATCAGCCGGCAACAGGTTCTATGTCTGGCCTATTGACCCCGCCGAAAAACCGATCGTCTTCGTCAGAGAAGAGCAATTTACAGACCTTCTGAAAGAAATTAGCGCAAGGTTCAAGACGCTGTACATCGACCCTAAGGACATATTTTATCGCAAGATCAAGCTTATTGTGAACGGCTTTCCGAATCACCCACGTTTTCTGCCACGCTATCTAGGACACGTAGACTGAAAGGAAGAGTATGACAATCTGGTCTATCGTGCGCCTTCACAATCACCATTTACCTTTCCTCGAGGAGAGCCAAAATCAACACGTGCTCCACAAGATGACGAGATTGCGGAGTTCAAAGAGATATGTCGCGTGACGGCTGATCTCGGGAAGGCCAAGCCCAAGAGCAGTAAAAGCAAGCGTCAAGAACAGCAAGCAATGGCGCAGCTGAACATTTCCAAGCAGTTAAAACGTGCCCAATGCTATCTCGGGTTGCGGCCCAGGACGAGAAATTGTGAGCCTCTCATTTCATCGTGAACATATAAGAGACGTTGGAGCTAACGCTAGCATTTTAGCTGGGTCCTCCGTTGAATTGCGAGGCCAGACTGTCCAAAACGAACCCTCCCATCCCCTGGACGTCTCGAAACCAGCTCCATACACCTTTCAAGAAGATGTTGTCGTGATATGTGTCGATGTGGAAGCATGGGAGCGGAGTAGCAACATTATCACTGAAATCGGCATTGCCACGCTAGACACCCGCGACATCCGCACGGCGCATCCAGGCCATCTAGGAGAGAACTGGAGACGGTATATCAGAGCAAAGCACTTCCGCATCCGAGAGCACATGATGTACGAAAACCACGAATTCGTTCCAGGGGCAGCTGATCGTTTCGAAAAGGAATTTGGCAAAACGGAACTGATTGCCCTTCGGGAGGCGGATCGCATCGTGGCGAGTTGTTTCAAGGAACCTTTCTCCAGATCTTTGACGGAAGAGGAGCAAGCCACCGCGGGTGAGCCGCCCTTGGAAAAGCGAAAGATCGTGTTTCTCGGTCACAATGCCAGCGCCGACATCCATTATCTGCACAAAATAGGGTACGACCCGCTCAATCTCTCCAATCTAATTGACACGTTGGATACCACCAGTCTATATCGTGCGCATAAGAAGGAGCTGAATTCACGTAGTGTTGGCGGCATACTAGGCGAGTTTGACTTGGTCGGGTGGAATCTACATAATGCCGGTAACGATGCGGTCTACACGATGTGGATTATGCTGGCCACTGCTGTGGCTGAGGCCTGTGCTTGTCAGAACACCGGCGAAAGCAGTGACGAGGGCGAGGAGAGAAAGAAAATCGCGACGGAAGGTGGCACCAGAGAATTGCAGACGCAGAAGGCAGCGCCAAAGGAGGCTGAAATCGTGATACCTGAGGAGTTTAAAACGTGGTGATTCGATCTCGCCGTCCATCGATCGTGCAGACGACCATCGGCAAGATCGGACTATGAAAGCGACGGCGCACATAACTCCTCGTTTTCGCTCGTTGGAACAAAGCAGAGAAATGAAAGCCCCGTATGTGATGACGCCGAGCATAGGTGTGCATCGGACTGAGATGATAAGACATAATTGCACAGTCTATTTATGCCGTCTACTTCTATTCGAAAAGAACTATGGACTGAGATTTCAACGTTGGCTGTCCGACTCTTTTTTTGGTCGCGGCGCGCCATCTTCACGTGCGACTGAACTTTCCAAAGCTTCCCTCCTTGGCGGCGTCTGGCCCATGCGAACCTTGTTCCTCTCGAACTCCTTCTACGCATGACGACAAACACTGCCGAAAGTTGACCGCATCTCCAAGGTCTTCGGCACGATCCGCCGAGCGGTGTATGGCACAGTCGAGGTGTCGACGACGGCTGCGGGGAGGAAGGAGGCCGACGTATCTCCTGGTTTGCGGCTGCCCCTTTGGTTCGCGACGACGAGCTTGCCTCGCTCGTCATGATACTCCACGTTGTGATGCGTGTGGCCAAATGCCCACATCTTGACGCTGGGCGACGTCCAGCACGCCTCCAAAGACAGATCCGTCGCGTACCCGGACGTCGTGGCGCTGTTCCTGTGTCTTGGAGCGGTCGCCCTCTCGTCCACGCTTGGGCTATGATGCGTCACGACGATGATCTGGCGGTGCGGCTCGTCCTCTGAAATCGTCAAAACTTGCTCATTTAGCCACCTCAGGTCGGCCTCGTGATCTCCGTTGTGTTTTTCGACCGTGCGTCCTCGAATCCCAGCGGTCTCCTTGAAGTCCTTCAATCGTTCTTGGAGAGACGCGGCTTGCTCCGGGACGATGCGTGACCAAAGCGTGCACCCGAGAACCGTGACCGTGCTGTTGAGATCGTACCGCCGTCTGTCGAGTAGGATGAATCTCCTTCCGTGCTTCACGTTCATATTCATCTCGAATTCTCTCATCTTTCGGTTCGCCTCGTCGACAGTGAGATAATGATACTCGTGATTGCCCATGACGTAGAAAATTTTCACCCCCAAATTCGTTTCCAACAGCCGCTCCAGAAAATGAAAGAGGCCTTCATCCTTGACAAGACCAATATCTCCGAGAAGAAACAGGTTTTCTGCCTGAATATGCAGATTAAAGGTCGCGTAGCTCGGTTCAACAACTGATGTCTCGAGGTGAAGGTCCGAGACGATTTGAAGCTGCCACGAAAAAGGGAATGCCATTGTGAATAAGTCACAATCAGCATGATGTGAGAGGGCACATGGTTTTCATTTTTAAAAGAAAAAAAAGTATATTGCAAGCCTAATTGAAGAGAAAATTAATTGGATTGGACGCTGACAACGAATACAATAATCAGAAACCGGCCCAATGCCAAGTAAACACGTGATGTCCAATGCTCGTGCGGGAGATATCGTCATAAAAGTCTACCTCTGCTGACATTGCTCGCCCTAGCCATGCTGGGTATCTTGCTGCAGATATAAATCCTGTCATTTAGTGTTATAAAGCATGTCTGAAGAGTATAGTAATGTACGGTTTGTGCACATCCATTTACCTTGAATATTAAGAGCGAAGAACATTACGAGCGAGGGACAAACGTGATAGGTATCGTCGGTCCAAAGCGCGATGATATCTCACGGAATAGAACAGACCACGCTGTGACTTCTTGCTTATCTACTTTTTTGCCTTTCCACCCAGCCGCTAGTGCTTTATCAAGTCCGGTCAAGAGTTCGGCAGCAGGTTCATCGGGCCAGCCGAGATGGCGAGTTAGTATTATAGCCTTATAGAAAACGCAAGAATTTGAGCTGTTCCATATATTTTTTATGGCTTCACAGGTTGCATTGCGCAAGGCCAAATAGGAAATATCATTGAAACGTGCTGCTGCCTCTGATGAGCCGTTGGGTGGCAGAGTTGGAATGGCGCGCTATCCACACTGGGAATCACTGAGATAGCAGAGTCCACAGTCACGCATCACGCTACCTGCTGACTTTGGCGCGGCAGGAAAGCAATCGTAAGGGTGTGCAGTTGTTGTTTGGTTCTGGAATAACAGCGAGCGAACAAAGTTATACATAGGGATAGCTTTGTCACATAGATGGTCTGTTTCCCGCCAAGTGAGCGCGCTCCCAACTCCGGTTTAGTGTTTAGATCATGTTTTGACCCCACATCATATGCTTTTTCATCCTCGCTTTGAGCTAGAGATATTGTGACTCGAGCTGCTCCTTTCAATCCGGCGCGATCGAAATTCTGACGCATAGTGTGACAGAGCGATGGCAAAGCATCACAATCTGAGTCAAACTCAACACATCCTGGCTTGGGATATATTTCCGCAGCAAGCGTGAACCGTTTGGCACTGATAAGTTCAAGGGATTGGTACTCCGGCCATTCCGTATCCAGCCTTTCATATTTCATCTTGAGTATGGCCTGTGTTTTTAGATTGCCATTTTTGGTCCAATCATCACTATCGAAACAAGAAGTGCCAGGTTGAAAGTCTCGGCACAGGACGATCCGGAGATGGCGTAAAAAGGAGAGCTGCTGCAAACTTCTGAGGACTGCTCGATGCTTGGAATGGTACAGCTGTCGATGGTCTAGGCTATCCCAAATGTCCAGATAACGAACCATCGCACGGCCTTCCTACCCAAGAAAATCAATGAACCTGGGCATAGCAGTTATCCGATCTGCAATCATGACTCTGGACTTGAAAATGACAGGGAGAGCTTCGAAACGAAGCTGTCGCGAAGTCCGTAGCAGCGGAGGCGATAACAAAAAGTTTGAGCTCGACGTCTTCGCTACTAAGTTTCAATGGGGGGAGAATTTTGCCCTCTTTATCTGCGAATGGTGCCAAGTTGTCAGCGAGATGAGTGAATTCTTCTTCTTGTCCATCAAAGTAGTGCTTATAGATAAGGCCACGAATTTCTCTCAGGACCCGTAGGAACGGGCATCCTAAGCTGCTGTTTCTTCGTGGCGTAGTGATATTCCCATTGGGCGACGTGATGACAAAAAGCCGTGGATATAATAGCCGACTGCCACCAGGATTGCGAGCCAGCCATGCATCCGCAAATGCATCCTCTTCCCAATATTCTTCTTCTTCTAGGACCCTTTCATCCTCGGAGAAGTTGTCGTCGGAGGCAACATCCAGTCCATCCTCTTCTTGTTCCTATTCCTCTTCTTCGTCTTCCGTCTTGTATGATCCATAGTCAGACTCCTTGTCGCTCCTAGTCTCCATGAGATCTGTCTGGAATTGAGAAAAATCGTCATCCATATCTTAAGAAAATTGAGTCTTCAATTCGTCCGTGCAACCGTAGCCAGTTGGTACAAATCGAGGTCAATTATCGAAGTACGAGCGAGGGGTGAACACTAGCTTATTCACATACAAGACTGATTAATTTTACCTGTATGCTTCAAGGCTGTACAGCAGTTACCGAACCACACAACGCTAGCATTAAGCAAGTTTCGTCAGAAACTCGAGAAATGTCGATCCATATCATTTTATTTGCACGTGATAAAGTATGTTATTCAAACTAAGTTAATGGTACATCTTAGTTAGAATGGTTAGACTGGACGAACAGTCCGGGTGTGGTAGCTCGGTCAAGATGACTGCGGATGGGGACTGCCAGAACTACGCGGCGACTCAGGGAAGGAGTAGTGCACAGACCAATCAATACTGCGTGAGTTAACGTTACGGACATGTCATTGGAGCGCTCGCCTATCATGTCGAATTTTGAGTGGATTGTGAAACATGAATCTGCGTATTTGCTTTCATTGCAGCTCAAATAGGATGATATAGTCATCCGTCTCCTCAGACCGGAGATTACTCTTTAATGAGAGATCTCGTGCCACATCGATGTTAGATCGGTAAAATACTTGTGCTCATTCCATGGCTTGTCATATTCTTTAGATCTTGGACAAAAAAAGCTTCGTTCTGGATGAGAACCTTGTATGAATACACTCAACAGAACATCTAAAACGAGATCAAGAAAGCAGAGCCCTTGAGGGAGCCTGGAGTTTGTATGTGCTTAACTATCAAGAAAATTGAGTATCCAGATGAGACTGTAGTTGTATTAGCAGTATTGGCTTTCAATCTTGCTTTACGTCACCTTCCTACGTTTAGAAGATTGTGAACGTCTGTGCTCGTATGCTCTAAGGACAAGTAGTCTTTCTCAGCTGTTCTCAAACGGCGTGCTTGTTTGCAAACAAAGGAAAAATATGTGAGTACTTACAGGAGTAACAAGTACGCTTCACGAAATAGCGCAGTAACCACAGGCTCATCTCAAGAGCACTTTCAAGTATTGTGCGGATGTTGCGACGTTTTTGATCAAAATTGGAACAGACACGACGCCAAGGCAATGCTATGTATTCAGCGAAGATCTTCAGACACAAGAATGCGTTGCGGATTATGGAAGGCCCCGAATCTCAGACAAGCTAGTTGCGAGGTTAGCAGGATAAAGGCTGTTGGCAGAAGGATGCGACGGTAGAGTAAAGGAAATGTAAAACTTGGATAACGGTGTCCCCAAACTAAGAAGGCAAGCAAATCAGGAGATGAAAATATTTCAAAATTCATATTTGGTACTACGCTCAAAAGAGCTCAGGGGCTGTCACGACACCCCATTTTGAGTCGATCGTTAATGCCACAACCTATGCTACCTACGCCAATGATTGAAAAAGAAACTAGCAGTGCGCCATCTAGTTCTCCTTGATAAGCTTGTCAAAGTCCTCGCTGCGAGCCTCAGGCTTTCCGCCATCAATCTTCTTCGAACCGAGCTTCTCCTTCGCGTACTGAGCAGCATATGGGTTGAGGCGGAGCATGACCTGCTTGTTGACAAGCGGGTTCTTCTTCTGCGTGTATGGTCGCTTGTTGACACCGCTTCCCTTAACTGGCCGCAGAACAGACTGAATTTCGGACGAGTTGATCAGCTTAGTAATGTCTGGTTGCGAGACGGTTGGGGCTGGCAAGAGGAAGTCCTTCTTCAGGGCAGATGCCTCCTTAGTTGAACCATAGACCTTATCAAGGGCCTCGAATGCACTGGAAGTCCAGATAATGAAACGACCAAGGTGACCACCCGGTGCAAGCTGTAGCAGATTGAGAGAAAAGACGGAGCTAGTTTCCACACCAGGAATGTTGCGGAAAGCCAGAGGAATATCCTTTCCGTCAGTCTCTGGGTTGTATACAATGAGAGGGCCCCGTCGCTGGCGGTATCGTCGACCTCGAAGCTTACCCTTGCCGGCACGCATCTTTCTCGACTTCTTGACCTTCTCGACGTCTGGACCAGCACCGATGGCTGACAACAGCTTGATAGCAGCACTAGTCTTTGCAACGTTGAAAGCGGAGGAAGACACAACGAAGGGGACCTCTGGAACGCTTGAGATGCGGTGACCGCGGGCGAGGAGGAGAGGCGCACTGGCGGAGGCAGCAATGGCAGAGGCAGTGGCGAAACGCTTTTGGCCCAGAGATAGCTTAACGTGCCACTTGCGCCAGACCTTGGCTGTTGCATAAATTAGTACTCACGAAGTCAAACTCAGAGGAGGGAATCATACTTGGAGCGAACATGCGGCCAGCTCTGCACATGTTACCAAAGGCAGCTTGACCGGCACGGTGGGTACCACCGCCGGACACACGAGGAATACGAGCGACAGCACGACCTGTTCAATTTTTGTCAGCGTCAGATATTTCTCGGTTTAGATGCCAACAGAGTCCTAACAATGCCGACTATGCATTTGTACAGATCTCTGTGTCCAATTGTACGGACTCTCCTCTACATACCGGTACCCCAGGATTCAGCAGAAGTCTGATGACCAGCCTTCTCACTCACAGCATATGGCTGTCTTTTGTTCTTCGCCATACCGGTGTGCACGCTCCTGCAATTATAGTAATTAGCATTTTACGTTCCTCTTCCCATGTCGTGTAGCGAGATTGAACGCACTGGACAATGTCCGGCCGAATTGGCGCGAGGAAGACATTTGGAAGAGGGTGCGATTTGTTGCTGGGGGCGCCATCGGCACCAATGATGGTGACGGTCGGTCGGCTCGTCATCGTCGCGGTGTTGTGCTGTGAGGTTAGTTACAATTATCTCCAACTTCTGGGTTTGCGAAAAAGCTAACTGTGGATCTAGCAAATCGTGTGTGTGGTCTTGGCACATGTTAGCGCCTTAGCGCCTGAAGTTCGGAGGCATCACGTGATCACCTTGCCGTCTTCGCTTCCATGGTTTGCTAGACAGGAGCATGTAAACGCTAAATTGTGCGATACTGTTTAATGCTGATAGCAAATCTAACTAAGAGTACCATGTTACGCATATACCTTAATACATTTGTTACAGTGTGGAGATTGTTATCCTTTACATGATAATGAAGACAGTTACAGCAGTCCTTTCAGTCGCTCCTCCAATGCCTTGAGTTTTTACATCGTATCATACACCGCACTTGTTCCCGACATTGTGGTAATTGCGATGCACAATTTTCTCACACCTTGGATAGATCGTCTGTATGATACGACAGAACCTCAATTAAAATGTGCAACAGTGCAATAGAGTTCCCTGTGCCACAGAATGTATTTCGCGCTCCGATATTCGTCTTGGTTCACCTTGGTAGTATATTCTCCAAAATAACAAAAAATCTCCTACGAGCTCGAGAATGTCACGATTTGGGAGGAATGAAGTCCTTCGCATAAATAGGTAGACATTTGTGCCTGCTCGCGGCTTGATCATCCCTAGGCTCCTCGACTCTTTGCGCATTGACCGTATAAACGAAGAGCGTTTCTTGCTTATTGTTTTGGGCTCCATGCTGTCGTCATATGATCGGACTTCCCTATGAGATTGCATTTTTAAACCACGGAATTGCAATGCTGGGGTCCTCGAAATAACGTTCTGATGCCTTCTCCATCGTATTTATACTCCTTCCTTCTCTTTCCCACAGGTACGTCGCCATTGATTCCTTCAAGGCGTAGGTGGCAGGCGTTTCTCCCGTATTCTTTGGGCGTCCTCCGCGGTAAGGGTTTTATTGCTGTATGACCAGATTGAATCCGCCGTTTGCCTATACCATCTCCTTAATGGTTCGAATGGCTCCGGATCGCCCTCCTTTCGTTCCCAGTCATAGAACAGTATGCTGTACGTTGAGAAACCTATTGACAGTTCGTTAGTGTCGCTGCTGAAATGACGCCATTTTGTCGCGCCAGCCTTCAACGCATACCGATAATCAAACCCCATTGTACCAGCTTTGTAGCTTTATTCCATCTTGGCCGCGCCCAAGCAAGTTTGTTCCTTCGTCGCCATTTCTTTTCAAACCGAAATTGCTCCTTTTCAGAAAGCTTACTGAAGTCAGGAGGCCATTTTTTCTTTGCACGATACCGATTGCGAGTGAAATCAAAAGGCTCTATCGGCTGTTTAGGTGCTTTGAATATACGAGGAAGCCATGACATGATTGTTACAAATGCACGATGGCACAATGCACGACAAGAAAAGATGGATGAGATCTTGTGTAACTTTTCGGGGGTCAGTTACAAGCCACACAAGGCGCACACAGAAACGTCTCGATCGGGCATAGCGTATATCGAATTTCGATACTGTCATTGTCTGACTCCGCCTAAAAGATCAGAGTGTCAAAGGAATTACTCACATATAGCTGCCTCCGATCCATTTCCAAACCCTTTACTTCGACTTCTTCTTTGAATAGAGCAGAAAGTAGAAGTCATGGCGCCAAATGAGCCGGTACCCGATAGTACACTGAAAATCGAAGTTCGTTGAGAAGCAAAAAAAAATGGTGTGGATTCAATTTGCTCACAAGAATATAGAACACAGAAAAGCGAGACACGCTTGTTGAGATCGAAAAGAAGTATCAAAAGTATGGTGCATGTCAATATGTACTATTCATGACGTGCTAAGGCTTGTACAGAAAATGGCAGGATGATCGCGTCTTCGAGGCTGATGCTCCTACATTTGATGAGTTTCCTATTGACATCACTAACCATGAGTTACACTCCAAAGTTCCAAAATTCTTTGGCACGATGGCTTATCCGTATACTAACGGTCTGCCTCACTTGGTTCGTGTACTAAAGGAACCTAGATCTGAAATGTGGCTTACGGAATTTGAAGGGCCATGGCTATACCATGTCGAAAATCGAATTCCAAGCACGAGCAAGCCGTCACTTAGGCAAGCGGACTCTGTTTCCTCAGGGCTTTCACGTGACTGGAATGCCTATCAAAGCAGCTGCGGACAAAATCAAAAACGAGGTTGCTATGTTTGGTAAGAACTTTGAGAATGCACCCAAGGAGGACGACGAAGCGGATGACACTCCCGTACCTGCGCCGACGCAGAATGTACCAAAGACGGACGTGACTAAGTTCAAGAACACCAAGCGTGGGAAGGCTGCGCTCAAGGGAGCAGGTGCACGCTACCAGTGTAAGGCTCATAGCACAACTTCTGTGTGTACATGATATCTAATTCAGGATAGTTCAAACCATGTTGTCCATGGGTGTCCCTATCGATGAAATCCATAAATTTGCTGATAGCGTAGAATGGGTTAAACATTTCCCACAACTGTAGGTCAACTCAAATCTGAACCTACTAGTATGACATGTCAGTAACATCCTCCTCTAGTTGGAGAAGAGATATGACTGCTCTTGGCTGTTCCATAGACTGGCGCCGTCAATTTTGCACCACGGATCTAAACCCATACTACAACTCCTTTGTTGAATGGCAAATGCGCAAGCTGAAAGCCTCAAATCTCATTCAATTCGGCAAGCGCTACACCGTGTACTCGCCTAAGGACGGTCAAGCTTGCTTAGATCATGATCGATCTCAAGGTGAGGGTGTCAATCCTCAGGAATATCTTGCTTTGAAGTGCCAAGTCGCAGAGTGGTCCGAGACCGCAAAGGCAGTAGTTGAAGACAAGCTACCGCAAGATGCTAAGGTCTATCTTGTCGCCGCCACTCTTCGACCAGAAACAATGTATGGGCAGTCTAATCTTTTCGTCAGTCCGCAAATCACGTATGGCATTTTCAAGGGGAAGAACGAGGAATATTACCTGATCACCAAGCGAGCGGCTAGGAACATGGCATACCAATCGATCTTTGAAAATTTCGGTGAGGTGAAAGAAGTCTTCGCAATATCTGGGAAGGATGTAATTGGCACGCAAGTCCATGCACCCCTCAGCCATCTCGGAAAAGTGTATGTCGTTCCCATGGATACCATTAAGGAGAATAAGGGAACCGGTGTCGTGACAAGTGTCCCCTCAGACTCCCCCGACGACTTCGTTATGAACAGAGATCTGGCGAAAAAGCCGGACTTTTACGGCATTCAACAGCACTGGGTTCCCACGGAGCATTTACCCATTATTGAAAGCCCAACACACGGCAATCTCATTGCTAAATCAGTCGTTGAAAAGGCTAAAATAGCCTCGCCAAAGGACACTGCCGCGCTTGCTCTTGCCAAAGAAGAAGCATACAAGGAAGGCTTCTACAAGGGCAAAATGCTTGTCGGTGAGTGTGCCGGCAAACCAGTACAAGAAGCGAAAGAAATCATTCGCAAGCAACTGATTGATTCTGGTGACGGATTCCCATACTCAGAGCCTGATGGACTGGTGATTAGTCGAAGTGGCGATGAGTGTGTTAGTGCGCTGCTGGATCAGTGGTTCCTTGCCTACGGCGATGCTTGTCCACAATGGAGAGAAAAAGTGATTGGCCATGTTAAAAACGAAGACGGGGAGGGCTTCAATGCCTACAGTTCAGAAACTGCGAACAGCATTGAGCGTACATTGGGCTGGATGAATCAATGGGCGGTGACGAGACAATTTGGGTTAGCCATCAACTTAAGGGAGTTGGCACATCTACTAACCTTGGTTACAGTCTAGGCACCAAGCTTCCATGGGACAAATCCCAGCTTGTCGAATCGCTTTCAGACAGCACTATCTACATGTCCTACTACACCATAGCTCACTATCTCCACTCTGACATCTTTGGGTCGAAGCCAGGTCTGGCAAATATCCCACCGTCGAGTATGTCGGATGAGTTTTGGGATTACGTTTTCGATCTTAGTGATAAGGCTCCCGAGAATATACCAAAGCAGAGCTTGGATGAGATGCGTCGGTCGTTTAAGTTCTGGTATCCACTCGATGTGCGGATTTCAGGAAAAGACTTGCTAAATGTAAAACCGAGTCATCAATTCCAATCGAAGAATAGAGACTGACTGCACGCAGAACCATCTCATCTTCATGCTCTACATACATCAGGCTATTTGGGGTGAGAAGCCCGAGTATCTACCTCGAGGCATAAGAGCCAACGGTCACGCGCTTATGAATGGCGAAAAGATGTCCAAAGTGTGTTACAAAAATCACAATACGCTGGCTTGACGTGCTAAATGTTAATTTAGTCTACTGGAAATTTCCTCACGCTGGAAAAGGCCATCGAGAAATATGGTGCCGATGCAACACGTCTCGCGTTCGCAGATGCAGGTGATGGAGTTGAGGATGCTAACTTTGAAGAGGTCACCGCAAACGCCGCAATATTAAAGCTTTACGAGCTTCGAGCATGGATGAAGCAGGTTACGAACGACGCTCGCATTCTTAAGGAAGGGGAATCTTTTGAGAGTGTAAAGGCCTCAGAGAAGATACATCAAACCGATGTTATCCAGCGTGATGGTGAGAAGAATTTCCACGACAAGGTAAGGTCTACCCATCTTTGATCTTTCTTTTCCTAATCTAAAAATTCAGATTTTCGAGAACGAGCTCAATATCCTCTATGCAGAGTCAGTCAAGCAATTCTCCCTTACAAACTACAAAGCTGCTCTCAAATCTGGTTTCTGGGATTTCACTGGCGCGCGTGATGCATATCGTGTTGCGACTGGGGCAACAGGTGGTATGCACCGTTCATGCATTCTGCGCTATATCGAGATGCAAACCCTTCTCCTTGCGGCCATAACGCCACACTTTTCGGAATATATTTGGTTGGAGGTGCTCGGAAAGAAAGAGACCATTACGTTTGCAAGATACGAAACAGTACCAGCGCCGGATGAGAGTCTGACTGCAGCTATGCTATATTCTAGAATGGTGCAGGGTAACATTGGAAGCACCGAAGGTGCCATGCTGAAGAAACTGGTATGCTAAACCAATTCTCTGCCAGACGTTCTGAGAGAGTAGCTCACCTTCTATTCACAGGGCAAGGGCAAAGGTGTTCAATATGATCCTAAGTCTGATAAAAAGCTGACGCTTTATATTGCGTCCTCCTATCCCAAGTGGCAGGACGAGTTGATCGCTCTTGTCACAGAGAGCCTTGATGGACTAACATTAGATGTGAAGAAAATCATGCCGAAGGTGAGCTCTTCTTGACGGCCCGAAGGTGACTGTGTTCTTACAAAGCTTTTTGTAGATCGACAAGAAGAACAAAAAGGCCATGCCGGTAAGTATCCATCCTACGCCTTTTGTTTTTATATAAGGGACAATTTTCTCATTCCATTTTAGTTCATAATGTCTCTTAAGCAGTCGATTGAGAAAAGCGGGTCCACTGAAGTCCTAGACCGCAAGCTCGCCTTTAACGAGGTTGACGTCTTAAAGCATATCCTTCCCTCACTGAAGGCAACTGTGTACAAATGCAAGGAGATTGAGATTGTAGAGATAGATCCAAATGCTTCTGAATTGCCTCCAGCAGCACAGTCAGCCGTGCCGGGAAATCCTGGTATTGACTTCGCGAATGTTTAAAGCAATGGAACTGCTTCATTAGAAGACAATTGATGCGATGCATGAATCTGATAGAAAACTGTCAAAAACGATGCCTTGGACTCTCAGAAAAACTAGAACCATTACTGGATATTTAGATCAGGTCATAAAATTAAACAAATTTTTTTTCAACTGAACGTGTTTGAAATGGACGGGGATGCGCGAGATATTAGGCTGAGGGAGCCTTGCCAAGCCCCGACGCTCCGATCCCCGCAAAAAAGTTTCGGAGGCAAAGAATCGATTTGCAAAACACTACTATTCTACCACAACTACGAGAATGTCGCATATTCAACGATAACAATGACTTCAGAAGGCAGAATAAAGAGCATCAGTCGCATCGGCGCTTCTGCTGCACAGCTGGAAGCCCAATCGCAATCAAACCCTCCTGCACATTTGACTGCTAAAGAACGCGAAGCTGCAGAAGCTGAACGACGAGCGCTAGAAGCAGAGAAGGAGTATGGGCGGGGCAAGAAAATAAACACGAAGCGCGTCAAAGATGTAAAAATGCGGCGGCAGTTGAGCCAGCTCGAGGGAAAATTTAGACAGGCTGCGGTTCGAGCGAAAGAGGCGGAGATCCTACATGAGCATGAAGCTGGGTTTATAGAGGCAGAAGGGGAATTGGAAAGGACGTTCAAGGTACGGCAGAGTGATATCAAAGCCGCTGTCAGTATTGAGACAGCCAAGAAGGGCTTTGAGCTGAAGCTCGATGACCTTGGGCCATACAAGGCAAGGTATTCCCGCAACGGACGCGACCTACTTCTTGCGGGCGCAAAGGGACACATTGCCACTATGCAGTGGCGCGATGGAAAGTTGGGTTGCGAGTTACAGCTTGGTGAACATGTGCGCGATGCCTGCTGGCTACACAACAGTAATTCGTTCGCAGTCGCGCAGGCAAGAAAGGTGTATATCTACGACCATGCCGGAGTAGAATTGCATCAGCTAGACAACCACACGGATCCGGTGTTCCTCGAATTTCTGCCCTATCACTTCCTGTTGGCGAGTCTAGGCAATCACGGCTGGCTAAAGTATATGGACACGTCGACTGGTAAATTTGTATTCGAGACGTCCACGAAAAAGGGCACACCTACTGCTCTCGCTCAAAATCCTTACAACGCGATATTGCATTCTGGTCACCAAAATGGCGTCGTCCAGCTTTGGTCCCCTAACTCGGCCTCACCCTTGGTCAAGATCCTCGCACACAAAGGTCCTGTACGGAGCATTGCAGTAAACAGGACAGGCCACTTTATGGTCACTACAGGCAGCGACATGCGTATGGCCGTGTGGGATATCCGAGCATTCAAGCCTGTGCACAATTACCACCTCCGCCAGCCAGGCACTTCTGTCGCTATATCCGACCGTAATCTCGTAGCTGTCGGGTGGGGCACACAGACTACTGTATGGAAAGGCCTCTTCGACCGTGCAAAGTCGGACCAAGAGCGCTCAGGTAGTCCTTATCTACAATGGGGTGCAGAAGGAAAGCGTGTTGAAAGCCTTCGCTGGTGTCCTTATGAGGATGTCCTTGGAATTGGGCATGACCGGGGTTTCTCTTCAATGATCGTTCCTGGAGCGGGAGAACCAAACTTCGATGCCTTGGAAGTGAATCCTTACGAAACCGTCAAACAACGCCAGGAAAATGAAGTACATAGCCTCCTCAACAAGCTGCAACCAGGAATGATATCCCTTGATCCGAACTTCATCGGTAATTTGGATGTACGTTCGCATGAAGCGCGACAGCGGGCAAAAGATCTGGATAGAAAGGATGAGGATCCAGTGGAGAGGGCGAAGAATAGGGGCAGAGGACGAAACTCAGCTCTAAGGAAGATGCTAAGAAAGGAAAGAAGCAGGAATATCATCGATGAGAAGCGAAGTCGTATTGAAGAGATAATGAAGAAGCAAAAGATGAGGGACGCGAAAAGAATGAAACGTCAAGAGGAGACCTTTGGCCCTGCGCTTTCGAGATTTGTAAAGAAGGGGGGTGGATGAAATAGGATCCCAGATGGCTGAATTTACAAGGAGCAAGGTCTCTTCTCCATGAAAAAGATGGATCAGTCTGGTGATATCGGACAAAGCTCCTGATTTTTGTGCTTATAAGACGGGAATACTCGAAGCGAGCGAAAATGGTTCATACTTGTTGGAACATGACCACTAATTAAGCAGTCGCTCTTCTCATCCATCAAGTTCTGACAGTAACTCACAAATCTCTTGTGCGAGAATTAAGATATTTGCACGACTATAGACTATACATATGCCTTTAGGTGGTGCTACCCATAGACATTTCTTGTTTGCAGTATGAACTGCATGATCTTTCATGGTGCTGCAAGAGTTTCTCAGAGCAAGGGAATGCATATTCCCTTTGCGTTTCATGCGCGGGAGGTTAGCAAAGGTCTACCCTCTCTCCACGACCAACGAGATAGTATGATGTCCTCGTCTTATCAACGCCATAATCCAAGGTGTTTTGCTCTGGTAAAGGCAAACTGTCCAACTTGATCTCCACTTTTCGAAGCTTTTCGCATTCACATGTTGGTGTTCCCCAAAGGAACCGCCCAACCGAACGGCCATCTTTGATCAAAAGACCGACCCCGCCGGCCAAGGTATTTGCGAATTTCAGACCAGGAACGCGAAATGCGTGCGCTCCCGTAATGGTCGCCGTATCCCGACTATAAAGAGCTACTCGAAGCAGAAAGGTAACGTGACAGGCGGGACAAGTGATGTCGACGATCCTCATTGTGAGAGCTTCACCTAAGTGTATGGTATAGCCATGACCGAGCATCCAATCAATAGGTGACCTCGGGTTTCCTACCGTACTCTTGAGTGATGAATTTGAGAGACCTAGGGCATCACCAAGCTCCCTCGCTCTTTGTTTCCAGTTAACAGAGGGTTCTTTATTTTTTCCAGAGAGATCACGGAGATAGTCTTCCAGAATGTGTAAACGGCTATCCTGCGAAAGTCTCTGCATGATCTGGTCAAATGGCTGGCCGAACATCCTTTCTCCCACCGTATGAACGAACTTCTCGATATCTTGTCCATGGCACCTGTATGTCCACTCGAAGATATGTGCAAGATATCCCATGTTGTCTTCCCATCCCCAAGCTGCGCCAGAAATACCCGTAACTGCTCCAACATGTTCTGCCTTGATAATCGGGTTCAGATTTTGGAAATCCACGTCCTTGTACGTAGCTGGAATTTGCTGTTCGCCCAAAGAAAAGTAACGCAAATCAACGTAGCCCCAACTTCTTATCGCCGCCTCATTTGGTCTTGGGTAAACATCTTGTGGAGCCATAAGTAAAGGACTGTAATCCCCACGACGAATGCAATCTCGTGCTATCTGTAGCAAAGCCTGATGATCGTCGTCAGGAAGCTCATGTTCCGCTATGGGACTCTTCAGTATAGCAAGAAATGCATAAAAGAAGTCTCTAGAGTTTGTGACGCCTCGTCGAGATAGGAAATCATACGCATTCGCAAACGCCGTAGCTTCTCCACAAAGATTCAAGTCCCTTGCTAGAGTGAGACCTCCTACTTGCCATGGACACAGATTGTTCCCTATCCCAATCATCACTTCCAGCATCTTGCCATCGCCAAGCTCCGCCCACGTAGCATCTAGCTCGTGCATGACTGTTTCATGTTGAGGATTAGGTTGTAGAAGGACAAAATCTTTGAGCATAGGCACCAGTCGCTTGCTCTTTGAGAACTCCATCGCCGTCCACATACGACTCCAGTACTTGGCATTACATATATCGCTGATGCCGCATGCTCGTTCCCTTACCGTCTTTCCGAAACGCATAGCCTGGACGGCCGAGGCTTCAACGTCATGAAAGTCAATCAGCACAAAAGCCGCGTTGCTGTATATGTCTGCGATGGATTGAATCACATTCATCTTGATATCTTGTTGCCACTGAGGGATGCTGATATAATCATGCCAAAGCTCGAAATCGTCGCCTACAACTTCTAAATTGCCGTTCTGAATGCCGCGATATATTTGTACCGGTCGTTCGAGGACGACCCTCGCTAGCTCTTTTGCTTTCGGTCCAACTGTATTTCTTGAATACTGCAAGCTCGCTACACCAGAATGCCACACGTGAGATACGGCAGCGTATTTCTCAAACCTTAGCAAACAATTGAGATGGCGATGATATACTATGATCGCATCTGAGAGTGAAGATACCACTATTCTGTCGCTCCATGGCTGTTTTTTTAGTTGAAATTTGAGTTGGCTTTCAAGTGTGAACGTTCTAGCCAGAACTGCCTGAGGATCGATAGACCTTTTGCACTCGCAGCAAGTGAGCTTCTTGATGTCAACTCCTGCCCAGATATGTTCAAACACACTATCATTAGTGGAATCTTCCATTGTGTTCATTCCTGATTAGATCGAGAGCCGAATAGCTCTGTGTAGTATGTAACAATATTTGAAAAATGATATCTCTACTCCTTAAACGTGTTCTGCTGTCGCCAAGGACTGCTCTCGGACAGGTAAAACAACTCATCTCGCTTGCGTTTGGGACGGGATAATTATGTAAGCGGAGGTTGAACATGTGAGGTCTTGGTCTTATTGCGACAATAATGCTGGCTTTGCGGGGAGTCTGTATAGACATTCATCAATGCAAAACTACTATGCGCGCAAGGAATTCTTCAGTTATCTCATAGGAATTGCCAGCAATTAAGTAACTGTCATCATTGAGTGACTGAATGGGCGACGTCAGGCTTTGAGCATTTCTAACAACCTATCCATTGCGAATCATGAACGCTTGCAATTAGGTCGAATAAGATTAGACTTACGGAGTACCCTTAACATCGGCTGTAGCTAATTTTGATGACAGGTTTGAATAAAGTTTTTTGATAAATTCAAACTTCTGTTATTTTTGCTTTTTAGTTTGGATTTTAAGTCGTGTTCAACATTGCGCAAAACGAATTGTTGATTTTTCTCTTCGCTTTAAAAGGCTTAATATCATTCACGCTAGTTTAGACAGTTCGACCTTGGCCACTAGGAGCATATAATACAGAAGTAGATGTTCATATGCTGAGAAAAAGGAAGATGTTTTTTCCGTACTCTCATCTATTTGTTTGTGAATTATTCAGCCTCACAATTGATATGAGCATCATCACACTTTCTCTTCTTCGCTTTGCTCTCCGTGAAGAGTTCCGTCAACTTTCTTATTCACGAAAAGAGTCAAGTACTCAGATATGTCCTTAATAAAGAAGCAAGTTATCAACGCAAGTCCGCCAAAAGCAAGACTGGTCAGGTAAGTTGTGCTCAAAGACATAGCGTAGCCCCTCTTGGTACCAGCTCCAACGGCGGCAAGGATAGTTTTGTTCATCCCCGGAACCGCTTCAAGCGCTGCAGTCGTACCGTTCGCAACTCCTAGTAGGAGATCGGTTGTGCTCGAACTTGGGAGGCCAGCAGAAGTAGCAAATGAGACAACCTCTCTTGGAAGGTCTACAGTGATTCGACCATCAAAGACTGCCAGATATATGGCGACTAGTAGTTGTTAGACATGAATGCGTTGAATGAATTTTATGTATAATCACCTGCGACAGTGGCTGTTACCGCGCGAGTCGAGCCATGGAAGGCCTGAGCAACACCAATTTTCTCCGGTGGCACAACAAGTCCGGCCATGACAATACTCAATAGCTCCAGCCATCCAACAAAAAAACCCGACATTGCAGTACACTGTTTCATGGTCAGCAAGGACACCTTGAACGTTTCTGAGGCAACGAACAGCGATAGCTAGGCCTTCTCGATGCTCATTTGCCATTCCTAGAAGCCCTCCAAATATGCAAAGTCCAGTGGTGGCAGCGACGAGCTGAGTTCTAAAATGTCCGATCCGATGACAGACTGGGCCCATCACAATCTCTCCAATGGCAAGCGCAGTTCCAGTTGTACTCTGGACAATCAAGCCGATCAGCGCGAAATATAGTATGCATTCCTAGGGCTAAACTTACGCTCAACCAGCCAATCTTCATATTATCGGTTGTGTATAACGCCGACACATGTGTGGGCCAGAAAACGTTCAATGCATAATACGACATTTGGGCGATGGCGCCAATAATGACGGCCAGATAGTAGTTCCGTATCTTAAAGAGGGACATAGGTAGGATAGGATCTGCAAGCGGCATATACACCTCTAAATAGCGTCAGCAACATGAACGAAGAAGCAGAAACACTGATAACCATACCATAAAGTACGAAAGCAATGAGTCCCACACACCCTAAAACAAGCAGTGCGATGATCTTTGCGCTATTCCAAGGATCTTGCTGTCCTCCCCAAGCTACAGAAGGCTATGTTAGTTATTTTCCGCAGCGGTTGTCGAGCTCGTGAAACGTACTGAGTGCCAACAGAAGGCAGACAATCGCACAGGCGTATATGCCAAACCCAGCATAGTCTACCTGGAGAGCTTGCTTTACTCTAGACTTTCGAGCTTGTAGATCGTGGAAGGCTGGCGGGAAGTAAAATAGTACGAAGAGGATCAGCGAGATGCCGTTCACGATTGCGGATAGCCAATAAGTAAACCTCCAGCCGCCGTTGGAGCCGTGAACGTTCTGCACGATGACACGACCGATCAAAGGTCCGAAGCCTAGTGTTGGAAGGACCATGAATGAAATTGCGCCCTGGCCCCAAAATCTGTACTTGTTTGGAACCATCTCCATGACGAGCAGCGGATATGATATCTGGACCGCGGCGGCAAATCCCACGAAGACACCTGCTCCAATCAACCAGTTGATGTCTTTTGCCGTCGCACCCAGAATTGCTCCCAAGACGCCTGAAAGTTCTCCGGCAATTATGAAGTAGCGTCGTCCGATGGCATCGCTTAAAGATCCGACGAGGATAAAGAAGATACCTTGACAAAGCGTGTTGATCAGTGTCACAAGGGATATATTGCTCGACGGGCCGATATCAGCATCTATAACATTCAAAATGTTGACCGGGATTGCGTAACCAATGAAAAGGCCATTTGCCATGAAGATGATGGCCAAACAGGTCCCAAGGAACCGGGGTGACCTCCAATAACGCTTCTCAATATTCTCGTAATCAAGACCTAGATTGACTGGTCCATCGTGATGCTTGGAGCTAGATACTTCGTCCACATGGGCTACGTGCCCTTTCGTCTCCGAATTTGCGAACATAGCTGGGGAAAAAGGGAGAGAACGGCTAGGAGAAAAGAGTAAGCTGTACTGTAGCTGGTACAACCTCCTCTCACCTTCTCTCCCAGCCCTCAAAAGCCTCTTATTTATATTTCAGATTTGCTCTAGAAACCCACGAGGCCGTCTTGGGTCATCGTCTCCACTAAGATCCAGAACGTGCCGTAGCGACGCTAAGACAAACATCTGGGGAACGGCATTGTTGGAGAATGCAACGGAACAGGTAAAGAGATGTACATCCTCGCCAATCAGAGTCTTGCATCCCCCCCAAACCGCATCACTATTGGCTCGACTATACTGTGGACCAGAGAGCGCGGCGTGCGATGAGTTCGAAAGGGAACAAATCAGATGAACACGTCGGGTACAGAACCGAGACTCCGCGAGGACTCCGTTCTCCGCATTCATTCTCACCCTACCCCACAAACTCTGTAGTCCTAAATCCTGGCTTGGGATTCGCAAGTTCGGGGAAATGGGGATTTTTTTTTTTAGTTTACTATGTCTTGCAGACAGCCTTTGCAAGTGTTTCCTAGACGCTCGGTCCCTTTGGAAAGGTGCACATTGTGCTTCCTTTGGCGTGAAGTGCCCTCATGAACGGGGATGGTCGGATGTCATCACACGACAACAGAAGTTGTCAACCACTAAAATGTGCTTGACCATCTGTCACTAGGGCCAATTCTTTGGCAAAGTCTCAAGAATTAAATATATATTAGCAGGAAACAATAAGGTGTGAATCGAATCAACATCTCGACATGTGTGCGAGGATGCTCTTACATGAATATCGATCATGTCAACTCTTGGGAATCGTTTCTGCGGAAGATGTCTACTCTAGTTTTAGCGCCTTGAAACAACGGTCGAAGCTTAGCGGATGATTCACGTTGTCAGAATCGTTGAGGTGATAATAATGAAATGATTTCGTGAACCACATTTTGGAAAATTGTATCTTGCCTCGGTCAATGGTCTCGCTAAAATGTGTCGGAGATGTTGAGGATCCTGGTCAGTGTTCGTCCATGAGTTACGCGGAAATTCCTTTTCCGCTCAAACACGTTGGTTGGTCGGCTTGTTTGTAGTATTGGAAAGGAGGAATGGGTAGCCGTGAAAGAGTGTTACGTTTGTTTGGAAATCTAGCATGGTAGCTCTCGAGCCTGCGGAATACGTCCCCTTCATTTACAACGCTCTCCCAGCCAAGCGTAGATTTGAAGTACTTTATACTCCGCGACGTGATCAGAACGGGTCAAATATCGTGATTCTCATCCACGGGTCCGTCGGGTTCCGCAAAGCCTGCTTTTGATGAACCTTCTTCGCAACTCTTCTGTTGCGGCAAGCTCCAGATATCCGGTCGAAAACTACGAACTCTCGCATAGTTGATCCAAAAGTATCGGTTTCATTTTATTGCAAGATTAGAGGGTCTAAAGAGGCCCAAAAAATCAAGGACTCTTCATAGAGCAGGTTCTTAAGAGTGCATATGCTGACTAGAATCCGAGCCAAATGCTAAAAGCAGCCTCAAGTTACTTGCACCGGCGGTCAACGGAACTAAATCGCAACGTGTGTGGTGTTCTTCTCCTGTGACTACATTTTACAGCTTATTCAGTGGTTCTTATTTGAAGACTTCGATCGCTTGATATCTTTTTTTTGCACCTCCTTGGTGCCCGTGTAACCTCTACAGATCGGCTTCGTCGAGAGAATAGAGCCCAAGGGCAGAACTTAGCATAGAGAGACCGAAGGTGTAGCGTGTTTAATTGCTGACCTCCTTCCAAGTAACTCTCAATGACGAACTATGTCACCAAATATTCCACCAGCTCCGGCCAAGCTCTTGAACCAAAAAACCACACTTGCAAGGAGTGCCTGGATGTGGATAAGAATTTTGACCGGAAAGTGAAGAATGGAGCTTAGTACCACTGCATCATCGCATTTCATTGTCCTTCATTCCTGTTGAAAGTACAGCATCTTGCGCTCAGAGGCCTAGAGAACAGATCAAACCTCCACCACGCCTGAGCATCAATGGTGTCGAAGGCTTTTGGCTTCTGCGAAGTTCCACGATGTGTTTTACTTTTCTGCCTTCTGTATATCGCCAGAAACAAATAGACGGATTGGGGGCATCTCCACCATGCGCGGCATTCTGAAGGTGCTTGCCAAAACACTGTGCTTGAATATTTTCAGAAACAAAATTAAGTCAATCGTGTTCTTAACCTCTTTGCTGCAGATTTCTTTTTTTTTTTTTTTCCTTTTCCCTTGCTGCGTACCGATAGGGACAAATTTCAGACTCCGTAGCAGATAATCTGATGCTGCGCGTGGGCACGTGGAAGCTAGGGCAAGCTTGCGCAGGGTCCTTTTCCACAATGACGTACCTACCTACAGCCTCCGAAGTTTGACGTGTGTGGACGTTTGCATGATCAAATGAGCAATCCTGTTTCCCGGGTTTTCGCAAGAAGGGCCTCACATCTCAAGGCGTGTGCTCTCGAACCCAGAAAGCTTCGCGCAGCATCACCCCATTCGCGTTTGTCGAACCTCTGCCAGTTCAACTCTTTGTCCCAGAAGAACCTTGCCTTCAAACCTCCAGCCATGGGCTCTGACGAGGACTACGCCGCGTTCCTCGATAAAGCCAACCAAGATGTCTCGGGTGGTGCCTCCGCACAATCGGCAACCAAGTCCAGACCTAAGGCGACGAATACATCCGTGCCGTCGTCTCTACAGAAGATAGAGGCATACTACACAACTGACGCCGACGAGCCTTTCGAGCCAGTGTCGCTGAAATGGGAGGGCGACGGGATACCCTCGGCAAGTGACTTCAGTGACCTCATAGATGCCAAGGCAGAGAGTATCAGTGCGAAGGAGTTTGATCCCGCAGGTCAGTATGCAGAGCTCATTGAGGCCGTGAAAAAGGAAGGCTGCGGCGAGGTAGGATATTTCAGGGTAGCGCTGGGCGGAACGAGGAGCGAAGTCTGGGTCGTGAGTGCAAACGGAAAGGGGAAACTGGTCGGGCTGAGAGCTGTTGCTGTGATGTCGTGAGGATGCCGATCTTGAAGGCGGCGTGGGAGAAGTGTCGTGTCTTGTGGCACGGAGAAAAGACAGGGATTAAATAGCTATGCTGTGTACCGGGAGTATTCCCTTTGGCTAGCTAGAGACTCTAAATCTTGTTACGGCCATCATGTGTGTGGTATTGCGACTGGAAGAACGTGAGGAAATACACGCAAAATTTGTCGGCTCAGAGGGCTTAGTGTTTGTACACAGGAACTTTATGAGACGCTCCATCCATAGTATGTTGGATTAGCCTCTGAATCGCCATTCGGTAACTCTTCAAATACGTCCAGTCATTTGAAGAATCCAGTCCAGCCTCTCTATCGCTTTTCTTGTCTTTCATTGCCGGAGTAGCCTAGAGGAGCAGAGCGGTCGTCATCCTTCCGTCGCCACGACTCATTCGAAACATTTTTTTGCCTACATTGACGTATCCATCCATTCGATCATCAAAAACTGTCCATTTTTCTTGCATATTTGATTCGATGCAAGAACAAAATTAAGTGCACGTCAATTACGATCAGTTTTGGCGACCAGATCCAAAGTGCATCTGTCCTCGTAAATCACGGCCCGATGCTCAGGCAAGAAATCTCTTCTACATTCTAGGCAGAGCCGTTATAACAACATATTGGAAAGAATACTGTGGGCGCCGTATGGCGTTTGTCTGTAGAACTGGATAAGAATTTGACCAAAGAATGGTATGGTCATATGAAGACGAGACCCGCATCGAGGCTCTCCACGTTAAGAACAGAGAGACGACACCTGGAATCTTTTTGACTCGCAGTTGCCCGATTGGAAAACATAAGAGTTTACGATGCGCACAGAGAATAGGAACAGGCAGGTTGAATGTCTGCGGAGCTCATTGACACAAACGTCTCTCGCTGCCCGCTTGCGCTGTTGTCTGTTCCGAAAACGACAGACAATTGCGACAACGAAGTTGAACGATCTCGGAACACTCCGTGATTGGTTTTTAAAGAAACGGGTCAAGGGTGGCGAGTATGGTGACTCGAGCCAGGATTCAGATCAGAAATACGGTGAGCAATTCCCAGATATAAATCCCCGCACCATTGGAGCTCAGCGACAGATCTTCATTACAGTGTAGCCGTCCAACTATGCTGCTGTTCATCGCTTGATGCTCAAAAGGTCGCCTCACCCAAACACCGCTAAGGGCGCACATCTCCTCGCAGCGCAATGGCTGGTTTAACACTGGTTGGAATAAAGAGAGCAGATATGCATTCGGCGAACAGTGTTCTCTGATAGTTTGAGAAGCATCATGACAGAGCTGCGGAGATAGCTATGAATCGTTGGCTCAGGTCACAAATGGAAGAGACATAAGGCCACGAAGCGAATAACAAAGGTGAACACTGAAGTCGTCTTTGATTTTGCGTCTACTCTAGAGACCATATACACGTGCAAAGTGCAACGTACACACGTCCATAAATTCACGCCAGTCTTTTGGAGTCGTATCCTTCGCACTCGATTTTCTAGGGAATTGGCTCCACGCTCGCTTTTCGCACCCGTGGCGACGCTGCGTTGGAGAGTCCAGAAAATCCAGGTACTGGCTTTGCTCGCCCTTGTGATCCTCGAAGAAGATCGTCTGCAGGCGAAAATTACCCACCCTTGGATTTTTCAAGCGAAGGCAGAAGCACGATTGTGAGGTTTACCACGTGCCGAAACCAGAATTTTTTGATTGCGACCGGGACCTTCAAAGACGGTCGCACATGGGATGAGACCTCCAGTGTGGAGCGCGGCGAACGGAGGGAGCATCTGGATGTGGAGACTTTAATAAAAGTCGATTGTGAAAATTTCCCCCCATCCCCTTACCTTGCCGATGGTATAAACACAGCAAAGCGCTCCTTATGCGCTCCGTGCGGGAGAAAGTGCACCGAGAACGGCGGCTCTTGCAACGTCTCGCCACGTTCCCACTGAATCTAAAAATATGGTTGGCATCACTTGTTCTGACTTGAGGGGCGGTGCGACGAGTTTCGAAAATCGGACTTTCAAAAAAGTGATGCTTTTATGCGTCGCACTGGAGAACAGGAGTGACTATGCGACCGATAGAGGTCCCTCGAGCTATCTCTGGCCTGTTCGCCATGCCGCGTCACCACATCAGCCATAGTCGCGCGCCTGCGCGGGAGACGAAAGCTTGTTTCCCCCTGAGCCAACATGATTTGTCGCTCCTTGGACAGCACAAGCCACGGGAAAAAGCCAGAGGCTGTAGGCCAATACAGCTATGATCATCGGGGGGGGGCCGCCAGCTGGAGCGGCAGACCGACGAAAGAACGGCGGCCCAGGGGCATGGGATCTTGCACGGACGATCACACCGCAGTGTATGAGATGCCGGGCCTCAGGACGTTCCTTATTAGTGACGACAGGGGCAGGATTCCAGCTTCTGCGAGAAGGGCCCAGCAACGCTCGAATGGAGGGACAGCCAGCGACAGGACAGGCGCAGAGAGGAGCCTGGAGACGACGGCCAACGAAGGCCCAGACCGAGAAGGACAAGTAAGCCATCCAGTCAGCTGGAGCGAGACAATGACGAGTAGCGATCAGGGCGAGATCTTTGGTCGTCAGGCTCCACAGCTTGTGCGGTCGCCACCAGCCGGCTCTGAGTGGCTCGCCCGAGCTCCAGGGGGGGCCAATCAGAGGCCGCAGCGGCGCTGGCAGTGTTCGACAGCTTCAAAGAAGTTCGGTGCTGAGACTCGTTGCAGTCGGGCGCTGTGGTATCAAGAGCAAAGAACCGTTCGCGCAGGCGCAACTGTGCGTGCGGAGAGCTCCTGATTTGAATTTCCCACGCCGTCTGCGGTGGCTCTCGCCCTATTTCAATTTTCTTCTGGCTGCCGAAGACACAAGAGAGCACGCGACTGCAGCGTGCACGAGGCTGACTGAGTGCTTCCTGCTGAGCCTTCACGCCGTGTACATTCCCTTCGAGCCACTCCGCCCGGCCTTTCCTTTGCAAGTCCATGTTTGCGCATGCCCGCCTGAATTGCATCCAACTCTCCTACGCCCGCGCTCGTTTAGAAGTCTGACTCTCGTTACGGCCGACCCAAGTTCGCTCCTTAGCATCGGCGTTGCTCGCCTCCTTTGACAGGAACCCCACGCCTTCGCCGCTGCGACGACGATTCAAAAGTTTGAGAGCAACCTCGCTCGACGCATATCCGACACCAGCTCGGCGTGGAATGAGACTGAAACCATAGTCCTGCCTTTGCAGACACCTCCAACATGGCCAACCTTGGCTCAAACAATCCGTTCCAGCGGACGTCGCCGATACCTCCTGCACCTCGCCACCCCACGCCTCATGTCCGCCTCAATTCTGGCTCACAAAACATCCTGACGGACTTCTCATCTCACTCGGCCTCCACGGGTACGCCACAGAATGGTCGCTCGCTCACCCCAGCGCAGCACTCGCTTCCAAGCTCGCTTCAAATCGCTGCTTCGCAGCGCTCACCATATCAAAACCAGCCCAATGCAGCCGAATCCGCAGAACTACTTCTTCCACCTTCGAGAGCTCTCTCGAGGAACCGATTTAGAGATGAGGACTCTCCGCTCCCTTCGCCAGTCTCGCTAACGGGCTCGAGGCGATCTAGCTGGTCTTCTGAATCTTTCATGAGCAACAGGCAGGGCCCATTCGCAAGTCCATTTGACGACTCGAGGTCGCCGTCGAGAACAGGTAGCGAAGACGGATTGATCAATACGCAAACTGTGTCGGAGAAGTACAACATTCAGCCCTCGGCGGGCCTGCTACTCTATCCGGAGGACGTCGAAAAGGATGACTATCTGCACAATCCGGACCCGAACGACAAGGAAGGGTATGGCTGCACATCGTGCTGCAACTCTCGAGGCGTGGTAAACATTGGTGGGCTGATCTTGATCACGCTCGGCACCCTGGCTTTGTTCATCGGATATCCTGTCGTGACGTTTGTGCAAAAAATCATCGAGCCTGCGAAGACATCCTGTCAAGGCGACCCGTTGTGCATAGATGCCCAGCAGTTCGATCTGCTGAAGAATGTTCGCACCTCGCTGATAGACCCGGACACGCCCAAGAGTGCGTACACGCGCACGTCGTTCGCTGGCAAAAAGCAGAATTTGGTCTTCTCGGACGAGTACAACTTGGACGGACGCACATTCTACGACGGCGACGATCCCTTCTTCCAGGCCATGGATTTTTGGTACGGTGTCACGCAGGACCTAGAGTGGTACGATCCGGACGCGGTGACCACAAAAGACGGAACGCTCAACATCCGCTTCGACGCCTTCCAGAACCACAATCTCAACTACCGTTCCGGTATGATCCAATCCTGGAATAAGCTCTGTTTCAAGGGTGGCCACGTAGAAGTTTCCCTCAGTCTACCGGGACGAGGCGACACCTCTGGATTCTGGCCCGGCGTGTGGGCGATGGGCAACCTGGGGAGGCCTGGATATGCAGCAACGACGGATGGAATGTGGCCTTACAGCTACGATGATGTCTGCGACGTCGGTATCACGCCGAACCAAAGCGACTCTACTGGCGTCAGTCTGCTTCCGGGCATGAAACTGCCGGCTTGCACATGCACAGGCGAAGACCATCCAACTCCGGGCACATCGAGAAGCGCGCCGGAGATCGATATCATCGAGGCTACGGTCGTCTATCTCGATCCACCAAACCAAGCTGCTATCGGATCAGCGTCCCAGTCATACCAATGTGCGCCATTCGATGTGTTCTGGCGTCCGGATTACGACTTCATCGAGTTGTATGATCCGCATGTCACCACCATGAACAGTTATTGCGGCGGCGTGTACCAGCAGGCAGTCTCCGGCGTCACCAATCTCAACAACGACTGGTATGACGGCAATGCGTATCAGACCTACGCCTTTGAGTATACGCCTGGGAGTGATGGGACCATAACATGGTATGTCGGCGACACGCCCACCTGGACCCTCGATGCTCGTGCGATAGGTCCCAACGGAAACATCGGGCAACGAGTCATTCCGCAAGAGCCGATGGCAATGATCATCAATTTCGGCATGAGCAACGGCTTTGCTGAGCTTAATCTGACTGGCCTGAGCACGCTGATGCCAGCAACCATGCGTGTTGACTACCTTCGCATCTACCAAGACGAAGGCGAGGAGATGGTGACATGCGATCCTCCGGGCTATCCGACGACGGAATACATCAAAAACCATCCCGTTCCATACAGCAACCCAAACTTGACACATTGGTGAGTGGCAACCGGGCTTTTTTTCCAGGAGCAAAAGTTTTTCCTCCTATTTCTGTCTTCGAAGCAACGGGCTGACGACGATGAGCAGGTCGCAGACGGGGTACGACTGGCCCAAGAATTCGCTCATGAACGGATGCACAGCCAACAGCAACTTCCACGGCTGAACGGCGTCTCCAAACCCGCAGCTGAAGACTCGGAGCCAGGAAAAAGGAAAACCCAACGACCACTTACCTACGATACCCACGATACCGACGAAAATTATCACATTAATGTCTTAACTCCCGACCAACTCTTAACAGACTCGGCGGCCCATACGCTATTCAGCTATTCGAACTTTCCTTCCAAGCTCTTCGCGACTTCGGGAGCAAACACATTCGCATGGTGAGGCGCACTTTGAAACTTCCGCATGGCCAAAATGAACTGGTGGAGAGCATCTCGATCGCCCCCCCCGGGATAGATTTCTTTTTCTTTTTTTTTTTCTAACCTTCTCTTTCTCCCTTCATCGTGAAGTTCTTTCTTCAGCGTATAACTTGCATTGAGCGATCCAGGTATGGGCTATAGATATGCATGCTCCGAGCGCATATATGGGCGTTGTAACATAGGATTTTTGTTGCATCTTCGTCTTCTTTTTTTTCTAGCACCAGCGAGGAGAGGCGGGGTTTGGTTTCAATGTACAGATACCCTCGACATTGGGAAACTCAAGTTTCCACGCGGTTTATTATTATTTTTCTTGTCTTTTTCCCCTCTTCCCTCCCCTTTCTTTGCTCGCCTGAAATTCAAGGATTAAAAACATGTGATGATGACCCTGGACGGAAGATCAGACGGCGCGGAGAAAGAACGGCGTTTGAAAGCTATAAAGTCTACAATACATCGATGTAGGACAATATGATAGAGCTCCCTAGAAGGCTCTCGACCAAATTGTGCCTCTGACATGAAAATCGTGACGCTGAGAAGAAAATATGACTCGAAACTTAATATAAGGCCTGCGAGTGTTGGCCAATGCAGGGATCACGCCTCGAACATGCCAGGCCAAGGTAGTCTGGAGCCCGAGCTGGAACAAAGACTTGCCGAGAAAACGAGAAGACAGGGCGAAGGAAACGCGGAAAGGCAAAGAACGCAACAAGGTCGCGGGGCGGGGGAAACCAAACAGGAAACACGACGCAGGTGTCGGAGGGAGCAAGAGGAAGAAGAAGAAACGGGATGAAGGAGGTCGTTTCGTCGGATCGAGCTCCATCGAGCAGATGCCAAGAACATCCACGGACGCTCGCTGTGTTCTGTTCTCTGAGACGCGCGGTCGATCAACCCAGGGCCCCCTGCGGCGCGGTGACGAAACAAGCCTCGGCGCAGGAGTCGAGCGTCGTTTCGGGGCCTCTCGAGAGCTGGAAACAAGGTTTCGCCCGGAGAGGCTCGACGAGCGTCTTTGTTTCTGATCTCCTTCGACGCACGAACATGTGCGAGCCAAGGGATGGGCCTTTTTTTTTTTGCCGACGGTCCGGCACCTTGTTCGGATCGCTCGACCGCTGAGATCGTGGTTCCGGCTCTGTCCCCGTTCGACGGCGAGGACGTGTGTTACGCGGGGCGTGTGTAGACGACGGAGACATTGAGTAGAGCACGGGAGAGCGAAAAAGCCCGGAACGGGCCTGCGCGGTCAGTTTTGCCTTCTTCGAGGAGTTGATGCCAAACGATGTCTGCGTGCGCCAACACTAAACTACCATGTTACCCGATCTGGCCAGCTGACGCCGACGAGCGCGATCAGTTCGCAGCAGTGTACGATCTCGACCAAGAAGAGGAGACGCGTGTGGGAGCTAGCCAGCATTTCTTGAGCGTGCTCGCTTTCCAGTCCCTCTGTCGGCTCCTACTCTTCACTCGCCGTCAACTGTCGGCTTCTCCAACCTTCTGTCCCCTTCGTGAGTAAAGATAATGACTGCGTCTCGGCCGGCACACGCGCCGCCGCCCACAACCCCCGCATTTTGACAGGCGTGACGGCCGACTCGTCCAGCAGCCTGCAGCAGCTGACCGAAAGCCAGGCCGAGCGCGCTCCAGACGGCCCTGTCGGCCGTCTTCGTGTGCGTGTCCGTCGCCGGTCGCCAGACCGATCGGCTCTGTTCTGCTGAGCAGGCCGAGCACCAGCGGCGCACAGCGACGGGCTCCGCGGGCGGCAGAGGGTCGCGACGACGATAAGCGTGCTCGAGGACGAATGGCGCGGCAGGCCTGGTCCCGAGCGCCTTGGCACCGCAGTGGACGGCGCGAAGAGTACTGCGAACGAGGAGGCGGACGAGAGGCCGTCCGCTTTTTCAACTGTTCAGCGAGGGCGTGTCGTGGGGATCTCGAGCGTGATGGGGAAACCGACGAGGAAGCCAGGGGTGAAAGCGTAATTGAAATTGCCGCAAAAGCAGTCACACCACACCAGGTCGACCGGGAAGGTGGTGTCTTTTGCTTCCAAACTGGAGGAAATGTACAAGTAGAAGGCACTGTCCATCGCTCACTTTTAACATGGCTAAAATTTGAATAATCGATTGATGATATTCCTTACTAATTTTTTTTGACTGCTAACATGCGTGAGGACACAACTGAAACCAAAGAGAAAACACTGGTGAATACTTGAGAATGAAAAGGCAACTGCTCGAAGACAGCCCCAACGGCGCACCAAGAGTAAGTCACATGCTTCGCCCACCTTCAACTAGCATCAAGTGTATATGAAAAGAGTACGGGAAAAAAAAGGAAATCAATTCCCACAATAGTGAGTGCTCATGTAGCCCACGTGCTGATGAGCTTTCAAGAGGAAAATAACGCAGGCACCGCGCCAATTTTTCGTGATGGTGGTATCCAGCCACAGACAGTCAATCGGCTCGCATAAACACGTGTTCGGTCGTAAAGCGCAAGCACCTTTTCAGTATCGCAAAGAAGTCCCCGAATTTTACACATTAAGTCTTAAGAATCGCAAGAAACCAATCCATCGACGTTGGTTCACAACAAAGCTTTACGCACTTGCGGCTGCAGCAGCAGGTTCCGAACCTGCTGCTGCGGCAGATGCGCTCTTGGGACTGTCTCTCTTTGGGTCCGCCGCGTTCGATACAGGTGCAGCTGGGGTAGGCGGGACAGGTCTCTTCTCATCCTCATCGTCGTCATAATTCTCGTCCACCTCTATGCGTCGGGCTGCGGGCTCGTGGACGACTTCGCGTCTGGGCTCTTCCTTGACCGTTTCAGACATGCGTGGTAGCTGGTGCTGCGGCTGCGGCGGGCTGCGGCTGCTTGCAGTGGGCTGTTGACCATTGTTAATGGCGGGTAGCGACGGTGGGTGGTGCGCCGCCTCCGAAGGGTGATACGCTTCGTTCGCGCGGCGCAGTTCATCCGCCTGGCGACGCCCCTGTGCGTCCGTGTCGAAAGAGGATTGTGGACGTGGTGGAGACGAGTGACCGTGCATGGGAACCGAAGGGGGCCGTGCAACGTGCTCATCAATACGCTGACGCTTCTCATCCGCCGGTTGCTTGACGGCTGAGTCTTCTTCCCAGTCGCGGTGCCGCTTGGTGCCGTTTGTAGACGGCGTGTGATTGTCGTGCTCGCGATCGCGAGCAGCTTGTTCGGCGGCGGCCATAGCAGCCTGCGGTGGACGAGCACCACTTTCAATCGAAGAGGGTGCCGAGGTATTTGCGTGGTGTGAAAAAGGGGGATATGACGAGCCCGCGGACGCCGGACGATCGATATTGATCGGGCGAACTTCAGGTGGGCTAGAGCGACCGTACGGTGGCACGCCAGCTGAGGACTGAGCAGTCGAAGGAGGAGGAACAGATGCGGATTGTGGTCCATAATTCGGGTTGGTAATCCTCCGGCCTGTTTCGAGCGGCTGGGAGGTTGTGCTACCACTCTGAATAGCTGGCGGGGGAGGTGGGGGAAGATGTTGAGGCGCAAACGGACCACTGCCTTGCGATCTCGGTGATGGCGTGCGCCGCTGGTGACCCGTAGTTGGCGGTCGAGGTGGCTCCTGGAAATGTCGAGGTGGCTCTGTCGATTTGGGACTCTGAGGTCGGCCAAGATGTGGTGGCGGGCCAGGTTGACGGCCCGGATCTCTGTGCTCCATAGGCTGCAGCTGCTGTGGCGGGCCCTGTGGAGTCTGATTGATCTCCGCAATACGTGTTCGGTTGTAGTCAAAAGAAGGGGGTGGTCCAGACGGGGCCTGCGAAGCACCCCACTGTGGTCCAGGTGGTCCATTAGCTGGAGTTGGCTGGTATGCTTGTGGGTGAATATCCTGCGGCAAAGGTGCGCTGTTCTGATTCGGCATGCCGTTTGTTGGGCGACCGTTTTGCAGGAGCTGTAAGCGCGCCTGAATATGAGCATTGTTTGGATCGAGGTCAGCAGCTCGCTGATACGCATCGAGTGCATCAGCCGTCTGGTTATTGCAAGACTCATACTAAGGACTCACGTCAGTGCATGTTGCATAAAGACTGTAGCTGTGGAACGTCTCACCAGAGTGCCTAGGTCATACCAAACCTCGGAAATGTTTGGATTGAGGCGGATGGCTCGGGAGTAGGCATCAAGCGCATCGCGGTATTGGTTGATCTGGTAGTAAAGCACGCCTATGGAGCACCAGAAGGTAGGGTTGCGACCATCGCGGTAAACCGCCTGCTGATACGCCTCGTACGCCTTCGGATACTTTTGCTGTGACATGTAGCAGCGGCCAAGCAGGTACCAGCTTTGCGCATCGTTTTGGTCTGGTGGATGCGGTCAGTAGGAATAACGCGACACGAGACAGGAGAGAAGCCCAATCACATACCAGCAGCGACTGACTTCTCGAGATACTGGATCGCCTGTTCTTGACTGGCGAAACTTTCACTTTGTTGGTGGTGTAACCAGCCCAGCTGTTGAAGGACCTTGGCGTGATTTGGATCGCGATCCAGGACGCGGCGGTAGGCTGCTTTTGCTTTTTCAAACTAACCACATATTAGCTTGTGTACATGCAGACAAGCGACGGTGGAGCTTACGTCTTTGCGCTGTTCGTGGACGTGGCCGATCTGGAACCAGATGTCCTCTTCAGTCAACGGTCGAGGTGGGTCGTTGACAATGTAGTTGAAGCACTAAGGCATGGTGAGCAAGACATTGTGAGCTCAGTGTAGCATCACGTACTTCTAAGCTTTGGTCGTACTTGGACTGTTGCTTGTATATTATGCCGAGGCGGAAGTAGACTTCGTTAGCTTTGTCGAAGTTGGGCGCCATGCGCATGACCTGCGAAAATGCCTCTTCTGCATGCTCCAAAGAGCCATAGCGGTCGTAAAGGATGCCGATGCCATACCACAACTTCGGTTCCTACGTGAGACGGATCAGTCGCTGTCGAGTGTGCTCGAAGCTGTCGAAATAGTTTTACCTTGGGGTCGGTCAGATGGTAGAGTGCCTGCTGGTAGGCGGAGTAGGCTTCTTGAAGATTGTCCATCATCAAGTAGCAATGTCCTGAGGAGATGGGTCAGTCTCAAGCGCACTTACGCATCGACTGCTAAGGACAGCGATTGGGGGGGAGGGGGGACATACCAAGCTGGCCCCAGACTTCGCCGTTGGTGCCGTCGATCTTGAGGATCGTCCTCAAATACTCGATCGACAGGGCATACTGGTCGCGATTGCGCAAAATGGCAGCAATGGCAGACATGGCAGGAACGGACCACGAGTTGTGCTGGATGGCATGTTCGTAGGCGGCGACGGCGCCGTCGAGATCACCTTGCAGCTCACTCAGCGATCCTGGTGAGTTCGGGTCAGCAAGCGAGTTAAGAGAGCGTGCAGAGTCAATCAACGTACCAAGCTGAATCCATGCGGCCTCGTTTGCCGCGGCAAGAGCTTGAGCAACAGTCTTCTGCTGTGGCGGCATTCCAGGCGGAATGTGGCCGTTCGGAGCGTGAGCAGGACCTGGTGGGCCGTGGTGGCCAGGCATTGCCGCCGTTGGCGATGTGTGATGAAGGGCAGCCATTGTTGGAGCGGCAGGCTGTCACGAAGACGAGGCTGCCACGGTCGTTGCAGCGGTGGCGAGGACAAGACTGAGGATCGAGGGCGGATGCCCAGCAGCGGCGACGAGAACGTTGCGCGGGCAGGTCGAGGCAGGCGCGCGCACGAGACTCACACGTGGCGGAGCTTCGAGAGAGTGAGGAAGGAGGGAGGCTCGCGCGTGGTGATGAGACGCAGCTTCTCTCTTTGCAAAGGTCAGTCTCCGTATGCGTGAGGGCGGGTGGATGTGTGGTGCGAGTGTGCGTTGTTCAGCCGCAAGCACCAAACGACGACCTGCACCCACATAAAACTCACCAAACACGGACAGCCTTACGGGAATCCGAGGCGGGACGAAGGGCGGAGAATGGGAGAGAGATGGAGGAGATGACGGGCACTGGAAAGCAGCGCGGCCGGCACTCGCGACGGACAGGACGGACGCAGCGGTGAGAGAAGAGGAATGGTGGAGGGATGAGGAGCGGGCGAGAGAAGAAGAGAGGGAAAGAGCGACGAGCGAGCGAAACGTCCGGCAATCTGGAGACGGAGGCAGAGAAGGCAAGTCCACTCTGCCAATGTGCTTGCGCGTGGGTTAGGGTTTGGGCCCGGCCAGAACAGGCTTAGCCCGGAATTCGCACGCATTCTGCGCTGGGCGTGCTGGCGCGCGGCGGCTGGCAGCGCCCCCCTGCCGTAGCCACACACGCCCGAGCATGATCGGTTCGCCCGTTGCACCAGTCATTGGCCCCATGCCTGACCAAAGATCTGTGGCCCGCTCGGGAATAGCCCGCCAGCCCCTCTGCCTGCTGGAAACCCTCCTGTCATCGTGACGTGCCCACGCTACCTGTGGCTCCTCGCGCCGTGGATGTACGAGGCGGAAGCAGACACGCTGCGACTGAGCGAGCCCTCCCCCACGTCCGCCGCCTGTGCTGCCAGCCAGCCTTTCCGCTCGGCCTTTTTAATTTTTCGCGGAGCTTTGTCAGATCATGCATCCGCGGCCGCGCATCTGCCTTCTCCCGAAAGGAGAGCTGCCAAGACGTGGAGGTGCTAGGCCCTTTGCAGGCTTACTGTGTGGACCGGCGTGCCACTTGCGCCGTGTCAGGCCGGGGGGGAGGGACAGCCTGTGGGCGCTAAACCGAAATGGATCCGCCTCATGGCGTGTCTCTTTGCGGAACGGGGCTCGACCAGCGATGGACAGGAAGGCCGGGAGGGAAACAGGAAGTGATGGGAAGGGAACGAGAGGGGAAAAAAAAAAAAAAAAAAAGAGAAAAGAAGAAGGAAACAAAACCAGAAGAGCCCGGCCAAGCGCGCAGGAGGCAGAGCGCCAAAACGCTGTGTTTCCCACCACACCGCAGCCCTCCCCCATCATGTACGAAACGCATGATTGTTTTCGCTCCGTAGCCGTGGGCGATTATCACTTTGTCTCCTGCCTTCTGCTTCCGAGCGGTCTCCCCTTGTTTCCCCCTTCGAGACCGTTTGTTCGCTCAGCGGGCCACCAAACGCGTTCAGCTCTCGACGACGACGAAAAGGCGAATGAGACGAGGCGACTCTTGCTGCGGCTGTGTGCGCTAAATTAAAATGACGATAACAATAAGTTACTTTTTCATCTTGCTGGCCTGACCATGTGGTTGGCAACGTGCGCTTCTTCGCATGCGCTGATGAGCTGAAAACCAGGGACCCGTAACGGCCCCGTCAGAAATCTTTCTTTGCCGCACGGCGACAGGCGTGGTCGGTCGGGCGTATCGAGCGTTGTGTGGAGTTCGCTTGCATGCAGCACGATCGACATTGTACGTGTTGGATGGCGTTCTTTTAGTAGCCCACCCAGTTTTAGAAGCACGAAACTGCAAGACCAGTGGTTTCGCAGCCTTGAGACAGCTAATATCGCACACATACACAAACACACACAGAACACATCCACAAACACACGCCCACACACGCGCGCACACCCACGCATCCACGCCCTCGTGCAGGCCTGCTGTGCAAAGAGGGAGGCCCAGGCGAGCGGCAGGCACTTTCCCGCAATAGTTTCTTTTTTCTCGGGAGGTTACAAAGCCTCTGACGACGAGTTCTCTGCCACTGCGATCCTGAAACTGGCTGCATCTCGTGTTTGTGTGTACGTGTGCGTGGTGCCCTTTTTTTGGTATGCGCATGGCAGACATCCAAACTCATTTCAGGCGGGAGCGGTGGGAGCCACAGCAAATGTCCCCGTGTTTGGTGCTACGGAGAAGAGGCCAGACAAACCTTTTCTCTGGTGTGGCCTAGTCAACGAGCGCTCAGAAAGGCGTCGTGAACAGCTCGGTTTTCCAGGCCGAGTCGGCTTGTGCTCTGACAACGAGTCAAGGCAGATCGAGAACACAATGACACACTTCAATATATATGCGAAAACACCTGGACAGTCAAGCCACACGGTCTTTCTCTCACGGCCCATCTCCTCTTCATTCTCCGCCCGTGTTTCCTCCAGGCTTTGTCCGACCACGCCTTGCTTCCACCCGTGCCCTCCATCAAGTTGGGGCGTGCACGTAGTGCTGTGCATCGCACCGGCGCCGAGGGTTCGCACAGCTCGTGAGCTGGCGTAGGCATGAACATGGTGATGACGAGCGAGCGTGTAGGGCCAAAGAGCTTGCTGACGCATCACGTTGTATGATGGAGTCATGTGTCATCGCCGCACTGAATGAACATGTGCGCCAGAAGAGCAGCAGGCGTCCAACACACACACCCGTCACGGCGGCAGCTCCGCAGTAAGGACGGACAAGTCCAAATTCACCCCCAAACGGCAGCCTCACACACATCCGGTTGGTGTGTCCAGCGGCGATGTGCAGATCAGGATTGGGGTGGCTGGTCGGGCTCACGTGGAGAGATTGGGCCATTCTTAGCGTGTGCCCGCTTTAAATACACACGCGCACACACACACACACCACGCACACGACGCACACAGCGCCCACTCGCTGCACGCCCAGGCGTCGGCGGCAGCCGCTTTTCTTTTCCTTGCCAACGGGACAGGCCCCGGACGATGGACCGCGCTAGCACGCTTCAGTCCGTCCCAGCCTGCAGCCACACGATTCGACAGCCTGTCGCCCGATGATCTCTGCGCCGAGATGCAATCAGCCCCCCATCCCTGCTCGACCTGCCTTCGGCTGGAGATCGCAACGACTCGCGAGCGAATTACACGGCATCGAGGTTAGCATGCTGGCCGCCCTGTCGCGGGCTCTGCCTTCGTCCACGCAACAGTGCGGCCCGCCAGCTGCGCTGCGTTCTTGCCAGTCATGGAGATGAGGAGCGCAATGATCGCCCTCGCTCCATCTCTCCCTCCACAAGCGCTTCGAGGTTCCATCGTCTGCTCGCGCGACACCGCCCGTATAATCCTCCGGCGCATCAAATTTCTGTTGCACAACCACCAAACCCAACGCCCATGGTCGGATATCCCGACCTGGGCAATGTCGCTCGCGATCCTTTCCACCAGCCGTAGAGCACTCACGGAACCGCGTGTCGATGCGAAATCCGCGGCTCGAATCTCCACCGAACGGAGGGCAAATCGAACGTCACAGAGCAGCAAAGCAGATGAACGTGTTCGGGCAGGATGGAAAGATCAATGGCCAGGGCCGGCAAGGAGTGTCGGACAGCCAGATCCGCCCTGGAAACCTGGCAGTTCGGTTTGGTGTTGTTTCATCCTCCAAACAGCCGTGCGCACGACCTGGCCCAGGGCCGATGCTTGTAGCACTCCGAGAAGCTTATTCGACAGCCGCGCTGGCGATCCACCCGGCGCGCCTTTTCCCTCCGTGCCCCCTCCCCCCTTCACCACTGGAGGGTGCTTTTCCTGCTCGCGCTGAACGCTGCCCATCTCCTGCCACGGCGTCCTTGTTTGTCCGAGCATCTGCTCGTCATGGCCCCTGCGGCTGCTTGCGCATCCCTTCGACAGCAGGGGGAGCCTGTCGATTTTTTCATCTTCGTAATGGTTCCCCAATTATGGTCATTACCTTTTGGACGACAAAAATCCTTTCCGATCCGGGTGAACCACGGGTGAACCGCCAGAAGTCTGGGCGCTTTAAATTGGGGGTTTTGCCAACAAGCCTTTAATGCACACGATGGTACCCCATCGTCCGCGGCACGCTGACTTCCACTAGAACCAACGCCCTGCGGTGGAACACTCCTTTTTTTTGACCATTCCTTTTGGTCGTCGTGCTCAGCAGAAGGTCAATAATCTTAGAGTCTCGTCTGCTCTCTCTTGAGGTGTCGGTCTCATCGTTGTCCGTCTGTGGATCCGGATGCCAAATGTGCTGGTGTCACGATTTCGCATGAGCCCGTCATGTGGAACGCCAGAGAGACCCTGCGCCACTAAGCTCCACAAACGAGTCAACCGCGGTAACCACTCTGCACCTCTCAACGCTTAATTGGCGTGGTGTTGGCTCCGACCATTCTACGGGAAGGTCGATCTAGTGAAATAGCCCGTCGTAAATTGCCATTGCCGTGCAAAAGGGAAAAAAAATAAGAATAAAAACCCTATGGACATCGTGAGCACGCAAGAAACAAGTTGCGCGCACGAGATCGTCGTATGGCGATCAGACATTCGTGTGGGCTTTGAAAGCTTCTCCTATGTGAAACTCGAAATGAATGTCCAAAGCAGGCCCCCACCACCGACGAGGATTACCGAAGGAATAGAATATGCGTTGTCTTTGTTCTCATTCTTTGTCCTTGTATCCGATGCATCCGTGATATCCTGCCCACTCTTCTTGATCCACAAAGACAAGGCCTCAGTGGAGGGTTTTGTTTAAATTTTTTTTCAATACATTGTCCAATGCCTGAATTAAGTCTTAATTTTTTTCGGGGACAGAAACTGGCAGTCGATCTCTAGAGCAAATTTGTTTTTTTTTTTTGGCTTTCACATTTCCGCAGATCAAGACAGAAACTCTCAATCAAGCGGCGTCGGGAGTATTTGCATTCCCGTGGTAGCCATGAATGAAATACAGCTATCTGGCGGATTTAATCACCTAAAAGAAAAGAAGCTCTCGCGTGTTTCAACAAGCTCGGTCGACAGGCGTTTTCACTTGCTTTATTTACGAAGATAGTATGGACTTCTTGGTCTGCGGTAGAGAATCACAGACAGAAGTCCGTTTTGGTGGATCCGTCTCATCGGTACGCAAAAAGGGAAGAAGCTTAACTTAGTCGCGGCGCCTCGACTGAATCCACCTGTTTCTGATTTGGCAAACATGATGCTGATTGGCAAAACCTCTTTGAAAGTGCAGAAGCGAGTGCTGACTACGCAAAATCGTTCTATCGCGCAAAACTGCTTTCAAAACGTCGAGAATCCGAGCCCGTCAGCAAATAGGCAGAGCAGCTACAGGCACATTTCGACAGACTTTTTTTTGACGACCGGCCGAAAAAAAAAAAAAAAAAAGAAGAAAAAAGAAAAAAGAAATCTGGGCTCCCCTAGCTTTTTTTTTCTATCATCAAAGTCATTTGTCGTGTTTGTCTCGCGCCACCAGTCATCCTAACGCCAACACCGTGAGATGGCTGAGGATTAAAACGGAAGCTGAAGTTGAACTAGAAGATCTAATTTCCGAATATGCATGTCTATACTATTGGCTCCCATCGCACGGGAGGATACAGCCATGTGAGAGGCTGCGCGAAAGGATATGATATTGATCACACGCCCGGCTGTATATATATATCGATGAGAGCGCGAGGAATGGTCATCCCTCATCAGAGATGGTGAATACACCGCGCCTTCCCGAAACTCGTACGAAGTCGTCCGTAAGTGGCCGTCTGACGACCCCAATCACCTATCAAAGTGTCCCAAGGGCACCGAAATTATGGCGTACGAGGTCCGTCCTCGACGCACCGAAAGCAAGTCTAAACAAGGGAATGACGATTGAAATATCTGATACTCAAAATCACGAGTCAACATGGCCCGCAGTACGCCTGCGCCCGCTCGCTTGGCTGCTGGCGAAGAAGCAACATGCTTTATCTTCGTCTGAAGTCGGGCCCAGATGTCGCGAATCAACGAGGATAGTGCGAACAGGGCATAGGCTTTCTCTGGAATGCGCTGACAAGAATCTCTCTAAGCAACGGCTCAACGCTTTGTCGTGGGCATCTTGAAATGTGAGGAGGGGTAAGAGGGGCCCGTGGCATTGTGATCTTGGGAATGCAAACAAATCTTGACAAAGGGCATGAGAGCGATTGACTTTGAAGTTCTTGGCAGACCATGTCAAGCAGACTATCTAGAAGCGTTCTCCAAAGAGCAAATGCTTCATGCACAACTTAGCATTCGTTGGGCATTCTCTTACTTTTTAAATTGAGCGGCATGGGAGTCTGGTGTTGGGCTTACATTGTGTTCTCGCGGAGCCTACTGTCACGTTGTGGTGAGACACAGAGATCCATTCGTATCTGATTGCATCACATTACTAAACCCTTGAGGCTCGTAGCTTATCGTAACGCAAGACGCTCTGCAGGAGCACCTGAGCACCGAGAGCGCAATCTTCCGGCTTGCTGTACTCGGTCGGATTGTGGCTGACCCCGTCTCGACACGGGATGAATATCATGCTCGTCGGACAGACGTAGCTAGTATACACGCTGTCGTGTCCCGCGCCCGAGATCATCTCCTTCGTTAGATTGTCGAACTGGTCTCCAAACAGCCCTTTACTCGCTTCGCGCACACAGGATATGCAGTCTTCGTGGAACTTGATGGCGGGCGAGACGGAATCCACGGTGATGTCAACGCTGCACGCGAGACCAGGCGTACCATCCTTGTTCAGGCCGTCGACGTCTTCGCCAGCAGCGATGGCCGCAAACGCCCTTCTGCAGTCTTCCTCGACGGCGTCGACCTTCGCATCCTCGAGAGCGCGCACGTCGAGGCTGAACCGCACGTAGCCCGGGACCGTGTTCGTGCTTCCCGGCTCCAGCACCAAGATGCCCGTGCTAGCTCTCGCGCCTGCCCTCGTCGCGGCGCGGTGGCTGTACAAAATCATCTTGCTGGCCGCTAGCATGGCGTCTGCCCGTCTCTCGAACGGCGTGGTCCCCGTGTGCGTGTCGCGGCCGCGCACCTCCACCGTGAACCACTTGTACGCCTGCACGCCTTTCACGATCCCGATCTTGCGCTCCTCGGCCTCCAGGATGGGGCCCTGCTCGATGTGCAGCTCGAAATGTGCAGCCATCGGAACGGATCTGTAGGACGCCGGTGTTGAGCCCATGTACCCTATCCGTTCGAGCTCGGATTTCATAGTGGCGGTGCCGCCACCCACTTCTTTGAGGTTGTGAGCTCGCTCAAGCGGGATTTGCTCCGCCCAAACACCGCTCGAGATCATAGACACGGGAAATCTTGCGCCCTCCTCGCTGCCGGCAAAGCCTCAGCTCCTCGCGCATCGTTGACGTGGGGTGGGGAAACTTACTTCGTCCAATTCACGACCCCTACCGGGAACTCCGTCTCGATACCGCTGTCTTTAAGCGTCTTCAGCATTTCTAACGCCGCGGTGACGCCTAGGATACCGTCGTATCGCCCGCCCGAGGGTTGCGTATCCAGATGAGAGCCCGCAAATGTGGGAGGGCCATCTCGTTTGCCTGGTCGCACGGCAAACATATTTCCCATTGAATCGACAGTGACCGTACAGCCCAGTTGTTTGGCCGTGGATGCAAACCAGTCGCGCACCTGCTTGTCGGAATCAGACAAGGCAAGACGCTTCATGCCTGTTTCTGTAGGGTGACTATGTTTCGATCAACGTCCGATCTACGTAAATGCACTAAAGTTTACGCACTCGCCCCATCTTTGACCCGTTCCCCATTGGCAAGTGTAGTGAATATCTCCCATAAGCCTGTCCTCCCGGACCCGGAGAGCATTCAAGTCTTGCTCGGCCATATCTGCCAGTTTCAGCTGGAGCAGACGAGTCGACGCAAAATGTCTACGCAACGAGCTCCTATCGCGAGCGCAAAAATCACTTCGTTTCGAACTGCCTAGAAGAAATCTGGAAATGAAAGGCTGCCGAGAGCAACGAGACGCTGCTCGAATTGCTATCTCCATCACTGGCAGGCAGAGGGCCGATATAGGCCGTGACAAAGTACGAACTGTGGAGATTTGGCCAGATAAGAAGGTAGATGCGGGAACAGACGAAGCGATGTGGTAAAAGAACTAGGGTTACAACGCATTTACTTGTAGTTAGAAACTACGTGATCAAACAGTTCGAGGGCGTCGGCCATTTGCATCCGTCTAGCGCACTTCCACGCCCTACATGGTTTTTGTCTCCACCAAAGCTGGAAGTCGGTACTCAATCAGGAATGGTCAAAGCTTGGGACTGTTCGACAACACCTCGTCCCTTCCTCTGCCTTTTTCTTGCGACAAAGGCAAAGATACAAAGTCTGTCGACTGCTCCGCCGCGTGCTTCAATACAAAGACCCCCCGTGTTCGAAAAGATATGCCAATGCTGCGAACACAGTATGTTTCCGCGATGAACGGCTCTAGCCTCGCGAAGAGATGCTCAGCAACCGCGTCGAGCTTACATCCTACGAAAAGACGCTACCTACCAGTTCATACTCGTAGATTCCAGTCGACGACGGCCGCAACGGAAGAGGTAGCGGACTCTGGAAGCTCAAGCACCCAGGAGAAATCACCGAAACTGGACATTGCCTCATTGCTAGCAAAGCCATCGTGGTCCGTCTCGTCGCTCCTACCGCCGAAGAATCTTTCCGACGGCCCGCCACCGATCACATCTGAGAAACTACACCACCTTCTGCGACTGTCTGCGTTGCCGCTTCCCACCTCCGCAGAAGAGGAAAAGAGGATGATGGACGACTTGGCAGCGCAGCTCCACTTCGTCAAGGAGATGCAAAAAGTCGACACTACTGGCGTCAAGCCTCTTCGCGCAATCAGGGACGAAACCGCGACAGCAGAAAAGGAACAGGAGATAACGCTGGAGACGCTCAAGGATGCACTCGCGCAGGAGGAAATCGTAGGCAAGCACTACCAGAGGATTAGGAGGAAGCCGGAAACGGAGAGGCCGCAGCGACAACCGAGCGATTGGGACCCCCTCAGTCACGCGCAAAGAAAAGCAGGGAACTTCTTTGTGGTGGATACTGGGAAGGGCAGCGGCGACTAAGTCGCCCTGGCCCCTGTTTGGATATCATTGTAGTACAACGGCGGCGCCGACATTGCAACTGGAAACCATGATACTGCACCATCAGCTTCTTGGTGTTCACACCAGGCAACACCATGATGTCAGACATCCTGAGTCAGGCATCTGCGAGTATGAAGTCTCGAAAGCCCAATCACACCTCAAGTTCCGGACTAGCGCCAGGCCTTTATTTCTGATCACGTGTTTTGGTTCCTTCTCAACGACGACCGACGAAGGGCTAACCTTCAACCGTTTTGTTCAAAAAGCATCGTTGGAGGTACTTCGCAGGCAGTGATTCCGACAACACTCGCAGAATCTTTCCTCATTGCTAACACCAACCTTTTGCGAGAAGACCCTTCCCCTAGGGCTTGCAGGCGGCGACAGAAGGGAGTTGACTTTTGGTCTTTGAGCATCGCAGACATATTCGACGGCCCCAACTTCTTTAAGATATTCCTTTTGAAGTTGTGCTCTCTGCTCCTTTTTCAAGTCATCATATAACGGTTCGTCTGAATTCAATAATCGGCGAAGACCCTGCACGATGAGCACCGATGATGGCAACTCCATTGCAGTCTGCAAAGCTCGCTCTCGAGATTCTGCAGTTACTCCGCTGGGCTGCTGGCGATAACCCTCACTGTTGGTTAGGCTTGACTGTCGTCGACGGTATCGTGACTCGTAAGTCCGCACCACATCACCATCAATAACTTCCTTGCGGCGATAGTGGCCTGTAATCGACGTGCAAGAGCCGTCGTTGGTGTTTTGCTCACGCGCTGGTGTCTTGGGTGGCGACAGCATACTTGCGTTCAGCGACAACAAGGTCTCACGTGGAGTATGAGACATGACCTCAAAATGACTTGGCAGAACCGACGACGGAAGCAGATGACGAGTGACAAATGCCTAGAGCGCTTTGACACCAAGGCAGTTGGCACATAGAGGAATAGGAAAGAGGAAAGGAAAGAGGTGCAGAGGTGGGAGGAGTGGGCTATAAGTAGGTTGACTGATGTGCCAGGCTTGGCACACTTCCCTTTCGGGCTGCAGGAGCGAGTCCTAACACTCCCCCGCCATTCACCCAGATCTTATTCTAACTGCTTCAGTTCTTGTATTCTCTCGATTTGGGATCTGAATTTCAATTAATCGTTTCACAAGCGTCCAGGAAGCTTTTGCGGCTCCGATCTCGCCACTGTTGGCCTAATACTGATTTTGAGGCCGCGCGAGGATGTCTGATCTGCAAGACCAGCCATAGAACACTTTCTGTCATCGAAACCCGGTGCCAAGCCACCTATTTTGATCAATGGACTCCAAATTGAATCCCTGATGGCTCTTCTTGAATCTGTATGCTGGTCATCGCTTGCTCCTGCCAATCAGCTTTCCGCATGGCTTGCGGAAAATGGGCTCGCATCACCTTGAAATCACCTCTGATCTTCTTCGACGATCTCCACACCTCTCTTTTGTGTGAAAAGAAGAATTCACGGGCTCAAGGACGGCCAGCATGGAATCTTATACATAATAGCCGTGGGAGACGTGCGCAACCTCTTCAGTGGCTCATCATGGGCCTATGTAGAATGTATCAACGGACAATATGAGCTTACTATCTATTCACATAAGATTTTTACACCGATAATAGACAATATTGAGGCTGTGTTCTTCTGCGCATGTGAGGTGATAGACTCCAGTCATGTGGAATGAGTACAACACGTGACCGTTTGTCTTCGGCTAGTCAGATCTGAGTACAATCCAAAATCGGGTTTCGGTCTTAACTTATATTACATCAAGCTATCATTGCCAATAAACGGCTGAGACGGCAGCTGGATATTTTGATTGTAGGCGAGGAAAGCTCAAAATATCTTGCTTTCCTGTCTTGGATGGTTTTCAATGCCCATGGAATCTAGTGGCTGGCAAAAAAGCTCGACGTACAATGACTCTCATGCTACTTTCGCATTGTTCTACATCGCAATGTATATGGCGATCTCTCGTTTTCGCCAGCTGTGGCTCATGCAATTCTACCATTTGAACTCACGCCATCAACCATAGAGATATAGGGTCATCGCTCCATCTTCCATTGGACATGAATTTACACATCTCGCCACACGCGCTTTCTGAGAACTGATGTGAACGCATGCCAGCTTGTTGGTGAAGACCTCAACCAACTTCGGAGTACGAAATGCAGTATCGACCTCTAAGGGCTTTCGAATGATAAAGCGTCCTTTTGCTAACTCGGTTTTCTCACCCAGCTCCACATCGCATGCTCATGATATTCTTCTGCACTTTGCTCATCTCGATCAGAACAACCTCATAGCCCATTCTGTTCACTTTGGCAGCTGCTTCACGAGTCTGGTCTGCTTGCCACGTCTGGTATTTCTCGTGCAAAGCAGTACCCTTCATCACCTCATTGACCATCGCCGAGACCAGGCTGTCGACCAATTTGAATGCCTGCTCTTCTTCTGGGCGATGTGCGTGATGCGCAAAGAACGCGCCTGCAGAGTGTTGAGCTTTGTTAAGGAACTCAAAGAATTGAACCGGGTGTTCTTTATCCTTCGGTGGAGTGATAAGAAACGACGTGGCTTCAAGAACTAGTTCGGCGAGGCGAAGAATTCTAGCGTTGTGGCCAGCTATGATGCCGCTGGTACTGGTTGGCAAGCTCTCGACGCGCCTGCGAAGTTGCTTCGCCTGCTCCATGACGTCGACGATCGCTGGGGAAACCGGGACTGTCGATGACAGCTGCAACGTTACCTCGTCAAGCCTACACAAGAAATCCTCTATGGGGTCGTCCGCCTTTCGCACACATTTGAGCGGCCTGTTTTCAGTCAGACCAGTCGACATACGGCGCTTGCGCAATGCTGGATCAGCAATTGCAAGCTCAGCCGCAACAGGCACGATGGTAATCCCCAGACGCGGCGGGACGGCGCTTTCCGACCTGCTGCCAATCGACCAAGAACACTCTGGTGCTTGCGGTAAGTGTGTTATCACTCCAAACTCGCCAGGGAAGGCAAACTCGATCTCTAAATTTGAAAGGATGTTCGTATGTCTGGCACCAAAAGCGGGACACGCGCTCTCGGCTGCGCCTGCACATGAACACTCCTGCATCAAGTTTCCATCCAGATCAAGTATGCACTCCAGCGGAGAATGGAGTTCTTTTTGGAACTCCTTCCCTGTCGCGCGTTTGTTCCCGGTTTCTGTGGTGTCAACTTCCATTGGCCCCGTGTAATCTTCTCGACGAGCTTGGCTTGAGGCATGTTGATGCCCTACAGAGCTGTTCGTCGATGGAAAATCAACAACAACATCGCGTAGCTTCCCTTTGTTCGCTGAATCTGAGGTCTCATCATCCTGCTTCAGTGACAGCTCAATTGCCAACCTGGTCTCTTCATCCAACTCATCCTCCCTGCTTATATCGTCATCTTTGATCTCATCCTTGGCTACGTCAGGCTGCAAAGACAGCTCCAATGCTCGTTTCAAATCTGCTTCGTCATCTTCATCCCGCTCATCAATTTTTTCACTAGCCTCGCATGTTTGAATTGATTCTCGAATGGCTTGCTCCAATAATAAAGCCATTTCCTGCTCGCGGACTTGGGCCTCAAGGAATTCTTCTGTAGTAGAAGATTCATGCTCCAAATGGTGTATCAGGTCCAGGAGCTCAGATATCTCTACAAGAGATATCGACATCTCGGTTTATGTCGATTTGTTGCCACCTGCGTCCCAAATCGCAAAGATTTGCAATCGAAGAAAACTAAGTGAAAATAAAGGTTCTGACAGTGCAGTTTTCTTGAGCAAAGTTGGCAATGGGCAGAGTAATTGGATCATTAAAATTACAAGGCGGAAGACTATTTAGTCGTGGGCTCATCCGCAGAAGGCAATCTTCTGTCTCAGCCTGATGTAATCCATACATCAAATTCCGGTGAACAGGCTCGTAGCGGCAGCGTCAATGACTGAGCTTTGTGAGTTTGCATCTTGAGCACCGCGCGTCAAATTTGCGCTGCAGCAACTGAGGCTGTCAAGTTTTCGACCGTGAATGAATTGTTGCTTAACATACCATCTCAGCAGGGACATGTTGGGTGAGGGCAACCGGTCAAGCGAGCCATCAGGCATCATCCATTGGATTGTCAGGGTCTCGAATAAATTGATGATCCAAATTGAAATGGTCGGCAACGAGGTCAACGAACAATCGAGTGCTTTACGATCCGCTCAGAATTAGGTATCATAGAGAGCTAAAAAGGTGCACGCGCTGTTATTATTATTCGACAGTTTAACCCATCGCGCAAGTCGGGTTATCCTTATCTCCTTGTGTCTAATTCAACTGGCTCACGCAGCGTCGGGGTTGCTGTGCCGTCTACCTCTACGAGATTTTTCGCATACCTTACTGTCTCCCGAGCCTGCATCTCTTGCGCAGGCATCTCCTGAACGTTACGAGCAGCCTTCACCCGCGACCTTCGACGATACAACAAGCCGGCTACTACAGCGATGAGACTCAAAACTATGACAGGTACAACCACGCCAATAGCTATCTTTGCGCCCGTCGATATACCATTGGTGTTGCCAGAAGCCGTGTTGTCACTGTTACTTGCAGAGCTTGGAGTGGAACTGCTAACCAATGTCGAAGTGGCAGCAGTTGCACTCGGTCCCGCCGTGGTCGATATTGAGCCAGACGACGAAGCGGTAGAGGAAGCTAGGTCTGAGCTTCTGTACCTAACCTGTATCGCCGATGCGTACAGCGATGCAGTGGGCGGGTAATACTGAGTTGATGTTGCTTGTGTGGGGTTTCCTGTTACGTATACGCTGATGGTCTCTGCGGTGTCGACGGTAAGGCATGCTCCAGGCCAGGGACCGGAGAACTGAAATTGACTACAGCAGATGTTCAGCATATGATGAGTTCTTTACTATAGAAGGCCCAAATGCACCTTGGACAACAATTTATACTCGTCTCTGCGCCATCATTCTCCGTGTATCCATGATAGCCTGACGGGCAAAACAATCCCGGAGAGTAGAACCCACTGCTCACATAACTTGACGGAAAACATTCTGGCGCGTCCAGGAGCTTCACCGCAGCGGAATTGTAATCTCGATAGAAAAAACTTACATCGAGACATGATGCAGGCGGAGTAAATGTTGTAGTGAGCGGCCCTAGAAAGGTTGCCATCTTCCAGCGACGGTCGTGCAAGCCACGTTACACCACGAGCTGTCGTGGAACGCTGGAGACCAGAGTAGAAAAGAGCTGATAGCCGTTGAGTGGAACATAAAGCGACCTTAAAGAAATTCTGACTGGGACGATAGGACCACGTCTGCAATCATCGCGAGCCTGAACGCATTTTTGGCGCTGCACTGCCCCTTGTACATGGTAAGCCCCCAAAGCGGAGGGAGAATTACAGGGGGGATTTCCTAAAACTCCACGGCCCCTTCTGTTTAGTGAAGAGCAAATAAAGGACTGACAGCAACTAAAGAGCCTATCCCCGTTCGTTGACGCCGGCGAACCGTGAGGTTTCTGTGCAGGGTTGTGCGGTTTCGTGACACAGTGCCTCGTTGACGACTTATCACAGCGACAAAACAGTCTGACAATGGCTTGGCGCACACGTGAGGATCTGCTTCATCGACGAGAAAACATAGGCAGTCCTCTTAAGATTATCGTGCATCTTTTGATGAAATTGAAGCAAAAAAAAAAAAAAAAAAAAATTCAATGAGGGCCATGGCGCATGGATTCGGATGGACTTGAGTCTAGTGCTGACCTGAATCAAGCCATTGGCGGAAGGTTTCCCTGCAAGTCTCTCAGACAACCCATGGTCACAATTTAGAAAACAGTGGTGCATATATCCAGGGCTTGTTGATAGGATGAAACCACTCGCAATCACTGAATACACCCCTCCTTTCCTAGTTGACCGTCGTCCAAGAAATGCTGCTAAACTCGAACGATGAAATGCCTGGCCCTCCTCCTGCCAAGGGTCCCTTCAACGAAGACCTTTGGAAGAACGAAGCACGATCCCATTTTGTGCATGCCGAACCGAAGAAGAGACGAAGTTAGGTTCGCGACCGGCGGTGTCGAGATGGCCTTTTTACACATTCGGCCCAAGGACCCGAGCGAGGCGCAGGCTGTAAAAGCAAGTGCTGGCTAGCTTGAATTCTGGTCGGACATCGTAGCTGATCAACATGTTGATCCCCCAATCCCTTTGCATTCCCGACCTTCCGCGACGTATACCCTTTTTTTTTTCTCTCGACCAACTGTCCCGCAGGCCTGAGAGGAGACGACATTCCAACAAAAGGAAAAAAAAAAAAAGAAACAAGCTTCCAAGTCGAAATACTTGCTCGCAAACTTGGTGTTCCAAACTACAAGCAGTTCGACATAATCTACCGAACCAAGCGTTTAACTTCACTCGCGACAAGTTTAGATGTTTTCTTTTTCTTTTTCTTTTTTTTAAAAAATAAAAAAGATGCATATAAAAATAGCAAAAGAAAAACATCTCACTTTCGACCTCGACCTCACACAGCTAGGAATTATTGTTGCCTTGAGCGACCGTGAACCTGATTGGGCTTGCGCTGAAAGCATGTTATGGTGCACTTGAACGGTGAAACGGGAGGAAGGAGCACTGGCAAGGTTGAAAACAATCATCTGGCCGTTGACATCCGAGTAAATTTGTCTAGTCTTCGACGACGAAGTTCGGGCTAGCTACTAGGTCCACGTTTGATCTCAACCTCCTCCTCAGACCGTGATTGAATCCTAGCTCCCGTGGTTCGTTCATAGCTGTACTGTACATACAATTCTATCTCGGAGGCGGCGGAGAAGCACGCATAACCGACCCACAATCTCAAAGAAAGGGATACACCAGCATCAGCTGTACAAACAGCACATTCCCACTCAGTCCCATCCTCAAGTCGGCCTCCCAGCGTCCGGTCCTCGTAGGCGACTGGAAAATTCCGACGAGGAAAGAAAGAGACAATAACGCTCGTTACCAGTCAGCACTGCCTCGCTCCGTCATGCCTCGCTCCCCAGCAGGGCATGACATTCCAAAGCCATCGACGTCGGCCACAATGGGTTCAGCCTCATTGTTTATATGAGGAAGAATGGCAGCCTAGAGGGCTGACAGAGGCAGAGTGAGCGGGGAAGGCGAATGAACGATCATACCCAATATGTCCGGCGCAATGCTCCAACCTGGCCAGTCAGTCGCGTTCGCGCGCATCACTGGTACTTAACATCTTGGGCTGGGTCCGAAGATACATCCGAGCCACAAGGCAGAAAAGCGGCGCAGTGGAGGGGAATCTACGAAAGAAAGACGCGAGAAGATGGAGATCGTCGGCAGGATGGAAAGGGTCTCGGTCCCGAGGACATACCGCCTGAATACCCCACTTGCGCAACCTATTTGCAGCGGAAGTTCCAGTGTGCACATTTCGTGTGAGACGATAATGATAAAGCCGTAAGATGATTTCGTTGAAACTTGTGAAGGATTTTGACACGGGCATCTGCCTCATCATTCAACATCAGTTCTCAACAAGAATGTGACACCAGGAACAACGCGGGGATATTCAACGCCAGATCGCAGTGCAAATTACATAGTAAAGAAATGCTAAAACGCAGCAATCAAACACTCGATAAACCAAAAAAGGCTCCAGTTTCGGCATGCATGAGGAGTGTGCGAGGCACATTCGACTCGGCATGTCCATCCTCGAGGAGCAGGGGAGGTGCATCAAACTCAAGAGGTTGGATGGGACCTCAATAAACCAAGATACGTAACCAGAAGCAATTACGGGTCTCGGCAGGCTGAAACGCAGAAGTCGCGGCTTTGTAGACAACAGCGCCATCACGCCGGAGCGGAGGGAAGGTCAGGCAAGCCATATGCGGCCCGCTTTCAGCAAATACAGAGTCGATCAGATAAATCCGTTCTTCTCGTTCGAAAATCTTGAGGGTGATTGATCTCGTCCAGTCAGATTGCGAGAGAAGGGCCAGCCGCCAGGGGAATGCTTCTCGTCAATTACGTCGTCATCGTTACTGCTACGTGGGAATTCGTGGTGACGTAGCGTGTACCCGTTGGTGCTGACATCTGGATTGGGTACGTACGGTGGAGCCGCACTCTCGGGGCGAAAGTTCTTCATTTCATGATTGGCAGGTACGGTGAAGCTTTCAGTGTTGTACTCGTTGCCAGATTCTCCTCGTACTTTGTCGCGACCGTTCATGCGAACAAAGGTAGTCATCAAACCGATGAGGACAAGGATCAACCAGACAACGAGCAACATGGTTGAGATGATCGCTTCCTGTCGGATGGCTTGTTCAATGGTATCTGTGACTTTTGTTACAGCACCTGATATAGCGTCTTTTGATGTGCCTGTTGGATCGGCAAGGAGGTTGTCGTCGGCAGAGCTGTCAGTCTTCGCTGCCAAAGTTTGGAGTGAGAGCGTGTCATTGTCAAGTAGCGGGAAATTGATGTGAGCATTGTCTTGAACCCACGTCAAACCCTTCTGAACTCCCTCCACTTTCAAGCCAATTAGGCAGTTGAACACCTCCTTGACAGGTGTGTACAGCGGGGTGCCACCAAAGGTTTGGTTCAACACATTCATGGTCTCGTCAATGAATTTGTTGAGAGTGTCATTGACAGCGGTAGTGCTTGTGTTGACCCATCCGAACAGATTGTCGTTCAATTTGGCGTTCTCTGCAATGATAACAGCATTGGTGCCATTTGCCCAGGCCATGGAAGCATTGTCCATCTTTTGGATTACCGCACCGGTGAAGTTGGCCACCTGATTGGTCAAGTTGGGAACCTCCTTCTTGATGGCGGAAAGCATGATGTATTGGCAGAGACAGGCGAAAAGGCCAGCGACTGCAAGTGAGAGGAGAAACAGCGCCGGGAGCGATGTGCAGTAGGCAACAAACCACCGCGCCAGAATTTGCTTGCGTGGTGATCTGAATTTCCCGGCAACCCACTGACCGATGCGTGAAGTTAATGGACGCGATGCCATGTACACGGCGTCCATCGGGTCAGTCTGAGAGTTGTGTATGCGTACTGCTCGCTCGGTCAATCGGCGATAGCGCATGATCTCCCACCACGCCATGGGGGCGCACACGAGTATGGCAGCGACGGTGAGCACGCCAATGAATATTTTCTTGGCTGTATGGGCGATGGTGACAAGGCTGTCGAAGAAGTCGTTGATGCCATTGTTGTCGGAGCAGAAGTTGAGCGTCTCCTTCTGGGGCACCGGCAACACGGATTGATTGAATGTGTAGTTACCGATTTCTTGAGCAACGATCTTCTTGAGCTCTTCAAATGGCAGGCGTATGACGCTCTCGGTCGCGTTCTTGACATCGTCGAAAGTGGGCAACGAATTGTTGAGTTTTTGCAGGTCGGAGAACAAGCTGTCGGGAAGGGTTAAGTTCTTGAGTTCATCGATCTGCTTGGTGAAGTCCACTTTCGGAGCTTGAGACCCAAGCAAGGTGTTGATACCACTGACAAGACTATTGATGCTGTCCTGGACAGTCTTGGTGGCGTCCGAAATCTCGTTGCCTATCGCGCTAGTCATGTTGTTGAGGTCGTTCTGTGCTGATTCGATAGCGCCAATGACTGCCGACAAGCTGCCGGTGACGGCGAATGTGATTAAACAAAGGTACGTATTTGTCATCATGCCAATGAAGAAGACAACTAGTTCCTCGACGCCGGTGAGGGTGAGGCTGACCATGTCCTCCATGCCATTGACAGCTTTGGTGATTCCCTTTGCTGTCATCGAGTTGACGCCCTGTGACATGTAGTGAGGCAAGGAAGCCATGGTGCTCCCCACAGATTCGACGCTTGTGCAGGCGGAAAGAGCCTCACGTCGGGCAGAAGATAGGCTGTTGTCAGTGCTCGCAATCATCAAGAGTACGCGAACGAGAACAAGAAGTAGAAGAACGGTCCATCGATTGATCCATATCTGCGAGAGCCTAGCTTGCAGGCCAAGGTATGGTGTGAGGTATGGAGTTTGGTTTGGTGTAGGCTGCGGTGCAGCTGCGTTGGCGTAGTAGTCTCGCATCTCATGATCGCCAGCGGAGTGAGAAGGAGGCACAGCCGGAATGGTTTGCTGTCGGCTCTCCGAGAAAGACATGTTGAAGTGGTAGCAGTCGAACTCGTTGTGGTGCTTAACGAAGTATTAGCCAGCCTGCCGAACACCTTTTGGAGGCAGATTTTCTAAAGGTGGAAGAAGGAAAGGAAGAGGCACACGACCGGGCCAGCAAGTCGTGCTATTACAACGATTATATTGTTGAACAGCAAGCAGGATGTGACTAGGAAAAACCACAAAGACGATGCGGGTGACCAGCAGGCGCAAGCCTGAATAGACAAGAGTGACATGCGATGGAAAGATATGTGAACAATGGACAGACACATCAACCCAATGCCGCAGTCTTTTTATTCAGCCTTGCGGGTCAAGCACCGTCGTCACGTCGAGCGCAAAGCCTCGACGAGCCAGTCCAATCAGAGGCCGGGAAGCGCCAAGACGTGCTGCAAGAGCCGCCAAACTTACCAGACGAGCGTGCAGGACCTGTCATGCGGCCCCAGATCCAATCTTGAAACGCTGGGTGGCCGCTGTGGCCACAACGATTTCGTCGCCAGCCAGTCGTCCAAGCATGGCGCTATTTTGGATCCATCGTGAGGCTCCTCAGTCGGCGTGCCGGGGGAGGCGCCCAAGTTCAAAAGGACTCGCGGTAGCCAGTCGTCACTCTTCGGCTGCCAACGGGACAGTCTCGAGCTGTTACGGGTCTTCCGGAAGAGGTTGGGCGTCTTGGGAAGATGATACAGTGCCACGACGCCGTGCTGGTTGAAAGTCCTCTTCCGGCGGCACACCGCGACGAAGAAGACGAGCCTGCCGGTGAGACGCTTGGAGAGGGAGAAAAAGGCCTCACCGGCAGGCAACCGATCCGCTGCTCGGTGGAATCGAACTTGACGGGTCGCGGGGATCTCGTCGTCGATGGTGCCCAGACAAACAGAAGACTGTCAATTTCGGCCACGGGGGTTGCGGGGTGGTCGTCGTTATGTACGTTGAGCGCGTGGCTCATGAGCTGCGCCTGGGGACCAGGATTCATACCTTGATTCTTGCACGTTCTCCGACGTCATCACCACTTCGCACGACCCGTCCGCAGCTTCACAACTTCCAAACTTCACATGATGGGAATTCTCATCGCTCGCCAGGTGCATAGCGTAGTCAAGTCATCGGAGTACATTTGCGTGCATTAACTGGACGCGTTTATTGTCGTTGTTGTTGTTGTTGTTGTTGTTGGACAAAGAACAAACACATGGACACCTCAGCAGACGCCTGGTCCGCTTCTGGACGTTCGTGCTTCACCAATCACCACGCGAGAATATCACGGCGGTAAACGTGGTACAAAGTCTCTGGAATTGATCCAAGCCAGTCACGCAACGTCGGATGACTGTGCTTGCACGTAGCTACAACCTTCCTGTCGCAAAGGTGTAACAATTCGAAGTCACGTGAGAGAAGCATGGTTATCATCTTACGTGGAAGAATCTATACCCTGCACCAGCTAGGCTAAGCTCGCTAACTAGAGACTGAAGTTCTGTATACCAAAGACCAAAGATTTCGCATGTGTAATCTCAATAAGGTTATTTCCCGGCTCGCTTTTAACGTGGCAATGTTGGTGGCTTCATCGTCGTCCATCCCCATTTGACGATCGCGACTGTTGTCCGATGCCGACAAGCCTGCATCTAGAATCCAACTCCATCACAGCTCCGACATTCAAATGCCAAGCGCTGACTGACTATTGAGGTCAGCCTCGCCGATCGGAATTGTGATACCGCATCTGCTGCCTTGCTCTAAGCCACCACCGTCGTTCAAGGTTCCAGTATTCTTCCCGTCACCATTGGCCAGGCCGTTCCAGAGGAACTGCACGCAACAGTTGTTCGCTATCGAGGACTCAACTTCGATGAGCGGGTTGTTCAAGGGCAGTGCGCAGGATGTGTCGAGACAAGCACCGACTGATAGGTGAACCGTTAACCAGTCACGCGAGATGCAATCAGGCTGAACTACGGTCAACTCTCGGAAGAGCAAGTCCAGCCCAGAGTTAAATATGGTGCAGACTTCCAGCACGCATGTCGGTCTGAGGCTTTGCGGGATCACGACAGGGTGCTGCTTAGACTCGAAGTTCTTTTCGCTTGTAATCCACGTCCGGGTCCATGCAGCTCCGCTGCGAAACGCTTGTTAGCGCGCTTCTTCAGTCATGGCCCTAATTCCACGGCAGCCAGCTATGCAAGACCAAATTTATGAGCTCGAACTGGTTGCCGACGATAATCTAGCCTGGTACAGGTATGTGGACACTTGGGACTTTGACAATCAAAGTACTCGAACGATGGAAACGCACAGCGCTACGCACAAGTCGGCTTGCTTGGCACCAGGGTCCCATTCCGCCCAGGAAATCGAGGCAGAAGCGACTTTACACCTAACTGCTGGCATTTGGATGCAGTTGAACATACTTGAAAGAGACGCTTCGATGGTTGCCTCCAAGCGGCCGTCCACGCATGAACGTCAGGTTTCTACAAGATCAAGGAACTGTCTCCCCGTTGTGCTATCCGAAATAGAGAGACTGGAGTGGCTCGTATCAGAGTTAGCAAGAGAAGGTCCGTCTGGATACGACATAAGTCGCCCTTTGTTTCTCGCCGATTGCAAGACAGTAATTTTGGATCTCGAAGACGACTATCCAAAGTATGCGCCGGACGAACACTGCAAAGCTTTCGAGCGGGTAAATAGGTTGATGTTACAATATCACGATGTCGTCGATCCGTTCCTTAGTTGCTCGATCTGCTTGGAGGCAATTCGAAGTAGCAAGTTTCCAAAACGTGTCACTGCAACTTGTCAACACGCCGTTAGTACATGCTTCAGCTGCTTGGAGAACTGGATTGCCGCTTCGTTGGAGGCACGGGGTTTCGCACAGTTGAAGTGTTTGGAGTGCAATGCAGTCCTGAATGCAGACGACGTCCGGACGATTGCCTCGCAAGAAATCTTCCAGCGGTACGTAACTAGTAACTGTAGCACATGTGTCCCTATCAGGGACAGGAGATGTGCGTGCGAGACTGACCTGTTTTGCAGGTTCGACGAACTCTCCCTGCGGCATGCACTGCATGACATGCCCGAGTTCTTCTTTTGCTTGAATCCAAAATGCAAGTCCGGCCAGCTTCACTACGGAGGTGCAAAACTCGAATGTCATGTGTGCAAGAATCAGATATGTGCAAATCACGGAGTGGCGTGGCATGAAGGAGAGACGTGTACCGAATACGACGCAAGGCGGATCGAAGCCCACAAACAGTACGAGGCCACGGAGTGTCTCAAGGTCAAGATTGCACGAGAGTGTCCTACTTGCGCAACTCCAATTGAGAAAAACGGCGGCTGTACTCATATGAACTGTTTGTGGACCCCCTCGTTTATGCTGGCAGTCGCTGATATCGCCGCAGGTTGGAAATGTGACGCACACTTTTCGTGGGATGACGCAACAACGTATCATCCCAAGGCTTTCATTTGGGATCGTGATCAAGAGAAGCTGAGCGAAAGCTTAACAGAGAAGCGGAAAAAGGTGCTGGTCGTGCGATGGTTCAAGAAGGCGCTCGCGCGGCGAAGGAAGGCAGTCAAATCCAATGAAGTTGAGATCGCTCCTCCCCATTCGCTTGAGAACGGCTGCTTTCATTGATGCAATAAGACATGCTCACATCCAAGCGAAGAGGTGATGAGATACGGATTATTTCCATCAGATGTATCCGTTAAATGATCCTGTGCTAGGTAGTCTATCAGCAATATAAGAAGCAAAGCATGTAGAATCCGAACGAAAATTAGGAGTGACGACTGTCAATGCCACATCAATGTATCTGTTTGGATCTGTGATTATACTGGAAGATGATGACACCGAATCGATGGGGCAACCAGAGTCTGTAAGGGCACGATCGGAGATGGCTGTCGCGCTGAAGAAATGACACCGATCTATCATGGCACTGGTGAATAATGATCAATCGCAAAGACGCGTACTATATGGTGATGAACAGAAACCTTATTTTACGAAAGATTGCACGTTAATGTGCAAGACGTTTTCAAAAGTCAGAATCGCTGATTCTACAGCGGTCCAACTGTCCCCAAGTGCAGCGCCGATCGAGCGACAGGAAAAAGGGATACCGTTGCGGCGTGCCACCAAGTAATCCTAAGGGAGAAAAAAAGTTTAAAGGATTTCGAGCAAATTTTGTTACCTCCGCGCAGACGCTCAAATTGTGCTAGGAGATCTCATCAATTGCATAATGGAGGGGGGCCACGGAGGGAGAAAACACGGCAAGGACAGACGCAAAGGCTTCGGTTCAAAGGCAGGCGGGAGACAGTGGCGGATTCTGTCTCCTATATCAGTCTTTCGACAACCAAATTTGGACAGGCTATTAGGTACAGCTTGGTGCCTGTCGCTACTGCTTTTGACCAGCGTGTGGCAGGAAGCCGAGTCAAGCTCAAGGGGCGCGCGCCGTTGGCGAGCTCCTCCTATGAATAGTACTTTCCTGAACCGAAGGGCGGGCAAGACAGTCGGCCCGTGGGATAGGATCAGTTCTCCAATTTCCGGCATGTCAGGGTGGGCCTCTAGACTTTGATAAGGGAATTCGGGCATCCGCAAAACTAATCGATTGAGAGTCGCACCCGCAAAAGACGTGAGCCGAAGAGGAGAGCGCGTTTTGGCCGACACGGGAACCGCCATCGCGAAGGTGAGACGGATAATTTCCGTCTGGTAATTTGGACCCAAGATGAACACATAGCAGCAACAGACTCCAATTGGACCAGCGTCCCAGGTCTAGAAGCGCTACCAGCTGTCGATCCCCAGCATGAGTATTCGCCTTCTCCTCACGCTTTTGCGAGATCTCATTCTCCACCGAGCGTCTCGCCGCACGTGCTCGCGCCCGTATTTGGAGCGCCGCAGTCAAGATCTCCGTTGCTTATACTGGACTTGGCAAGGACGTGTGGTAAGCCAGATCTTGGCAGCATCTTCAATCAACACAACGGTTGCATTGTGGCGAGAGTAGCGAAATGAGTCTGGCGCTTATTAGCCAAGGCCGTACCACCTTGCCCGCGCACCCTGGCAGAAATAGAGCAGTGTAAACGATGTGCTTTGGAGAATGCTTGCATGATCTCCTGTCAAAATGAGCACAAGCGTGGCACCGCAATAACAATGCGGAAACACTGCAATCGATCGAGGAAGGCAACGGTCGAAAGCGGAGGCAGGACGCGGCAAACACTGAAGCCACACAGCGACGACGCACGCCTTCTGCGCAACGGATGAAATGAAACAGTCGAACACGAAAATGGCAGCAGAGGGCAAATGATGCCGGGGCGTGGGCGTTGTCCCCCAATGGCGTGGTTACCACCGAGCATGGGCTGGCCACCCCCTACGCTATTCCCCTTTGCGCCGGGTGCGGGCTTGGCATGTCAAATGAAGACTCAGGCTCTGCTCGCCGCACTTGGGCACGGCGCTCTCCCCACACGGCGCCGGCGTCGTTGTTTGGGCGCGCAAAATGACGGCCATTGTCGCCCACGCTTCTCTGGCCCATCGCGCGAGCCAGGCGTGCTCCGTGATCTCCTACGAGCGCTCGTCCTGCGCATGTCGCAGCCAATGCGCTCATGAGGATTGCTGCTCATTCCCGCCGGTCATCTCCTGGGACAAGGCCGGCGGAGCGCCACGCCGCACCAGCGCCCATGATGCCCCCGACCGGATTGGCCCGGGCATGCTGCCCTCTTGCTGTTCCTGCATTAGCCTGCGCACAATACGGCAGCGGGCAATGTCCCGGGCGTGGAGAATGGCTTCACGGCTTGCTGAGACCCACCCAGGCCAATTCAGTCTCCTGAACGCACTGGTGCACGCCCGCGCTACCAAGCTTGTAATCTCCCACCATGTAAATAAGAGCCCCATCCAGCCCGATCTTCCTCTTCCCTTCCTCACCAAGTTCTACAAGCTCCAGCAAGCACTGTACAGACTCACTTGACTTCGGTCGTCCACTCGTTGAAACCCAACCACCTACGTTCTTTACACTCACCTAATACTTAATTTTCACCGCGCTTTTTCAATCAAAATGCGTTTCACTCCAGTTATCTTCGCCAGCGTTGCCGCTGCCTCCGTCTACTACGGCGAGGCCCCATCCAGCAGCGCCCCGGCCTCTTCTTCCTCCCCAGCCTGGCCTGAGGTTACCTCTTCTTCCCCAGCTGGTTACTGGCCAAAGCCAAGCTCGACCTCTTCCAGCAGCTCTTCCACCACCCCGAAGGCCTGGAAGACCACCACTCTCTACGAGACCGAGTGCTGGACCGTTACCTCTTCCAGCTCCACCAAGGTCTGGACCTCCGTCAAGGCTATCCCAACCGTCTGCGAGGAAGAGGAAGAATGGCCAGTCTCATCCAGCAAGTCCACCCCTGCCGCTCCCGTTGCAACTGGCACATGGAGTGTCCCCTACTGCGAGGCTTATACTGAGACCTGCACTGTCACAGTGACTGCCTCCTCGACTCCGGCTACCTGGGCTGCTCCTGTTAAGCCAACCACCCCCGCTGCTCCTGTCTACAGCTCCGTTGGCGGCTCCTGGCCAGCTGGTGCTGCCAAGCCATCTGGCACTGGGTAAGTTCTCCGGTTCGATCTTGCCGAAGCACGCGCTAACGAATTCCCACAGCAGCTGGACCAGCCCGTACGCTGCTCAGTTCACTGGTGCCGCCTCTGCCCAGAAGGCTGGTGCTCTCCTCGCTGGCGCTGGTGCCGTTGCTGCCATGCTCTTGTAAATGCCACATTGTCAATTGTCCTGTTTTACCCTAGCCTGATCACTTCATGATCACGTTTTCAGGCCATGGCATTGCATGAGATACACCGGGGTCTGTTCCATTTGTCAAATCTTGGTTGTAGATACTTATAATGGGGTCGAGATGGAGAACAGTTGTCTTTGGAGAATTGAAGCCGTTGATTGAAAATTACTTTCTCCTGTGCCACAATGTCAACTCGCGTGGTTCCTGCATTGGCAATTCAATGTCGCATGTTTCGACATTAGTTGACAACGCTTTTAAATCCACTGAATTTTTGAAATCATGCTGTTCGATGACTAGAAAATCGGTGAATACACGAGTCAATGAAATTCAATGTTTTTGGCCTGATCGAACTCATTGAACTCCATTCACAACTGTTCCCGTGTCGGTGGTTCGCTTCTTTGAATGTTTCTTGCCAAGCATTCGGAAATACGTTTCTTCGGTTCCCAAGAGTGGTCGTTAGAGCCTTTATGTTTGCCAGTAGACATCGTGTGGTTTTCTTGCGTGTGAAAGCAATAGTATGACCTGTGCGTTTGGAGTACAGCGTATGTCTAAAGCTGAATGCGTTGGCTTTTCCGTGACATGTAGCTATAGAGCAGATTTCGATTTAGGAGTCAGTTTACATGTGTTTTGTCTTTAGTAAATGAGGCTTAATCGCTTATCATTTGAACTCATCTTTCATCTTGCCATCGAGCGAAGGCATAGTCTGGCTTCGAGAAAGTTCAGAGCAGGTTTTGCTTTGTTGATTCTGGTTTGTGGCTGCTTTCCATGTCAGGACGACTACATAGTTATGCACTTCACGCGTAGCAACGCGCTTTCCTTGTGTAGCAACAGTTACCGATCTACTAAGAATCTATCGCGCTGCTAGGCTTTGACAGCTACAACAAGAATTCGAGCCCTTTGCAGCAGACTCCTTAGACGACACGATGCCTATTTGTCGTGGAATTTCGGTAACTATCCTCACTCCATTTGCCTTGGACGGATTACCAGAAACAGTCGTCCATACTCGAACGCTCTCTAAATCCGCAGAAGATGACGGCAAGTTCGCGTCTGTCTTCATTCCAGCTCATGCACAGTCTCTTTTTTGGTTATCATACTCCGTCGAAGCACCAAGTCATGACGCCTTCCTTGTATTTTCACTTTTCATCCAAAGCCACCATATAGTCACATGGTCCTGCGACGCAGACGAAGATTGGAGAGGAAAGGTTCAGTTTACACTTTTCAAAAAGGATGTCAACGATGTGGTTGGTGGTGCAGGCATGGAGAAACGAGTATTCCAGTTCGGAGACGTTCTCCCAGCACATGATGAGGAACGTTGTATTGAAGTGAGAGTATGTCGGGCAAATAAAAAATTACGGATTCCTAGGCAACTGGGAGACAACACGAGTATATGTGTGGGTTCCAGTTTTCAGTACGTATATCTAGTCCCTCTGGAGGTTCAGCCCGAGCTGACTATCCTGAAGACTGTCAGAAGCTGGCAAGACAAAGCGTGCACATCCACGAAAGTTCTACGCCTTTGGCTTACTCGATCCTAAGGATGATCCATATGCTACATTCCGATTCTATTGTCGTACCGATAGTAGGCTCAACATATTAGCCGCGTAGAACGTTGCTAATGAGCAGGTAGAAGAGATTGCTACACTCAATAGCTGCGTGAGCCAGATGGAAGACCGTAAAGTCTTAACTGCACCCTCTGCTAAATCCTTAGTTAAAAATAGCCCTTCTGGCCAGCTTATTATGTCAGAAGGTAATGAATCCATCCATATACCGCGTAAGGTCCATCAAAGAGTCGGTTATGAGGGAGCGTCGTCGCAGCTTTTGCACGCTCCCTGCATGCCGACACTGCCAAATACTACGTTGCCCGCTACTACACGTCGCACTGACATCAAAACACGTCTGTCTATACCTCCATCAACAATTTTGCGTCCACTATTTGAGCACGGCCCTTTGCCAGCGTCACCTAGAAAATCACGGTGCCAGGGCACTGACCCCAAATTCGATCAGAAATCTGGACAAGCGAGCAAGGAAAATATGGGAGGAAAAGTACGGTGGTTTCTACAGGGCACAAAGATGCGGAAGGGCTATTCGGATACTGCTGCAACGGCGTATCAATTTCGTAGCTAGGTCACAGACGCGCAGAACAAGAACTGCTGAGTCTTCAGAAATATGTTGAGAAAGTCTACAAAGACTCAGACTTTGTGTGAATGCTACCATGAGAATTGACTGCATGGAGTATCCGTCGTGCTGGTCCTGTAACTTTCATCAGCGTTCGCATGACGTCCTGAAGAGTGACGTTCATCACATATATAGAGCATGATGAATTCGAGCGGCATGATCTCCGGGCTTGCTGAAAATGACTTGTCATCTGAGTTTAAATTCCTCTGTACTTCTCCGACCTGTCGCGGATTGCTGAACAGTCCGTAATTTATTGAATCTCATTGTCATTAGACAATAGGCATACCGTTGATTTGGATCCCGTCCTTTCCAGGGATAGCCACGCAAATCATTCAGCGAGGAAATCTCGGCTCCAGCCGGACGAAATAAAGAAAGCCTGGCGTACGGGACAACAATCAGCAAGTCACGAACAGGATCGCTTACACTTAATATTTAGTCGGCCGAATGTTACAAACCAATCATGAAGCGGAAAATATGTTTTTTCCACTGTCTTTGTCGACCTTGGTCACTGCTTGTCATGCCTCAAATATAAGATGAAGCAAGCCATTGACTCGCCCTTCTCGGCACCTTCGGTGACACCGCTGCACATTGGAACATAATGCTCTGCGTGCGGAAGCTGTCTAAGGGTTTTCATAGATATGGATTCTGCAACTCGATAGCATTCGAACGCATAAATACTACCTCGATATGATTTCTTTGATGTGGCAAGCAGCGGCCTCCCCTTTCGAAGAAATATTGACCTATGAATCCAGCATATATCCTGCGTTATACCCTCAGTATTGTGCTTTGTATCATCATTGTGTGAAGTTTCACGTCGCGGTGTAATTTTGCTCTAGTCAACGCACGTATTACGACGACTGGGCATTTTCATCAAGTGTTGGGCATACGTCACGCTCCTTTTCCCTTACGGAGAGTTAAGTTGTTGAACATTGTACATCTCAAAATCAATGCAGACATATCAGACTTGATGTCCGAGCAAGCACAGAGCGTTATGCTCACACGAGCCATCGGAAAATTCGTATCAGATAATGACTGTATCGAAGCAGCTTGTGGGATTGCGTCTGCAACTCGCGACTTAAAGCCGCTCTACGAAAGTAATCGGCTGTAGGATAGATACAATGTTTGTACGGGAAATGATGTCAAGTCACGTTCAGCAGTACCGCATACGGATGAAGATGTTTCCGACCCTGTTATATGCAACTAACCAGACGGGGGGTTCTCGTGGGTGGGTTTTCTGCGTTCTACAATCAGCATAGCCTGACGCGCGTTCAAACTCGATCATACTTCAGTCGAAGCTTCCAATTGCATTTATTCGCGCGGATAACTTTTGAACGCGTGTACGCATATCTGACAGCCCCTCTTGAGTAACAATGAAATCCTATCAAGCGAGCAGGATAGTCCTGGAGTGTTGGCTTCTCGCCCGGAATAGCGGAAAGCTAAGCCCCCAGAAAGTAATTATGATGCCTAAATAAGCCTCCAGAGGATGGGCAGAACACTCGTATTGCTCGGTGTCCCTGGAGAACAAGCACCCTGGCGATGATAAGACGAATATATAGGTCCAGCATGTTGAGCTCTAGTCTCTGCTTGATCCTTTCCGTAGCTTTCAGTCGAGTTTATAAGCCTCTAGCTTTCGACACCAACTGAACAGAATGACCGCGTTCGACCACATGGACCAGGAGGAGACACCACTCCTTCGTTCCCCGCGTGTCCCAAAAGTCTCCGATGAATTCAACACGCCAAAAGGCGGTCGTAGGTCCGAAAAAACTATCGTGGCAATGCTTTTCCTTGCCATAATTACGGTTTGTACCGGCGAGGAATTGATTCAATCGGCCAAAACGCGAGTGCTTGAATCGATCATCTGCCGGCGGTACTACACGGTGCATGATCCTTCGCTCATTGGCTCTGATGGCGGTGACGGTGTTGCGGAGCGGCACTGCAAGAATCACGTCGTCCAGGGTGACGTCGCAATGCTAAAAGGCTGGTTGACCACAATTGAATCATGCGTGGTGCTTCTCGTTGGCGTTCCTTGGGGATACGCAGCCGACCTGTGGGGTCGGAAACCAATCTTGATCATCTGGATCACGGGCGTGGCCTTGAGAGCGGCTTGGATACAACTGGTATGCTTCTTCTGGCAGACGTTCCCCATCCAGGCAATATGGGGGGCTGCCGCCTTCGCCCTCATAGGAGGAGGACACGCGATGACCAGTGCCTTGCTCTTCACTCTTGTGACGGACGTGATTCCTGAAGAGAGGAGAGCCTCGCGGTTCTTCCAGATATCTGGTTCGGCAAATGTCACAAAGGTTGTTGTGCCATTAATATCCGCGGAGCTTATGAAAGTAAGCCCTTGGTTGCCTATGCTGCTTGGTCTGGCTCTCCTGCTCCTGGCCGTTCCACAAGCACTCATCCTTCCTGAGACCAAGGACTACCTTACGGAAGCAGTGCCGACCACAAGCGGATCAGTGTCGGAAACATCGTCGACATGCTGTTCATCGTCACTCGCCTCATGGTCCCAAATTAAGCGAGCTGGTGAAGACGTGGTAGCATTCCTCGCGGCGGATACGCGCTTGTTGCTTCTCGTACCAGCCTTCCTCATGCACATGCTAGTGATGAACAAGGACATAACCCTTCAGTATATCTCCACGCGGTACTCACTCACGCTCGCTGATGCAACATTCATTCTCACCCTCCGCTCGGGACTGGTTCTGTCTCTTATGCTCGTCTTATACCCGGCGCTCAGCCATTTTCTTCGGATAAGATTGGGAATGCATTCTCAACGCATCGATTTGCTCATGGCCAGGTGCTGTGTGGTCTCCGCGGGCTTCGGCTTCTTCATGATTGCGTTCGCCTACTCGCTGCCTATGCTGCTCTCTTCGATGGTTGTCAACACGCTTGGTTCGGGTCTTCACCTTTACCTGCGTAGTGTAGCCACAAGTTTGGTGGAGTTACATCAGATGGCACGTTTGATGACGTTTATGAGCTGGATTGATACCATAGGCCTCATGATTGCGAGCCCTTTCATTGCGTGGTTATTTGAACGTGGCATAGAAGTTGGTGGTTTATTAACGGGTCTACCTTTTCTATTCTGCTCAGCTATGTATACAATAATTGCCATTCTTATCGCTATGGTCTCCCCGAAGTGCCAATAAGTCGCTCTGGAGCGCGTAGAGTGCGTGAATTATTTAAGATATAGCATATATCAGCTACAAATAACGCAAAACCAAGTGAAACGCGAACTAGGTCAGAATATGATTGGGAAAAACTCAATTTTGATTTGTTTCTTCAATCTAATGCCTCAGGGTGCGGTGCCAGCTCGGAATTCGAACTTCGGCACCCATCAGGGATGTGTATCAACAAAAGCACAAAAGCTGCCATGACAGCCTTCGATCAGACCATCGCCTTCTGCAATGGAAAGGCGCAGAACGCTATGCCACCTCCTGACTCGTTTAAACCGCTCACAATGCCCCATCGTCACTTCATTCATGCCTAAGCTAGGCCTGTACATAGCCTTAGATTACTCGTTTCGTCGTGCCCATCTATGCGGTGATTGATTTGTGCGCTTCGTTCAGAAGGTCTCCTCCTCCGCAAGCTCACCCTCAACCTCGGCGGGGATCTCAAAGCCTTCCTGCACACTAGGTCAATATCGAACATCCATGGTTGAACATACAAGATCACGCGTACCTCTGTTGAGTACAAGATAGTCTGAATCTGCTTGAGAATGCCATCCTCGTCTTTCTCCAGCTCAGGATCTGCCTCCATAGCCTGTTGAATCAAAAGCTCAATATCTCTTAGCTTACTGAAATAGAAGTCCCGTTCCCTCTCTAGGCCCGCGACTGTTTCCTTGAGTGCGTTGTTCTCTGCTGTGAGTGCGGCCGAAGCTGCGCCTCCACCCGTATTTGGTGTCCTCGTACGCGGTGCCGTACCAGCAGCCGGCCTTCTGGCTCCTCCACTGCCAATCGGAGCTGGGGGCCCGCCCTGGCCTTTCCTTCGCGCAAGCGCGTCGTACTCACCACCTGGGTAGTACTTGTCCCAATAGCGCTTGGTGAACTGAAGGAAGTCGAGGTTGTCCTGCATCTTGCACTTGACGAGCGCTTCGACGGGCACGGTACGGTCGATGTGGTGCTTCGTGAATGTATCTGTGCCATGCGAGTTGGTATTGCACTACTTGCGTGGACACGGGGCGTTTGCTCTCTTACTCTGCAGGATCTTGAAGTTCTGTATGTACGCATATTCGGTGTTGACGTTGAACTTCACTCTTGACATAGGTACATCGACTTGCGTGCGGTCAGCTTTTGTACGGCAGAAGCGATCGGACAGGAGCGGCACTCACGGAATATGCTGTCGAAAATTTGGCAGAATGCAGCACTGCCAGAGGTAAGAAACACAGTCAGCTATAGCCCCTCCAATATGTGTGCGGTAGCGGAGCATGGCGACAGAAGTTCGCATACCCGGTGCCGAACCTATAATGTACGTTAAAAAACTGATTACTCGGACGGAGGACATGCGCGTACTGTTCGACCTTGGTAATGTTCAGCTGGAGCAGGTTGTTTGCCCAAGCGAGCAATTCCTGCCTAGATTCGCTCATGGTGTAAACACAAGAATAAACGTCGCCGGGCAGGGAACGATAGATGCGAGTGCGTCGTGGTCGTTAAAAGATAGAACTTGCTGGAAATACGGCGGTCCAGAGAAGAGGTTTTGGAAGCGCTCCGCGCGATATGTATGTTCCGTGGTTGCTAGGGAGTGCTTTTTGCGTCGCTGGGCGGGATGATCGAAATTGAGGACAAGGCGTGACTGCCGAATTAGGCGTCGTCAGAGCGAGCGCTCCTCATTACCGTATGGACCCCCCACATTCGTCACGTCTTTCGGCCACGCCAGTGTCCTCACAGTTGTGCATCAGCACAAAAATCTCCGATCACGCTGAAACTCCGCGCACAGCATCGTTCTACCTCACGACCAGATACTGAGATCTCGGGTTCGGATGTCGGCAGTCCACGGGCATCCTCAGCTTCGACTTCGACTTCCCCCACCGTCTCGACTGATACGAAATGGTGGTATGACTATGCATTAATTGACGTGTACATTTAAGTCGGTGTCGTACTCTAACTACAGAGATTGGACCTTTTAGCCAGTTCCTCGATGGTATATCCCCGTCATCGAAATCCGTGCGCCATTCACTTCCAAAATGTGGCCGTCATCAAACGGCCTATCTGATCCAACGCCGTGATCCTGAGATGCTGTCACACACAAAAACGCTTAAAGGACAGCATATTTAGTCCCAAATCGAACGGAACGTAGAGGACCGTTCCATATTCGCCCATGAGAAGGAGCGAATTACAACGTAGTCAAGACATGGTTTCCTCATTCAAAGCATTTCTAGGTTTTGTCCACCAAACCACCGTCCGCGCTTCACTTGGCACTGTGGCCATAATATTCCCTGTGTCTGGGTGGGCTGGTTGGCGGCGACATGTTGCGGTGGTCCTGAAGCAGGACCTCATCGTACTTGGGGGGGTTGCGCAAAGTTCTCGCCCTTCTTCTTTCGCCGATGACAATGGAGGCAAGATATATGGCGAAAATGATACCGGCAACGACACCGTACACCTTCGGTCCATAGGTCGAGTTGTTTGCCAGCTTAAGCCCAAGACCGCCGTTGATAATGCCAAGGGTGATGACAATGCGGCCAAGCCAAATGTGCGCGAAGGATGGAATGGTGCGAGTCTGGAACTTTTTGAAATTTCGGTGATGTAACTGGCCCAGGACGGGCATGAAGAAAAGAAGGATGAAGAGAACGATACCAAGGATCGGGTGAGCCTCGCCCATCTACTCGTTGATTAGTCTGTGGTTGAAGCTATAAAAGTAAGGAAAGCTTACCAGGTGCAGCTGATTTGCAAGCCATATACCCAAGCCGAAGGCGATAATGTAGAAGACGTAAGCGAACACCTGGAAGGCAGCATGGAACCAGACCAGGCCAGGGAAACTGAGAAGGCGAATGGAAATAGCGCCGAAGGGGAAGAAGACAGCGAAGGCAAGACCAGCCATGATACCATGGGCCATGAGCATATTCTTTTGCTGCGAAGCGTTGAAGCCATTGTTGTTGAAGCTAGCACCGCTGCTTGAGCCGGACAGGACATAACCGCTTGGGCATGCACTTGAACTCGTACTATCGGCACGTTTGAATGGATAGCCGGTGCCGGTTGCCCATGGTGGACGGCCAGTTGGTCGAGAGCCTCCGAAGAAACCGAAGCCAGTCGGAGTGGCACCGCTATCAGAGTTGCTCTCACCAGACACTTGGGAGATCGGTACGCAGCTCTGAGTGCCACTGGTTCCAGTAGTAGGCGTCGCTGTCGTGCCGTTGCTAGAGACAAACGGGTTGTCGTTTGCGCTGTTCTTGGCCTGGGTCATGTCCATTGTCATGGTGCCGTACGTGTTGGTGTGCTGCGAGATCGTTGCAGAGGTGCTGTCATCATTGAGAGGGCTGCCCGACAGAGCAGCGTAGATGAGGCTCGCGCTGGAACTGGTGATGTCGAATTTATCGGCACAGCTCGAGCAGCGAATATTCGCGGTCATGACATTGTTGGAGACGCCTGAACCCTCGGTGAGGACAGCCTGGGCGCTCGAATCAAATTGGGGTTGGCTGTGTCCGGTTGCCTTTCGTGGTGAAAGAGTGACATTGTTGCCAGCTGAGTTGGTGTAAATCACGAACATATTTGAGCCAGACATCTGGCTCCCGGAACCCAGCGCGATGTAGCTGAAGCTTGTGGGACCTGAAATCTGGATGTAAACATCTCCGCTGCCTGAGGATGCAGTTGTGTCGGGCACACTGAATGAATACGTGATGCCGTTCTGACTAGCGGAGACAGATTGTGCGTACGCGGACGAGCCTACAAAGCCTGTCAATTTATGTTGAATGACGAAGAAGGTACAAACGCACTGAGACCCAGAAGGGCCGCTGCAACTGACGATTTTTTCATAGTTGGTGATACTGTGCAGCTCTTCCACTATTTCTGGGAGATCCGATTGAGCAAGGGAGAACAAAGGAATCTTTGTCTCCTGGAGAAGAAAATGCGGGCAGCAAATGTGTGAAAGGCTTTCAAGAGCAAGCATGAAAAGGGGATCCACTCCTTTAGAACGAAGACTCCTCGCTCCCGGTCGAGAGCTAAAAGTATTGGGGGGAGGGCTGTGGGTGAGCGGGCGTACGGGTATGGAGAAAATAAGTATAGCAACAAAGGAAACAAGAGGTCCAGCCGCAGCCTTACTACTGCTGGTATCAACGCGACGCAATAATGGTGGGCAAAGCAAAGCCAAAACCTCGTGAAGGGATAATTAAAGAGGCAAAGGGCTGCAGCAATGGTGGCTGGTCTTATCCCGATCTGGCTTGTCGCAACTCGTATCAGCAAGGGGAAACGGTGAGATGGCCTAAAGATAAATTTGACCAGTGCACAAGTGCACAGCGCGAACCGATGAGGAGACCCGGATTCAGATATACTCGGGCGTGCGCCGTCTGTTGTTGCGGACAAATTCCGGTCGCTCCCTCGCAACGAGCACTCCTCGTTCTCATCGTGATGCGTGCGAGTCAAACAATTCTGTTGGAACGCGTCATCCGCGCTGAGCGATTTGAATTTGGCGCGCAGAATGCCGTGAAGCGACTGACGGCTCTCATGTACGCCAAGGAGAAGCCCCAGTAGTCGTCTGGGCAAAGGCGGCCCAGCCAAGTGGCAGTGCCGGCCGTAAACAAAACTCCACGAGCGCGGCATCTCGCAGCCAATCACGCACACTCGAATTCCAATGCTGGGATGAGCTATCATGAGCCTTGCCGAAGCGCATCCTTATCGATCAGAGCGTTTCACATTGAACGCGTGGCCGGCCTCGACCAAGCTTACTGTGGCATGCTAAGACACAGATCCAGCTAGCAGTGCGGCCCCATCCAGCAGACTGTTCGCCCGTGATGTCGACAGCCGTGGCAGGACGTTCGTTGCTACGCCACACGCTCCCAGTTCGATTTGGTCGTCTTCGCTTTCCTTCAGGCCGCTTGGATCATGCATTTTCCTGGATTGAGCCTTCGTCTTACACACACCTGGAGCCACTCTGATGAGCAAGAAACAGCTGTGATTTTCTCTCACCCTGCTTCAAGGTATTACGCCGAACGGGTTCGTATCGTGGATGCCAAGAAGCTTGTTGGCTGGGGGCCCCGAACTTCTCGATGAGCACCATTTTGTGGGGTCCGATGTTTGAAAGGCTGGCCTTGTCATCGATGCGTGCACTGCGGAACTGCGACCACGCAGCATGTGTGTAAGACAACTCTACTGCGTATGAGTCTTCTTTGCACCGACTGTTTGATCTCACCCCGTATGTTCATGCAATATTGTGTTGTCCCACCGAAGCTCCTTTTCAAATCGACCCCGTCGCTATGAATGTCCCTCTTTTTGCGAATGCTTGAACCACAAGCCCGAACACTATTTTTTTTCCAAATGCTACTTTTCCAACTGGCTGTGGAAAGTTTATCGTGATGAAAAGCTGACAGGGGATCGACATTGGATGTCGGTGAATGCGGTTCTCCGGACACCGATGTGTACAGCCACTCATGTTCGAGCGTTGGGACCATTGTCGGAGCGAAGCAGAACAGGATGTTATTGTTGGCCTGTCCCAACTAGCCAACGCTCCTGCAAGTCCACGACTACTCTTCCTGTGCCATGAAAATCCGTCCACAAATACGTCTTGGCATATGGACCATCTGGCTGGCCAAAGAACAAGGAAGGATTCGATCAGCTAGACAGTCTTCATTCCCTCCACATTTTTTTTTTGAGTCGGCAGCTTGCTGCTGCCCCGAGATCACTGGGCGTTTCCGTCCTGAGCTGCCTGTGTCCTTACTCAGCCGAGTAATCAGACCCAAGCACGATTTGCGGCGGCGCCTTCCGAGGACTTCGCTCGTCGCCGTCGTAGGACTCTTGTCAGCAGCACATATTGAGTCTAATGAGATGCCCTGGGCACTCGTAGAATCGTTCTCCACCATGCTAATGCGCAAAATATACGGATCAGTACAGATCTGAGAACCTGCTGAAGAGATATGAGGACGTATTCAATGAGACGTCGAACTTCATGGGGCTAACGCACTTGTTCGATACACAAGTCATGCGTCATGATACTCGCGTACGCTTCAGCCACTTAGGACCGTGCTTGTATAGCTTGATGTTCATATTTCTGCTTACAAGTTGCCTGGAAGTTTTCGCATGTGACTTACAGCTTACGTGGAGCAAGTCATAATCGCGCTACAGTTCTGGAATATGTTCCTTTGCGACTTATGTCCAGAACCGGACTCCCCAAATCGCGGAAGCCAAGTCACCCATGTTTCCAGGGGTAGTGCACCGCAACGCCAACTGTCTAATATGACCCACTAGGTTGCATCATTCTTGCTTTTCGTCAGTTAGTCTTGCAACGAGGATGATCCAAGCCACGATCTAACTCACAAGAGACGCCAAAACAGCTACTAAGAATACCCGAGGTACCTCATGAACACCTTCTCTTGCCTAGCCGCAGAACCATTACGTATCGACCACCTGTCAGTTATGCCTCAATTGTATCGGATCGTCATACCTTTGCGACTGCAAAGTATTGCAGAGACACACGTATCTTGTTGCTGCTGCTCGGATGACCGACCCGTGTTCCAAGCGGAAAGCGGATGATCGATGCTCTACTTTCACTTCATTCGGTTATGATAGCACAAATCAATCCCAACATGGCACAGTCCACGTTGCATCACCGAGATTCGGTTCATTCAATATATACTGATCGTTGATCCGTTGCGCCAGGGGGCTCTGTTTGACGTGTCTGCAAGCCTTATATTATCGTTGCTATAGCTGTGCTCACCACAGCATCAAAGCCGGGGGCCCTTCATTTGCCTGTTTGGCTGCGTATGCTACGATAGAGCAGTGAGCCTCTGCTAATCAGACACCAATTCTACAGGAAGGCTTTGAAACGCAAGCAGTGCAGAATGGTGAGAGTGAAGACTATGCGCAGAATGCCAATGCTGAAGACAATCATTTGCTTGTTCGCAAAGAAGATCGAAAACATATATACCCGAGTGAGCATATGTACACAAGGAAACTCTCTTCCGCATAGTGTTCTAGGCGTTTAGCCTGACCCTGCTCTACGATCTGGTGCTAATGATACAGTGACGGATTTTTGTTGTTGATGAAAAGTCCAGTAATACTGCGTGCAAAGAGCCTATCCAACTCAACGCGCAACCATCTGGGCACAAAGCAAACCATGACGAATGAGGAGTGAGGACGTGCATGTTATCAGCAATTCATCCCTCCTTTTCCTCCTCGTCTTCCTTTTTCTCTACCTCAAACACGATCGTCTTATCCAAGACACCCTTCCGGTCCTTAGTCGTAATGTTATACTTGCCTCCATTCCACAGGTCTTTAATCGTCAACTCCCTCGTGCGTCCTAGACTCTCAATATCGCTGATCCTATCCAGAGTGTCCTGCAGATACTGATCGAAACCTTCCTGCGCACAGATCTCTCGGAAAGCATTCATCATCGGCACGCTGTCTGCGCGCACCATGGCGTCGGCATCGATGCTGAACAGGTTGTCATGATCGTAGGACTGTATGAAATCGGCACGCGTCATGATCTGGCGCGCCTCGTGCAGTGGGATGGCAGGCAGTATGTGGCCCAGCTTGGGATCGTAGCTGACGGCCATTTCTTTTTCCTTTTCAACCAGGGCCTTGGCCAGCACCATGGCCGCCGATGCGTACTTTTGTTGGTCCATAACGTCGTCATCCATATCGGAGCCTAGGATCCAGCACTTGTTCAGAAACCACGTCTTCTCCGCCTGCATGATCTGTTCGCAGGTCTCGAGCATGTTGCGCGAGCGCGCGACACGGCTCAGGAACGTCAGACGCCCGCCCACCTTGTCGTAGATCTTTTCTAGCAGGCTGTAGTCCAGGTCCTCTCCTCGGTAGCGCTTTCGGTAGTTCTTGAGCGCGGCGATGGCAGCACCTTTGGGTAGGTCGCGAATTGGGTGAACCTTCATGCGGGACCCATAGTTCTTGAGTCGCTCGTAGACCCAATAATCATCGCTGTTTAGTATGACGGTGCACAGGTTGCTAGCGGCCCACTGCTCGGCACGTTGCTGGATCAGCTCGAGGATGTCACGTCCGTCCTCGTCGTCGCGCAACAGATGCACACTGTTGATGATCAGCACAAGGGGCCGTCCAACCTTTTCGCGCCTCTTGATGGCCACCTTGTCAAGCTTGTTGAAGGCACGTTCGATGTCCAGAAGAGGTCCTGCATCGCGCGGGCCGCGGATGGAGAACAGGCTGCCCACATTGTCCTCGTGGAACTCAAAGTCCAGGGCCTTGCCAAGGCGAAGTCGAAAGATCTCGAGGTCAGCATGGGCCTCGAACATGGCAACGCCTTCACCGTTGATCTTGGACATGCTGTCCAAAATCATGGAAGATTTTCCAGTTCCCTTTTCGCCAATCAGAAGGTGATAGTTCCCTCTGTCTTGTCCGCTGATGATCTTGTCAAACGTTTCTTGCTCGTGTCTCAGGATCCAGTGATCATGGTCGTCCTCTTGTGTTTCGTCATGAACATCCGTAGACGGCAGAGCGCGCTTTCCGTGGCCGATGATGTCTAGCACGGGATCGCCAGGCTCGAAAGCGCGTTCCATCTTTTTGAGCACGTGACGTTTGTAGTACAACGTGTAGCTGTAGCCAACGAGACCCAGGATGCTGATGGATGCGGCCGTCGTTGCGGCAGACTCGAACATCTTCCATGCCGTGTGCTTCCACGAGCTCCCCGAGTTCTCTCCTTCGCCCGCAGCATCTGAGCCAGGAACTGGGTTTGGATCCGGGTCTTGCGCTTGCGGACCGATGCCATTGATGAGCGTTCGCGCAAACGTCCTCGAGGGATACAGCTCCTGCGCACCTGCGCAACGCAACGAGGCGACCCGATAGCCGCTGTTTGTGCTGCTACTTATGACGGCATCCCCACATCCAAAGGTTGGGTAACGGGCGGCGCGAAACGCGCCGCGAACAAAGTGTCTCCCGAGCATCGTCCGCGCGACCTATGACAGCTGCATTGTTGATTACTGCGGAGGCACCACGTGTACTAAAGTCTGGGACGCGACTTGAGGTGTTCTTGTTATAGGAACGTGGCGAACTTGGATCGCTTTCTCAGGCCAGGGGCCGTATTAAGGGATGTGCTTCGCGTGGCACAGTCCGTCTCTCGCAGTTAGTTGCTTTGGAATTGTGGGCAGGAGGATTTCAGGGGGCCGTGCGGGCTCCTGTCCGCCGGAGGTGGTTGCGGAGTTCCCAGAATGGATGCGTAATTGGAAAAACGAAGGTGGAGGAGACTGATTGGTTGGGCCGCTGGTGACGACGGGGATGACGACGGAACTGATCCGGGTGATGGAGGATGGCAATGGATACATGTACGCGAGGGACGAGAACCACAGCTCTGCCCGACCACGGATACGAATTGAGCTGCTCTCTTGCTCGCGACTCTCCACGGCCACTTGTTTTTTTTTTTTTTTGTTCGTGTCGTGTGTGGACGGGCGGGCTGGGCAAGGCTTGTCACGCTCCGGAGACATCCCTGCTCAGCCGTCCAGCCGAATATGGCCCGCGAAGCCATTTATGACCCAAACTTTTTTCTTCGAGCGCAGCAGCTCTTCCGAGCGAAAAACAATTTCCATTCCAACCTTCTTGTACTATATACAAAAAAGTGCATTGTCCATCGCCTTGTAATATAGTCGTCCTCTATTTTTCTCCTTCTGGTTTCTCTCAAACGGTCGTTCCTTCCATAGCTTGGTGAATTGTCTGGCTTTGTCGATGCCAATGGCCGAAAACAGCAAGAGCGATGCGTCCATTACTTGTACGTTCTTTCCTCCCGCACAAACGCGATGGACTCCAATGCTGCTTCTGGATTCGTCGATCCAATTGCGAGCAAAGGCAGTTGCGACCGAACTGATGCTCCAATGGATAGAGCCTGACGTGGCTAATTCGATTCCTTTCCAGCTCCTGCATCCGATCAGTCATCGATAGCGAAGCAAGATGCTTCCAAAGACCAGTCCAGCGGTCCTGGGGACGCCCCAGAGGTGCAGCCGTCCGAGTCCATATTCACTCTCACCGTGAAACTGCCCCACGAGCCTGGCGAGACCAAGATCACCGTGTCGAGCCAGGAGCAGGTGCAGGATATTCGGCAGTCGATTCTAGACCAGCCCTTTGCCATGCAGTATTCGTGCTTCCATCTCGAGCATAATGGCGAGCGTATCAACGATTTCGTTGAGCTTTCCGAAGTGCCCGGCGTAACTGCAGACTCGACCATTGAGTTGGTCGAGGACCCGTACAATGAGAAAGAGGCACGCATGCACATTATGAGGATTCGTGAACTCATCGGTGCCGCTGGGGATCGCACAGATACAATCCACGGTATCTCGGCCGGCCTCAGTCTGCATGACAGCTTGACCGTCTCTGCCGCGGAGACCAATGGTCAAGCGCCCGCCGGTCCGCTCCCAGCGTCCGAGGCTGATCTGTCGGGCTACGCTTTTGACGGCTCTGGCTCCGTGCAGAACATGTTGCTTCCAAAGCAACCTCCCGCCCCGAAGACGATCAAGTCAATAAGCATATCACCCTACAATCCACCTCCGCATCACTTGCGGACCATCGGTCACTTGCTTTATCTCACCGTGACCACTAATGAGGGCGATCAGTACCACATCACATCCCACGTTTCGGGCTTCTACGTCAACAAATCGAGCAACAACAAATTCGATCCCTTTCCTAAGGCTGCACCGAAGAACGCAAGCGCACATTCGCTGCTCACCCTACTGCAAAAGATCTCGCCTTCTTTTGACGCATCCTTCAAGGCCTTGCTAGAGCACAACTCGCAGCGCGAACCCCTCGCTCTTTTTCAGCTGCAGAATGCTATCCCAGCAAGCCCATGGCTCGTGGCGCCGCCTTCAACTGCCGATCATCAAGCCGACATCGCGCGCACACAAGAGACGTTCTTAATGGCAGGTCAGGAGGGCACAGACACTCTGCGCGACTGGAACGAAGAGTTCCAGACTACCCGCGAGCTCCCTACAGAGACGGTCCAGGACCGTGTGTTCCGCGAGCGTCTGACGTCCAAATTATTTGCGGATTATAATGAGGCAGCGGTGCGAGGTGCTGTTCTGGTTGCTCGCGGAGAAGTCCCGGCTCTGAATCCCACGGAAGGGCGGGACGCGCAGATCTTTGTGTACAACAATATCTTCTTCTCCTTTGGTGCCGATGGCGTCGGTACTTTTGCGACTGAGGGCGGCGATGAGGCAGCCCGAGTGGCGACAGGCAAGGATGTGGCCGGTGTTCGCCAGGTCAATCAATTAGACATCAAGGGACTATACACGCCGGGCACCGTCGTCGTCGATTACCTCGGTAAGCGTATCGTAGCTCAGAGCATCGTGCCAGGCATTTTCAAGCAGCAGGAGCCAGGAGAGCACCAGATTGACTACGGCGGAGTCGAAGGCAAGGATATCGTTGCAGAGAACGAGGCGTTTGTGCCACTCTTCGAGAAGCTATCCAATGCGCTGCACATCAAGAAGCATGCCGTTTGGGACAAGGAGGGCAAGAGGCACGATCTTGAGGGCAGTGTGGAGACCAAGGGTCTCATCGGTACTGATGCACGCAAGTATGCCCTAGACTTGTACAGAATTACGCCATTGGATGTGCCATGGATCGAGCGATATTGGGGGGATGAGCAGAGCGCCGGAAAGAAGGGAGAGGAGAAGAACTATCCGCACCGAATGACCGTGCTGAGACCGGAGCTTGTGGGCGTGTACGCAAGGGAGAAGCTTAATGAATATGTTCGTGCGGAGCTGGCAAAGAAGGCAACTAACGGACCTACTAAGGAGAAGAAGGATCAAATCAACGGTCACAAGAATGACGGCGGCGAGAATACAGAGGAAGCTGGCTTCGTTGCCAAAGACGAAGGTGCAGAGCCAAAGGAAGTCGTTGCGGAAGATATCCCACGCGTCGACATGACCGGCTTCAGCTTCTCGCTGAACCCAGATGTCTTCTCGGGCCAGAAACCGCCAACGGATGAGGATATCGAGCAGATGGCGAAGGATGAGGCAGAGGTGCGAGCTGCCTGTGCCTTCCTTACCGACAAAGTTATCCCAGGCTTGATCTACGATCTACAAGAGCAAGAGGTTGGCTTCCCGATGGATGGCGAGTCGCTAAGCACACTTATGCATAAGCGAGGTATCAACATGCGTTACTTAGGTGCCATTGCTGAGGCATCCGACAAGGAAAATCCGAGACTACAAGCATTGCATCGTTTGGCTGTGCAGGAGATGGTCAGCCGCGCTTTCAAGCACATTGCAAGCAGACGGCTTCGCCAACTGCCTTTCGCGATGGCTCCAGCATGCTTTGCACATCTCCTAAATTGCTTGTTAGGCACCGAGTTAAACCCACATCCGAAGGCGGACATTGATCCTGTGATGCGAGAAATATACACAGATGCGGATCTCAGCTTCGAGACTGTTACTCCTGAAAGCCTGCGTGCCGAGATCGTAGAGCAAGTTTCGATGCGCTATAGATACACACTGCAAGGCAAGGTGATCGAACCTGGAAAAGAGCTGCAGATGCTCCGTGAAATTTCGCTCAAGCTAGGCCTACAACTCGCAGCAATCAACTACCTGTTCAGACCCCAAGAGAAGCAGGCCAATGGAACGACAGATCATGACTCCGTCACTTCATCCGAAGAATCTTCGAACGCGCCAGTGCAAAACGGTCATCTGAGCACTTCAAGCAAGAAGGGCAAGAAGAAGGGCAAGGGCAGCTCTTCGCCGCTGCGTGGTGTTTCTCCTGCACCTAAGGCACGGTGCGTAACGTTCAAGCCAGAAGATATCCTAAATGTCGTGGCCGTGGTAAAGGAGGCCTCGCCAAAGAGTGTGCTTGCAGAGGAGGCTTACGAGGGTGGCCGCATTTCACTAGCACAAGATCAGAAGGAGCTTGGTCAGGAATTGCTCATGGAGTCACTCTCCTTGTATGAGCAAATTTACGGCATTCTGCACCCCGAAGTAGGCAGGACGTATTTGCAAATGGCAACGCTGTATTACAGCATGGACGAGAAGAATGCGGCTGTCGAGCTTGCCCGTAAGGCAGTCATCGTCTTCGAGCGTACCATGGGCGTCGATGCATCAGACACCATCTCCGCGTATCTCAATCTCGCCCTCTTTGAACATGGCAACGGTAACTCCAAACTTGCTCTAACATATGTTCTGCACTGCCTTGAACTGTGGAAGATTGTATACGGTCCAAACCATCCTGATTCCATCACCACGCTCAATAATGCCGCCGTTATGCTGCAGAGCATGAAGCGCTATCACGAGTCGCGCATCTGGTTCGAGGCTTCGCTCGCGATTGCAGAAAAAATGTCTGGCAAGACATCTGTCAGCACGGGAACCTTGCTCTTCCAGCTTGCGCAAGCGCTTGTACTCGATCGTGATCACCATGCTGCGGTCAACCGTATGCGTGAGTGCTGCAACATTTTCCGGGCGGCTCTCGGCCCGGAGGATCGTAACACTAAGGAAGCAGAGCAATGGCTGGAGCAGCTCACACAGAACGCAGTGACACTTGCGAAGCGGCAAAAAGATTTGCAAGCTGGTAAACTGCGGGGTGTGAGATTCTCAAATCGTATTCCCATCGGCGCGAGAGTGCAGCCTCAAGTTGGTCAGAGCAGTGCAGATGCCACGAGCACGGGGGGAAAGAAGGGCTATCAACTGGATAACAGAAATATTGATGAACTGATCAGATATATCGATGGCGACTCCGGGGCAAAGAAGAAGAGCTCTGGTGGTAAAAAGAGAAGCGCAAATCCGAAGGCTAAGCGTTCAGCTGCAAAGACTTCGTGAGGCGCATGTTACGCCGTGGAAACTGAAAAGAACACATAGAAGAAGAGGTTGTTCTCGTGGTTTTATTTTACTTGTGCTCATATGTGTGCATTTCATCATTGCATCACCTCTTCTCAAGATGCTGGGGGATATGGACAAAACGTCGATAGATGGGTGGGGTACAATTGGGCATAGGGCAACGAGGCGGATTGGACAAGAAAACGCTGGTTGATACGTTGTTTGCGCATCACTATTCACGGGGCATCTATCTGTGTCATTTTTACATTGTACATCCGTCCGTCGTCCACGAGAGATAGACAGGAGCATACCAACAGAAGGTGTGCGCTTGGTTGCATGGACATGGAGAGGACTTTTTATTATCTTGTTTCTGTTACAAAATATTGCTCGGGCATCACCACTCAAAAAACTCAAGACCTGTACTATTATCTTGCATTTGCAGTAAAACCACGGCTATCTGAGAAACGAATGCAGCTCAATTGTTCTAAATCCCCTCCGATGACGGTTTTGCAACGGTCGCTGGTCTCGTGATGAGCTGGGTTACCCTACATAACACCAAAATAGCTATGCCTCGGCAGAATACAAGCTTACTCCTCATTTAGCCTTTTACGAGCGGCGTTTAACAGTCAGTCTCGTGCGATGTTCTAGTTTTCAGAGATTTACGTACGAACCGTTGCGGGGCAGCGGGGCGTGTAGCAGAAGGAAAAGCATAAGGATCTGTCCAAACCTGTTTTGATCCACGACTATTATGTAGAAAAGCTGATATTGGGTACATATTTCGTGCGTTATACGAGCATAAAAAGAGAGGTTAGACTGACTGTAGTCGATTTCACGCAAAGTAAGATTTGATCAAGATTTGGGCATTCTTTCGAATGGTCGCCTTTGATGGTCAGACTTAGTCCAGCTCGGTGGATTTGATATGCCTGAACGGAATTGAATGTGCGTGCATGTCTTTCTTTACATCTCTGTTAAAATTGAATCCGAAGAAATTAAGAGCAGAAACTTGCGTCATCACTGTGTCGCAGAGAAAACTAACGATAGCGGTCAGTTGGCTCCCTTCCACAATGAGCAAGACAACACAGTCTTTTCTCCGGGACAGACCCATGCCCCAATCAGTTTTCCCTTATACGTCTGCTCCTCACAAAGAACTACCTCAAAATGATTCCCTTCGACAAGACATCCTGCATGTTCTCAACCATGGGTATGTGATTCTGCGGAATCAATTCAGCTCCCAGACGGCGGCTCAAGCCAAGGCCGAGATTGCGCGGTTGAGCGGCGGGGACCCAGAGAGAGGCAGAAATCCATTTGAAGGGCTGAACACGAATCGGATATACAGTCTTCTGAACAAGAGCAGGGAGTTCGACCAGTATGTCACGTTTAAGAGGGTGCTAGAACTGAATGATTATTTCCTCGAGCCGGGGTACTGTTTGAGCGCAATGCATACCATACAGATCAATCCCGGAGAGGTTGCGCAGGTACAGATCCATATCACCACCCTTTACTCATCCAAGTCCCTCTTCGTTTATACTGTGTCATTGCTCACGACTTGTGGCGAGCAGGATTTCCATCATGACGATGCGTTTGCGCCCATTCCGCGTCCTCGCCCTCCTCTCGGATCCGCTATAATTGTAGCTTTCGACGACTTCACCGCCACCAATGGTGCCACACGCATCGTCCCGGGCTCCCACCTGTGGCCGTCCGGAGTCCGACCCACAGACGACCAGGCGCAGCCGGCAGTATGTCCTGCAGGAAGCGTCGTTTACTTCATCAGCACGACTTGGCATTCAGGTGGGAGGAACGAGAGTACAAGACCACGAATGAGTATGACCGTACAGTATTGCCAGCCATATGTGAGTTCGTCCTCAAAAAAAACCCCCCAAAAAATCCAAAATTGCACTTTTCTTCGTGAAAAGACGTTGACCAGTGCCCGTAGATGCGCCAGATTGAGAACCAATACCTTGCCGTGGATCCCAGGAAACTTGACGAGATACCACCTCGCATCGTTGAACTGATGGGCTACAAGACTTTTGCTGGGTTTATCGGATACGGTATGTGCTTCATCTTTCCGATCGTGTTTTCCTAGAGCTTCTCTGATTCAAGTCAGCCGACGGATTGAATCCCCGTGAAGCGGCGAGGAGGATGGTAGCGTGGCAGCAGAAGCCCGTGAACAGGCAGCCCCCAACTTTTGCGCATCATCGCGACAGTAAGATGTGAGAGTCCAAATTGCTGTGCAAACGGATGAGGTCAATTTGCAATCTGAGAAGATCGAATCAATAGTATTTGGTATCTCATTAGACTCATGACATGCCGACCCATATTTTGCGCGACCATGCCTCTTTGATACGAACAGGCAATTCTCACGCCAAGTATACGCCTATGCGCCGTAATTTGTGTGCAGAAGAACTGCGGAGCAGAAAGAAGGAGATGGAGAAACGCCTCTACTCCGCATCGAAGCCACCGCCAACCTTCATCTTCAGTTTCTGCTTGTTGGTCGTCTTCTTGCTCTTGGCCTTCTGTTCGATTTCTTCCTCACTTTCCATCTCGCTCTCCAACTCCTCTTCAACCGCATCAACTTCCATGTCGTCGACCTCTTCCTGAACTTGCTCTTGTGCCGGTTCAACAACGTCTCTGAGCTCCTTGGGCAGCAAGTGCTGATTCTCAGCCACCAACTTCCTGTCTGCCTCGAGCTGCCGTTGTCTGTTACCGCGCATGCGGTTCTTGTAGAACACCCTCTCTCTTCTAGCCTTGATCTCGCTGAATCTTTGCATAGCCTTCAGTGCGGTCGCCACCGTCTCCCTGTTGTATCTTGTAGGAACGTTACGCTTGGCTGCCAAAGCCAATGCACCGTCAACAACCATTTCCTTGCCATGAGCTCGTCGGAAGGACTTCGTCCAGCCGAGCTTTCGCGGATTACGCTTCATCTTGAAGTTCTTGTGGCACTTCGACTTGCAGAAGCGGAAAACTCGAGCGTCATTACGGACGAACATTATTCCCTTAGAGGGATAAACGGGGTGCGAGCTGCAAAGATGCGTGTTAGCACAGAGCATGGTAGGACTGGAATTTTTTTTTCAAAAACCGGGCTTTACGCACCAGAACGAGCATGTTTCGATTCTCATCTTGCCGTTTTGCAGTCCTCAACGCCGAGGGACCGTCTGGAATAACCGTACAAATCTTCCCGGGCTCGTGTTCAGTTTTCTTGTGTTCAAATTGACGCTGGGTGAACGAGACCGCAAAAATGTGTTGTTGATCACGAAAGTCCCGCCCTGCGGCTCTCGAACTTTTTTTCGAGAGCACCGCCACATTCTCCAGCCACAGCTTCGTTCGCATCCGCTTCCGCTCGTCGGCGAACTTTTCGGTGAACAACACCCGCATCACGAAGATTCTCCCCATCGTCTTCGCCACTTTTCATCTTTTTGCACACCACAACTACACAGATCTTGACATGGCTTCGACATTAGCTATAGGCGCTGGCATCGCGGTTGCCGCTTTCCTGGTAGGTTTGAGTGTCACCCTCACCGCTTCATTTTCCCTCGCGCATCTCCTCGTCTTCGTCCTACGCTCAGCTAGCCTGCTTTCATCACAGGAAGACACCACATCATTTCTCCCAGCATCTGCTGACAATGCAAACGTACAGGGTCGTGCCGGTCTTGTCGCCCTTCGGCAGTCCCGTGGTGCTGCCGGCGCGTTAGGTCGGTCCTTCTACAAAGGTGGTTTTGAACCCACGATGAACAGACGCGAAGCTGCGCTCATCCTCGAAGTCCCGTACGTATATTATTTGTCAGGGCATGCCTAATATCATGACTTCTAACGAGACTGGGTTGACAGGGAACGAGGTGTAACAAAGGAGCTCATTCGCAAGAAGCACCGCCAGCTTATGCTCCTGAATCACCCTGATAGAGGAGGAAGCCCGTACATTGCGGCGAAAGTTAACGAAGCGAAGGCTTTCTTAGAAAAGGGGACATAAGACCAACGCGTTGGGACTGAGGTCATGACGTGCAAATGTGTTTAAAAAAATAAAAACACCGTGTAATATTGTGTTGTACGATTGATACTTGCATGCAGCGCCGGCGTTTATGGATGGGAGGAGACCGTCATTTCGCATTGGAGGAGCGGCTTTGTGAGAAAGGAACTTCGGGAAAGGTGCCTAGACGCACGCGAATCACCACTCGACATGCTTGTAGCTGAACGAGTTTATCATTAAGGTCTGAGAGTATGTACAGACACAAATGCACTTTGCTTCGTTCTGCGCATCCACAAGTTTTACACGTCTCTACTATGCAATGAGCCAGTCATTCTCCGACAATTTTAGGTTCATCAGCCAATCCGTCCTTGTTTCTTGACGGCATTTGTCTGTCCAGACACGTTGTAGAAGGTCAAGAGCATTTGATAGGTAGCCCCAGGGCAAAGTCTTCTGCCCCATCTTGAAATGGTAAGAGACCCACGAACGGTTATTCTCGTCGTTCGTCTCGGCCCCAGCGATGAAAGCCGGCCAACACGTTGTTTTGAAAAAAGGGTCGTCTATCGGAACGTACTTAAGGTGAGCGATAACTTCAGAGACGAGATCTTCAAGTGAATCTCTGTCGGTGATCAAGGGATTAGAGGGTACAGTGGCTCTTAGGACGTAAATTTTCGTTGCTGCTTGATATGCGAAACCAATGTGGGTGCGCATCTCAACATCAAATGATGACGACACGCGTTGCAAGGAGCTGACCCACGCCTTTGGATTAAAGGCATCTACGACTGCTAGGAGCTTTTCAGAACTAGGCAGTGGAGAACGACGAGAAACGTCTCGGATGACTTGTAGCAGTAGTGGGGGGCAGGAGAGACAAATATTTGCCTGGACTTCTGCATTTTCGTAGAGCTCCTGGAGAGACTCAGAGACGGAACCGTCATTATCCATGTTCGGAGCGGTGAGCGTGGTGCCAAAAATGTCATAGCTTTGAGAGGGTTAACGAGTATATTTTATGCTCCGTGTGAGGTACTCACACCACACAGTTTGAAATTAGACAGTTTCGTAAACCGGTCGTAATAGACAGGTCTGTCTTTCCGTTTTGGCGTAAGTATGCCAGAAGTTGTCTCGCACCGTCTGTGTGAAACTTCCATGCGTTTGCCCCGTAATCCAAGAGCTCAAATTTTATGAAGAGCATGATGGCAGCCAGGATAATGTCTGAACTTATGGAATTGAAGTCGGCCAGAGCTTCAGAAAGCAGACATAACGCTTTTTGTTTCGCCACCAGTGCGTCTCTGTATGCCTTGGGACATATTTCCTTTCGTGCATCCCAGGTAAATTCTTCATTTTTTGTGGCGTTTGCAAGGTGCAGGGCAGCATTCGCAACAAGTATATGCTGTAAGATTGTAAAGTTGCCGGCAAGAGATAACAGGTCCCGAAATGGGTTTCGTGTGGGGGAATCATGAAGCACAAGGTCCTTACATACTTGTCTGTCGTCTTGCACTTGGTAAGCCGCGGGCTCAACTCTGCTAGCAACCTAGGTCACGCTCACAATAAGACAAGTAAAATCTATACGTTTGACTCAAATCGTGAAACACAGGATCGTTTAGTTCTAGACACCAGCTTGATGCTGAATCAGAGGAAGCTGGGCTTCCATCGTCTCGAGGCGACATAAATGCTGAGGCGATGACTGGACTAGTACTACAGTCACGAGGATTGTCAAGCCGTGATCCCGATGGCATCATGACAGCAAACGACTTTCCCATCATTTTGCCTCGACTTGCTATACTGTTCGTCCAGTGAAGAATGGATCCGTAACCAAGACAGACTTGGCCGGTTGAGTGACATTTTATGCAGGTAGGAATCGAACGATCGCATCTCCGGCGACCTCGACGGCAGTTGTGACATGCAACTTTGGGTTGTGTAGCACGATGACCGATCATTGAATAACATGAGGCCAAAGAAAGTAAAGCAAAATCAACTTCAACGCCATGGACGAACACGATAAGCGTGTCTAGTTGGAGTGACGTTAGAGCTCGCAGAGGAGGGTCTGTTGTGTTTGCCTAAGGCAAAAGAGCATGAACTATTTTTCAAAGCTAGTGATACCAGAATATGTCGGCTATTCCGGACGTGGACAAACGATAAAGAGTTCTGAATGGTCTCATATCCAATTGGTCTCGCCCTAGTGCGAGAAGAGACTGAAAACTTGACTGGAGTAAAATACAGCTTAACTAAGCAGCTTCGTTAAGAAACTTCACCCGAGAACCTCGGTTTGGGTTCAGAATATCAGAGCGAAAGTCATTTTGGATAGATACCCAAGGTCCACGTGCGAAAGCAATCTCATCACTTTTGGTAATTACAAATGTCTCACCAGTACGAGCTCGATATACGACCAGCAGAGACGGCCGCTGAGAACACACAACCCGAAAACCGGCGTGCCAACTCCTCTCTTCCGCGAGCCGATGGAGGAGGTGCGGCTTGGAGAATACTCCTATCTGCCTTTGTGTTCGAGTCATTGTTGTGGGGTTTTCCGCTCTCCTTTGGCGTCTTTCAAAACTACTACTCGCAGCTTCCTGAGTTTAAGGGGGATCCTTTCATTGCCATTGTGGGAACGACTGCCAGCGGCATATCTTACATAGCCGCTCCCATTGTAATCCCATTCATCAGACGGTACTCTATGTACCGGTGCCAAATGATATGGTTCGGGTGGCCTGTTTGTCTTCTGGCACTCGTAGCAGGCTCTTTCGCGAGATCATTGCCGACTTTGATCGTCACTCAGGGTGTTATGTATGGAGTAGGATTCACAATCTTCTATTACCCAATCATTAGCATGGTAAATGACTACTGGATCACACGAAGAGGTTTGGCGTATGGAATTCTGTGTAGTGCTTCTGGCGTTTCAGGGGCAATAATGCCATTCTGCATCAACGGCCTTCTTCGCAAGTATGGCTATCCGACCACGTTAAGAGCTGTGGCAGTCGGATTGTTTGTGTGTACTGCACCTCTCATCTTTTTCCTCAAAGGACGGACCCCCGAGGATGGGACTGCGAGCAGGACAGACTGGTCGTTCTTGAAAGTCCCTCGCTTCTGGATCTACAGCATTTCAAATTTTGCAATGGGTCTTGGTTATTTCTTTCCCTCGATTTACATGCCTTCATACGCGTCCTCCAATGGGCTGAGTCCTGTCCATGGCGCGATTCTCCTGGCGCTGATGAGTCTATCGCAGGTTCTGGGCCAAATGAGTTTTGGCTATCTGTCGGACGGCAAGCTCTCTCTGGATCTATTGGCCATTTCATCAACGCTTGTGGCTGCTGCAGCAGTATACGTCTGTTGGGGGGTAGCACACTCTTTTGGTATCTTAGCCGTCTTTTCTCTCTTCTACGGTTTCTTTGGAGCAGGTTATACGGCGCTTTGGGGTCGAATGGGTACCGCAGTGAGCAATGAGTCAACTGGGGCCTTTGCGGCATTTGGGCTTCTAAATTTTGGTAAAGGTGTCGGCAATATCCTCGCCGGACCAGTAGGTGGCGCCTTGCTCAAGGGGGCTGTTCAAGTTGACAGCTATGGCACGGCTAAGTATGGACCAATCATATTATTTACAGGCTCTTGTATGGCGGTCAGCTCTGTGACTGTGGTTTTGTGTTATCTCAAGAGGGTATAGCAATACGCGTAAGGATAGGTGGACAGCAGGACAGTAATCTCGGTCACATCCATGTTTGGCGACGGGACCTGTCACAATGCCTTATGCTTGATTTTAAGCGAGTATATGGCACAATGCTATTTTGGATCACCATAGCCAATTAAACGCAATGATTTCCTGCTAAGATACAAGAGCATGTACGAGTAGCTCTCGTTGCATTCAACTTATCTTATTGGGTTGTAATACCTAGTTCTAGAACTAGAAACTGTGCAAAAAAAATTGACTCCAATTCTATTGAATCGACGTGAGATTCGGAGCATATCTGAACGAAGCTGGCAAGCCTGTAAGGAGCAATCAAACACAATGCGGTTTTTCCGCCTCTTCGTGCGCAAAATGTCATCACGTGAATCGACATACCAAGTTAAGTTAGTCAAAACCACTTTTGAAAAGACTAATGCACGTCTTGTATCTTGGCATCCTGTTTTGGTTTAGATCATCCAACCCTTTCTGCCTTTCTACGAACAACGCGACGACAGAATACCACAAGCAAAGAGTCTCAAATGTGGCAATCTGCTTTGAAATACAAGTCCAGCTAATGCGGGTAAAACCAGAATCATGGCAAAGCGATTTATGGCTTTAACTTGCTTCGGCAGCCCATGCGGGCCCGCTGACAGATAGTTGTGAGAATATATATGCATACCTGCTTCCTACTTTCCACACTGTGCGCTCCTTTGAACATCGTGCCGATTCCCTATATATCCACGCGAGTTCATTATGGGTTCGAATCGCGACAGACTTCTCATTGAAAATCCTGAGCTAGGCTTGCCGGTCGGCACCTTGACAGAAGCGGAAATCGAACGGCTCGGCAGGAAACGCCCAGATGTCTTCAGGACGTCCCTGGAGGAGGTTGGGTTCTGCGTGTCTTTACTTGCGTCAATGTTCATGGCGGTAAGGTTCTCGTCAACGATGCGTCCAAACCGTCTGACGTTTGTTTTAGGAGTACTTTATCAGCGGGTTTGGATTGATTGCCTCAACCCTGGCAAGAGAGCTGAGCATGCCACAAGAAGTCCAAGTTTGGCCTGCAAGCGTCTTCTCGCTTGTTGCGGGTGCCGTGCTTTTGCCGTTCTCGCGTCTCGCCGATGTCTGGGGCAGCTACCGTGTCTTCGTCTCCGGGCTTTTCTGGTTCGCCATATGGTCGCTAGTGTGTGGGTTTAGCAAGAACTACGAAATGTTAATCGTTGCTCGAGCTTTCCAAGGCCTTGGGCCTGCCGCCTTTCTTCCGTCTGGGGTCATGCTTATGGGGAGCACATATCGACCTGGGCCTCGGAAGAACCTTGTCTTCAGCCTCTACGGCGCTCTTTCACCAGTCGGTTTCTTCGCAGGTATTTTTTGCGGGGCCGTCGCCGAGGCTTATCTCTCATGGCGCTGGTACTTCTGGATTGGCACAATTGCACTTTTTATTGTCTCGCCGATAGCTGTCTTCACTGCTCCCTCGGAGACTATACGAGTAAAGGGCCTGAAAATGGACTGGTGGGGAGTATGCACAATCGTGCCTGGCCTTATTTTGGTTGTCTTTGCCATCACAGACAGCGCTCATACCCTCCACGGCTGGGGTGCGCCGCAAATATACGTTTCGTTTGTTGTGGGAGTCCTCTTCCTCTGTGCCGCATTTTATACACAGGGCTGGGTGGCTGAAGCACCCTTGCTACCGTTTGACTTATTTAGGGTCGCATACATGGTCCCTTTGCTGTTATCTTTATTTTGCTCCTTCGGGGTTTTTGGTATATATCTGCTCTACTCAAGCTTTTAGTAAGTTTGCTCACAATCAATATCCTGTTGCCTGTCTCTAAATGTGAGTAGCATTCAGTTCGTTTGTGGCGTAACAGGCCTGCTGAGCGCTGCTTGGTACGCTCCTATGGCCGTTGGAGGTCTTGTCCTCGCCACTGTGGGAGGCTTCACGCTCCATCTTGTTTCTGGAAAAGTTGCTCTTCTTGTGTCTGGTCTTGGGTATCTGGTCAGCGTTATTCTTTTTGCCAACATACCATCCCATAGCCCGAATTATTGGGCATACATCTTTCCAGCAATGCTGGGTGCTACCCTAGGAGTGGACGTCACCTACGGTGTTAGCAACATCTTTATCACGACCAGCTTGCCAAAGCGTCGACAAGGTTTAGCTGGCGCGGTTATCAACAGTGTGTTATTTCTGGGAATGGGGTTTTTTCTAGGTGCTGCGGATATGGTCGAGAGCGCCCGGAAAACAAAAACATATAGAGCGGCGTTCTGGTTCGCAGCTGGAGCTGCGATAGTCTCACTCATCATTATTGCTGCGTTTGTGCGAATGGGACGAGCAAAGAGTGATCTGACGGCCGACGAGCGCGCTGATGCCAATTCACGGAATACATGACCGTATTCGTAAAGTTAAATAAGAAAGACAAGATAGAGTCTGTTTTAGACAAAGCAACAATTGGCTTGTAGAGATGGCTCTAATTTTTGGTGGAGAGACCAACCTTCTTAAGCCGTCTAGCCACTAACTAATCCGAGTCACTAATTTTAAGGGACTTCCGTCGGGATACTTTGTATGTTCGGAGAAATGGTCCGAGTCCGAATTGTTCTAATTTATTTAGGAATAGCTATCATTCCCCTTACGCTAAAAGTTATAAGCCCCACCAGAAAATCCAAATTGTGTAAGTTAGCTTGGTCGCATGGCTCTCACGGGACCCACATGACTGAACGCGCATAAAAATTTGACCTCAGATATTCGTGTTTGCCTTGGAGATTGAGAAAAAAAATGGACTCGCGGGGAATTGAACCCCGGACCTCTCCCATGCTAAGGGAAAATCATACCACTAGACCACAAGCCCAAGTTGCTTGTGATGTCGAATGTTTGGAGTGATATATGTACTTCGCGTGACAGAGTTTTCTAGGGAATAAGTGAAATAGAACGGGAAGCAGAGCAAACACAAATGTTTTGATCGGTGATGGTCGAGGGAGCAGAATCTGGATCTATCTGCTGCTGTTGTGGTGCTGCAAAGCTCTCTGTATTCCGTCGGCATAGTGAAGTAATTTTGCCCTGTGAGTTGATGTGCGAGCAGTCATTGAAGCTACTACTTAACTTGCCCAACTCATGCGTTAGAGATGCGAAGCACATCTTTCATGCGTCGGCATGAAATTTCCAACTAGTGAGGGCAAATGTTGACTGGTCCAAGACAGACTGAAGGATCATTGATGCATTGCTACATCGCCGGAAGAGCGGTGGATAATACATGAAACAGCATCGGCACGTCGTGCAGTGGTTGTATCTCGGCCAACTGCTTCGGACCAGAGACACTTGGCTACAATGATTCGAGATCTTCATCAATCCTGTTTGGCGACTAAGTATCTCTTAAGCGAAGCACAAATGAGCACACGAAACATCGAGATAGAGACTATTCAGAAACTGATGTGGAACAGATGTGGTTGATCGATGCTTAATATTCTTCTCGCAACAAATTGAAAGGTGTGCTTTGACCCAAGAGACGAGATGTTGGCAATGCTCAGCCGCACGATCGATCCAAATCACCCAGAAGTGAACTCTCACATTTCATTTTCCTTTGCACGCAAGCATCTAGAGACCATTCCAACTTGCTTTGCTTGCTTGTGCCACGGAGAGGTGTCAGGATGCAACAGAAGACATGAAACATTACCTTTCTTGAGTTCCTGGCCGGACAAGAGTTGAGAACTGCCATCCTTTTACTCGTTCCCATGGCAAAGCCCCCTATATTTCATCGGCAAAGAAGAATGAATGCCATTTTTTAAGGACGACAGTTTGATTTTTTGTGGCGAGTTCGTGGGAATGATCGATACAGTCTGGAAAATGCTGGCACTCTCCAAGGATCCACTATGTCATACTGTTGACACCAAAGATCTTGCAACCTTGTGTCGAAACCAAGAATGGACTAGAGACCAGCAAGCTCGGCTCCAAGAAGAAGGCATCGCCTCTGCAAAAATCTCGCCGTTCATAACGGGTGAGTTGACCGGTGAAGGAATGCAGACAGACGGTGGCCGAAATAGAGTTCTTACCCTTCACATGGACTTCCAGAAGGCGGCTGGCGGAAACAATTACCGGCAAGCTTGCTCGAGCACCTCGGTGCGCCATGCTTGCGGACTTGGAGAGGTTACATTATCCGCCCCATGAATTCGATGAGCTGTTTGAATATAAACGCTCGTTATGATGAAACGTTAGCTTGAAGTAGCCATGGCAAACTCGATTCGCGCCAAGGAGGGATATTCAAAAACTAGGAACAATCGCTAAGATACGAAGAAATCCAGTAGCGGTTTGAGAAAAGACTCTAGACGCATAGCTGCATAAATCTCAGGGAAAGAGATCAACCAGGAAGTCGATGCAGCGATGTGGTTTTGCGAACGCCAGCCCATTTACCTTTTTGGTCCTCACCCTATCTCGACCGATCACTTAAGGCAAACATAGGGTTTGATACTGGAAGCGGCGACATAAGGTTTTGATGCGCACGCATCGTTCTAATGAGATTCAGCCGAAAGCTTTTGACACTGTTCCTCCGCGAAGTCCGCGGGACCCCTCGAGCGCATGAAAGACAGGCCGGGTCTTATGCTCGCCGACGAATCCGCCATGACCGAGGATCCCATCGCCGTCTTCAGGTTCGGGATCAGGCGAGCAGTGCAATCCGCGAGTGGATCCCTCTTCGTCTACGGCGTCATGCAGCGTCCGTGTTCATGATCGGCTTTGGGAAGAAAAAAAAAACAAAACCGCGCTTTTCAACCATGGGCGGACGGCATCGAATGGCGATTGCTCCCCTCCCCCTCTGGGTCGTCGGTCCGGCCGCCGCGACTGCTCCGGCCAGATCCAGCGACGAGACGGCGTCTGCGTGACGCTTGGCGGGGAAGCCGCCATGCGATGCCTTTCGAATTGTCCTGGAAGAGGTGTACCCTGAGAGCAGAGCAGATCAGACATGGTGGCCTGCTTCGCCATGAGGTCGTCACGTCTCAAGATGGGTGCACTGAGTCGTTCGTGGGACAATGGGTCACTGTCGAGTCGACAACGGAGAGAGACAGCGCCAGCGGACACCGGCGTATTCGGATCCTTTTTGGCATTGGTTTGTTTGTGCGTAGACGTGGCGGATTTGGTATGACGTGGTGGCTGGCCAAACGTCGAAGATCGCGCTGTGCAAGTTCGGCCTTTTGTGCCAAGACGAGGCGAGAAGCGATCCCACCGTCGCATCCGGTGATTGACAGTCACATCAGCGCTTCGTGTCCTGTACGTTACGTCTGCCGAGGATGCGACCGACTGTTTAGTGAGTTGAACGTAATTGAGAAGGAGAAGGGAAACGAAGGAGACGACACGAGGCGCAACGACGGCACAAGCGCCGCATGCACCTCATGAACCGAACATCTGGATCAGCTCGAGGAATTAAACTCACTCGCTTTTAGATCGTTCTAAACTCGCAACGAGAAAAAGGTTGTCCTAGTGATTCAGAAGGATGGGAACAAAGGCTAGAGAAGGGATCAACCATTTATTTGGTTCTCTCTCGGATGGCAATCTTGTGAAGCACGAATCTTCTTTCCCAGTTCAATTTACATAGTCTGAACTTAATGCATCCACTACAACAGTAAAGGATGAATAAGTCTGGGAGATGAAAGGTGAATCACGCTGCGACTCTGTTACGGCATGATTGCACGACCTAAAACGCTTCGGTCCGGAGTTTCCATACAGTACGACATTGCCAACGAGTAAATTTATCTTTACATCTTATGCACACACGCAAGCATTATAGAAAGACAGAAACGAAAAAGATGTCTTTACATTTGGCGCCTTTCAATGATGCTATTGTGCTGATATGCCTGCCTTGTGTGATCCGTCCATAACTTTACCAAACCCACAAGTCCTCACTGATCAAGTCCGTTAAATCCAGAACTCATCTCTTATGTCTCGCCGATGTCCTAACTGGAAGGGTTCGTTCCATGTAGTTATGTGCTGTTTAGCACACATGTCTTTCATGAGCGCCTGTTCCTTTCCAATTCATGCTTTATCGCGCCGTGTCTTGAGCGCGTGGTTTCTTCTTCACCTGTGCAAAGTTTTCTTTTCTTCGCAGTCACCTTTGCCGTCTCCAGGATGGCATGTCTTTCATAAGTAAAGCCACAGCTCTAGTCGGATTATCTTTCGCAGATCGTTGAGAGTAGGGATGCTGATGTCTAATCCTTCCAGTCCCACACCTGCTTCAGGAAATGCGACATGTTGACTCTCTTCGTCCGTATTTCCATCATCCACGGGTGCTCGAGCATCCGCCATGGCGTAGCTCGTCGCGCAGGGTCTTTTTCGAGACTATGGATCGGAGAAAAGTTAGCCCAAAAAAAAACTCCACACCAACTGCCGAAAACACTGATAGGTGCAAGCCACGGCGCTATTAATAAAGTAACCCGGGACCGCTTCGAGCCGCGGAACTGGCGAAAGCCTTGGGCCAAAAAACACGACGGATGTCACGGAGATGACTAGAGAAAATACGTACCAGCATTCGATGAAGTACTTGAAGTTGTCGCCCCACTTGACGCCGTTCTCCGGCTCATCTTTCAGCTTTGGGATCGGCTGTCGCACAATATAGGTAAGAAGATCGATAAGTCCAGCACGTGGCTGCATCTCCGTGCCATCAGCGGGGAAGGGAAACCTGTGCTGCGCGACCTCTAACAACGTCACGCCTAGGCTCCACACGTCACTCGTGATGGTATAGCTCTGGCCCGTGATGCGCTCTGGCGCCATGTAGTAGCTCGTGCCGATGAACGTGTTTGCGTCACCTTTTGTGCCGAACTCGCCGCTGACGCCGAAGTCGCAGAGTTTGACCTGACCGTCCCTGCACAGCAGGATGTTGGAGGGTTTGATGTCGCGGTGGATGATGCGGTGCTTGTGCAAGTAGGTGAGACCGTTGAGCACGCCCTCCGCCACCTTGCCCAGCACTTTTTCGCCCGTTCTCCCGCCGAGCTTTTGCACCTCCTTGTACACGCTGTCGAGTGAGCCGCCCTCGCAAAACTCCATGGCAATGCCTATTGTTCCTGAGGAGTCGTCGGCGAAAGCACCGTAGTATCGGCAGATGTGTTCGGAAGCGCAATTCTTGTTGAACGACAGTTCGCGAACAATCTGCTTCTTGACATCGGGATCTGGGTTGGTTGTAATTACCTGTAGAACAAAAAAAAAGGAAAAAATTAGCACATGTGCATACATTGTACGCCGCCAGACACAATGAAAAATATAACATACTTTCAAGGCGAACACCGTCTTGCCGCCCTTCAACACGCATCGCGTGACAGCACCACCAGCACCTTCACCCAAACTACCCAGCTCAATGATCCTGCCTTCCCGACTCGCGGCTTTCCAGCCAGCGTCGTCGAGGTCCTCGACGTCGATGTCTCTGCCAAGATCAATCTTCAGCTGAGCCAGATCAGGCAGTGGTCCCACGCTGTTCTCGCGCTCCATGGCCGTGTCTCCAGGACTTGCTCCGCCCGTGGACGAGCTCACCGCCGAGATAGGATTGATGAACAGCGAAGAAGACGATGCACCGTTCGCTTGCTCGCCCAAGCTGCCAGATCTGGAGTCCACACTGGCTGCTTCCGTACTCGAGCCACTGGCCGATGTAGCAATCTGAAGGGGCGGCAGCTTCTTGGACTGCATCTGTGCGGCACCGGTAGAGCCCATGGGGGTATTCAACCGCAATGCCGGAGGCATCGGTCTTCCCAGCGCGGGGACATCTTGTCCCTCCGATGTGCCGTTCACGACAGGCCGGGCGCTTGGACTGGGCGGTATTGCCAAGCCTAGTGCTGGTTTTCGAGGACCGGTCGCACTGTTGCTACGCGATCCTGGAATAGGCGGCCGAAGTAGAGGAGCGGGGCTTGACATGTCTTCGGACGCGTGGACGTCGAGAGAAAGGTATGAGGCGGAAAGCAACGGCGAAAGACAGGTGGTGATGGCCAGTAGAGGCGGCAGCGGCGAGGGTGAAGTGGAGAGGGGTGGATTTTGACAAGACAGCAGCGCGACGGACTGAGGCAATATTCCTCCTGAGCCCAGAAAATCGAGGACCGGCGCTATGATCGACTTCTCACCAGATCAAGAGCAAAAGTGTAGCCTCTCGGACTTAGAGGCGTACTTCCGTACGCGGATAAGGGACAGATTTGGAGTTTCTTGCTTGGCGGCGGGAGAACGGACTGAAGGTTGAGTATGTCGACGTGAGGCTACTGATCTATGGTTTGTGGTGGACGGGTGGGACTGGACTGCTGCACCTAGCCGCGGTGCAGACGACGTGAACTGTGTCCGGTCCCAGCCTGTTTTTCTCCGTCTGCCTTTCGTTGTAGCTGTGATTGTGAGCCCGGTGGGTGCGAGCGTGTGTATGTACGTGGTCGGGGAGGTTGAAGATCGGTGACCTCGTGCTTGTGGAGGTCAGAGTGCAGCTGTGCGAGTCTGAGGTTCGTGGGTGCCCGCCGAGGGACCAAGCGTGCGTGTCTGGGTGCGGGTATCGCTGGGGTGAGGTCGGAGAGCTTGAGCGACGGGCGAGGCGACGTACTGCCTGCTACAAGGCGACAGTGCGTCCGCAAGGTTGGAAAGAGTATGGCCTCGCAGCTGCAGGGTAGCAATTGTGTCTTCGTACACGATCGAGAGGAAGAAAGGCCCGGACGCTGTTGGCTTCAGAGGCGTCGAATGTTCAGGAGTGGCGGGAGTGTGCCAATGGTCGCAAGGCAAGCATGGGGTCTCGCGAAGTGGTTACTGATGTGCTGGGCCCGCCCGCTGAAACAGCAAAAGCACGGCGCTTAATCTGTTGTTCCCAGCGACCCGGCGAAAGAAAAAAAAATACCAGCCAAATGAAGAGAGAACGCAAAGATGAGCACAGTGAGGGCGTCGTGCAATCAATGAACCGCTTGTCGGTCTGGGCTGACGGACGGGTCGGCAAGAGGGCACAGGATAGCGAGGTGGATCGAAATCAAATAAGAATCAGTCCAGACGACCCAATGACTGCCGGTAGCCGCCTGAGTGACGGATTGCTTGCTTGCCTGCTTGCTTGTCGGTCAGTCAGTCCAGTCCGTCAGTCAGTCTGGCTGGCTGCCTGCTTTGCTCGCCTGTTCGCTACCCTGAGGCTTATTGTGAAGCAGTCCAGCGCTAAGCTGATTCGGTTGACCACACACGAAGCGGTCCCATGCAATGAGAAGATGCAGCAGAAGTCGCCGTAGCAGCAGCAGTAGGAGTAGTGATCGTCTCCGCTGCTGCAGGCATAAGACGGTGGAAAACTACTGGGAGCCTCTTTGTCCCGCGCAGCACTACTCGACCCGCACAGTAGCCAGGGCTCCTCGCTCCAGCCCTCCACCACCACGACGCACACCAGTCAAAAGCCCACTGTACCACGCTGTTCTAGTCGAAGATCGGCCCGTCAACCGCCCGTCGGCACTTTTCGTCGCCATCGCCAATCTTTTGTGCCCCGGCATGCAGGCCAGTCTCTGCCCACGCCTGTCGCTCTCACACAGTCATGGTCCACCGTTCTGCTTGACCGTGCAGCAGGCTCAAAAAGAAAAGAGCGAAAAAAAAATGAAAAGAAAAGAAATCTGGGCACGCTGCAGAGTGCAGACACCGAAAGCGTGAGACCACGGCATATCCATGCTGTTATTATTTGCGGAGAGGCTGAGCGTCGTGGATGTGTTGCAGCATCTCACAATCCCAGGGCCATGGCTACCAGCGACTTCTGGCTCTGCTCAGAGCCGACGGCTCGGACGACGGGAATTCCCACAGTATGGCAAAACGCAGTCCTCGTGCTGAACATGTTCAAGCTATCCTTACACACACGTGCATATTTTTCTTGATGGGATGATGGTCGCACAGTGGCATAGCGATCGAATAAATGCCTTTCGTTTAGCATAGCCAGGCTGGACATAGCGAATCGCGGCATTCCAGCTTGCTGTGGGCGTTCGGACAGAAAATTGTTTCGACAGCCGAAAGGGAACGGGAAACCTGGCGCAGGCTTGCTCCCAATCCACTCTTGCGGCCTTCGCAGGCATAGCCCCCAACCCGCCGACATACCGTCTGCAGTCTCCTTGGCCTGATGGATAGCCTGAACGCAAGTATCCCTTTCATCTCGTCGTTCTTGTCATCTGCCAACGACGAAAGGCGGCTTCTGCGATCGCCCAGGTGCAAAGGGACGAGCTGAATCATGAGCATGTGCAGCTGGTCCAAAACAGACGAAACACTTTTCCTCTAGCGCAACAGATGGACCAACTGCTCGGCAATCTTACACGAGCTTGTGCATAGGGCTGGCTGCTGGCCCTGCGCAATAATGCCCGTCAAAAGACTGGAGTGAAGGACTGCATCTCCACAATGCTTCACCCCCGCGTGTCGACGCATGTGCAAGGCAGTGAACACGCTACCTGACTACTTGCAACCTGACCGCACCAGCAGCAACGTCTACAGCGATCGCTCGGAACGGAACGAGGGGGAAGTCCAGGACTGAACGAGCATACATCGTACAGTGCGGCTCCGTCGCAAGGATACCCAGCATCTCATCACGTCAGTTTCAACCGGTAATCCAAGACCGAAAATGCGTTGGTGGTTGTCGGAGACGTGTCTTCGTGATTGTTCTCGATATCTCATTCCATCTATTGTAACGTACTTGTGTGGACCGGAAAAAAATGCCTCGGATCGATTTGACCGACGCTTTCATATGCAGTGCCAGACCTGTCCGCTCAACATTGGCTGCGCAACGGTACGCTATCTAGCTATCCGCATTTTCTGCTTGGACTATTGTATGCTGGTGACGGCATATTCCTCCATCATCAAATGTCCCAGGGATCTCGCCGACCCTCTACAAAGTTCGTAGGGCTGACGCTAGTCCCCAAACGGTAAATATCCCTGTAAAAAAAAAGTTGATGCTCACCGCATCAGAGAAATTCTCGATGCTACAGCACCCGTACCGGACCGTGCATCAAATCTTACGTCCCTGGCCCGTCATGTCAACGTCAGAGAGTGGTGACTATGAAGAGAGCTCTGTGAGCAGCGTCGAGTCTGGATCAGATGCGAGCGTTAGCGAGATCGATGACTTTCCCAGCGAGCAGCCAAGGAAGAAGAGACGAATAACGCCCCCGACTGAGGGTGCTTCGCAGGAGAATGGTCGAAGTTCCGCCCAAGCGCCTCTAAGCAGAATCAAAACCAAGAAGAGTGGAACCCAGGCCGTTACCGCAACTTCAAAGGAGCTCGCAAGCGGTTCGACGCAAGCCAATGAAGCGATTTCATTCGCGAGTTTGAACGTAAAGCCATGGCTTGTGACGTCCTTGGCCAATATGGCCATCACGAAGCCGACGGGGATTCAGAGAGGCTGTATACCTGAGATCCTAAAGGGGAGGGACTGCATAGGAGGCAGTCGAACGGGCTCCGGTAAAACTGTTGCCTTTGCAGTGCCCATGCTTCAGAAATGGGCGGAAGATCGTGAGTGGATTCTCATTTCTGGGATGGCATAGTACGAATCTAACGATGTGTCCTAGCATTCGGCATTTATGCGGTGGTGCTCACGCCGACGCGAGAGCTGGCGTTACAGATCTTCGAGCAGTTCAAGGCTCTGTCTGCAGCGCAGTCGTTCAAGCCAATCCTCGTCACGGGAGGGGCGGACATGCGCGAGCAAGCTTTGTCTCTTGCCCAGCGCCCACACGTGGTCATTGCAACGCCAGGACGTCTCGCCGAGCATATCAATGTCTCGGGCGAAGACACCATCTGCGGTCTGCGCCGCGTGCGCTTCGTCGTCCTCGACGAGGCGGATCGGCTTCTTGCGTCTGGCCCGGGATCGATGCTTCCAGATGTTGAACAGGTGATGTCCGTCTTGCCTCCTTCCACGGAGAGACAAACGTTGCTCTTTACGGCAACAGTGACACCAGAGGTCCGCGCGCTGAAAGAAATGCCACCTAAACCAGGCAAAGGACCACCGTTTGTCTGTGAGGTAGACACAGAGGACCTTGCTGTCCCAACAACCCTTCAGCAGAGGTACCTTCTCGTGCCTGTCACTCAGCGGGAGCCTTTTCTGCATGTCTTGCTGCTCACCCCGGCCAACGTGGAAAAATCAGTCATCATCTTCTGCAACACAAAAGCGACGGCCACGTTTCTGGAGCACATGCTACGCCTGCTCGAGCACCGCGTGACGAGCCTGCATGCCGGTCTGCCGCAGCCGCTGCGAATCGCGAATCTGGCGCGCTTCCGGGCTCGCGCCGCCAGGATCCTCATCGCGACCGACGTGGCCGCCCGCGGTCTCGACATCCCGGAGGTGGAGCTCGTGATAAACTACGATGTGCCCCGCGACCCGGACGACTACATTCACCGGGTCGGTCGTACCGCGCGTGCGGGTCGGCGCGGCGAAAGCTTGACGTTTGTCGGGCAGAGGGACGTTCAGCTTGTGAAAGGCATCGAAGAACGAGTCGGCAGTAAAATGGTGGCATATGAGGAGGAAGGTGTCAATCTCGAGACGAGGGTTGTGAGAGACGCGCTGAAAATCGTGGGAGAGAAGAAGCGGGAGGCTTTCGTGCAGATTGACGAAGGGAGGACGGTCACAGGCAAGCGGAGGAAGGGCATGGTGAAGCTGAACAAGAGATAGCGATAGATGTTTTGATCGTAGAAGAAACGAGCTTGTTGTTTAACTACGATGTGCCCCTGTCAAGCAGGCGTGGCAATTTTCCTTCCTCCCCGTCAAACCGTCTCTACTATTTGACAGAATCTCATGCTGTAAGAGCTGTAAAAGCTTCGGGCGCGTCGTTTTTTCTCGAGCAGGCCTTTTCTCTCAGCTCGACACTCTCAGCTGGGAATTCTCAGCCTCGTCATGCTCATGCCCTACAGAGTAAAGCATGTCCGCAACGACGAAACAGCACTGTCCTTTAGACGTATTAGGATTCCTCTTTACGAGCATATTAGCTCCCTAGCTAGCGGTTGAAGCAAGAAGACGCTTTTTGCCATTTTATTTTATTTTATTCAGCGAATAGAGTGCGATGAACAAAATGGTCTACAAGTCTTGGTTGTGCCGTCAAAACCAACCTGTTAATACAAAGCGTTGGCCTGCTTTAGCACGTGATCGCCGCTCTGTCATAGCTGCCAGCCTACCTGATAAAGGAAACTTCATGAAAATGTACTCCCTTGGCGTTGAAGATCCTGAGCATGACCGAGCAGTCAAGGAGCTGTGTCGGCGCTCCAGGTTTCTGGTGCACGTCCACAGCCGTAAGGTAGAGTTTTGTGTCCTGTTCGTGACACTACATCAGTCTTGGAGCAAACTGTGCTGTAGCGCTTACAGTAGGCACCTTCAGCTTTCGGGGCCACAGCTTTAAGTTGCTCGTCACTCTGCTTTGCGCTGAATCACGCTGTGCAGTCTGCTTGCGCATAAAGGCGATGTGCCGCCAAGATTCTCTTCCTCGTCTCAGTTGATGGGACCCATCCAATCCATCCCCTATTGACTAGGGTCTTATCCAATCCTTGAAACTTTCGTTGATACTCCTTGACCGGGCTGCGATGATATGACTTCAAGCTTTCAAGAGGTGGTGGGTCGAGTAGGGTTGTACAACTGAAGCAGTGTTTTACGGCCCGGATGTGATAGACAGGCTCTCTTTAACTGGGCCACAGGCACAGAGCCCCATTTGAAATGCCCCAGGATGTCCAGAAATGGTTTTAGTGCTCATCGATCACATATATGCCAATCAAGCGACTCAGTGAACGCTCAAATGTGTTGCTAATGAAGGCTTGTGGGAATGATTCAACAACACCGAAGTAGGATTTCACATTTTAGCTTCATTATAATAATGTAGACCAAAATTTCGGCTAGATAATACAAGTTCAACCAGGCCCTTTTCGTCGGCATCCCGCATTGCATATAGCTTGCACTTTTTATGCTTGAGCTAGAAGGGCAGGTGTCACCTCAAACATATCCGTTTTGAACTCGAGCTCTCGCTTTAGACGCAATCGAGCGGGATCAACATAGAGTTTGATCCCCATACCTCTGCTCCCAAGCCAAAAGACTCTCGCGATGAGGTATATTGTTTCGCTGGAATCGTTCTCAGGCAACATCATGTCCTCCATCATTGTGAACTGACTTTGGCTCACGTAGAACGGCGTTTCGTTCTCGCCTATAGTCGCTTTGACCTCGATGTGATACCTTGGACGCCCACCTCTCCAAAGTCGCACATCTAAGTAACCACGGTCGATAAGCAAGTTAGTGAGAGCGCCTTCCCCATCGTTATAAACAATGTCGGAGCTCTCCGTTCCTGTCCACGGCATCATGTCGGAATAGGAGTCATGTACGCTGATTTTTTGCCGGAGCTTGCTTTGCCAGTTGTCGCGACAGAAGCCCGGTAAACGAAGTCTCATTAGCAGTTCAAAAACCTGTCTTTGATCAGTTCTTCAATGTTTCAACGTCGTCTAACTACTTGACTTACAAAAAGCTCACCGGCCGCACCTATTTTGAAACTTCTCTCTCCCTCAGCCTGGTGTAGGAACCAGACATCATTCAGGTCTTGACGACGTTCGACATAATTCGGGATTACCGAGACTTGATGCTTATTTGGTATGGTATCTAGAGATTGAGCACCTCTGATGACAAAGTCTAGTAAAATCTTGTATTTTTCATTCGCTTCGTCGTGCAGCGGTGATAGATTAAATATCGATAATGCTGAAGTCAAAGATTCGATCTGCTCGCTACTGTGAGCTGTAACTCCTCTTTCAATACGTGGAAGAGCGGACGGCGGAGCAGCCGAACCATAAACAGGCGATAGACTTGGGCTTCTGGGAGTTTGATAGCCAAATTGAAACAACTCGGCGCTTTCGGTCACGCGAGAGCCAAAGACAACCGTTTTAGTCTTCTCAGTCCGACGGATATATCCTTTGGTTGGCGTTGCAATCTTGTTCTCTTTTGGCGCAGAAGCAGAGTCCTCAGACCATTGGCGATCTCTCGCTTCTTGTGTCGTTGTAACATGCCCTTCCGAAACCTGGCAGACTTCTTCTTCGTGCCTTTTGTTGTTGTCCCGCCCCGATAAAACAAGAGAAGGAATACTTTCCTCTCCGAAAACTTTGATCTGGGGAGTCGAAATGCTTCGAGGAGTCTTTATTCGACGGGAAACGTATTTTGAGAGCCTCGAAGGTTCGTGTCCTGTTGGCCGGTGAACATTTGGAAGAGAGATGATCCCGGCATCCACGAGCATGAAATCAACCGTGTCCAGGGTCGGTGCGTCAATGATCTGAGTGAGGAAAGCCGATTCTGAATGCTTCGCGACACCCAAATACGCCAGCAACCCTTGAGGGAAAGCCCGACATTTGCATACGTATCTTTCGCGCTCATTGGCAGGCACATAGAGTATGAGTTTGTTCTCTACACTCTGAATGTGAAACAGAGCCGACTCTCCATATACTGATATCGGTCCACCACTTTGTGATATTGTCACGACCTTTGAAATTCGGTCGCTTCTGAATACCGTAAGCGTTTGTAGCATCGACAACGTTGACTCTGTACGATCTTTTGCTTCTGGACTGTGCAAATGTGCAGCATACCTATAGATATTATTGCGTGATTCCATAGTTTTGGATGGAACCTACCGGCAAATAGCGTACGCCTTTCTCTGCATCTCTCTCGTTAGATCATTGTCTAATCGCAATTCACCGGAAACACGAGTTTTCTCCTCGACTGCCTCGGACATGAAGCGTCTTCCAAGATCTAGTGCGATCAAGAAAGTCCTCAACTGATGCACTTCTTCAAGACTGAAGTCGAGAACGTTGACCTTGCCTTCGAACATGTCACCGTACTCTTTGCGATCGACAATAACGAAGTCTTCGAACGAGGGACGAACCCACTCGAGCCTCTTGTCAACTGTGCGTATTGGTAGACAAAGGGCGTTCCGCAAAGACTCGAGCTGATCGGGTTTCGGATCGAAGGCGCAGATTAGTCGCATTTCATGGAACATCTCTTTTTTGGCTCGTGGTAATAGTGCTTTATCTGCCAACGCTCGCACGTGCATTTCCAAAGTAGGCTCCACAATATTCAATATTTCCACAAACAGATATTCAGATTCCTTGTATTCGGTAGCGATGGAAACTTTTCCTTGTAGCTTAATGTGATCTTCAGCCCAAACACAATCTGTTGGGCTATGCCATGAGTTAACTTGGGGGTGATAAATAAGTCGTTCACTTTGAAAGCGGTTGCTGCTGTCATTAGTGCCAGCTGTTTTAAATTATTGCATTGTAACGTTCATACCGAATTGTCATACAGTCTGCTTGATTGCGATAAGTACTTAGCTCCTTATAGAGATTCGATAGGTCTTCCCGATGAACGCGATTAGCGAAGTCGGCGGTAATCACTCCTCTCTGGAGAGAGAGAACATTGTCGAGAAAATCGTCTAGACCAGCGTTAGGAATGTCAAGAATGTGACAAAAAAGCTCCTGGAGGCCTCGGTATTGCTCAATATCTTTGAGTCTGCATAAATGAACAAACCAGGACGGGGCCTCCCACACGCAGGTATTCTTATGGCTGGTCCACTTTTGCCCAAAGAAACTAGGGATAAACATGAGAGAGTCGCTCGAAAAACAGCGCCTTCCCACGCGATCAGTCTAGAGTCCGGCGAGACAATCTCCTTGATTGGCTTGACTTACTCTATTTCCTTTCTTTGAAATTCTTCACGGCAGGTATTCTGCAGTTCTCGATAGATTTCGGAGACAACGTTAATGTTCGAGATGTTCAGATTTTTCGCATGTTTGAGGACAGCGAGCCAAAAGCTAAATCCATCATCTTTGATCACGCCAAGTTGCTCAAGAAAGTACCATTTTCCTGCAATACTGTCCGTGATGCCTTCAAGCTCTTTTATAAAGCCAAAGTCCTGACGCAACCCAAGTCGATCAACAATGGAGACCAGCTTTGGCACTGGTAGCACCGTCTGCTGAAGGGGTTTTTTGCTCGAAGAATTGAGTATGGGTATGAGGCAGCCTCGAATCGTATCGGACCAGTTTGTCTGAAATTGGGCCCAACAATCTTCCAATATACTCAACAATATCTCTGGCTTTCTATCCAAGATATATTGAAATTCTGGAGATCTGTTCAAAAGGTCGCCTCTCCTCCAGAGTTGGAGCTGTGTTTTAGCACCAAAATGCTCGTACACCCACGTGAGTGCAGATATATTATTGCGTCTAGGCATATCACTTAAGTGGTTAACGTACGAATCATTCAAAATGTGGATCATATTTTTGAGCTCTCCGTCCACTGCAACAGCAAGATGCTTGCATGCTGCGTTTACACCTTCTGCGGCTGGCCTGTAGACCCAGCCGATTGAGGCTTGATCTGACCAAAAGTGGTAATGATTTCTAGAAAACGCCATTATGTAGCGCTGTCCAGGAATGAGCAGATTACGATGCCAGAATAAGAACTTGATGTGAGCCAAGTGATCAATCCACGAAACTTGGGTCGTAGAAGCTTCGTATTTTTGCTTAATCATGGGAAAAACAAGTTCTGGAGGGCATGTTTCGACCCCAAGTTTATGATATAAGCTCTCACGTGTAGGGTTCTCAAGGCATATGGGGTCGATAATGCTGAGTTTCAGATCCTTGGGAAGCTCAATACCACCAGACGTTGGCAGAAAAACGGGGCCTTCATCCATAGCTATCCACGTTGGCACTATAGTTCGGATGAGACGGAAGGTCTTAAGCTGCTGCAAATAACCTGACTGGATTGCGTTGATCAATACGCGAGCCACTCTAATATGCCAGTCGGAAGTTGTGTCATCGGAATGCATTTGAGGTTCTGGTCGTCTAAGATCATACTTTAGTCGATCGACGAATTCCGAAAGTTCGAAATCCTTCGCTCCATAGTGCTTGAGAATGGGGATATCAATGTCTTCTTGATATCGATCAGAACAGTACGCCCACGATCCTCGTTTCTTTGGAGGGCTGGGAAGCAGCGGCTTGGAATTCTCATCGAGATATTTCTCAGAAAGTATTCGTAAATCCGTAGGCTTGAACTGACCCTGCCCCAACGAATCAAAGACCTCCCTGTTCCGCAGTCGCGAGAACAACAACATCTCCAATTTTTTCCAAAAGTCGTCGACTATTCCTTTCGTAGGCAGGTAACGAATCCATTTCCAAGACAGGTCAGTTCCGAGGCCTATGAAGGTGCAAATCGTAGCTTCGAAGAGTGCCGCAGCTTCTTCAAGAAGCCTTTGGTTCCACGGTCGGTCGAACACATCTTCACGACTCGCTTGAGTGATAAAGTCAGATTGGATGAGAAACTACATTTCGTTGTTAGAATTTAAAATCAAAGAACATGAGAGCACCTACGTTGAATCCAACTTTACGAAGGGGTAAGAAAGCGTAGACATGCTGTTGTTGATCAATAAGTGGTGTATCATTCTCATCAACAGGAAAGGCTAACACAACTTCTGCTTGCTTGATCCAGTCTCGTTCGTCCTTTTTGCTGGACTTGGTCCGGAGAATTAGCTTACGTGCATGATCATATGGCATGTTTGGGACGAGTCTTCTAGCCGTGATAAAATGAAAGTCTGTGACAGTCGAGTCGATAGTCCTTGTAATCTTCGAACGACTGCCACTTGTTGATAACGTGTATTTGGTGACAGTAACATGACCAGGCTGCCTTTCTATTTTCACGTCGAGCTTTTTTAGCTTCCGCAAGAAGAGCAGAAGTGTGTCGGGGAGACCCTCGATATCTCTAAACAACTTCTCCCTGTCACAAGTCCGAAGGAGAAACAATGTTATTCGCGTCCGAACACCATATGGTAGGTTCTCGAGATTCTCAGGCCAAGGCGTAACCATTCCGAGTCCATCATCATCACTCCCATGTTCATATTCAAAGGAGAACGAGAATAAGCCGGATTGAACCTGAACCTTCCGGGCTACTTTGAAGACAGATTTAAATCCAATTCCCTTTTCTCCTATGTAGCCTATCTTCACTGATTTTGTGCTCTGTCCAATTGATGAAATCGCTGCGATGTTTTCCTCCGTGAACCCATCCTCGTTTGAGTCTATGACTATCCGGTCGGTATTGACATTGAAAGCTAGGTACGGTTTCTTTCTTTCCGCCATCGCACGGCTGTATTCGTTGTCCTCTGCATTTTGAATGATCTCGTAGACAAAGCGAGTGTCCTTGGTATACAAGTTGGTCGCAAGACTGACATTTATTAGCTTAAAGAAGGCATTGATATCCTCTTCGCTCACGCCTTGGAGGCAGCGCCAAGTTTTCGTCTGACATTATCAAATACTTCTAATATTTCAGGCTCTGTTTTCTCAAGACGTAGCCTCTGCTCTTGTGTGAGTCCTCCATTTTCTTTCCTTATCTTATTAATGAAATTTCGCGCCTCTTGTTCTGTGGACGCAGGCATCTGTACTGGGAGAAGTTATATTGGAGCAAAGACGGCGTTCGATTCGGAAAGCAGAACAAGCGAACTCCAGCACTTGGAAAAAAGTTTGCATCTGTATGATGATATCTGTATCCCGAACAAGGCAAACTTATAACTTGCTCCGTTACTACTTCGATTTGAGCTGAAGTGGTCAGGCAGCGATAAATTGGTTGGTCGAAAAGGCCTCGGCGTCGTTGGGAACCGCTTAGCGCCAGATGAAATCCTTCAGCAGGGGAAGAGCGTTTCAGCCCCAATGATAAACACCAGTTACTTCGATCACTTCACTTGTGAGACGCGGAATGATCCTGCACTTAGATCGTTGGGGCAAGCAGCTGACCTATATAGAGGAAAGTGTAACAGCACGAACCATGATAGGGACTCTGCTCTGGGGAGCAATCTGCAAGTCGTGATTGAGCTAGGCAGGAGGGAAGCAGTATATGGTTAGTGTGCGGTTTGGACAATGCCTATTTACCGCATCTCTGGTTCTTAGCTCGCTACACTGTTGTGACAGAGAACAAGGTCCATGGCGGGAAGATTCTAGGGAGCGATTTCATTTTGCGTTTCATACAAGGTGCGCAACCGTCAGGTCCGTCCGAGTGCATGTGTGACGGACCAAATTTGCGACACTGGGACGAGAACATTGTCGATCACCCACGGGGCACATCAAGTTTCCTTGTCGATTGCAGTAAAAGAAGAATCTGGATTCGGATCACTGATATCTTGACCGCAACGGAGAAGCTCCGCCATTTACAGAGCACCGGCTTCCTTAAGAAGGGCTGGAAGCTGCGACTTCTTCGCCTGCAGATCACTGTTGCCACCAATATGTGCGCGATTGATGAAGATGTTGGGTACAGAGCGCTGGCCGGTCATTTCCTCGAGCGCGTCTTGAATCGCAGCGCCGTCATCTGTTACGACAAACTCCAACGTTAGCTTTCTCGTTCATCCTCCCGCCACACGATTCGGCTTCAGAATTCGCAAAGCGAGCGACATACCGACTTGGTCGAGCTCAATCACATACGGACTGACGCCCAGCTCGCTGAGCGTCTGCTTGGTTGCTCTACAGTACGGGCAGTAGCTCTTCGAGAAGACGGCAACAGGGTTGTTGTCAATGATGCCCTGTGCCTTGGTCTTTGCTGCAGACATGGTGCCGGGGCTGGGAGCGCGATAGAAGAAGCGTGCGAGGAAAGAAATGGTGACGACTAGATCGGGAGCGTCTTGGGCGATTTCTAGTCGCGAGATGTGGGGACGAAGGAAAGGGTTGACAAGAGGAAGGACAACGAGGACTCGGAGTTGTAATCGATAGCTTAAATCGAGTAGAGACTGAACTGGTTTGACAAATGCTTGACGTTCTGGAATGCGCAGTCGCTTATCAGCCCCGGCTAGAGCAGTGAGGAATGGATGGAATCGCTCACCAGTTGGAGGATTTTTACCGCCTTACTTGAAGTTACTAGTAGCGCGATGATGCAATGGGCAAGTGCCACGGGGTGCCTGCCGAGGAAAGACACACGCACTGGCTCGCGCTTTCCGCCTATTGCTGCGCCAGAGGCAACAGCGAAATCCCTGCAGCCGCCGTTCTTGGGGTAGTTGCCACTGCAGCTGCCATCATCTCAAGCTAATCCTCTGACGTCCTAAACTCTAAACTGTTGTCCATTGTTTGTTTCTCGGTCGTACGAGGCTGGACGGTCCTGTTGCCTGATCGCTGATTTGAGATTTCCGAGCATATACGGCTCGTGATATCCCCAATGCTAGCATTAACATAAGGGGCAGGCGTACGTAGAGACAACATCCGCTTCCTCACCCCGCGCACTTGCCGCAGCGGCGAAAAAGAGCAGCATGGCGGCGCCAGTTGGATCCTCCGTCTTCTTTGCCATCGCGCTGCTGGTCATATGCTTGCTGGTCTTGTTGCTCATACGTTACTACCTTCCGCTGCGCTCGACACCGGAATACGTGTTGGTGCCCGTCTTTCTCGCGCTTGTGCTACCATGCAGTATCATTTTGCTAGTGCCTATCGATCTCGCTTCACACGCCGTAACCGAAGATGAGACGGCAAGAGGCATTTGGCTTCCAGATAGGCCAATACGTGTGTCTTGGAGAATCTCGTACTGGCTGACGTTCATACTGACGTGGTACGTTTTGAGAAATCTCCGGTATTTCAGTTGCGCGTACTGATGTGCAAGCAGGATCGCACTGCCGATGCTGGGTGAATACTGTGATTCTGGATACAGAGAACCAAAAGACCGTCTCCTCTATTCGCTACGATCAAATGCCCGCTACCAGCTTACCGTGTTGTCTGTTGGCGTCCTCGGCGCGATATACTTCTTCATCAACGAAGGCTTCCACTTCAATACTTTGAAGGGTCTGGTCATGGCGCTGGCGTATGCATGGGGCTTGATTCTTGCTATATACTTGATGGGCCACGGCATGGTTTCCATTCCAAGACGGCTTTTTCATGACGCCAGCGTGAGCAGGAGATTGCGCAGGCTACAGTCGCACGCACCCAAAATTTGGGAGAAGCTCATGGAGGCGACTGAAGAGCTTCAAGAGCATGAGGCACAAGTGACCCAACTCAAATCAAGAAAGAATGGCACAGCTCGTGATTACAGAGAATGGATAGAGGACCTGGTCGATATGGTGGCCACGCCAGATACGAGAGTCACTGCAGCGACAGCAGCTCTGCCTGCTGCCCGAGCAAACGTGCCAAACGTCATTACCGATCGCTATCTCGCCGATCTCACACGCAAGTTGAAAAGAGCACGGCATAAGAAGTTGCGTTATCTGTCCGAATGGGAACATCTCGTCCACCTGGCTACGCGCACCCAGACTATTCTAGACTCAAACTCGTCACGTAAACTCGACTTCGGTAAGCCCTCAGCATACTCGCCGTTCTACGAAAGGATCACAATCCTCACGCCTTATACACGCTACCTAATGCACACAAAGCTTATACCAGGTCTGTACTACCTCGCTTGTGTAATCACGACGTTGGCATCCATTTGTGTAATCTGGTCTGAAGTTGTTCACCAGATTGGGGCCTCCAAGTTCTCTCTCATCGGGCTCACCACGATACATCACCCTAATTCCTCTCGCGGGGAGATCGGTTTTGCGGGTCAATTCTTGGCTGCGGCGTGGTTATGCTACATGTGTGCATGCGCCTTGTGGTCTATCACCGAAGTTAAGGTGTGGGGCAACCGTGCACTGGTTCGACGCGGTACCTATGAGGAGAGCGCTTGCTGGTATGCAGGCCAAGTAGCCAAGCTCACTGTACCTCTTAGCTACAACTTTGTCACAATGATGCCCAGCAAGATCCATGAAGCGACCGTCTTTTACTCGTTCCTCGGTCAGCTTGTGGATTTGACACCTCTAGGAAAAGGATTCAGCGGGTTTTTCCCCATTCTGGTTCTCCTCCCAGTCCTGGCGAATTTGTTTGGACTCTACAAGAAGGTCAGGGGAATGTTCGGCCTAGATGATTTGATTGACGAAGAAGAGGAAATTGGCGGGTGGCGCGAAGGCCGTAACCTTATCGAGCGCGAAATTAGGGGACATAACGAATCAGTTGGCCTCACTGCGCGCACAGAGGATTCACCATCATTTAATTCGCCTCGAGGGGGAAGTCTTGACTTTCAGCGGCCTTCCTTACGCTCTACAGTTCTTCCTTCACAATCAAGTGAAGGACGAACCTCAACCAGAAGTTCAAGTCCTCGTCCTCCACGACAGCCAAGGCAGGTTGCCTCGTACTCTGATGAGGAAGAGGACGGAAATTTCTTCACAGAATTTGCACACAGAGTGCGGAATACTTTTGAGAGCGCAGACAAGCCTGTGTGGATGATAGAGGGCTTTAAGAGGCCAAAGTGGCTTGGTGGACAAGATCGTGGTGGCAGCGGCAGCAGTGAAGGAATTTCAAGATGGTTTGGTCGGCCGCCGGAGGGAAGAGTGAGACTGTAAGGTTATGTCGATAGACACGTAATTCTTGAGCCTTCAGGACTGGAAGGCCAGTGTTTGTTGTCTAGGTCACATTCTATCTCAGGACGTGCTAGTACGATTGACTTTTGCCTGGCCTTGCGTTTCCTCCGAGCTCGCTCTGACGCGACATTCTTGACCTGTCACCCAACATTTTTCATGCACACCACCAAGACCACACCTATATGATTATTCAGCTTCTTGCGTGCGAGGCTTCCGGTTAGGTTCCTTGCAGGAAAGCTCGACAACGAGTGGCTTGGCGACGCGGGGTCCTCGAACCACGGGCTCTGACTTGCTGCAACGCGACGATGCACCGTTTCCCTTCACCCATGGGTGATGTTCCATTTCGCTACATCTTCCACCAATTACTCAGCATTCCAATTCTTCCGCAGCCGCCGTGGATGAATAATTGATCTGATGAGAATGCCTTTCCTTGGCAGTGACAAGACCGGAGCGACGCGTTGCACGAGGACCTTTGTGGTTCAATCTGGTACGACCCATTGTGCTGTCGATATCAGGCAGCATACCGTTTGCGGCGACCGTCCTGTCCTCGCGGGACAAAGGAATCCTTCCCAGATTTAGGTTCCGTGGTTCATCGACCAGGAATATAGCTTCCATGCTACCCTACCTCAGCACCACCGATCGTAGGCGACATGGACGGTGTCCCTGGCGATCTCGCTAGCAGCTCTCAAGCCTGGTTTAGCTACCATGATCATCGGATCCAACAGATATAATTTTGTGCTCTCGTATTCGAACACCTGCATTTTAATCTTCTTTTGCCATCTTCGTTGCCCTAATGGCGTTATTGGCGGAATTTTTTTATTTGCCCCAGGCGAACGTCTGCATGTACCCCAGAATGGCGGCTCGGGAGTCAATCACAACAGTCCCTGCAAACGATCAAGACGTCTTACCTGCAATGCTCATCATCCTCCATTTTACCTGCAACCTTGCTGTCAGTCAGCAGTAGTGGAAGACGCTTCATCCATTTGGGCAATTGCTCCGTCTCCATTCCCGCCGATCGTTCAAAATTTGCTCGCTGGCCGCTACCCGGAAAGCCTCTCATCTCGCCACCGTGATGTTCGAGAGGCTGGAGGCTTTACTTTGATGCTTATTCTTGCTTGTGATCGCATACGCTCGATTGTTGACCGAAGAGATGCATCCTATCCTCTGCTAGTTTCCAAATAATCTTTATGTTCTTTGCTTTCGCATGAAGACTGTTTATATTCAATCCTTTCGCCTTAACACACCCACTTTCCATACGTACAAGAATCCCCAGATCATTAAATATTTTGCTACGACGTATTCGGAAGAGTTCGAGAAGCTTACGGGTGCGTTCCCCGCATCAATATATGCACGGGGATACAAGGATCAGCATGTTGATGATGGTAAGCGAAGCTGCAGTACCAGGATGATGCAGTTGCTTACAAGCCCACGCCAACACGGGATGACGAAATTACCGCTGAGAGGGACAGACGCGAGATGACAGCTTCGAAGCTGACCTTGAGCTTTCGATGCGTATAAAGAAGCTCCGGAGCTCAACTACGGGGGAAAGGAGAGGTAGGGTTGGGAAATCCGTCGTCCGTTTACTATCATCACAGCTACGAGTGCGGAGTTTTCAATTGACACTCCTGTGCTGATTTCAAGCCATTTGCTTGAGTAATGGATGCTTCACTCAAGCTCATGGCCATTGGCCTTGCAGCTCTGGCGTACGCTGTTCCTCAAGGGTCATCAGTCACTGCCGCGTCCGCGACGACCACTACGCCGAGTTCAACGGACGAATATTCTACTGTGAGCTTCAATTCGTCTGCGGTCACGGCGTACTTGCCCAATGATGACTATTCGAACGAACGCCTGGCCTTCTTGTGGGACCAGGTTGGACCTATTCAGACTGCCGCAGTCACCACTGTGGTGGAACCGACTCCAGAGCCGTCAATTTTCCCTCAGCCGAATTGGGTTCACCCACTTGTTCCATCGTACATGAATGAGCTCGACGATGCGAAGCTTGGCGACGACTTTGTCTGGGGAGTAGCCTCTGCAGGTATGGATGTCGCATGCATGTGAATCATCAGCCCTTTCTAACTTTGGGCAGCTTTTCAAATTGAAGGAGCGGTCAATGCAGACGGAAAAGGTCCTTCAGTCTGGGATCTGATTCCTCATCGCTGGGCCAACTCTATTGCGGACAATACCACCGGAGATGTCACTGCCAACAATTACTATTACTACAAGGTCGACAATGCTCGCATGCAAGCACTAGGAATTCCAGCCTACAGCTTCAGTATTGGTTGGTCTAGAGTCTTCCCCTTTGGCTCGGGACCCGTCAATCAAGCCGGTGTCGAATTCTACGACAATGTTGTGAAGGACTTGGTCTCCCGCAATATCAAGCCATACATCACACTCTTTCATTGGGACACGCCCTTGGCGTTGTTCAACTCATATGGTGCTTGGACGAGTGAAAACATTGTTGCTGACTATGTTCGCTATGCCAAGTATATCATTTCGCGTTATGACCAATATGTCGGCGCGTGGATCACATTCAATGAACCGCAATACTGCAACTGGCGATTCTCTAACTATCCTTTTGGCACCATTCTACCTTCATACAATGGCATTGGCAAGGGCGGAGTGAAAGCACGCTTCTTGTGCGGACACTACACCCTTCTCGCCCATGCCGAGGTCCACAACTGGTACAGGAATGTGTTCAAAGGCACCAAGCCAATGACCATGAAGACTAGCGCGAACTACATCATTGCCAATAGCACGAGCCAAGAAGATCAGCAGGCAGTCGACCGTGTTAACGACTTTAACATGGGATGGTTCGGTCAATGCTGGAGAGACGATGGTGACTATCCCCAGTCTCTCAAGGATACACTCGAGCCTTTTGGTCTCCTCCCGCAGTTCACTCAGGATCAGAAGAACATGCTGAAGGGTTCTTGTGAATACTATGCCATTGATGGGTACACTACATACTATGCGGCTGCTCCACCAAATGGCATTGCAGCATGCACTGCGAACATGAGCGATCCCAACTTCCCCGACTGTGCTGTCACGTCTTCAGCTCAGCCCAGCGGATTCCCCATAGGGCCTAACGCTGATGCTGGTGCCACTTGGCTCTACAGCACGCCTGTTGGTATCCGGAAGTTCCTTAACTTCATCACCAAGGTCTACTTCCCCAACGTGCCCTCCATCCAAGTCACAGAATTCGGCTTTGCCGACCCTGACGAGGGTGGCTTCAACACGCTTCCACAGATTCTATGGGATCTCAGGCGTGCGGACTATGTTCAGAGCTTCCTCGACAACATCCTGGCTGCTAAAGTCATCGACGGTGTCAACGTGACTGGCGTGTTTGGCTGGTCGCTCTACGACAACTTCGAATGGAATAGCGGTATGGGCACGAAATTTGGTCTGCAGTACCTTAACTTGACTAGCTACGAGAGGGTTCCTAAGGCTAGCATGTTCCAATTCCTCAACTGGTTCAAGAAACACGGTGCTAGCGGCGTCACTACCATTGCTAATACCACCATGCCCGTTGGTTACGGTACAAATTCGTAAAAAAAAAAAGCTTATACTAATTCAAGAAGACTTTTGTTCGAGTACTTATATCATTTCCCATTCATACATATTCAGCTTTAGAAGAAATATCAACTTTTCCTGTTTTCGATGTGCGTTTAACTCTCTTTGGCCGTGCATTCCGATTGTGTTAGATGTCAATGAAGACGGGTATGAACAGGTATGTCTAGTAGTCAGGCCAGTAACCGTCAGAGAGATTCCTTGTACAAACTAGAGGGGTCTGAGCCGCCTGTGGCCAGCAACTCGCATCCCGCAAGACGTTCTCGACACGCGACAGTCTGGCCACTACGGGAAGGGCTTTTTCTATGCCTAGGATGAGCTTTTCGGGTATAGGCTCAACTAAACAGGGTCCCAACTCGCAGCACGCGTCAGACGCATAGTCATGCAGGACATCTGCTCCGACTGCGGTAGACAAAAGATAGGTATCGTTCAAGCCGGCGAATGTAGGGCTGTCCTTCACATATGCGAACAAGAGATGTGCCGCGCCATGCGACTTGGCTCACGGCAGGCAAACTCTTCGGCTGTGTGTTTCCTGAAGGCAAAAATGCTCTGCAGATAACATCAGCGGGGAAGTTCAAACATCAAGATAAAAGCTGTGGACGGGCCTCTTACAAACAGAAAATCTGCAGGAGCGATGGAAGAACTCTCCGCCCGAGGCGTACCTGGGACTGGCCATTTCTCGGTTCCCAACCTACTTTGGTGTGTGGAGTACTCTGTGCTTCGTTAATTTTTTTTTTCCTGGCTGTTTCTGACGCGCCGCGACAGCGCCTCTTGGTCCGAACTGTCCGATAGCGAATAGCTCCCTTGTGCGTATATTGGATCGATGTGTACAATCTTCCTTAGCATGCTTTTATGGTGGGAGATGCTGCCACTGTTGACAGCTGCAGATACATTGCCCAAGTCCTAACAAAGATGGCGACGGATCAAATCAAAGTACTAACGTGAAGCGGCGCATGCAAGATGCGTTCAATGAATACGCTCAGGCAGTACACCAGGACTTGGTAGGTCGGGAGGTTGCCAAAGTTGGTGTAAGTACAAGTAGCTTTGGCCTCTCTACTGAGACTCCGAGGGAAAACAACTGCCCATCATGGGTGCAGACAAAGATAGGGAAAGCGGTCGGGTGGTTGCCGTCTGACCCAGTTCCACCGTGCACTACATGGAAACGATTGAGAAGCCGCGTTGGGAAGACTACGACATCACGTATTGCCGTGTACGCAAGGGTCAAAAGTTTACGGTCACGGAGATTAGAAGGCTGACAAGCGGCGTAGAAAAACCCTTTCAACTTCCTAGGCAATGGGTTCTTACAGAGAGAGGCGAGAGGCGAAGACCTGGCATGGTGTAAGTCCCACTGTTGAAGTGAGCAAGGAGCGCAGCTAATCCTCATTGCGTTATGAACAGACGTCGACCATTTGGCGGTGTGATGTGCTCAAGCCAGTTTCGCCAAATCTGTACAGAGACCGACATGCTCAACGGTAACGGCTGGGTATAGGAGTGTTTGAATTGGGAATTCTGGATAGGTTTCCGTAGACCACAGGTAGCCTTTGCTCTGACTGTGACTGTATATACTACCACATTACGCCCACAGGAAAGTTCTGTGTATTGCCTGCCCATGCCTCAGCAGTCCAAGGCAAACAAGGGCCGTTGGAAGACGAAGAGTAATGTGTCTCAACAAACGCCGTCTTTCTGTCGTTACTTCTGGTCTGTGTCACAATTGCAACCTTCCAGTGCCGTCAGTGCTTCTTACCAGCAGGAAAGGAAACGACCAATCGGCGTTTCCTCGCTCGACTCACCGACTGATGCAATTTCCACCCGGTTTGACCGGCCAATCACAGCCAGTCCGCTGTGGGTCCCATCCCGTGACTTTTCTTCGGGATTCCACAGCGTTCCCGAACGGGCATGGCGGCAGGCAAGAGCGCTCGGTCCACCCGCGCTGCCTGCGGGTATAAAAGGACGTCGTCCCTGCGACGTCTTTTCAAAATCATACTTACCTTCACGGAGTCGCCCAAGATCAAGAAGTTGGGGACTTGTTAGCACGTCCTGCATTGCACAGCGTGGTGACGGGCTAGCATGAATTGCCTTCGGGTACTTCACTGTGGTAATTTTTGCTTGCATCCCTTGGGAAATAACCCGCTTTTCATCGATGTTGTGGCTCGTCTGCGGACGGGGCATTGAAGAAGAGTGCTTTCACGGCAAAGTAGCATGTGTCAATACATCGCGACATTGACGTGAAGATATCGGCGTGAGTTGGTCTTGCGGAGGGCTGATGCTCTATTACCCAGTTCTGTTTCTGCCACTTGTCACCTTTTAACGTGAATTCGCGCCGCGAAAGAACCAGCCTGTGATAACCACCCGACTCTTCTATTTCTATGCTGAACGTTTGCAAAGCAACAGGGGTAAAGGATCTTATCCACGGCATCTTGATTTGGAAGTACGACATCTCTCTGTGAACCTTCATGTACTGATCCATCTACCTTGATTTGATCCGGCGAGATCCAAACAGGTGAGACGTATGCAGTACACAAGATGGTTGTGATCATTGTCGCATCTCAGGCTGCTACATAATTGGCCCCACGACTGGAAGGTCTCACGTATAACACTCATCTCGCTGACAGTTCAGTCAGTGCTTCATGCTCCCTCAACTTAGTACCTTCAACAGTTTCATGCGTCTGCTTCCGCAATTTGCCATTTGCTTGGCTACAGAAGAGCTTGTAGCCTCTATTCGTTCAACAGCATGCGCAAAAGAATCCGACTATCATCGATAAGAATACCCGCACTCTATGAGGATGTACGTGCAGGTCGTGGAGTCGGCTTCAGATGATTTGCCATTCGTGACGATGGGTTATTGCTTGGCATGCGTCTGGAATCCTCCTCATGCGACATGCTGCAACTACCGCTGGACTAAATTCACGTCCTGTATTATTGATGAACTCTCATGCCATACTATCCGTCCTATCTTTAAGCAATACCATTCCCCATGTGGCGCTTGCCTTCGAGTGTCCTTGTCGAGAACCCCATGCATACCTCATCCAGGTAATTGGTGTCCATATTGAAAATCACCCCCAGTCTTGTAAGTATTCCTATGACTGAGCTCACGAACTCAAGCCCTCTGGTTTGTGCCTACAATCGCGACCATCGATATCCTTGCTCTGTAAGCAACCACAAGACCAGAACCTGCTACTTATGCATTCCAAAATACCATTCCCTCCATGATCCGCCTCGCCGTCCGTACAACTGAGGCGCTCTCTACTTCCCCTGTCTCGCCCATCTTCGCATCAACTTGTATCTTCCCACTCGGATGTCCAATCGTAATGACGTCTTCTTTCACTGCTCTCATCCCTAAGCACCTCTCTACCACTGATCCTTTCACTTTCGCCGCTGTTGCCGTGCACAGCGCTCCTGTTAAGGGAATGGCCCGATGCGGCAGCGTGTCTGATATGAACCGCACAACCAAGTCCAATTCATGCGCTGGCACCACCTTGCCAGACAAGGTCGTAGATTGCGTCGGAGGGTGCACGATGGCAATTTTGGGGATCACGCGAGGTGGCACGTCGCCCTCATCGCACAGCCCCATCATTACGGCAGCCCTTTCCCTGATCCGCTCCAACATCTGGCGCTTATCCTTCAGCTCCGTAAGTGCCGCAGGCAGGATTGTTGGCTCGATGCCCACGTCAGTCGCGCGCACGAAAACGTTCGGATTCGCAGAGTCCACGCAGCTAACTTCCACGCCATCGATCACATCAACCACATTACCCGTTGGCAGTAGCTTCCCCGTCTTCGAGCCACCAGGCTTCAGGAAGTCGAGCATGACGCCGGTGCCAAGCCCGGAGACGCCGTCAATCTCCGTGTCGCTATCAACGCGAGCCTGGCCGCCCTCAACTCGGAACGTGCTGCATATGATGACGCCCGTGTTCGTGTTGCGGATGCGCACGGTGACGTGCCCATCCCTCAGATACTCTTGATCCTCTAGCCCCAAAAGCCGCTCGTTGAACGCGTACGGCCCAATCGCGCTGCTCATGTTTCCGCAGTTGCCCATGTAGTCCGCTTCGTCGCCCTCGATGCCCATCCCTACAAACGTGTAGTCCACGTGGCATTCAGCCCCCGGCGTTGACTTCACGATGCAGATTTTCGACAGGCTGGACACGCCCGCGCCCATGCCGTTGAGCTGTCGAGCGTGCGGGTCCCGGGATCCCATCGCCTGGAGGAAGAGCTCCTTACGGGTCGCGTCGTCAGCCGGCAGATCTTGGACTTGGAAGATAAGGGCGCGCGAGGTGCCACCGCGATAATAAGCCGCCTTCACTGCATGCTGGACTGTACTTGTAGATACCATTCTTCGGGAGTGTACTGACCACCAGGCTCTTCTTGATCTGTACCCAAAGTGCAAGGCTGTTTGTTTCAGAGCCTTAGAGAACATAGTTCTTATGTATATATATATATATAGTCTATGTATATATATATTTTAATTGAAATTACAGTGTCCAAAAAAATCGAGTCATGGCAATCGCTCTGAGGGTACGTCTACCTGAGAATTTCGTATGAATTAAAATAGGCCTACAGCATTCCGAGAAGTCGTTCAAGACAGGCCATGCAAGACACATAGCTTTTTCTTTGTCGAAAGACGGAGAAGCTCGGCATGAGACTCGGGCATCCGAAAGAGGCAATTTCAAGCTTTGACCATTGATGAGATGTTGGTCGCCTGCCCAACCACCAAAAAAGTTAAGAGAAGAACATTCACGACGTTTTCCTCGCATTCAATCGTACCCATCTCTCAACCTATCAATCAATCCCCCCACAAGTCACCTAATCATGCTCCAAAGGTCACTATTGCGATCATCAAGATCGTTTCGAGCTCAAATACCATCCCAGAGGACGGCCGTCGCATCATCTATCCGCGCAGCGCCATCGCCGTTCATCAGATCGTCGTCGCTGTACCCATCGAGCTCGCGAGTAGCGGCGAGATGGTACTCAGATGCTACATCTTCCAGTCAAGAATCGAAACCTGCAGAGGGCGAAAAAGCGAAGGAAGGTGAGAATGGGAAGAGTGACGAAGCGGGATTGTCCGAAGTGGACAAGTTGAAAAAGGAGATCGAGGCTAAGAACAAGGAGATTTTGAGCCTGAAGGTACGTGCTGTCTCAATTAAACACCGCTGCTAGTGAGAGGACGATGTACTGCTCGACGAGAAATCATTGTGCTGATTGTACTTTTGCCGAACAGGACTCCTACCTTCGCTCCTTGGCGGACTACCGCAACCTGCAGGACCGGACGGCGCGCGACCGGCAGCAGGCGCACGACTTTGCGCTCCAAAAGTTCGCGCGCGACCTTCTCCCTTCCATCGACAACCTGACACACGCGCTCAAGTCCGTGCCGGCCGAGCGCCTGGCCGCTCCAGCGGCGGATGCTTCGCAGATCCACAACGACCTGACGAACCTACACAAGGGCGTCCAGCTGATGGAAACGGTGCTGCTGGACGTGCTCAAGAAGCATGGTCTCACAAAGTACGACCCCGCGGTCGAGGGCGAAAAGTTCGACCCGAACATCCACGACGCCGTGTTTATGGCGCCCCAGCCGGACAAGGAGGACGGAACGGTTTTCCACACGCAGAGTCCGGGCTACATGCTCAACGGCCGCGTGTTGCGGGCTGCGCAGGTGGGCGTGGTGAAGAACTCGTAGAGCGAGCGTTCGCTCATCCCCGTGCTCATCTGTCGACGACGTTCAACGATGGTGTGGACGATTCTTCCCGTGCAAGGCGATGTCAAACCCGGGTTTCTCTTCACTGATTCCGGAAGTCGTAGACGCAAAAAGAGCCCGAGAGGCGACGGAAGAAAGAATCACAACAAAAAAAACCTAAACACAAAAGCGTGAGGCGTTCTGTTTGCAAAAAGGGGGCATCTTCTGGCTCGGCATCTAGACAGCATGTTTCTCGGATGAGACTGGCGGTTTTGGCTCAAAACTTCCTTGGTGTGATCGTACTCTGTGTTATACATAATATTCCCCTCTCTACTCCCTTTTTTGATGGAAAGCGAAAAGGCCAAAATGGTTATGGCGCGTTATGGGCCTCCTGTATAGATACATGTAGCGTAGACCGTGCGTATATGTGGGTGCACATATGTACCGCAGGACCTTCCACAAATCAATTAAGCATCGAAAAGAGACTTCGGAGCTCCGTCGCGAGCCCATGGTATCGTTGGCGCAACCCGAAAAAAAACGATGAATGTCGCATCATCCACGATGACCACAAAATAGAAACAATGAAAACGACATGAGAAGTGAACTCTCCGCTGCTTTCCTGCTTCTTCACTCCTCCCTCCCAACCTCCTTACCTGCACCGTCGAACCGCCGTTTTTCTTTTGTAATCCCCCTCGGAACGAACAGACCTCCCAGGACGCCATCGCCTGAAACCAAGGGACCGTAAAGGAAAAAATATCACAGATAGGAGCACACAAGACGATGTTCGTGAGTCCAGAAGCAGTATCACACACGGCGCCGGATGCGCATGGAAGCGCGCCCTTCACGACTTGGCGGGCGCCTCACTCGACACGGAGGCGGCTTCTGCGGTTGCTGGTGCCGGCGCGGGGGCAGAAATCGAGACGGCGGCGGACACGGGACTCGTGGCGCCCTGACGGTTCGCCGCAGCGTTCAGCCTCTGGTCGAGGGCCTGCAGGGCAAGCGCTCTTCTCCGCTCCGCCTCTTCCCTCCTTCCGCCGCCTCTCCTTGTGTTCATCAGGTTCGGGAGCCCGCCCTCTGCCCTGGCCATGGCGGCCTCGTTTCCGCTCTCTATGTCGTCTGCCGAGAAGGGAGTCAGGATCCTGAGGCCGGTGACGATCCTGTAGACGTGGTCTGCGACGATGGCGACGGGCGTGTGGAGGGGTTCGGGGAAGAAGTACGCGAAGGCGAAGGTATCGCTTGCGTCGCCCTTGATTGTGGTGGAGCCCTCGCCCGTCGCGGTGGTGGACAACAGCTGCGTCTTGCGGTAGAAGCGCAGATAGATCCAGGACGTGAAGAAAGCCAGCCAGGAGAGGAACATGGCTGTTTCGGTGCCCAGCAGTACACCGGATAGCGTGTTGGCGCATAGGTGTACGGCGGGGAAGTGTTTGACGCGCATGCGCAGGAGGCCTTTGAGGATGGAGACGGTGTGCTCGGGCACGAGTTGCTTGAAAGCAACAAGAAAGGCAGCTTGGATGGCTATGCTGCCGGAGATGGTGGCGCTTCTGTTTTTTTTTTTCACGCCGAGGCGTATGTCGTCAGTCTTTTGGACTTGTGGCTTGTCTTTGGGTTGTGATAGCAATGACGGGGAATACGTACAAGGCCTTGTCGCTGCCACTGATCTCGTATAGGAAGATGTAGACTAGGAAGCAGAGCAAGTTGGGCACAACGCCCACGATGAGTATGAACTTTGCGTACTCGGCACTGCTCCATGCTCGCTCCAGGTAGCGGCCGCCGTAAAACAAGGTCAGGCCGGAGACCAGCAAGCCAAAGACATTCTGCTCGACGAACGAAGCGGTTACGAAAGTCCAGGGGTATTTCCACGACCGGCGAGGTACGATGGATATATAGGGGGAGCCATTGCCTTTGCGCGTGAAAGGGCCGAGGGCGGTGTATTCGGGCTGGATTATTGCGTTGAGCAGCGTGAAGGCGATGAGAGTGATGAGGAGGGAGCGCGTGAGCGGCGGAAGGTTCACGCGCGCCATGGCGAAGGCGGCGGTGGGAGCAGGAGATGTGAAGATAGTATCGACCAAGAGCAGAGAGAGTTTTAGAGAGCGAGGCAGACGAGAATCGGTGTCCTTAAGTGTTTCGAAAAGAGAGAGACAATGTACAAACGTGGGGAGAGAAAGGAGAGGACGATCCCTCTGCACCCAGGAGGGCTCTTCGGAAGGACTGGAGATGAATATATGTATACAAATCTGAATTTTAGAGTGTATTTTGCGCTCTGGCGGAATAGGGTTCGCGGGAAGAAATATATCTGTTGGTTGCAATATTGGGAACAAGCAGATTTGACCAGATCGGATCAGCTCTCAGCTCCTTGTGGCCAGCGATGCAGGGGCGGCAGGGTTTGGCGGGCTTTGGTGAGTGGGCCACTCGGCAAAGGATGGGCAGTGCAGAGGGTCTGGTCAGGACGGCAAGGCCCTATTTTAGGGGGGGGGGGGGGGGGGGGGGGAGGCGCCGGTGGGAGGGAGAATTGCTGGCTAACCGTAGTGAAGGTTAATGGCCACTAATAAGAGTCCTGAGGCGGGATGAGTTCACCAGCGAAGCTCGAGGGGGGGCCCCAGCCGGGTGCCGCTGTTGATTGCAGGCCCGCCCAGCAGTAGTGGGCTAGCTTCCGCCCCTGCCAACAAACCACCCCCGTCTTCTGGTTGCTACACTGCTGCTGTGTGACAGCCACGGCGCCCTTTTTGGGACCGTTGCTTAGTTAACTCGACTAGGCCCAAGGCCATCTTCCTTCCACCAAAACCCAGTTCTTGCTCCCATCCTCCTCCGTTGACCACTCTTATCGTCGCTGTCGCCCGCGTACCTGCGCGGATCGCAGAAACAGTCGCCGGCACTGATCTGTCCTACGCAACGAAGTCGTCCCGATCACCCCAGAGAAGCCTGCGTCGAGCGCACTCCCAAGCGAGATCCGGTTCCAGGCCGTGAGTTCGCATTCGGAAGTTTCCTTTTGAGCCTCCACACCCTCGACGTCGGCGATTGAGCACGCTTCCACGCAACACCTACAGCATCCCAACCACGACGTCTAGTTTGGCGCATTGCACAAAGTGCGCGTGTGCGCTATTGGGACGACGTAATGATGGCCGCCGACAGGCCGATCGATCCAGGTGAAGTCGAGAAGTTGTCGTCCAATGTCATGAACTACCTTGTATGGCGCTACTTGCAGGAAGCCGGCTACGGAAAGACAGCCAAACAGCTGCAGTACCAGTGGATGGGCCGCGATGAGAGCCCCGAGCAGTTGCCGTTTGCTCGGAACATCCAGAAGTCGTGTCTGATACACCTGGCCCAAGACGGCCTGCTATTGGATCATTTGCAGGCTGAGGTGAAAAAGGTCCGCCCTTTTACTCTTGTCAATTTTACTCACTCTATTCTCCTCTTTTTGCCTCTATTTACGTTTTTCCCGGCATTCTACGCAGGTAGAAAAAAGACGTGAGATGCTGACGCGCATCGCAGATCAATCGCCAGTACGTTTTTGGTCCCGATCATGGACGCAAGTTTTCGACACCGGCGGATGAGCCGCGCGAGAAGAAGATTCGAAAGCGATCGACGTCGCGCATACCAAGCATCCAAGACCGTGAGATGCAGAATGGAAGCCCCGCTGATCCACCGCAGCGACGAGCAAAGGGCAAGCGCAAGAGTGGTGGCGTAGACAAGCGACTTAATGGCGATGCGATGGACATTGACGGCGGAGGTACGGCAGCCACGGCGACAGACGCTACTGGTGGTGATGTCGAGTCACCTCTCCCTGTCATCGATGAGATGCCGCCGATCTCGACGCTGGAGATTGGCGAGAGCAAGGGTACGATTACGGAGAAACCACGCGATCTGACGGCCAACACGTCGTTCGTAGGACTAGACGAAGGGCTGGTCCTTGAGCAGGTGGCATGGTCACCACACAATCGCAACGCTCTCGTGACGGCAGGCAAGAACCACATGCGAGTGTTCAAAGTCAGCGCAAACGACACGACAGATGGCAACACGACACACACGAGGTGTACCAGAGTTGACATCGACGCAGATGACTACGAGGTGCAGGCCTTCACGTGGACGGAGCGCGGATCAGGCGCGTTCACGATGCTGGAGAAGATTAAGAACGAGAATGGCGACGAGATGCAAACGTATAAAATGCTGGGCTTTGCCGAATTTGGACAGAAAGTCAGCCTGGTCGACTCGGCTGCTGGCTGGGTGCTCAGTCTGAAGTACAACCACGATGCACAGGTACTGCTTTCCTTGTCGTTTGGCGAGCAATCGCACATCAAGCTATGGAACTATGACGAGATCGTGTACGAGAATTCGAAGCGCAGAGTCGAGCCCAAGTACGCGCTTCGATGCGCACGAACCATGGACACGATGCTACTTGCCGTTGAGTGGACGGCCGAGAACCGATTCATCGTAGCGGGGAAGAAGACGTTGCAGCTTTACGAGGTCGGTGAAGAGGACATGAGGCTGCTTGGGAGCGTGTCCACGGACTTGGACTGGGCTCGCCTCGAATACGACCCCGTTCACGAGATTGCGGCCGTGTTGGACGCCAGCCAGCAAACGCTAGGGTTTGTCACGTCCACCAGCAAAGAGGATGGTGGTGTAGAGCTTACGCTACACACACATTCCCTGGATTTCAAGCTTAATGACATCGCTTTTCAACCTCTGGACGCTAAGTCTGGTGCGAACGAGTCATCATCAGTGGCTTCCCGGCACCGGATCATGGCTGCGGCCTCGGACGAGGGTCAGGTCTATTTGTTTGATGCGCTCGCCCGACCCGTTGGCCGACCGCTACAGACGCTGCAGATGGGCCACGATGCGGTAGCGCAGGTTCTATCCTTCTCACCTGACGGCTTCCTTCTCGCGGCGGCTGGATATGACACGCTCAACGTGTGGAAGACGCAATCTGGCGGCGGAGCGCCCGCAGGTGTGTGGCGAATGCCCGAGGGCACAGATCCGCGATGGAAGAGTTCGGAGGAAGAGGGCGAGGAGGAGAAGTTTGTGCACAAGCTTGGCTGGGACGCGGACGGAAAGCGGGTTGCGTTTGGCATGAACGGTCAGGTAGCCGTCATCAGGCTGTAGGGCGGCATTGTCCATCTGCATGGTGCTGGACACGAATACTTTTTTTCTTTACTCTTCCAGCCACGCAAGGCGCGAAGCGAAAGCATGTGATGGAGCAGTGCGAGGGTGTAGGACAGCGTCAAGGAGTTTGGGAATGGCGGTCAAGCGTACTATGCGTGTGCTGTTCAACGTATTCGCCGAGCGCGTGTCTCAGCATCAGAAGTTCTCGTAAGCACAATGCTGTAAGCAGCTAATGTTACATGTTGTATATGAACGTTGTAGGCGACAGGATCCTCACCTCCACAAGCCCGTCAATTGCGTCTGGCCAGGCCGTTGCAGGTCCCGTCTCGGGCTGCATAGTTGTCGCTGATGATCCACTGTTTGTCTTGATCCTACCGCTCCACCTCTCTTTACGCCAAAGCAACGCACAGCACTGTCTCGAATTTTTCCTTCCCCTCTGTTTCGAACGCAACCGCGATGGTCTCGGACATGCTCATCGTCTCGAGCAAGCTCACAGGCTGGACCCGTACTCTTTGATTGGCCCACACACATTGGCAGCCTCACCCCCTGCCTGCTCAACCGCGCTGTGCCTGAGAAGCGAAGGGCGGTGGCTCGCAGGGTGGGACAACGATTGGGAGGTGGGCGCCTCTCTCTTTTCTTTTTGCTCACGCGGTGGTTGCAAGCCCAGACGACAGGAGCACAGCGGCAGCAGACGAGTCCATACCAGATTCGAAGGAGACTCGTGCGTGTGCGTCTCGCAGCGGCTCCGCTTTTTCTTCCTTTCCCGCCCTAAGAGACCAGGAACCAAAACACATCAAAGCGTCTGCACGGACCCGGACCTGCATCCCCATACACAGAACATACAGGTCCGCATTCACTTGAACGCAGACTCTCCGCGACCTTCAACAACTGCCACCACCATCTCTATCTCTATCGCTGCCTCCGCTTTTGCCGCCGCTGCCGCTGCCGCTGCATCATCTCTGTCGTTTGCCGCGCGACGGCTGTCGTTGTTGCTGCTGTCCCTCTTTGTCCTCCGCTCTATCCACTTCCTGTCGCTCGTTTCCTCCTATTAACTTTTGCCTTTTTTGACAAACTCCCCCCCGTCGCCGTTCGTCCTGGTCTCTTCGCTCGTTGTGTACTACATCCTCCTCGTTTTCGCTTCCCTTTGTAACGCGAACCGGCGCACCGATCGGCGTGTCACCCGTTAAGAAATTCGCTCTCGTACACACATACATTCACGTCAAGGGGGCCAGGCACATTCACACAGGCCTCGATCTTTTTATTTTCTTTGGGTTTATTCTTCTCCGGCCGCATCGCCGTTCACAAGCGAGCTTTTTTGTTCCAATCGAACCAGCCGTCGTCGAAATTGCGAGCGGAAGGCACGTCCGGCCATTTATGCAATGCGCCTCTAGGAATTGCCTGCGCGAAGATCATGACCATCCTGCACCCTCCCGGAGCACACCTTATAGATCATACCCCCGCGCGCTCGCCTCGTCGTCAGCTTAGCGCATGATTTTTAACAGCAGTGCTAGCGGGAGACGGCATTGTTCCTACTATATACCAGCATGGCTATCAACACTCCGTCAAGCGCTCGTATGAGCGCTGGCCCATGGTCCAGGCTTACCCCCACGAACTCGACCAACAATTCGCCCTTTGGCCGGGCGACACCCTCGTCTACGTCTCGGCCTGGAGCCTCCAGCAAGTCGGCCAAGAATGACACGGGATTGTCGCTGAGACACGTTATTGGCACCACTGCGTGCGCTGCAAACTCAATTGACACTCTTCCCGCAAGCAACGCGCTCGCGTTCACCGCGGGAGCCGCCGCTGTCCTTGCCTCCTTCGACGACAACCTCGCCTTCACCCAGCGCTTCTACAGAGCGCGGCCCACCGCCGTGCCGTTGAATCCAAGCCCTAGCATCTACGAACCCAGCACACCGACGGCTCTCGGCGGATCCTCTGACCTGAGGCGGAGGACGGCCGTGTTCGCGAGGGACATGAGCACCCCCAATTCCCCCGTCACCCCGTCCGCGTTGGAATTTGGCGAGAGCCCTGGCGGCGGGGGCAAGACGTGGGCCGCGAAGGAGAGAGTAAAGTCGGCGACATGCGTCTCTTTCAGCCCCGACGGCAAGTATCTAGCCATTGGCGAGGTGAGTCGTATTTTCTATGTGCAAATGTGATATCCGTATGTGTTGGCAGACGAAGAGCGCAATGGCTAACTTGGGAGTGCACAATAGACAGGTTACAAGCCGCGAGTGCTCATCTTTTCGACCTCCAGGGAGGCCTCGCCATATATCCCACTCACGTCGCTGAATGACCACACCTTTGGCGTCAAGTGCGTCGCCTTCAGCCCCAACTCGCAGTACCTCGCCTCACTGGGTACTGCCAACGACGGGTTCCTGTATATATGGAACATCAACAACCGCAACGGCTCCGCCACGCTGTACGCAAGTAACAAATGTACTAGCAATATCTATGGCATTTGCTGGATGGGTATGAACCTGGTTACGTTTGGCACGCGGCACGTCAAGTTGTGGAGGCTGGAAGGCAGCACGCCGAGCACGCCCGTGAAGCTCTTAGCAAGCTTTTTGAGCAGCGGGCACACTCCTCGAGCAAAGGGCGAGCATCGTATTTTGGCTGGAAGGAATTGCCTATTGGGGCCCCTTCTCGAGGGCGTCTTCACATGTGCAGTGGCGCTCAGCCGAAATCGCGCTCTGGTCTGCTCTGAACTTGGTGACTTGTGTCTGCTTGATGACAGCGAGGGCCGGCAAAGCTTCGTCAAGATTGGCGACGCTGGTTTCTGCGTTACGGCCGCCTCGCTCGTGTCCAGTAATCAGGTCCAGCTGGCGGGCAAGGCCGGCGTCTTGAGAACAATCGAGGTCGACAAACTCTTGAAGAAGGCGTATAAGCGTTCGGCGAGCCGGCAATCGAGCATCGATGAGAACATGTACGGCGACAGCGGCCCGTTTATAGTCGCTCTCGCGCCCTTTGGCAAGTACAGCGTATCCGTCGACACGAACCGCTTCATACGGCTCATCAAACCCCTACCACCGGACAAACCTGAAAGTGCGCCCGAAGTCGCGCTCCAGCTACCTGCCCATGGCGGACCTGTTCTCGGCGTGCGTCCGTGCAAGACTTCGCGTGCGCTCGACGCCACCTTCTTCACATGGTCAGCTGAAGGCACAATCCTATTCTGGAACTCTGATGGCGTGCTGAAGAAATCGATCAGCGTAGAGATCGAGCAGCCCGAAAGCCAGGACGAAACGATCAACGAGCTCAGAGTCGTGCGTCTTTGCGGCTCTAAGCATCTTGTCACTGGCGACAAGTGCGGCGTGTTGAGGCTCTTGGACCTGGTTGACGGCAAATGCCTGTCCAGTCTCCGAGCACACGCCGGCGAGATCACGGACATCGCAATTTACGAGGGCAGCGAGACGTTGGTCGCATCTGCCGGGAGGGATAGGACCGTGCAAGTATTCGAAATCAAGGCCGGGAGCTGCGAGCTGCTGCAAACCCTGGATGAGCATGTTGGCGCTGTCACAGGCATAGTCTTCACGCCCAACGGCAAGCATTTGCTGTCATGCTCGTCAGACCGAACGGTCGTGGTGCGCGAGGCGCTCATGCGGGAGGAAAATGGGCAGTCGGTGACAGCGTTTATCATTTTGAGGACGGTTACCCTCAAGGCAACGCCTGTTTCTATGACGATCCCGCATGACCGTGACGACATCCTTTGGATCTCGGCAGTGGACCGCAATGTGCACAGATACAATCTGCGCAATGGTCATCTAAGTGACAGCTTCAAGGTGACCGACAACGAAGGCAGCGACGCGGTGGTGCTGTCGTCTCTGGCATGCGTGCCAACCTATAACAGCCAGAACATGTCTATGATTGCCGGTGTGTCTTCGACGGATAAGTCGATTCGTGTCTACGACGAGAACGGCCTGCTTCTCGGGCGCGATTGGGGTCATACGGAAGGCGTGACGGATCTGGCTCTCATAAATACCAATGATGAGAAGGATGACACGCCTGGTCCCGCAAGCCTAGTAACTGTAGCTGCAGACGGCACAGTGTTCATATGGGCCTTCGGTTCACGAAACACACATAAGCGCGATCTGTCGCAATCCATGGAGCTCATGGGACTCAATACACCGAACAAAGACCTTCTGGTCAACAAACCACCGCTGCGCAGGGTGCTGTCGCAGACAGAGATGGCACGCTTCCAAGAGCGGTCGACGGATGACGACACGGTCATTACACCCATAATAAAGAAGACTCCTGCCGTGCCCACACTTGCGAAACGCAGTTCTTCACGGTTCTCATTAGCGCAGACGCCGAGATTGGATCCGCCCATCCCGACGTTCGATGCCTCTGGAAGACGGAGAGGAACGAAGGGCAACTCGCCTTCACCGCCAACGAGCCCCAAGTCGCAGCGGACCGTGACGCGGAAAGCTTCAAACTCTACCATATCGTCCTCAGCGCGGGCTCGCACTAGAAGCACGGGTGGGTACGGGCCCCCTGATAGCACAACTAGTGCGCTTGCGACTTCGACCGACAACATCTGCCGCAATCTGCGATCATACCGCAAAAAGTTGGCCACCAGCTCCGACGACCTCAGCGCCGACACATTGAAGAGCCTCGAGCGCGAACTCGGTTTGACAGCGCGTGCTGTCGGTGAGAAAGCGATGAAAGCACGCGGGGTTGCCGAGGAGACCGTCATGGTCAAGCTACTCTCCCAGTACTCTGAACGACTGCTGGAGATGTTAGATGAGAAGTTCGCCGCCACCCTGGCAAGGCAGGTCAGCACAGGAAACAACGGGGGAACTCTGACGCCGCCTGACAGCGGGGGTTGCGGTGAAGATGCGATGACTCTTGTCAATGATGAGAGGCATCCCAGCATACAGGAAGAGGTCTAAAAGAACCTTAATTCTATTTGACAGAGGGCCATCACTGCCACAGAAGTGAGCCTGAGGTCGTCGAACACTATTGTTTTACACAAAGGATACCCGCACGTCTCTGTTTATACTCGATCGGAGGACGCAACGGCGTTTTAATATTTAATGGTAAAAGAGGTTGCAAGCAATTGCATCACTCTACACACGCACTCACAACCACCTACACCTGCCCGGAATTTTGGAGCTTGTCTTGGTTTGGATTTCGTCGGCGGATACTCCCTTTGTTTTCTTTTTCTTATTATTACTACTAAGATTCACAAGATACCCGATGTTTTTTTTTTTCATCTCTCGAGGGCAAAGAGAGGAGAGAGGGCAAGACTATGCCTTCTGATTACGCTTGGGGCACAAAATGGACGGTTGAACGGCGTCATGGCGTATTTCTCGTTTGTGAGCAATTTTTTTTCTTACGGGAAGAAAGGAGAGGCAACCGCTGAGACTCACGGGAGAACAGAGTTCTTATAGAAAAAGACATGCCAGATGGCAGTGATGCTGGTAAATGCTCAAAATGGAATTTATTCCTGCTTCTGTCTGGCCTCTTGCTGCGTATTCTTCCAAGTTTCTTTTTGCAAAGATCGTTCAGATTCCGCTTCTTTCGTTTCGTTTCGTCACGCTTTAGGGCTATCAAAAAGAGAAAAAAAAAATCGAGGCCCATTGGCCGGCTAGGCGCGTGATATCAAAAACGTCTTGAGGGAGAAAATGCAGTATTAGGAAAAAACAAGAAACAAAACGATAAAGGCCAGAGACAAAAGCCCCCATTTGTGTGTTTGCTTGCTCGCTCGCTACCAGATGAGAGCGACTCCGCTGCTTCCACGAAGGATGCCACCCACTCCGTGCGGCCCAGTCCTTGCTGCCTTCGCTGCTGCGGAGAACCAGAATCGCTCGGGTAAGAAAGAAGGAGAAGGAGAAGGAGAAAAAAAAAGGGGGGGGGAAGGGGTGGAACAGGTTTGGGGACTTCCGGCAGCGTCGTCGAGATGGGACGAGAAGACGGGCCGGGAGTTGGCGAAAGTGGCCTGGGACTACAGCAGGCGGAGAGCTATGGCGCCCACGCCGGCGGCCAGCGCGGCGCGCGCAGGCGCGGCAGTGACGAGGACTGCGTCGCCGCTCGACGAGGAGGAGGAGGAGGTGGACGAGTCGGAGGAGGTTGAGGGGGCGGAGGCGGCGATGGTGAACCCGCTGCCTGTGACGGTAGCGCCGGAGGCGGCGACGGTGCCGCCGACGGAGTTTGTGCCCGGGGTGCCGAGGCAGCCGGTGAGGATGCCGATGCCGCCGCAGAGGACGCCGTTGCTGAGGATGGCGGTCGCGCCGAACAGCGACACGGTCAGCTGGCGCTTGTCCGCGTGGCCGGCGCGCCGCCGCATCAGCGCGACCTCGGCGTCGGCCAGCTGGGCGGGCGGTGTCGGCGCCGGCGCCGCGGCGGGCTCGGCGTGCGCTGCCGGGCCGGGACGGGGGTTTGGCGAGGCTAGAACGAGGGAGGCCGGCAGGAAGAGGACGAGCGCGGCCGAGAGACGCATCTTTGTGTAAAAAATGTCCTTCTTGGCCTGTTGTTCGCCCTTAACTCTTTTTTTTTTCTTTTCTTCGTTACTGCTCCGCGCAGCAGCGAGTTAGGTCGACGTTTGATCGGTTCGCAGAAAGGTCAGGTCGACTTGATGTTCGATCAGCTCTTGGGAGCGAAACTTTGTTGACCGCGAATATTTTTTTTTTTTTTTTCCTTTTCTGTTTCTCAGGGAGCAACGTTCGGCCAGCGGTCGAGAGCGTGGTGGACAGATGATGATGATGATGAGCACGCGAGTCCTGGATTGTGTTCCCGGCCAGCACAGGCTGGGCAGCTTCAAACAGATATAAGCCAGCGAGCTTTGCTTCATCTACCCGGCAGCAGATCAGTGGCCTGGCCGCTCTCTTCTACCACCGGCGTCATATCCCGCGAGCGCATTGTGTGTGTCTCTGCGTGTGACGGCACGAACGCTCGCGAACCAAGGCAGAGAGCATGACTTGTACCTGGAGAAGATCGCGGTCGCTGGCGCAGAGTGCAGAGTCCCCATAGGACAGACCCGCTGCGAGCGTCGGTTCTGTCTTGAGAGGCTTTGCCATCTTTGTGCACGTAACCGAGATTCAGAGGACAATCGGTCTGTGTTTACCATGTGATTTGGCGGGTGTCAGCACGGGGGTTGAGGACCCAACCCAAGAAAGGACCGCGGTCGACTCGTGCGCTTTGACACGAGGAGCGAGCGATCTACAAACGACCATGCTCGCTTCTCTTCTTTAGAAAGGCCAAATTTCATTCGTGCGAACGCTTTCTGCCTGGGGTTCTGCCTTGGCACCGCCGTAGCAGCGTCTCCCGACAAAACCTACCGGCTGACGACGAGGCTCGCGATCACAGGTTCGCTGCCGGACCTTGCTGCCGTGCGATCGCATGATCTCACCCGTTGGATATAAGGCTGAATCCAAAAACATGTCCAGACCGAGTGCATGTGCCAAGGAGCCGTGTTTCGACGTAAAGCACGATGCGTTTCAGATCTAGAACGCACGCGCCAGCTTCCCGTGCTGGTAGACATCGTGTGAAGGACGTGTGGAGCGTGAAGTTTGTCGACGCACCGATCGGACAAGGCCCCGAGACGAAAAAGACAAATTAAAGACTGGCTGTCGTTAATGCGAGGATGCTCCTTGAGTGAGCTGCGTTGTATGATGACGTCATTGTTTTTGGTCGGGTCACACCTCGGAGCCCTTTCTTCATGCTGCCGTAGCTTGGAAAGAGGAGGGGGGGGGGGGGGCAAGCCAAAAAGCAGTACCAGTTGGAGAACTACTCACATACACACACGCGGAGGACGGCATTCATGTATAGTCGAGCCTAAGGCCCATGTCGGACGCTCCGCTTTGGCGTGCATAGACATGGAAGAGCCGCCCCGATCTTGGCTTCGTGCACCACAACGCGCGGAGCAAAAGTTACAACGCCAAGCTCGAGCTGGCTCGGGTGGAAACCGATCTCACTGTTCACGAGGGGAGCGACTGGAGCGAGACGAACGGGGTTTTTTTTTTTAAAAAAAAAAAAATTCGAGGCGTTCTCGATGTCTGTCGTGCGTCGCCTCGCCTGGCCTCAGCTCGCGCGCGTGTTTCGGCCTTACACCCTTCGCAAACTCTCAGGTCGGACTCGAAAAGCTTATGTTCGCGTGCGTTTGTGTCAAGTAAATCCCCGCATGCACACGTAATGCACGGCGAGGGCTCCCGGGAAGCGGGGCGATGGGAAGAAGGAATACCCACCCGACCTGTAAGGCGAATGACCACTTGTATGTGTGAAACAGAGCTGCGGAAACGCACCAGTCGGTGCGCAAGACCACTCCATCTTATGTCTCACTCGCGCGTCTAAGGCCCACGCCTTGGGTGGACTTTGGCATGAGCACCTTCGAGAACGAGCGCGGATATCCGGGTTCCATGTCGAGACGGCCCAGGCAGTAAAAAAAAAAAAGTAACACAAGGCCAGGCCAGCAGCTTGGCATGTCGTCGAGATCCCACTTGCCTTACGCCTTCGTCCCCGAGATCGACCTCTTGCTTTTTCTTTTTCTTTTCTCCCCTAGTCAGGAGCATCGCATCTGCCACATCTGTAAGGGACAGCTCACCTACTGGCTTCTTTTCAATGTGGTCCCCAGCTTGAACGCCTTTTTGGGCTCGAACATATTTGCAGCCCTGTCGTGAAGTCAGACGGGCTAGCGGCGCGTCGACACAGGCAGAACTCGTGCGAACGGGCGCGCAGCCCAACGCCCGTGTTGTCTTGCTGTGGAGAAAGTGAGATTCGACCGTCGCTTCGGATCGCTCGATCCGATCGTGCGTAGGTGGAGTCGACGTACGTAACTCCACCGCGCGAGTCCAATCGGGGAATGGAGCCACATTGCGCTCCTCATCATACGAGAAGAGCAAGGAACAAGGCTGAGCCTAGAGGCAGAAAGACGTAATCGCGATGTGGAGTCTGAAGGAACCGCTCGATGGACTTGTTTGTTTGTTCGTTTGCATATTTGTTTTACAAACTGTGATTAAATATACGTCGTTTCAACTATCGAAGGGAGAGAGAAATACAGGAAAAAGTAACACTCAGCAGGAGCCAATTATGAACTTAGAATTACAACACCGTGTTTGTGAGTGCGGATGGATGCAGAGAGCATCCTCTGAAGCCTGAAAGCGTAGATGTTATCTCCAGCTCAAACTGGCAGTAAACTGAGCGCGAGAACGATGTCCTGCACCGTCCCCGCCTAGAAGAGTAAAGAAGCAACTGAGGCAAATCATAATCTTCGTATGTACGTGCTAAGAAAGGATTTTTTTTAAAAAAAGATAAGGTCGTTATGCCAGACTGTGCATTTCCCATCCCTCAAGCCTGTAAAGCTCGCGGAACAGGAAAGTTCAAAACAAGATGAGAGAGGTCGCGCTTCTCGGGGTATATCAGTCAGGACCAAAAAGAAAAACAAGGCCAAATTTTCTCCTTAAAAACGAACTCTCCGTGTTCCAATGCGCAGACTGTGTATTCCTTCCAGACTTTGCGAACAAGTGTTACTGTATGAAATGACAAGATAGAAGAATCAAAAAAAAAGCGCGGCTGCTAGTTGCTTGATTCAGCCTAGGGCAGGGACCTGCCAGCTTGGAGTCCGCGACAGACTTTTCATCTCGCCATATGGCGACTGAGCCTGTTGGTGCAGGTTGTATGGTGGATGATTTGACGCCGACGAGCTTGGTTGACTCCTTGACAGAAAGTTTGAGCTCGGTGTCCTCAAGTGCTGGCCATACGGGGACATGTCGTTCGAAAGTCTGGTGCCAGCAGCTTCTGATACGCTGTCAAAGCCTGCAAAGTAGGAGAATGCCTCTGAACTAGTCACGGAGTCTGTCCGCTCGAGATTAGCCATACCGATGGTAGGAGAGTCCATCAGGAAAGTAGAGCCGTTTCCATTGTTGCTTGAAGTGCGTGACAAGGAGAGCGACGCAGCCCATTGCGCCGTCTGCGCAACCCTGGGGGTGATCTCGGCAAAGAAGGAGTCGGGCGTCATGAGGTTGCTATGTTCGTCTGACGGGGTCAGAGGCTCAGACGGGGTGGAGGGAGACGATGGCTGAGCGACGCTGCTGGCGCGAGTAGAGCTCCAATCCGAGAATTGGCTGCGAAACACGGGCCTGGTCGGCCTCGGCAACTCGTTCACATCGAGGTCCGGAGTCGAGGGCAATGACGGATCTCTTCTCAGGCCTAGGGTGCGCAAAGTCTCGGGTGCTGCACTGTTAAGCCTGTTCTGGGTGAATCTGAACAGGCCATCAGCATAAGCCTTGAGAACCGGATTGTCGACCATCCGTCGTGACGACTGCGAACTTGGAAGACTGAAATTGGTCGGTTCTGCTGCAGACGCAGGAAAAGTCGAGGCGAGCGGTGTTGGCTCGATTTCGTCTTCGTTGCCGTTTGTCGTCAACGTAGCTGAGCTCGAGTCCGACTGCAGGGTGCGAACCGACTCGCTACGTTGCACATTTCGAAGAGGTGAAGCTCCTAGTCCGAGACGCGACGGCGTACTGAAGTTGAATGTCGTTGCTGGTAGCGAGGACGGGTCATAGTCCTTCTCGACAACCGGGCCAGGACTGTCGACGGACAGAGGCCTCTTGCGCCGGGCGGTCGCGCGTTCTGCGGCGGAAAAGATCATTCCTGCCTCTTCGGCAGACACGTTCACCAGACCAAATGCTGGAACAGAGTTGCTTCGCTGGCGGGACAGGAAGGGCCGTGACTGATTTGAAGTGGACGACATTATGGACGTGGAGCAAGAGTCGTCCTGGTCCATGGTATTGTGGATGAAAGATGCAGAATCCGGAAACGGACGTAAGGGACAGGCGTCTAGCGGGGTGGGAAAAATAGCCGAAGACGTAAGGTGAGTTTGGCGTGGGCGGCGACGTAAGACGTAGCTAGGAACGACGGGGCCCGTAGAAGCGCGGATGTTGCAAGTTTTGCGTACGGAATGCGTGAGGGGAAAACCAAGAAGGCTTCAGTGAGTCGAAGCAGACAGGAAAGCAGCGGGCGCGATTCCAACACCAGCTCGCGCGGCCTCAGACCAGAGGTTCTGTGCCTGCAAGCATCGAAAAGGCTGGTCAAACTTCGCTTCTTCACAGCAGCGTGAAAAAAGATGGAGAGAGGATCTTCGGTGGGCTTGGATTTTTTTTTTTTTTTCCTTTTGGGTTGGTGCGGGAGGAGCGGGAATGTGGTCAAACAGCCACTACGTAATGGAGCCGCGTATACGGCAACGAGTGTCGGTGAACGAGGGACAGCAAAAGACGAGCGAAAGGAGCGGAAGAGCAGTCGTGTCGCACGAATTGGGATCAGCAACGAGCCGAGTCAAACGAGGAGTCGGACTCGCTGATGATAAGTAGGCGGAAGTAGGCAGCAGTCGACGCAGCAGCAAAGACAGACCGTCATGGAACGAGAAGAGCTGGCCAGGGCCGCGCACGAGCAAGTAAGTATGTGTGCCGCCCGAGCTGATCACACGCCCGGCATGTCGTTCTGGACAGACCAAGATAAAACGGTCATTGCCATTGCCATTCTGAGCACAGATCGAAGGCGATCGGGCCGCGGCCATGACGTGAGCGCAGCGCAGCGCAGTGTTTGCGCGTTGGCGGTGGTGCGCGTGCGGGAACGCCATCGCTCGAGGCCAAGAGTCACGTTCCCCATTCTCTGGCGCCACCGTCGTGATGCGACCGCAGTCGAGACGCCAGGTAGTGAAGCAGGCCGGAGCAACTCCATGCCAGCACGCGGGCCGATGACAACAGACGGCCTTCACAGCTGCTCTGCACGAAAGCGCCGCTGGAACTCGGCGCTCACCCCTGCCAGGCGTTTCAAACTGGGCTGACTAGCGATTCTGCTCGTCTGGTGGAGTCCGCTCGGCCGCCGCCTGGTGACGGCGACTGGTCGGCGCCATTCCCTCCGCCAGCCTTTGCCCCCCTCTTCCTCTCTTTTCCTGGCTCCACGGTTGGCCGATCAGCGACACATGTCCGTCCGATGCTGATCCAGCCCTGCACGACGACTGGCAATCCTACACGTTTCTTGTCGTCTTGACGGACGAGCCGCCTCCGCGACACAACAAACATCAGCATCGTCATCTTGGATCGCGAGCACAGATCCGCCTTTTTCTCCTGAATCCTGCGCCCGGCTCATGTGCTGTACCTGACTACCAAGGGCTAGCCCTGCCCCTCCATGCACGATGCCGTTCAAAAGCATGGCATTTAGCTCGCACACTACTTGTGTCTAACCTATCTGCAGCTGGGGTGCCGCGGAGACCTGTCATGCGGGCACCGCCACCCTGCGGTGCCTGCGCCTTCTTGCTCACTACTCCTGTACGCACCACCTTCACAGATGAAAAAAAAAAAAATAAAAATAAAAATCGTCTTCCGCAAGAATCAAGGCTCCGCTTGCCTGTTCCTAGTCTTTCTCGGGTCCACGCACACCCAGCTGTGGCGAGCAGACGCCGCGTGTCCTGTCTCACGCCCGTGAAGCAGATACGACAGATTCCAGAGTCTGGCAAAAGAGTTGCCTCACAAGGTCTAAAACCCCCGTCGCATCGACAATCGACCCCCCTCGGTCGCCGAGCTGCCGGCTCTGGAACCAAACGGCGATAGAGCAAACCTGTCGTCTACGCCACCCCGGATCCCATCGGAAAAGGTTCCTGAGCCCATCACGTTTTTTTTTATCAATTTTCAACAACAATAATCGACGGATCAGCTCGGCAGCGCGCCTACAACTCTCCTTACTTTCTCGTCCAGGCAGGGGGAGGAACGCGCCAGCAACCAATTCGTTCTTTGATCCAGACAGCCCACGGCAAAACAGGGGCAGCGGACGTCCAGAACGGGCTCGATCACGACGACAAGCTCTATGTGGTAGCTCTAACACACGCACACACACACAAAAGGATGCGACCAGATGTTCGCGCCAGCCGTTCCTTGCAGAAACGCAGGAACGGAGCCCTCACCGCAAATCACGTTCGCTTGTTTCGTTTGCACATATTTTTTTTTCCTGTCTTTTCCTTTAGCTTCAGCCGATCGCTCCATCGAAATATCTCTCCTGTGGTTTGGTGTGGCACCCCATGTTCGCCCGGCTGTCCAATCAAGCGCGGCAGTCGGCCTCTGTGGAAGCCCGTCAGAGCCTTGCCTGGCCCATTCCCAGCGTTCGTCGCGGCCATGCACATCGCGGTCAGCAAATTTTGCCTCATGATCTACCCACGCTGATGTCCGGCCGTTCTTCGACTCCTATCGCGGCTTCGGAATGACGGTTCATCATCAGGCACCGCATCCGGGCGCTTGGATCGCTTCTGACTCTTTGGATGACATGACCACTTTACTTTCTCCACTCTGCGTTTCCTGTCAGGTGCCTAGCTATGCTGATGCCCGTCCTATCGATATCACTGGCTGCAGCCTCCCTTTAGTGCGCCAAAATCTACCCCTTCGCCATTCCCGTCAAGTCTGCAGAGAGTCTAGGTCGCCAAAGCGTAAATTTCGACAGCTGTTCAGTGAGACTCATCACATTATTCATCGTTGCATCTGCTCAGTTTGTCAGACTCTTCCTGCTCCGTACCCATTATGCCCCCCCCACTTGCTATGGTCCTAACCACGTGTTCTAACCTTTCAATACTAGCGTACATCCAGCGCTATATCTTTCTTATCAACTCTGGATGATCCCCCCTCCCCAACATCTCAGATCCAGTCCGCGTAGGTTACGTCTTTGGACTGCGTTGCACTCAACTCTGCTTGGTGGGCGCTACACCCTTCCCTGTTCCGTCTTGAGGTCCTCACTCCACCAGCTTCCCCGCAAAGCTGATCACGGGCTCATGGGCAAAAGCCTTCGAGGGCGGTAAGCTGTGCGGGATTCTGCGCGGGATTCGCCGCGAGCTCTCTGCGCTTACCCGCCGTGCGTAAAGATGCACCATTAGCCGCAACTACACGTCACAGTAGCGTGTCGAGATGTTTTGGCCTTTCCTCCTTTGAGGGGCTGTTTCCCGCTGCAGTCTTTGCGTTCGGATAACAGGAACTTACTATGGTGTGACTGAGGGGCACCTTCCAATTCCACAGCGAGCCCTTCTACCGATTTCCTCGAGTGCCAAAGATGAGCATCTGTGCTTTACGTCATGGACAGTTTCATTATCTAAATACTGAAGCCCCTTGGGCGCTCTGGATCGCCTTGCATATGTGTCCACAACAATGTGCGTCAAACTGACCGTACAAGTTCGCATGTCTGGTCGCCACCCTTGGTAGATGTACCTACTTAGTCGACTCGGGAAAAATCAAAGACATGCGTCAGTCATAGTCATGTGTCCTTCACTACCTATGTTCGGAGAAGAAGAACCACTTGGTTGCCTTTAGAAGGTCGGGCTTGTGAGCCGCGCCAGGACCTGTGTTCTTTAGACGGACAAGTTCTGTCACAATGACATTCTGCCATATTACCTTATGACTTCTCCATGGTCGCCACTATCTGAGGGACTCTCAATCATTTTGCTTGTTTTGTTCACTTATTTCACACCCGTGTTATACGCGTTCGTAGGCCCTGGCCCTCAGGAGCAGGAAAGGAGATGACAAAAACTCGGCGTGCTGCGCACGTACAATTGATTGTTCGCGTGAACATAGCGATCAAAGACTGTTCCCACGGGAACGGTCCCAAGTTCGTCTGTCCGGCAGGAGCATGGATCATTGCGCTGAGTGACAGCTGGTCCTGGTTTTGGACTCCCAAAATTTCATTTGGATGAGATTCTTTGCTCGAACCGTCGTTAAGGTCAGCGAGAACTGAATCCATCACAAGATGTCGAACACAAGATCAGTCTAGAGCAACCGAGGCAGTGTCGAGTGTGAATTTCACTTCTTGTTCTGCGGCTTTTGTGTTTCATTCATCATTCGCCTCATATTCCTCCTGGTCCCTTAGCCGGATACACCTGTATTCCCACTACTTTCTACCGTCCTCCCAAAATGACGGCAGAACAGTGTCCTGGTGAGTGATTCAAGGAATCAATACCAAAAATTTTCTCCCTCAGTATGGGCTACTTCAACGGTGACGAGCAATCAGTCGCCAAGATGAAACTAACGTGGCTGTAGGTTCGCGATGAGTTTGCTCTCTCCGCAGATGAAAAATGAAATTTGCAACGGCTACAAGGATCAAATAGCTACGAACTTGTTGATCTCAACACCAATCACAAGTTCTCGTGTTGATCTCGCAATATCCTTGACGGCGTTTGGAGTACGTTATTACTATTGTAGCATAAGTTAGATGATCCTGCTGATGTCAGCGTGGAAGCGGAGAAGTTATATACACTTGTGCAAATAATGACGAGCAGCGTTAATAGTAACTAACATCAAACGCCGGTATTTCAAACCTCCCACTGACACTTACTACTGAGTGGGACTTCGCAGCCCCCTAACCATAGCTATACCTCCACTTCGAAGGCTGGGCTCACGTTCTTCGTACTTAATCCGACTAGACTCTGATGGTGACCCGGTGAAAACTGCGGAGCTTAGAAATGTAGCTCAAACTCTCTTAAAGCGCTTCCACAATGACTTTTTGCACTCGGATACTGAGACTGCGGTCCAACAGGACAGACCAAGAGTTTCTGGTGAAACTGCAAACTTGACTCCTCAGTGGAGGGGCTGATGCGACCTACCTAATCAGTTAGATCAATGACCAAACTGCTGATGTCTTAGGCCCCCATTCACAAAGCGACCACAATGGCGCTGGCTATGTTCTAATTCACAACTCTACTCAAGCTTCCAAGTAGAATGGGCTATTTCGCATGCCACTGCCCATCTGGCGCGACAACGCAGCATACTTAGCTTCGAAGAACGGCTAGCAAGGGCAGGAACTTTCACGGGGCAATTCTTCAGCTTCTCCACGAGACTAGCCCACACTACATCAAATGGGCACAAAAACCGCTGCGGTGAGTAACTTGAAGCAGCTGGCGTCTTGTAAATAGAAACTGCCAACAAGGGCAAGTGGTGACATCGAGTTCCCTTAATTAGCTATATAACATGCGATCATACGTCCTCGAATTGCAAAAGGCCATGTTTGTATGAATTCTCTAAATCTTAGAGCAAGAGCAACTTGGCTCTTTCCATTGTCCCTGAAGTTAACAACAGAAAGGCCGTATCGATAGGCGGAAAGTAACCTCAATTCTCAATATTATCCAAACCAAGGTCCATAGGAAGTTTAATGGAATCGAGGGTGCGATCAGAAATATAAATGGTGAGAAAGTTCTCATGTATATCACCGGATCTCAACAAAGCTCATATGAGATCATATGACTGCTTACAGAGACAAGGTAGATGTGCAATAGATCGTGCTTATTTCTTTGCATCATGGACGACGCGATCTGAAAAAATTTGTCGTTGTCTTGATAGTATCAGTCTGAAGTTACGGCCAAATCGCAGATCCATTAGCCCTTCATTTCCAAATGTAAGTTAACATTGAGCTTTCCTATACTTGGGGTGCATAATGACATTCCGGCTTGCACGGCGAGCGCTGTCTTTGAACGTCAGTCAACTCTAGGCTGATCTGAACAGTGATCAATCCGGTAGAGGGTTTTGTCCAACTCAAGTTGACCATATCGGAGGCAAATTAAGGCTCAGTTACGCTTGTTTTCTGGTCCGGAAAGGGTATCATTCATGCCCGCGGAATGACTGTACCTGATCTTTAAGCAATAGGAGAAAAACCGGTCTTAAAGAACAATCAAGACGCTTTCCAAGCAGCAGAAGTATGTCTCCACGATCAGAGGAGCATATTAGATCGAAAAATCCGGATGTGAACGAACGTGGACTCTCTAGGTACGCGGGAAAAGTCAACCTATAACTCATCTACAAATTGTCCAGGTGAAGAGCAATCAACGCCAAAAGATAAATGACCTCGGCATTGGTGATGAGGACAGATTGAAGAAGCTTCAGTTAAAGCACAGGTGAGCAAAAAATCGAAAGCCATCCGCATTGACCTCCACAAGCTGTGAGACCAGGCAACGGTTATGCTCACAAGGCCAACGTGTCCTTTACAGAACTGAATGTCCGTATGCATCGGAACAGCCATCACATGCAAGGCTTCCAAGAAACGGCATGATACACTCCGTCAGAGGCCGCAAAGTTTGGCTTTGCAGGTCAGCATATGGTTCCGACACACCACACGGAGGCGTTCAGCGTTTCGCCGAACAAAGGCCGTTGGTACAGCATGTCAGCGAGCGCGGAAAACTATGGATCCCCAAAATGGAAATTCTCTAGGGTTCTCAGAATGAAATTCGTTGTAGATCCTAGAATGAAATTCGCTTGAGTCCCTTTGAAGTCATATCCCATTTATTTTCAGGATGCTGACTAAATTTTGGCTCGTTACTTATATTTGCATGCGTCGGTGGCGGATCGAACCATGCGGCTGAGGAGGTAACCACGAAGGTTCCGAAAGGACTACTCCGTGTCGTAAAGAGCGATTGCAACGTGCAGAAATGGGCAAAAAGCACGCACCTTGTTCGGCGGAAAGGACGCAAGGGCGGCTGGCGTTTACTCGAGCTTAAAGGGACCCTGTCGGAGACATCCTGCCGACCCAGATCTTCGCTTTCCCCATCCTTGCTCCACGTTAAAGAGGTGGGTCCCTCCTCAGATCATCACTGTGGCCCGGCTACAGTCTTGAGTTTCTACAATCTTACGCTTCCTTTTCTACGAGTTCTGCTCGTCGTTCTACCTCGGCTTCGGTGCATCACTCTGCTGCAGCATATAAATATAAAGGCATTAGCGTTGCGGGTCTTGCCGGTGTGCTCTTCACTCTCTTCCAATAGCATCCTCTACTTAAGTGGACAGCGAGTGCGGAACGTCACCGAGGCCCATTCTCACGTACACGCGATAGCTGCCCAGCAAACCATGACAGCGGTGGAGACGGCGAAATCGCGGCTCCAGAAGCTCGCATCACATTTCGTGCCCTCGACTTCCTCTCCCACGGTTGCGGAAGCTACCCCGGCTCCATACGAGCACAGGCATAACTTCCACACTCTCAGTCCAACCTACTTCCTCCCCCGTGCCGCTGCCATTGAGCCAGAGGCTGAGGCAATCTACCACGTCACCGCCAATGGCAAGGAACTGCGACGCAATTATCAGGAATTCGCGGACCGCGCGCGGGGCCTGGCCTACTACATAATGAAGAAAGGATATAAGCGAGTGGGTTTGCTCTGTCCCAATACGCCTGCGTTCCTTGAGGCTGTATTTGGCACAAGTGCTGCGGGCGCGGTCAACGTCGCAGTCAACTATCGACTGAAGCCAGACGATGTTTCGTATATCATGCAGCATTCGGATGTGGAAATGGTGATTGTGGATGTGGAGTATTTACCTCTTCTAGATGATTTTAAGTTGGCGAAGCCGAGCATACCGATTGTCGTGGACATTGACACAGATTGCAAGGAAGGTCCAAATTGCGGGGACTACGACCGCGCAGTGAATGAGGGGCTAGAGTATGATAGGAGCACGGGTGGCCAGGGCTGGTCTGGCCTGGTGACGAGCGTGGAGAATGAGGAGGATGTCATATGCCTAGCCTATACGAGTGGCACAACCGCGCGACCTAAGGGCGTGGAGTACACACATCGCGGTGTGTACCTCGCTGTGCTTGCCAACGTAATAGAATCTGGGCTGAACGGGCCAGTCCCGCGCTGCCGATACTTGTGGACGCTGCCCATGTTCCACGCGATCGGGTGGACCTTCGGTTGGGCCATCGCAGCGGTGCGCGGCACAAACTACTGCCTGCGCAAGATTGACTACCCAGAGATATGGCGGTTGCTGAAGCAGGAGAAGATCACGCACTTTAACGCCGCACCGACGGTTAACACGCTGTTGTGCGCGGACAAGAACGCGGAGCGCCTCGAACAGGCCGTGCACGTCACCGTGGCAGCGAGCCCACCGTCCGCCCACCTCTTCGAGCAGATGACGAACCTGAATCTGCACCCGGTGCACGTGTACGGCATGACGGAGACATACGGGCCTATCACCAAGGGATACATTATGCCCTCATGGGATAAGCTGCCACCCAAGGAAAAGTACGCCAAAATGGCGCGGCAGGGCCACGGCTTCGTGACCAGCCAGGCGGTCATGGTCATCAAAACAGACCTGCCGGAGGGCGAGATCGTTCCAGTCGCGCGCGACGGTAAGGAAATTGGCGAGATTGTGTTCACTGGCAACATCTGCGCAAAAGGGTATTACAAGGACCCGGAGGCAACGCGAAAATTGTGGGCGGGCAACGTATTGCACTCGGGCGACCTGGCAGTTTGGCATCCGGACGGTGCTATTCAGATCCTGGATCGCGCAAAGGATATCATCATCAGCGGTACGTATAAGTGAATGCGCGATTCATACGGTTGAGACGTGTGAGAACCTACGTGTGAAGCTGACAACTGACGATCGGTTTTAAGGCGGCGAGAACATTTCGTCGGTGGCACTCGAATCCATGATCGTAACACACCCGGACATCCTCGAGGCAGCCATTGTTGCAATCAAAGACGAGAAATGGGGAGAGAGACCAAAGGCATACATCACGGTGCGTGAGGGAAAACAGCTGAGCGGACCGGACGTGATCCAATGGGCCAAGGAGAACTCAAACATCAGCAGGTTCATGGTGCCTGCAGAGGTGGAGGTACTGAAGGAGCTACCCAAGACCAGTACAGGGAAGGTGCAGAAGAACGTACTGCGGGAATGGGCTAAGAAGGGCAAGAGCTCCTCGGTCTAACCAGGTTCCCGCATGTATACATGTCTGTGTGTATGTGTATATATCTGATGACTGATGGATGAGAGAGAGGTCAGAAAATGGGGTTCTTGATGGTGATATCTGCCTTGAAAGACTCTCGTCTGTGAAGGGGGCTATAAGGTATGTCGGAGACAGACTTTGGATGTTATGAGCTGCGTAGGCGCAGACTGTTGATGTAGGATCGCGATTACCGGATCTAGATGGCAGACAATCCCTTGATCTTGCGAAGGTGCAAGTACATGAATCTGTGTTCAGTGACTTGCGAGGCTGAGCATGTGACCTTTTGGCTGGCCGCAGATTACGACTCTTCTCGGCCGAAGTGAGCCTGTGAATTTGGATCATTTGGTCGCGTTTCGCTCTGCCAAATGCCGAAAGGACATTTGCGACTCTTCGACGATGGGCGATCAGCGTTGAGGTCGATGATCGGAAGTGCGGTGAGAACGAAAACGTGATCGCCCGTATGGCTCGTTTCTGGTCTGGCAGCCTTGCCTCGACTAATGGGGGGAGGGCGCATCCCGGTCAGCTCTCTTTTAGGGCCACCACCTCCTAAGGCGCATTGCAGGCCCATTGGAAAACCGAGGATCATCAAGGCTCTGTCATCGTCGTCATCATCGCCATCTTTCTGTCGAGGCGCGTCTAGACAAGGGATACTTGTGGTGGAAAAACGCTCGCGTCGATGCCACGCTGGCGAAATTGGACGGCATCCATATCGAGAAGGTTTACGTGGCTGGAAAAAAAAAAGGATGCGGCGCAACGAGGCCAGGGCGTTCAAACGCCGTTGGCTCGAACACGATAGGAGCGAGATGGGGAACAGACACGAGCGATGATCGTGGTTGTAGTTGTTTGTGTGTGTGTGTGTATGCGCGCGTGTGTGTCAGCAGGAAGATGCAACGAGATGGTGTGCCGATGATGAGAGTCCGACTCAGAATAGAGCGATGCGGGCTGATGATGTTGTGGCGAGCAGTATCTTGTCGTGTAGAACAAAGACCAAACCCGCGATCTGGTCGTGGTTCAGCCAGTAGGGGAGTGCTAGTGCCTCAGCTACAGCCATTAACTGAAAAGGAGCCAATGTGGGATTCTCAGATTGTGCATGACGCTAGACTGTGATTGGTGGGGATCCCTGCGGGACACGCCCCCCGGTCGCTGCAATGTGCTAGCTATAAGAGCGTGCACACCGACATGTTTGAAATGCAGCGCAGTTCCCACCCCACGGCCACAGAGTCACCGTGTCACGAGCCTTCGATCTTTTGACCTTGCTCCCTCTCCTCCCTTCGCCTTCTTCCGAGGTCCCCCCCCCCTAAAATACCCACTATCACCCTCTAAAGAGGGCCTCCCAGCCGGCCGGTCAGCAAACTCAGTGAGCTAGCGAGTCCGCCCAGCCAGACCCGCCTGTTTCGCGCCTGCTACCCACTGACATTGCCGCTGCGCCTGCTGCTGACACCGCTGCAACGTCTGCTTCTACGGCTATTGCTGTCGCTAACCACCACCTGCATCACCACCAAAAAGAGTGACTGCGCAGCACGTGTATCTCTGTGTTTAGCGTTTGCGTTTTGCATGGTGGTGGCAACGCAACACCAGCCCCATTTCCTTTTTCTCCTCTTCGTTGTCCTCCAATCAACCCATTCAAACCTCAGCAACACTTCCCTTGCGCAAGCTTGCAGAGCGCACCTGGAGGCGGCCTAGTGATGTGTCAAAACTATCCGATGCGCGTTTCATGAAGTCATCTTGTTTTCCTGAAATTCGACGCGACGATACGAGTTGAAGAAGCCTTTGCCGTCCCTTTTCATCCGCGGTGCAGGGAGAGAGCAGAGTGACGCGCAGCGAAGACGCACACGACATTAGAAGAGAGGACGCATTCGGCGAGCAAGTGAGACGTTCCAGGTCTGCGCCGCCCTTCGTTGGCGCGCGTTAGGAAGTGGTAGGAAAGGATGAGCGCAACCCGGTAAGTCGCCCAAACCGCTCTGGGAACTCGATCGCCAAGCGGCCCTGTTTTTCCCTGCCCTAATCGGTTTTCCTTCAGTAGCGCTAACTTGTCACGTGATTTTGCAGCCTTGATCGCTTAGTCATGTGAGTCCGACATGAGTTCAGTCCAGGATGAAACTCGCTGGAGTCCCCGTCCGCTCACGTCCTCTACAGCCAGTTCCTGTCGTGGCGTTGAACAGGGCGTTGTCTTTCTGCTTTACTAACGCGTCCATGCAGCCTGCTCGAGACCGGCAGCACTCAGCTCATCCGAAACACCGCAGCACAGCAGCTCGCTGACGTCCAGAAACAGCATCCTGATGAGCTGTTCAACCTCCTTACCAAAGTCATTCCGTTCCTGAGGTCCAAGACATGGGACACCCGCGTGGCTGCCACCAAGGCAGTCGGTGGCATCGTCGACCATGCCGAAAAATACGATCCCAACGATGATGACGGCGACCTCAAGACCGAAGCCAATGGCCATGGCCCAGACGACGCCAACTTCAAGGTTGAAGAGCTAACTATCAACGACGACCAGCTACAGCTCGAGACTCTCGACGTGGCTTCTATCCTCAAGAAGGGCAAGCCTCTGCTCGGAAGCGCCGGTAAGGAGTACGACTACCAGTTCGTCGGCATGGATCCTTCTCAGCGTTTGGCCCACCAGAAAAAGACTTTGACCTCGCGGCTGGGTTTGGGGAGCGACTTCATCGAGGACGAATTGGGTGAGATGATCACGTCGAAAGACGTTGACACGCCCATGTATCCGATGCCTACTCCTGGCGGAGCTTCAAAGTTGGACACCAATGTCTCACGCCACAATAGCGTTGCCTCGCCACTAGCAACGCCCACCGAAGCCAATGGTGAGGAGACGGGCGGTCTGAGCAAGCGCCAGCTCAACATGCTCAAGCGCAAGAACAAGCAGCGGCTCAAATCGGAGGCGAACAAGGTACGCATTGTAGACTTCTCCGAGCGCAGATCAAGCATGGCCGACGCGGACACGCCCGCCCAACCTCAGGCTGTCAAGCTCGAGGTCAAGAAAGAAGAAGGTGACGATGGAATCAATGACTACTTCTCTCTTGAACGCAAGGGCGGCGACGATGAATCCACGTTGGTCAAGGAATTTAAAGGCTTGCCAGTACCTGAAAAGTCGGCCTTCGCGACCGAAGCCGAAGTCAATGGATCAGAGTGGCCCTTTGAACGCCTGATGGAGTTTCTCACTGTGGACCTCTTCGATCACGCATGGGAGATACGCCACGGTGCAGCCATGGGTATTCGTGAAATCATTCGTGCCCATGGTGCGGGTGCAGGACGTCAGCGAGGCAAAACTCGTGCCCAGAACGACGTTCTTAATCGGAGATGGCTCGAGGACCTCGCAGCACGGCTGTGTTGCGTGTTCATGCTCGACCGTTTTGGAGATTACGTCTCTGACAACGTGGTGGTTCCTGTACGAGAGACAGCGGGCCAAGCGCTCGGTGCTGTCTTGCAGCACTTACCGGCCTCATCTGTCAAGGCCGTTTTTGGTGTCCTTCGTCGCTTGCTACCAATGGATAAGACGAACGGTGCCTCGACGTGGCAACCCTGCCACGGGGGCATCCTCGGTATGCGATACCTCGTCGCTGTTCGAAACGACTTGCTTTTGGAGCAACCAGATCTGCTCGACGGTGTCCTGGAAGCAGTTATGCGATGTTTGTCAGACGAGGACGATGATGTGCGTGCTGTCAGTGCTGCTACACTAATCCCTATCGCAAAGGAGATTGTCACAACCCGCCCGCAAATTCTGAACCAGCTCATCGTCGAGGTTTGGAATTGTCTGTCGAATCTGAGCGATGACCTGAGTGCTAGCACGGGCTCTGTCATGGACCTGCTTGCCGCGCTGTGCTCTTACCAAGAGGTTCTCGAGGCCATGAAGAGCAACGCAGCCCATGATCCGGAACTCTCGTTCGCGAACCTAGTGCCACGTCTGTTCCCCTTTCTTCGGCATACCATCTCCACGGTCCGTAGCGCAGTGCTTCGCGCATTGCTTACGTTCCTCAATATCAAGGGTGCCGGCACTGAAGGATGGATCAACGGCAAGGCCCTCCGCTTGGTTTTCCAAAATTTGCTCGTTGAACGTGTTGACAATGTTCTGCGATTATCCTTGCAGGTCTGGAATGGCCTGGTCGATTACTTGGCTGTGCAAAGCCCGGACACGTTTGCGGCCGAATTTGGACCACACATTGCTCCCCTGATCACTCTCGTCATGCATCCCATCGGCGTTGCTCGTCACAACCTGCCAATGGATGCCACGCTTTTTGTACGCCCGTCGGGCCAGACGTATGTACTACCAACCAACGGCGCACGTAAGGCCTCGCCTCCAGCTTCAGGCGACGGGTCGAAGAAACGTAGAAGGTCTGATAAGAAGGAACGCGATGTCATCCCGAGCTCCATATCCCACAACATCGACGCGCCAATGATGCAAGGCGAGGTCGAGCTTGTCGGAGCGGAAACATTGATCCGGTCGAGATTGTTCGCCGCTCAAGCGCTAGGCAAAGCAATGTCAGTGTGGCCAAAGGCCTCCAGATCATCCTCATTCGGACCTCACATCATCCCACACTTTACATCGCCAAATTCCTCCACCCAGATGACCGCTGGTATAGTCGTGGAGGAGTATGCAAAAGCTGTGGGTGAGGACAGAGACGAGCTTTGCACTCAGTTCGCAGCCGGCCTGCTGCCGATGGTTGAAGGTGAGCGACCACCTGCCTACAGTGATCTTAAAAGCTTCCTTCATGTTGTACGTGCGCAGTGTCAATCCCTGCTCAACACGTTCCGCGATCAGGCCCACGTTTTGCCGAGCCGCTTGCCCACGATGCCGGCTCTCGTTCAGGGCGACGAGAATGCAAGCCAATTCGCATTTTCCATCGCAGACGCAGAGAAGATAACTGGCCCTGACTTTGAGAGATTGAAGAAGGGCTTATCACCTGCACAACGAGTGGCTACTACGCAGCAGTTGCAGGCAGCGCAATCTGACGCGCTGAAAGCGATCAGTGACGCGAAATCCATCAAGGAAGCACGCGAAGTGCGGATCAGAGCCGCTGCTGCCGCGGCACTTGTTGCGCTAGATGCCATACCAAAGAAACCATCACCGACGATCAAGGGCATGATGGACAGCGTCAAGACAGAGGAGAACATCGATCTGCAGAAGCGCTCGGCGCTTGCAGTAGCTTCACTTATCTCTCGACAGGTTGCCGTTGGGAAGTCAGGCGTCGTGAACAAGGTGGTCAATAACCTCTGCCAGTTTTACTGTCAGGACACGATGGAAACGCCAATATTCAGCATGAACGTGTCCATGGTTGATGGCATCTTGTCGCTTGGTAAGGACGAGGATATTCAAGAGCGCGATAACCAGGCCAAATTTGAAGAGGATACTAGGCTCCAACGCATCCAGCGCCGGGGTGCAAGAGAAGCCTTAGAGAACCTCGTTGCCGACTTTGGCGCGGAGCTGTTCGACAAGATCCCCAGTTTGAGGGCCAGGATTGAAGAGCCTATACGCGCCGCCTTCGAGCCCGAAGCTCTCCCTGCTGAGATAATCGATATCGAAAAGTCGGATCTAGGCCAGCAAGTTGTGGATGCATTTTCCGTCCTTCGTGCCCTTGTTCCCAAATTCCATCCTGATCTTCACGGCTTTGTTGAGCAGCTCATGCCTCTAATAGCAAAGGCCCTACAAACGCGTCTAGGAGTCTTGCGCTACATGGCTGCCAAATGCTTCGCTACCATTTGTAGCGTTATGACGGTATCTGGCTTCACGATGCTGGTTGAAAAGGTTCTACCATCAATCGGGAACGCTCTCGACGTGCGATGTAGACAAGGCGCCATCGAATGCATCTATCACCTTATCCACACCATGCAAGAACGCATCCTACCATATGTTGTCTTCCTTGTCGTCCCCACTTTGGGCCGTATGAGCGACTCCAATGACGACGTGCGCCGCATCGCTACGACAACATTTGCGCATCTAGTCAAGCTCATGCCGCTTGAGGCTGGCGTTGAAGACCCACCAGGTTTGTCTCAGGACCTTCTCAAGGGCAGAGAGCGCGAGCGCAAATTTATCACACAGATGCTAGATCCAAAGAAAGTAGAAGATTTTCCCATACCCGTGGCCATCAATGCAGAACTTCGGCCGTACCAGCAAGACGGCGTCAACTGGCTTGCGTTTCTCAATCGCTACAATCTGCATGGTATCCTCTGCGACGATATGGGCCTGGGCAAGACGCTTCAGACTTTGTGCATGGTCGCAAGCGACCACTACAATCGTGCAGAAGAGTACAAGAAGACAGGGGCTCCTGAGAAGAGACCTTTGCCTTCACTTATTGTCTGTCCCCCAAGTTTGTCGGGCCATTGGCAACAAGAGATCAAAACCTATGCGCCTTTCTTGTCTTTCGTTGCGTTCGTCGGTCCGTCCAGCGAGCGTGCACGTAAGAAGGCCGATCTTCCCAACGTCGACATTGTCATCACCTCGTACGAAGTGTGCCGCAACGAAATTGACGTCCTAAGCGCACTTGATTTCAACTACTGCGTTCTTGACGAGGGCCATCTTATCAAGAATCCGAAAACGAAGACTACTATCGCTGTCAAGGAGATCAAGGCGGAGCATCGCCTCATTTTGTCGGGCACGCCTATCCAAAACAATGTCCTAGAGCTGTGGTCTCTGTTCGACTTCCTTATGCCGGGCTTCCTCGGCTCGGAAAAGGTGTTCAAGGATCGTTTTGCCAAGCCGATTGCTGCTTCTCGCGGTGCCAAGTCGAGCAGCAAGGAACAGGAAGCAGGCGCACTCGCCATCGAGGCCCTGCACAAGCAAGTTCTTCCGTTTCTCCTGCGCCGCCTAAAAGAGGAAGTACTCAACGATCTACCGCCTAAGATCCTGCAGAACTACTATTGCGACCTGTCCGATCTGCAGAAGAAGCTCTTCGAGGACTTTATCAAGAAGGAAGGCGCCAAAGTCAAGGCCTTGGCTGGTAGTGCAGACAAGGAGGGAAAGCAGCACATCTTTCAGGCTCTGCAGTACATGCGTAAACTATGCAACTCTCCGGCCATGGTGTTCAAAGAGGGGCATCCTCAGTACGAGCAGTTGACTGCGCAACTTGCACGGGAAAAAACATCACTCCGAGACCCAATTCACGCACCGAAGCTCGGAGCCCTGAGAGATCTGCTTGTTGACTGTGGCATTGGAATCGCCGACGTGGATAAAGACAAGGGTTCTAACCCGGCTTTAGAGCCCATTGAAGCTGTAAGCCAGCACCGTGCTCTCATCTTCTGCCAGATGAAGGAAATGTTGGACATGGTTCAGACAGAAGTGCTGCAGAAGATGCTTCCGTCTGTGCAGGCGCTACGTCTGGACGGTAGTGTTGAGGCCGGCAGGCGTCAGGACATTGTCAACCGCTTCAACAGTGACCCCAGTTACGACGTTCTTCTATTGACGACGAGTGTTGGCGGTCTCGGATTGAATTTGACAGGTGCTGACACGGTCATCTTTGTGGAGCATGACTGGAATCCGCAAAAGGATATGCAAGCTATGGACCGTGCCCATCGTATCGGTCAAAAGAAGGTTGTCAATGTTTACCGCATCGTCACTCGGGGTACATTGGAGGAAAAGATTCTCAAGTACGTAACCACTCCTCATTATATTTCCTTTTTTTCGTTCGGGCACCCAGATGTACTAATGCTTCGCAGCCTTCAACGCTTCAAGATCGACGTTGCTAGCACGGTTGTCAACCAGCAAAACGCAGGTCTTGGTACTATGGAGACGGATCAGATACTTGATTTGTTCAATGTCTCCTCTTTGGCTAGCGAAGACGCGGCGCCAATGCCTCCAAATGAGAACGCACCTATATCTGAAGAAGATGCCGTTGATGCGGAGGGAAATGTCAGGGAAAGGGGCAAGAAGGGCTTCCTGGACGACATTGGCGAGCTGTGGGACGAACGGCAGTACGAAGAAGAGTACAATCTTGACGCATTCCTTGCAAGCATGAGGTCTTGAAAAAGAAAGAAAAGTTAGCATATTATTGTAATAAGAGCAGGGCGTAGGGTAGATTCGGGGCAAATGTGCATTTCGGCCATTCCGTGTACAATAACGAACAACATCTCATTAGCATGGCGTTTTTTCCCTCGGAGGGACGGTGGCCGCATTTGACTCGGTTCGGGGTTATCAAGTGAACGAGTCTGCATTGCGTGCATTTGATTAGGGAAGTCGTCATGGCTTCAAGAAACTTGAGCAACACCAAAAAACAGACCGAATCTTGCATTTGTAAACAATTTTTCCAATCCCCGGGTTGATTAAATCGCTTGTTGCCCTTTCTGCTTGCTACCTTCTTTTTCTTTTCCCCTTATGTACCAAGTAGCTCCCAATGTTTGAGACATGACGTCAGGCATCGCCGAAAGACGGGCTCAGACGTTGCATGCTCACCGTCTGACGATGAACATCCATAAACGGAGAGTTAGCCAAAGCGTTGTTTCCACTCTCACGTTCCTCGTTTTGTAATCATGAATCGGCCCTTTATGCACCAGGAAGTGCCTCTGAGCATCAGAACGCTACAGGCCGTGGGCATCACGGTGAGCGCGTTCCTTGCAGGCAAGTTACTTCGCTTCGCAGCCCTCCTGGCCTCGAGAGCACTGTCTTGACTGACGCGTTCGGTTACAGGCCAGCAGGCCTCGCTCACGTACATCGCCACGCCCGCTCTGCTGCAGAGCCCTGCCCCTCTCCTTGTCAGACAGTGGAAGAAGTGCTTCGACATCTCGCGCGGTGTCGAGACGATGGCAGCCCTCGGTCTTGGCGCTCTATTCGGGTATCTCGCGTACAGAGGTAAGCAGCCGTCCTAAGCAAGAGAGCTGTTCGTTCGATCTTTCTCTTCCCCACCATCTTTCTCGTTACGTTCGCGTTCCAAGCGCCCGCACACACACTGATCCGATCGGCAGAGCCGTCAAGCTCGACATCCTCCTTTAGGCTGTACGCGGCAGCTGCGGTGCTTCTGCCTTCGACCGTGCCATACACGATGGTGCTCATGCAGCCCATCAATGCGAAGCTCCTCCATCGCGCCGATACCATGGCCGCCTCGGCGATCACGGACGCCGCAGCGGAGGCTGGCGTCGTGCAGGAGGAGACCGCGCACGCCTTGGTCGACAAGTGGGCGACGCTGCATCTCGGCCGTGCCTTGATCGCAGCCGCGGGCGCCTTGAGCGCGACGTGGGCCACCCTCTCCGCCGTCGAGGTCCTCGGCTTTGAGAAGATAGGTCTCGCATCGGGGGCCAACCGCATTTAGCCTCTTAATGACAAAGCGGCCATGGTTACGTCAAACGAAGAACAAAAATTTGTCTTTTGTAGGATAAGAATGAATAGCATTGTGCTTTGCCTTTGTTATGACACGCAGTACGTGGGCAGCAGATGGTCTCTACGGCTTTAAGCATTGAGACTCGTCGTTCGAGTGTGATTCAATCTTAAGCACAGCTATCTGTCCAGACGTAAAACACATCCTCATAGACTTGACTATCTTGCAACTTTTAAACCTAAGGCCGTTATACATCACGTGGTCTACGTACTCCTTCCGAAGTTCAGCATTCATGAGGCCCTTTGGCTTGCTCCTCCTAGCTGGCTCCATCGCCACAAGATCAATACACTTTCAACCTCCTCTAAAGCGCGTTCTCAACATGTTTCGCTCTTCTCACCTTTCCAGACAGTCCGAAACATCCTCCATACTCTCTCCAAGGCTTCAAAGTTAAGAACACAGGTATATAGACCAGAGTTTAGAAGAGAGCTGAATCATCGCATTAGCAGAAGAATCATCGCCATGCGTTGCAACGAGGAACTTGTCTGAAAACAGCCCCCAATCGATTATTTAGAACATCACTTGTGCCTTCATTACCAGCTAACAGCAAAGCATTCCAAGCTCAGCATGAGAGGCCATGACTTGGGTATGCACACCGGACGATCCTTTCAGCGTATGCTAGATGAGTTTCCACTTCCGCCAATGGATGCTTGTCCATCCCGTCGTCGCCCTTGCAAAGCCTAAATTGGGGACCTACCAAGTTAGGACTGGTTTCAAAGAGCACGGATTGGTGATGTGCCAGTTTTTGAAGTCAACTGGAACATTCCGCTGCTACAACCGAGGAATGCATTTTTCAATCCCACCCGTTCTTCTCTGTCTAGGAAGTGAAAACCAAATTACAGCATGATTGACGAGGGTGCGAGCATGTACGCCAAAGACATGCGTTCCGCGCGGTGCGATCGTGCGAGTGAAGATGCACAGTCCGCATTACAGATCCCTTACACATATGTTCACGGACTTCTAGCAAGCCAAGATGGATCCACGCACTCAACCGTGCAGAATCCCAAGCTCGTTCTGTCCCATGAGGGGAGTCAACAGTGCCCACGACGCAAGAGTCATACCGAGTCCATCTCGAGTATCATAAGTTCGATTGAGGAAGTCACTGACAGTGCCAGTCAGGCGAGGTGGAAATCGTACTCTGAAAACATCGAACCGAAGAGACGGTCGCGAGAGGCGAGCTGGACTGCGCTGATGGCATGGCCTTAGTTCCTGTACGTTCTGTATGAATAGATATGCTGCTAACATTTACGCTTTATTCCCACCATCACCTTGTCGAATTAAGCGATGGAGCGAAAGTGGAGAACTTAAGTAAGCTTATCTACCGTTGCTTACTCTTTTGGCCGATATCGACGTTGTTGTGCCACGGATTCTGAATCTGCTTTGTTTCTTTCACAATTGTCACCAACATTGTTAGTCATTCAGTATCAAGCTGCCAGGTCTAGCAAACAATAACTACTTGGTTAAAATTGCTCCGCTGTTGCTCGTTCTCATTTAGATAAGCTTGGCGGTCATTTTTGTTTGAATACAGATTGCTGTGGTTACAATACTTGAAAGTCCAAAGAACACAGATTGATTCTCGCGTCGGCTCACAGAATTTTTGGGAGCTTTAGAAATAACGCAGGCGTCACGATGTCTCCTCTGTCCGGGAATAGAGATGTTTCAAAGCATGATCGGAATCTTGACTTTAGTGAGAGCGTACATACGCTGTTGACAGAAGCGTTGCTTCGAAGGAGTTTCCACATAACTATATTCTATACAATGCGAGGAGGGACTATCCGCACGTCAATTGTGGCATGGAGGAGTTATGTTCAACACTGATCAGCGAAAAGAGAAGACGGCGTTCATTAGCTCTTCCCGATAACCAGTCCTTGAATACAGTGACAGTGACGGATCGCTTGCAGTACGCGTGAACATCCAGGCAACCACAATCCTTTTTTTTCTATGAATAAATTCGCTTCCCAGTTGAACCGTTGCTATCCGGCGCATCCCACATGCCGTCGACGTAAAGGCTACCCGAAGCACGCTAAGCTCTTACACAGGGCGAACCACCGCTGTCCGGGCTTCGATCCTGGTTTGATCAATGGCCGTATCGTTCCCGCTCGCGGTACCTACCCACATATGCTCCAAGTCCGACGGCTTAAAGGTAAATTCAATACTCCAGGATCATCAGGTATTTTTGTCCATCAAGAGCAGGCTCATTGCGATAATTAGATTTCGGCATTACGTTGCCTCAATACCTCGAAAACCCAGAGAGGCTTGCGATGACTCTAAACCCACTCAGTAGCGTCAAGTTCAGGAAAAAGTCCAGAGAACCAAGCCAGTTTGCCACCTCCTAAGATGTGGCACACGTACTGGTAGAACGTGAAATGAGAGTGGCATTATATCCGTGAGCAAAACATCAGCCGTCAACGCCCACGATACGAGCAAAGCCAACAGGATTGTGCCTATGCTCTTCTATGTTTACTCTGCAGGGTGGTCTACCCCTGACGAGCGGCTTTCAGGGGTGTTAAAAAGCCGATGCACTGCGCTGTCGAACAAAAGTGTAATGAGACTGAAGACATAAGAAAAGCTGACGGCACACTAAGGTCAATGTTGGCGAATGGACGTACGTTGTTTTGGCGCCAACAGCACAAAATCAACGAAGGTCTGGTTAGAAGGAGAGAGATTCTAGGCACATGCGTTGAATAGATTCAATTGCATCCCCTGCATGTGTGGAGAAAACGTTGTTGGCCGCCGACGGTAGAAAGTTGAAGAACGCGCGATTCTACAGATCCCTGGACAACGGGATTTCTCGAGCTCCACACCTCCGCCAATGACCAGCGTCGAGGCAAAGAGTCGGGTCGTTCGTCTGCAGTGCAGATGCATAGCATCATTATTACAATTAGGATAGGTAAGAAGATATAGTCGCGGTTGTGTCCTCATTTGATGAACCGGGAAATACGTGCTAGGCCTGTACACACGACTTGACGGGTCAGCAACCAATGGCCCCGATCAACGGACTGCGATTTAGAGCAAGAGCAAAGTAGCGTTAGGCTCAGAAGCTGTTGGGGCCGGTGCTTCCTCCGTCATGCATTCGGAAGAACTGGAAGTCCGAAAGGTGGACAGATACTTGGTGTGAACGAAGAATGAGGCAGAGTGTGCACGTAGCAGGATGATAGCTCTGAAGTCCGTGACCTATATACTACGAAGTTCAGCTCCTCCGCAGTGTAACAATGCCCGCCAACCAGCTGTGAAAACATCTACTTTGTCCTCAGGTGCGGCTGTCGAAGAGGAACGAAACACCGATGGCCGATGATGGTGGTTCGCGTGTTGTGGTGGTCAAGTCGCTAAAGCGGGAGAACGGGGGTGGTGACCTAAAAATTCATCACGCCTTCAAGCCACATTACTTCTCAAACGACGCTAAAGTCCTATCTTTAGAGTATTTGCGAAGAGCTAACATCTAACGTAACTCGCACGGGCATGGTACTTCTGCTCTTCACTATGCTACTTTGATGAAAAGTCCCCAAAAGCTTGGGCTTGTGGCGGCGCGATTTCGACATTCGCTCCTCGGTTGAAGCACTTGGCGGATGCTGGTTCCTGATCTCAGACGAAAAGAGGCATGGTGTGGTTTTTTTGGTTCGAATCACCGTAATGTGGAGGAGACGGCTATTTTGGAGGATTCGACTTAGCCAGCTACGTGCTGTCTCTGCAACGAGGCTTGTCTGTTGAAAGGATCATGATCACGTTCTCTTCTCGTCCGATCAACTTTCCTTCTCTTCAACTCCCGCCTCCCGTCTCTTACTCCCCTGATATTCGGTGGATTCGCTCTCGATTTCGCTGATCCTTTTTGCTCGTCATTCATGAATTGATTCATAACAAATCACTCTAACGGCCGAGTCGGGCTCCGGCCGAGGATCGAGGAGGCATCCGACTTTTTTCAGTCTGTGAAAATGGAGAAATCCAGCGGTTTGACGATACTTGAGACAGGATCTAAATCTCGTTGGCACAAGAGGATACTGTTTCCGTTCTGGACATGTCGAATTCTTCTGCTGGTGCTGATGGCAGTCGCATACATCGCTTCGATATACTGGATCAGCCAACAGGTGAATATTCAGGGCGAAGTGCTCGCCTCTACGATCGTTGTTATCCTCCTCGCTGTTCTCTGCATATCCTTAGACGCTGTCTCGATAATTTTGCTCAGTAGAAGTGCGCTGAAGCCAAGCGCTTTTCTCATCATGCAGATTGTCGAGACATGTTTCTGGACCATGGCCATCGCGCTTGAGACACTTGCTGCTCTTAAAACTTCGTCGAAGGCGAGAACCTTCTTAACTTGGTTCATTTCCGCCTTGCTGTTGTAAGAACAATGAGCTCTTTTCTTAAAAAGTACTTCGACTAAGGTGCATATAGTGTCTCTTTTGTTGGGCTCCTTGCGTACTCCTCTGTTCTATTCCACCGTTTCCGTAAAGCAACAAACAACGGCGGTTCTTACACCCTCACGCAACACCAGTCTGGCTCCGAACACTCCCTTCAAAACCGCAATCCGACTCCAACAAATCCCTCCATCAACGCTTGCGCAGTATCGATACACTCCCGTGCTAATTCGCGAGCATCGCTTGCGTCCTTAGAATCCGTCTTTCCAGCACCGCCTCCATATGAGCGAAGCCAGGTCTCTACGAGAGGTAGCACGCCTCACACTTCAACCAGTTTCGTAATAATAACATCGCCTGACGAGATAACTGCTGCCCCGAGTATGTCAAACCACACCAATCAGCTTCGTTATGCTTGATCCCGTCGAAAGCTTGGACTTTGTGTATATTTCGATGATACCACTGTATATATTATGACTGACGAGAAACAATTCATACTGAACGTACATCATAAATGTAATGAGTCCTTGCGAGGCGACATTGAGTCTTTGTGATCGGCTATTTTAGAGACTAAATTCTTCAGCATGCCAGAAGACATATTTCCCCCGCCAGACCTGTTTTCTAACCTCACGTCTCAACTGCTTCAACATGCCAGCAGGTCCGCATGTAAGCACAGCAACCTGTCCAACGTGGCCGCTGAACGTATCTTCTACGATATCATGTAGATTCGGCCTAGAGTATTTAACTGCAATGCCTTGTCGTGTGATCAATTCCTCACTGCCATGATTAACAAGCGTCGCTGTGTCAGCAAGTTCCATTGAGTCGCTGGCTCCAGATACAAGCGAATCAGCAGTAGCCCCAGTTACATACACCTCAACCTCCATTTTAGAGTCAGATTTGGTTTCCGCAGCCTCAGCCTCGGGAAGAGGTAAAGCCCAGGTTGTCTCCGAGAGTCTTCGCACAGCCCAAACCATTTTAATGTCTGCATCAAGATGCTGGTTTTGATGACGTTTGAGACGAAGTATAGTACGCCACAGGGGAATAACATACGTTGCGCCAACACCGCCTGCGACGAGGAGAATGCGATCAAAGCTAGCAAATTCGGGCAAGTACGACGATGCACCATATGGTCCTTCGATTCTCAAAGGTAACGTACCGTGGACGCTAGGGACCTGAAAGTTTGACTTGTGCGCAAGTTTAGCGAGCTTCTTTGTGTTACCTCTCAAGGCTCGTGCTACCAAGAGAAGGTGTCCATCTTTCTGAGGAAGATTTGCAATTGTGAACGGATTCTTTAGAAACAGGTTCGGGATAGATGATCCCGGATAGCCTTGTGGAAGGGAGAAGTAGACATGCTGACCAGGCCTGAAGTGAGAGGTGCCTCCTTTAAGTGGAATTTTGATCTCCACGAGATCTGTTCCTGGAACGAGGCCAATACTTCCGTTTTGCTTCTGACGATAAAGAAGGCTTAGGATGAGATGAAGAGCATATATGCAGGCGCTTTCGAGAATATAAGGCCGAATGTGGTTGACGTGGAAGTATGCCAGAGGCAGGAACAAGGTCGCAGATGCGACGTGAATCATGTAGAACAAGCGATAGTTCCAGGTCTTTATCACTCTGAGTGCGGCAGTGGAAGTGATGGTAATGATCGCAATGCAGGCCATACCAAGGATCACGTCCCTGTCCTTGCTTCGCTTCGCTAAAACATTGACTTGAACAAAGAAGTTGAGGTAAAACGCTGCATGTAAGGTGAAAAGACACTGAATGATCTTCCCAAGAACCTGATGCACGGAAATAAGATTCTCGTGAGATAGCCTTGTCAGCATCTGGAGTGGTGAGTATGAGGATTTCATGGCTAGTAAATAGTGCAGCGGTAATTGGGATGCTGCTACTATTCCGAAGCGCTTGGTGAGATGCATATAGTCTAGAAGCCATTAGCGCTGCAACACGCAAGCTGTGTAGTTCGAAGGTCATCAAGCCTACATACCCTCTCCTGTTTCTCTAAAGCATAAAGTAAGAAGCCAGCTCATCCACAGAGCACCCCCAATCCACTCTCCTTTTTTCCCCCATTCACTCGCAACCTCGTCGTCCATCCACCACCGGATTTTGGCGGAGCAGCGTTTCGCCTTTGTCTTCCACGACAACTTGTCATTCTCGATCCCGGCTTTTAGATATGGACTGCTCGGTGTTCTCTCTATATCAACTTCTCCACACCTTCGAGTAAGCCATGCCAAGAAGTGGTAGATTTGGATGGTGACGAGGACAAAGAAAAGCGACAGCTGCGCTATCAAGCCGTACCGATCAAGAAGCAATCGGCGAGCGTGCGCTTGCTCCTTTGTCAGATCAATGAAAGAATATCCAAGCATTCCCATATTTGTTGATGTTCGCGGGGAACGCGTTGCTCTGCATATGAAGATGAGTTCCACTACAGCATTGGAAAAAGTAAGTTGAAGACCGCACTACGTTTCCGTAGCTTTGTGTAGACAATCTGATCAGCTAGTGAGGACTCTGAAATTCTACTCGCAATCTGAGATGTGTTTGGTTAAGCCGTATAATATCTTGAAGAGCATAAGATACCCCTATCTGAAACATTTTGACGGCGCTGCACGCCGCCGCAAATCAAGCCAGTTCGCACTGCGGACTTTCAAAAGCGGAAGCGCCGGAGTTTGTCCACGGTTTTAGTCCGGAACTCAAATGCCGCCCGAGAACGGCAACCATTCGCTTTGCTTCAGGTTTTTGGTCGACTTAGAAACGCAGAGGCTTGTCCCTTAATGTCAAAAATGGAATATCCGGCATCATACTCTACAGCACGTGAATTATGGGATTTGAAGGATGGCGAGCAGAAGATTCCTATTTGGGTAGATTGCGATACAGGTAGATCATCAGATTACCATAAGTCTGAAACTCTCATAACCTAACTCTCAAAATAGGGCATGATGTAAGCGAATTTTCCCTCAAGCGATCTCTCTAGAGAGTTTAGTTTGGACAAGCGGATTTACAGTGGCGAAAGTAGGACGCATTTGCTATTTTGCTCGCTGCGCATTGTCCCAAACTCGAACTGCTCGGTGTGAGTACCGTGCACGGGAATTCATCACTCACCAACACGACCCGGAATACCTTGAGCATACTCGAGGCAATTGGGAAGAGGAACATCGATGTCTTTCCTGGAGCAGAAAAGCCATTTTGCAGAGACGCCGCCCACGCTCCAGACATTCATGGCGAAAGTGGTTTAGATGGAACGACCATCCTGCCCGCGCCAGTGAAGGTAGCAAAATATACAGGAACCAACGAATCGGTTCAAGCCATGTACCAAGCTTTATCGTCGACAGTTCGTGGGACAGCGTGGCTCGTTAGCACCGGAGCATTGACAAATATAGCTCTGCTCTTCGCAATTCATCCAGCGTTAGCCGACCACATCGCTGGCTTAAGCGTAATGGGGGGTGCAATAGGTGGCTTTTTCACCCACGCGCCGATTGGCAGATTGAGACATCGAGTGCCCCTCAGCAAGAGTTTGAGTCGAAAGTTCCCAGGAGGACTTCCAGACGACTCGAATCTGTCCATCAGCGATGTAGCTAGGCGCTTTAAATCACTCGGTTTGATTCAAGATGGCAGCGATATTGATGACAAGAGAATTGAGCTTCTGCTTCAAGAATCGCGGCGATCTTTCGGGAATACCACAGATTATGCTGAATTCAACATCTTTTGCGACCCAGAAGCGGCATCGTCAATCTTTTCAAACAAGCGGCTAGCAGCAAAGACCACCTTGATACCGCTTGACGTCACTCATCAGGTTTTAGGAAACAGAGAAGTCATCAAGATTCTCAGTAACAATTATTCCGGGCCCGCGAACAAGTTGGCTGAGTCTGCAGTTCGACATCTCTTTCTCGAGATCATGATGTTCTTCGCAAGTACATACGAGCGCGAGTTTGCAATGTCGGAAGGACCTCCCTTGCATGATCCGATCGCAGTTGCTGCCGCCTTTGCTCCACAGATGTTCGACGATAATGACGGAGAGCGCTTTGAAGTCTTCGTCGTGAAAAGCGGAGGTGAGACACCTTTTCAATCCGGCAGGAATACTGAGAACGTAGGTCAATGCGGAAGGACTATCGCGAGGATGGTGCGCAAGGGGGAAAGTGGAGTTAGGATACCAAGATCCTTGAGAGTTGGCGACTTTTGGGCTATGATTGAGTTGGCATTACGCGAAGCGGACAAGCTGTCACCGTTAACCTTTAATTCACTCGCATAGATGAAGGAGAGTTAGCCGAAGAGATGGACAGATATGCAATGTTTTACGCCTTGACTTGATCTTAGATAATGAAATCTTACGTCCTTGGCCTCGGATCAAACAAGCTGAAGTCATGCCTTCGGAGAAGGAGATGCATCCTAAATCCTGAAGCCCATGCAACATGTACTCAATTCTATTCAAACACCATATGTTCAACCCGGTGGTTACAGATCAGCAAGACATCAAAGGCTATTCATGTTTTGAAGGCGAGAGTGTCTGACACTATGGTCCATTGATGCAGAAGTTTCCGGATTGTCCAATTGCTGGTAGCGCAAACCCTGCTCTCTTACCGCTATTCAACCCGAAATTGACATGAGAACATCAGGTCAGACGGGTTGCGGACACGTGTGTGCATTCTACCTCACATGTACCCCCTGAAGCTGGTAACATGATATTGGTGGGCCAAAAATGAATCGGGCAGAATCTATAGGATATTCGAGAAGATATTCGGCTTCTCGTGACATGACGAGGACACTTTGTTTGGGTAGAAGCATTATTGAAAACGGGCTCACGAAAAAGAAGCTGTGCGCGGTGCACGACAGCACGTCGGTGACACAGAAGAAATGCTTAGCTACGTATCAGGCCAAGGAGCTTCTCGTGCTTGGACCAGTATATTTGACGACCAGGCCGGTCAACTTTGTGTGCGAAACTTACTTAACACTCTACCCAAATAGGGCACAAGATCTGACCGCGCTAGAATAAGCAAAGGATTAACAAATTTTAAACGCTGTCTGGAGAAAAGAACTTGGAGGAAATTGATGCAAACTGCTTTATGCATCGTTGTTCTGTCAGGTGAACTGAGCAATATATTGCACGGAGTTCATTCCGTTTTGTCCCGAGTCGAGATTCGCACAATGCGCTTGGCTCTGCAAACTTCGCACAGTCGTGCTGTCACCAGCAATCGACTGATAAATTTCTGTCTTTTCGAGTCCTTCTGGGTTTAAACACCCCCCTCAATTACGATGCGAGGGATTGGAGCTTTTTTAACGCAGGATGCACCCGGCACTTGGGCTCATGACGCAAGTACTTCCGGCACGGACGTTGGGGACAAGGATGTGGCGTTGGACTTTGTTGGAGAACATAGCCAGCCCGTTGACCCTGAGCTGGAAAAGAGAGTGGTGACCAAGATTGATTTGTTCTTAATGCCTGCTATGATAATTGGTGGGGAAGATTCATTATAACTTAAGCTAGGTCACCTGGCTGACAAGTGAAATTAGGCTATGGTCTTGTCTATTACGACAAAGCAATCCTTGGTAGTGCAGTCTTGTTTGGCATGACTTCAGATCTCCATCTCAGCGTCGTAGATCGCTCTGTCACACCACCTACCACGGATACCTCGAGGTTAAGCTGGGCGACGTCGCTCTTCTACTTTGGCATGCTGGCTGGTCTGTACCCCATGACGTTCGCCCTCCAACGCTTTAACCTCGCTCGTGTGCTTGGGCCTGTCGTAATATTGTGGGGAGCAGTCTGTATGTTGACTGCAGCTGTCACGACATGGAGGGGGCTCTACGCGCAACGATTCTTCCTAGGCTTCGTGGAGTCCATTATCCCCACCGGCTTCATGTGCATTGTCAGCGGCTTCTATACTCAGCGTGAGCAGACACTACGCCAATCTTGGTGGTTTTCTTCGACAGGACTATGGACCATCATTGGCGGTGCTCTCAACTGGGGATTTGGAAACATCGAAGGGGGATCATTGAAGCGCTGGCAGTACATTTATCTACTTGCCGGGGCCTTGACAATCCTGTTCGGTATCTGGTGCTTCTTCATCCCAGACTCTCCTGCCTCTGCGTGGTTCTTGGGAGAAGAGGAGCGCATCGTGGCCGTAGAGAGGTTGCGTAGCTCGCAGACAGGAGTTAGATGTCATACGCTGAAGAAGGCTCAAGTGATCGAGGCTGCATTGGACATCAAGATGTGGTTGATCTTCGTCATGATGGCCTCTGCATATACAGTCAATGGAGCTGTCAGTGGCTTTGGCCCATTGATAGTATCAACTTTTGGCTGGAAAACCCTGGACTCAATACTCTTTCAATTTCCACTAGGCGGGTTCTGCTTCGTTCTAATCATCCTGACAGGATATCTTAGCTTTAGAATCCCTAACATTCGAATCATCATGCTGATTTTTTGCTGTTTTCCAGTTATCGCGGGCTGCGCCATTATATGGCGAAGCTCCTGGACCTTCCATGCTCCAGCGCCGGTTGCTGGTTACAGCATTATTGGTGCTTTTGGCGCAGTGGTGAGCTTGATCATCAGTCTCGGTATGGCAAATGTGGCAGGACAGACGAAGAAAAGCTGTATGGCAGCTACAATCTTTGTCGCTTACTGTGTGGGAAATATAGTCGGCCCTCAACTTATAAAGAGCCAGACTAAAAATCGACATTATCCTGAATTGTGGCTTGGGCTAATAATATGGTATGCTTGCGTGTAGTCATCAATGTGTTTTGACTAACCGATGGGTAGTTACTGTATCACAATCACCTCTTCGTCAGCCCTCTACGTTGTGTTGAGTAGAGAGAATGCGCGACGAGACCAAAGGCTTGATGTCAATGAGAACGAAAAGGACAGGCTTGCATTCCAGGATCTAACTGATAGACAAAATCCTTTCTTTCGATATGTGCTCTGAAAGGATCATGTGTTGAAGCAACCACGGTGTGTGGGTAGGTCGGAGAGACTTGAATGAAAGTGGAAAAATGAAATGAAACTGCCCCGACCCAAAGCAATATCCGCCCTCGGCAACACAGCGGGTCCATAGTAGGCAGAATTTGGAAAAGTCTGAAGAGGTTGACAGCGATGTCTCACCACATATGTTCCTATGTATTGCCGTCTTAACATCTCTAAGCTAAGCTAGCTTTCTCATTCACGCGGCTTGAGTAACATCGTCAAAACGTCATGTTCACAGAGTCAAAACTTTGTGAGCATCGTAAACGTGGCTTGTTTTTGAACAATTTAGCAACAACTCATTGCTCAACTCTGGTAGCCAGACCATAACAATCTTGCTCAGGGGGTTCGGACGTGTGCACCACTTCCTGATCTGACACGACCTCTGGAGCTTTACCCCATCAAGCGAGGTGAGAATCTTTTCGTCGTGGTTTGGCAAAGTGCTAGGCAAGCACAAGGAGATCTCCAAGCACAGAATACGATGTGTGCCTGTCAATCGTCATAAAGCACGGTTACCACAGCCTACGCACTTTCGACCTGTAGTCTTTTCCACAGTCGCTGCATCCCTGCGAAGATCACTGGCCGAATTGGCAAGAGTGCGTACAAACTTCACAGGCATGTCTCTTTCATCGACCCCTTTTTAACGACGTTTGTGGGCCCAAGAACAGCGGCCGTGCATCCAATTTTCAAGTCGTCAAGAGTTCACCGCTCTGAGGAAAAGCAGCGAAATGGGTAGCGTCATAGCGGGAAACGATTAGATTATCGCGATCACCTCGCACGATCACTTTCGCATTGCAGCTAGACCGTGCGTTAGCTGACACAGTCCTTTAAATGCCACCTCCTTGTCGCTGATCAGCATACTGCCTTTCCGGATACATCCCCCTCAAATCTTGTGGTTTCTCGTTTGGGTAACTAGTACAAGTGATCAGCCTGGTCGCAGAGACGAATGCATGTTTCCGTCGCATTTGACTTTCGTGGAGAGGCTTAGAACATACGGATATGTAGTCGTCGCGTCTCAGGGAGGGCCGGGAATTCCGACGCCTGCATTTGAGGGAGACACAGTTCAAGGAGAAGTGCGTTCTTGGTCAGTCAAAGCGAGGAATTCCCTAACGCTTCCGACCTTTTGCGCCTCTGACCAGGCTGATTCGAGGAAGTCTCTCGATCATAATGCAGTTAAGTAGTCGATGTGCAGCTAGAGGCGCAATAATTGTGGCCAATCATAGCAATCAAGGCCACCCCCTCCTTCTCTCCCCCCCCTTCCGCGATGTCGCACCGTTGCACGCCACCAACGGCAACGGCGCCACCGCATCTGCTAAAAAGAGTTGGACCGGCGAACCAAAAAAAAAGAGCACCCATGCCTTTGACATGCAACTATACCAGTTAGGGTTGACATCCTGCTCTCTTTTTCCGGGGCCAAGACGGAGGATGACGACGCTCATAGTATTGCACCATTGATGGCATTCTCGGCGAAGACTTTCGATCGATTTTGTGCTGGCTTAATCTACCTATTGTGAGCTTCAGGCTGAGTGCGTTGTAGGTGTCAACACGAGGACTAGTGATGCTCCGAAGAGTGTGCGCTTGCAGATTCCCAGATTTACTTGCTGGACATAGGGTCCAGTCTTTAATAGTCTTCAAGCGTCGCGGCCCTAGCGCCCGCTACGCCCGCACCGTACGCCATGAGGTGAACAAATGCTCGCTATTGAAGCTGTAGCACGATTTAGCAGTAGTTTGATGCTTTGACATTCATAAACGTGCGCTAAAATTGTTAGACTGGTTTCTTCTATGAAGAAAAAGCCACGTAATGACTTGAGTTTCTAGTTTTAGCTAGCTAGCATCCTTGGTCAGCTTTAGCGGGAGATGCGCCGCATAGGAGCTATAAAATAGTGACGAGCGATGGCACGAATCTAGAACGACGTGGACACTTGCTGGGAATAGCTTTCAAACTGGTGAGAGAATATAGCGGTAGCGTACATGAACGAGCACGCAGTTACTTTTGTATTATGCGCCATGGCGATGTTATCTACATATCAGACCATGGCTAGAACATTAGCAGTTTAAATATTGGGTATCACATCTCAAAAATACCCGTCAAACGCCTTGATCCATCATTGTTTGCCGATGGATAGTATGCAACAGTACCTTTTGCCAAAGAACGCCGCCTTTTGTTTCATGCGGTGAATTGTACGGTAAAATGAGACATTAATAACTTGTATGAACGAACGTGAAGCAGATCAACTGATCATTCGTTCGCCGTGGATGATGTGGAGCTGAAGGAAGAAACAGCGTCAGTAGTTTTCGCGTTGTCGTCGTCATCGTCCTCGTAAGATGGACCGCTGCTCGCCGGTTGCCCTGGCAGATCCCCCAGCGTCCAGACCCACTCTCGTCTTCTCTTTCTTCGACCTGCCACAGGCGTCTCTGGGCAACTGTCGCTATCCGATTCTGAGGAGGAGTCTCGCTTGTCTCCAGTTCGGGGAGACGACCGACGTGTTTTGATCCTATGAGGTGAACTACGCGACCGTATGGGAAACTCTTGGTGGAATGATGCACTGGTCTTCAAAGCCAAAGGAGAGGTTATGTCGTCGGTCGGTTGTTCAAGTGATAGCGTGGACTCCGGATATGATTCAGCGAAGTGGGAAGAGCCCGAGCTGGAGCTCTGTGGGGACTCGTTCCCACAGAGCGACATTGTAGTGCCAGAGTCGGTGTCTCCCAGGGCAACAAAGTCTATATGCGCTAGAGTATACTTTGTGTTCACGATCTCTTCCACCAGAGGTGTGCGAAACGTTACCCTCTTTTCGACTGGGAATCTGGGGCGTAGCGACATCCTTCGTGTCTGTGCACGAGGTTGAAGAGGGCTGTTAGCAAGTACTGAATTCAGCACCTGGGATATTGAATACGGGATAGTCGCCGAATTCAAGGTCGAAGCTGAGCTGACGGAAGATGAGCTCGGGGTTCTAGAGTCTAGGGCTTCGGGAGTCTCAAGAGTCCCTGCTGTGGATGATACGGAGCTATCGATGGACAATTTCGGTCTCGTCGGTCTCCCTGTGGGGGCTGAAGAAGTCTGTCCAGGGTCATAGGCATTCGCGAACGTATTGATAGCTGTTGGCGACACGGCGGAGAGCGTTTCCAGTCGAAGGCTGGATCCTTTTCCAAATGTTCGGGCTTGAGATGTATTCAAAGACAGCTTGGGGCGTCTTTGTCGATTAGGATTGGCAGACGGCAGTTGTTGCGCACGCATTGGTGATTGATGCTGTTGTTGTGGCGGCGGCGGCGGTGGTGGTTGAGGGACCACCAGAGAGCCGTTCATTCTGTTCGAAGACAGGTCGTGGTGAGGAGAGAGAGATTGAGCCAGCATGTTGCGGGGAAGGGAGATGGTAGTTTTTAAGAGGGCACCAACAGGCGGAGCAGGCCAGAGACGATGGATCTAGGCACCCTTTTGCCGCCCCGTAAAGGTGGGAAGCCCACAGAGAGGGTGTAAGATGGCCTCGTATAAGGGTCAAGTGCGCAGCATTGGGGCGCGGCCGCGGACAGGCAGGTGGGGAGAGAGGAGCTGCGTATAGAGGTGAGGCAGCGCTATGAGCTTAAAGACATTGCGATCCAGCGAGCTAGGGACAGACCGGGTGTCGATATATCGTGGACACTCAGAGAGACGCCGTCGCGGGCGGCATCTGTCGATAAGCCATATATACGACCGCGCCGATTGACAGGTGCTGGGAAAAGTCAAGGCGGCGCTTCTGTCCGTGGTTCATTCGAGCAGATCGCCGACGAAAATAGCGCCACGCGTCTTAGCTCCACTGCCAGTGCGAGCTAGAAATAGACCGCGGCCGTGCGTTGATTTCTGTTGGCCATTGAAACATTGGACGTGCACGGCTCATTTGTTTGCGTGTTGCCGCCCCAAGGCAGTCTGCAAAAGGATCCTGTTCGACGACCGGGACTCACTCGCTTCACCAAGGGAGAGCTTCATGCTTTCATCCTGTCGAGGATCCTTGGCCATGAAAAGAAAGGATGACAGGATAATTCTCCACTTTGTCAGTGAATTCAACGCTCATCGCACCTAGTCGCTTGACTTGCCCATCCGCGGAACGTCCCTCCCCGTAAGACAGATACTGCATTTCTCGATGGTGGATCACACCGTGATCGATTCTGGTTTCAAAACACCTCCAGAAGGTGAAAGACCAATCATCTTCAGATGTTGCGCCCTACGGAAAATGCGGTAAACTGTCTCGACTTCCATCAACTGCACATTCACAGGAGCGAAGGTCGCCTGCCTGCGCATTCGTTTCCAGCCCGGCACTACCGATCGCAGCTTCGACCGCTAGAGACACATCGAAGAGTCTAAGTTAAGCTTAGAATCACGTGTTGCCTGACCGGCTAACCATGATCGTATTTTATAGGATGTCGATGCCTTCTACTGCTCCGTCTTTGAAGTGGAAAATCCAGCCCTTAAAAGCGTTCCGTTGTGCGTCCAACAGAAACAGGTACTTGATCAAGCATTCCACACTCAGCACTTGATTCTCGTCAGGAAGGAGCTGCTTATGCTGGCGTTAGATTGTCGTCACGTGTAATTACGAAGCACGCCGAAGAGTACGCAGCCTAGAGGCAATCACATGAGGCTACCTAGGTCTAACCAGCATTTTCTCCTCTCCGCAGGGCCTGCACAAACTCCAGCTGATCCGGGATGCGAAGGCTAAGTGTCCAGATGCGGTAATTGTTCTAGGCGAGGTAGGGTCTCATCGAATAGCACGGCTTGGTGCTCTTGCGATCAGCTTCTCACACATTCTCTGTAGGACCTCACCAAATTTCGCGATGCTAGCAAAGCGCTATACCGTTTCTTACGCGGCTTTTCGTGGAATCACAAGGTCGAGGCCCTTGGATTCGATGAGGTACGATCCGTCATCTGTTTGCTTATGCGGAATGCTCAGCATACGCTGCACAGCGACTCACCACAATCTATTTTTAGCCGTCCCAATACTGCGTTATGGAAAGCGCGCTAAGACCCTTTTGCAGGTCTTTCTTGACGTGACTGACATCATTGAATATAATCTGCAGATACTCGCAGAGCACAAGCAGCCCCAACCCGCCTTCTTCCATCTTCATCGCAGTGATCCAACCAGTGGCTTCGTTTATGACGCGACCAATATCCCGGGTCATACATATCCTCAAAATTTCTCCCTCTCAGCCTCTTTGTCTGGATCCGATGATTCGCTCTTGTTGCGACTGTCTCTCGGATCTCATCTAGCGTATCATATTCGTCAGCAAGTAGAACAACAGATGGGTTACACTTGCACTGTTGGCATCTCAACGTCGAAACTACTTTCTAAACTAGTGGGCAATCTCAACAAGCCCAATGCTCAGACCACACTGCTTCCGCCGTATGAGTACGAGGATAACGGAGCGCTTGGCAACGTCGCTAGTTTCATGGACGCCCATGATATCGGCAAAGTGCCCGATATTGGTTTCAAGATGACCGAAAAACTTAGGCATTATGTCTTGAAATGCAGCCTTGATTCCGGATCTAGCATTCCATGCTCAGAAAGGCTAGAGCGGACCACTGTAGGTGATCTGCGAAATCTTCCTGGACTTAATGCTCAAGTGCTCGAAGAAATTCTTGCCGGTCCGGGGATGCAACGAGGAGTTGGCTTCAAGACTTGGTGTTTGTTGCATGGAATCGACGATACTGAAGTCGCTATGGCCAGAGACTTTCCGAAGCAGATCAGCATCGAAGACAGCTATCGGTGCATGAACACCATGGAAGGTGTGCTACGTGAACTACTAACCCTATCTACTAGCTTGTTACATCGCATGCGCGCAGATCTTACTGTAGAAGTTCAAGTCTTGGATGGCAACCATGGACAGAAGAAGACGCGGCAATGGCTCGTGCACCCTAGAACCTTACGACTCTCTACGCGGCCACGTCCGCCGCCTGGAGCTGATGGTAACAGAGCTCGAGCCTCAATTAGGATCTCTCGGTCTACGAGTCTTCCAACCTTCGTATTCAATCTTGCAGAGCCTGTTGAGCTGTTGGCCAAGCGCCTGGTTCACGAGAGCCTAGTCGTCCTCTTTCGTCATCTCCATCCCGAAAGAAGAGGATGGGACTTAAGCCTTATCAACGTAGCTGTGACGAACATGGTAGAAACTGCTGGAACGTCAAAATCCGCGGCTGGTCGCGACATTGGCAAGATGTTCAAGTTTCGAGAGAAAACTTCGGAGGTCCCCGGAAGCGTGAAGGCGAATGTCACCTCCCTTATACAAACGAATAACATAGGCGCAGTGAACACAATGGCCGCGAGCCGTGCTCCGGCGTTGGATGCCATTGCAATTGGCTCAGAAGATCAATTACCATTGTCGCAGAGCACTCAGTTATCCGAAGCCGCTAGCACTTGGGACGAGTCCGAGAGCGATGAACAATGCTTTGTGGGCATTTGTCCGCACTGCGATGCTCGAGTGCCCGATTTCGCACTCGCTGCACACCTACGATTTCATGAAGTCAACATTTGACTATATGAAATGACTAAGTCTTCATCTCCAGACGCTCTAAGACCACCCATCCGCATGACTTCTCAAAGCGGTTCGATCCTACGATTTAGCCACGGCTGAGAGAGGACACGTTATGCTGCCTTGTGTTGTAAACAGAGCTGCACGGATTTAGAATGGCGAGACTTAATGACCAGATACCATTTTTAATTCAATATTTTCCAGCTGAGAGTGTGCAGTGTACAAGTCACGTTCAAAGGTGTGTATTTATCTATGCAAGAATGCAGTTCTGTTGCAACGACAACGACACACGCACAGGGTGCCAGCAGGCACGCGACTCACGCGTTTCCAACCTGCCCTGGAACATACATACTCTACGCACACACACTTGAATATAGCCATATCCATCAGTTACCAGCATTACCTTTTACCCGAGCATACATAGTCCACCATCTAGTAGCACGCTTATTTTCGTCATTTCACACATCTGTTATGATGTAGCTTAAGGTAACTTCAAGTGCCCATACACAAGTGCAGTCCAACTAGAACGCTTGAAAGCAGCGCTACTAGCGTTGTGGACTGAATGCAAACAACGAGCATGGGATGATCTTCCAGCCTCATGGCAACTAGGACTGCTTCCCGGCTTGCATGCGAACTAGCTCTCCGATCTCAAAAGCCACCCTTCGAACCGCACCATCATCTACTTTGCCGTACTCGCGCCTGACCAGAATGGCACCGACGTCGTCCTTGATCTCGACCTTCTTCTCCGCTGCATGCGTTCTTGCACCATTAGCACTCATCGGTTCATCCCGCTCTTTGTCCGTGGTTCGGACGTATACGGTTAAATCGGCACCGACGACACCACGCCACAGCGTCGCAGTCCATGCCCAATGGTCCGCTGGGCTGTAGACGTCGTTGATAGGCAGTGCGGTCGACCACGCGTTCGATCCGTGAAGTATGTAATTGCCTATCAGCAACAGTGGGATCTTCGATGCTAGTCGCTCTACATCGGATCGGCGACGAGCTTCACACTCCGTCTTCGCAACCGCCTCCGTTTTCTCCTCGGAATGATGATCACAAGAATGTCTTTCAAAAGGTGCATTGTAGAAATCTCCGCGTGCGTCTGCGGAAAGACCGCCATCGCCTATGTGCCTGTTTGCCAACTTATCTGCGCTGCTCAGATTCGACTGCTCACGCATCGAAGAGAAATCGGATACAGAGTCTTTGACTCGAATTTCTTCAACCCGGGTGTAATCGACACCCGTGATGAAGTCAGTAATCTTCTTCGTCTCGTCATGCCACACAGATACTACGTCTATATAGTCCTTCAGCTTGCAGTGTTCTCCAGGAGCTCGCGGACCTGGAAGAGTCCGAATGTCGAACTCGTCATTACGCCTTAAGGCTATCTCAAGTTGCTCCAGCATAGCCTCAGCAGCACAAGTCTCATCGCCCTCGATTGCAATGATAGACCCACGAATACGATAAGGCGGTGATCCAAGCGAAGGTTCTTTGATAGGTGGGGCGATGCGACGAAGTTGCCCAAGCTTCCCAATGACGGGTATGCTCATTATCATCGCTTCTATGCTGCGTCTATGCTCTCCAGCAGCAGGAGACAGAAGTGGAGCCAGCCGCAAAGACTCTGAATTATGGTACGCTTGCGGCGAGAGTGGACGTGGTGAAAGATGGTTGTGTACTGTAATGGGCGTTACGGGATAGGAATGCAGCCCATTTCTACCAGATCCGCTCGGCAACATTGAAGCAGGAAGTCCTGTGATAGGACCAGTTGTGTGTGGCGTGAGAGGCGGTGATGAGGCTGTCGAATGACACGTGGAGATATGACGGGCAGACATCTTAGCTTCCGGAGAAGTTGGCAATGATGCTCGTTTCATGTCAGACACTCGAGGTATAAGATTCATTACGTTACTAGACAAGGTGTTCTGGTCGTTGGAATTAGCCGGGTGCGTAACTTCTGATCGCCTCGCAGGTATTGCTGCCCTATAGCTCTCATAACGACGACGCTTTGAATCGGATATTTCGATTGCAGTGTCTGAGAATTTTCTTGCCATGGGGCTGCCCGTTGTTCCGACCTGACTATCTCTCTGATTTGACGACGCAATCGAATTCGACGTGGCTCCTAGCAGCTTGTGACTAGAGCTGAAAACGCTGTTCTGAGGTGCCGGCAGGGTCGGACTGTAGGTGATACAATCGTTCGGTTTCGAGTGCAATAGTGACGGGGTAAATGCCAAAGATTTGGCGACGATGCTTCTGCCTCCACACTTTGGGCAGCGCGCCTTTTCCCCCTGGACTGAGCTCGGTGCGATCTTGTTCTTGTGCCGTGGTTGAAAACGGTAATCTGGATACTGCTGAGCGTGCCGAGCTTTCTCCTCCTCTGCAAATGCTTTCCACGTGTTCTTCACTTCCTCAGGCTCTGCTTGCCACAACTGGCCCGCAATTTTTGAAATCTCGGGATTTGAAAGTCCTCTATGTTGCAAAATTATATTTTGTTGATGATGTTGGCGATACAAAATGAACGCTGACGGAGAGTGAGTAAATCTAAACAATCAGGAAGAAGCAGTTGCAAAAGATATGGAAACGTACCATTGCGGGGTCGCGGAATTTTTGGATCAGGTTGACAAAGGCAAATGTCTAGTACGGCTTCGGCCGTTGTAGAAGGCCGTGATGTGTTTTCATTCTTGTGCGAAGACAAGCTCTCAGGAGGAAACAACGCCGGATGTTGCCGAGTCATACTCTCTGGCGAACTTCTTGCCGCCTCGAAACTACTGGTACTTGCAGCTAGGTTTTGAGACTGATGATCGATTGCTGTGATATCCCGATTGAGAGTCTGCCCAGGTTCAGCGATATACCTGTTTGAGCGCGGCCTCAACGATATTGAAGAAACAGGTCCAGCAGTCTTGCTAGCAGATGGTTCACTCTCGTCAAGCGAGGCAATAGGGGCAGTTCGTGACATTGTTATATTCAAGCCGGAGACTGGTTGGAAATACTGGACATCAGGTATTCAACTATAGCTCCCGCTTATAGAGAGTATGTACATTTGAAATAGGTTGGAAGCGGTGAGTCTATAGAGTCGCAACAAGGAGACAACGGGATTGAAGTCAGAAGACACAGTGAGAACGATGGTATTTGTCTTTGTCTACAATGGTGAGACCATTGAAATCCTTTGTTGTCGAAAAAAAAAAAAAATCCAGTGAAACCGTGGCATGCTTCGCGTCACAAATTTCCGCCGTTCACGGCGACGTTTGATCCTTTTCCTTTGTTCGCTTTCGGATCTTTAGGCGTGATGCAGTCCGACCGCAAGGAAGCGACAACGGCGGCATTTCAGCGGAAAGCGGTAGAGTACGGAAATGGCTTTCGACATGATTCCGCACGCTCTGATGTGTAACAGAGCCCCCCAAAGTCCAGTCAACCCTGATACCTGTTGGGGTGAAAGAAAGTGCAGCAATCCGCGACTGATGGCCAACCCTCGCCAACACCCGCTTCGAATTGCTCAGAGTTAATTTCCTGGGGCAAGGCTTGGTGCCAAACGAGGCAGTGCGATTGTTGCCTTTCCTTTGTTCTCGTCCGAGGTCGAAGCCTGGGTCATAGCATGGGCGTTTGCACTGTTGTTCGAGCTTAGTAATTCTACAGCCAAGGCACCTAACTGCTCATGGGCAACAGAACTGAACTGGGTATCGTCCCTACGCAAGTTAGATGATTGGCTAGATTGTCGAATACGAGTTATCTTACCAGAACAGATGGTCTTGTGGCGCTTCGCATTCAGAAGGCACGCTCATGGATACGTCACTGCCATCGGAAGTGTCCATAGGAACAACCAATCTTGAGCAGGGATTTCGAACGTCTTTGAAGGTCGGTGACTGTGTTCCGAGGCCGAGCGAGTCAAAAAAACCCATCTGCTTCATTTGTACAGAACGGATTTGATCCAACAGCCAATTGTTCCAGTCAGGAAGATAAATGTGACTGCTCTTCCAGTTCTCGGCATACTGTGACAGGACGGTGTTCCAATATTTAACCAGATAGATGAGCTTGTGCTGCTGTTCGCTGAATTTCCGAGACTGCGAGTTCTGACTGTGAGCCAGTGACATGAACCTAGGAGTAAAGCTAACGTCCCATAGCCGCGGCAGCACAAATGACACAGGCTCATCGAACGACTCGGCGATGGCATCTAGTTGCTCGAAAAGTATAAAGACGCTATGTGCAATTGCGTTCTGTGCACTCTTCAGGTCCAAGGTTGCATACTGCCATATGTCCCAAAATCCGAGGGTGATGGCGAAGACATACTCGGAGTCTAAGTCGACAGACGTTGACTTGTGTTCATATCTGATCCATTCTTGTATCTGTTCTTTCAGATCTGGTAGAAGTGCTAGCGAGGTCTTGTTCTCCGACGTCGTGTTGGCATACAACTCATTATCAACAACGACGCCGCCGGAATAGGTCGACAGATCGCTCGCAGAACGAGCAAAGTTCAGGACAGTGTCGCAAACCAACTAGGACTTGTCAGCGGGCGACGTTCAGGTGAAATAAGAACGCTCCTGACCTCTTTGCATAGTATTTCTGTCCACCTGGCACTGTTTCGCTCATTGTTCGACGCTATGTCAGCAGTGGCTGCGGCGTCAACGTGTTTGCCGGTGTCGCTGAACGAGTCTCCGAGGACGACGACGACCTTGGACGTCCCAGACAATACGTTTGCTAGGCGTGATGTGACGGGCAGAGACGGATATATCCACACAGAATACGTGAGGAGAGAGATGGCGGCTAAAGCTGCAATGAATTGCACTCTGGTGACAAATCGTAGATGCATGATATGATCAGATACGAAAGCAATTGCTGCGTCTAGCAGAAGAATCCAAGAGCGCCTGGACTTGGTGTCTGTAACTTGGGGACGAAAAGAGCGAATGAGAGACGCAATTGCGCATGCGACATGTTGCCGTGCATGTCGAAAGAAAACGGAAAAGAACAGAGGCGAGATGAAAGCTGGCTATCGCGCGCGATTAGGCGTCCGGCTCCGCGTGAGTGACGACGCTGCGCACACGAATCCAGCGTTTGCAACGTCCACTTCATGACAAGGCTTACGCAATTCGACAAACTGAGCAAAGCGTAGAGAACCCGCGCCTCCGACCGGACGAATGAGCGGAGTCGGACGTGGCCGGCTGTTGCGCGTCAGTGGGAGCTTGCCTTGCATCCCCAGTCGAGGTGCGATGAGATTCAGGCCGGTCGAAGACGGCGATGATGAAGCGCGGCAAGAAGAGAGGTGTCAGCCTTTCCGCCAAGCTCGACGTCTTGCCAGGACACCGCGCCAGCGATGGTTGCGCTTGTTGTGCTGGTGTCAGCTTCTGGGCGCGGCGCAAGCCCGGCGCCGTGCCTGTCCCTGTGCCGGTGCCCGTCCTGCTTTGCTGCCCACGCTTCGACGAGATGCTCGTCGGCCTGCCGTTGACTTCTGACAAGGCCGTGGTCGGCTGAGACCGGTCGTCTTGACGCATCGTCGGATTGGGCCCGCTGCCGTGCACTGCGCGGCGGTCTTCAGCAGATGCTGCTGCAGCCGCAACTCATGCTCACGATCAGAGCATGGTTCGGATTCTAACTCAATCTATCGCGGAGATGCTACGCTGCCTGTCAACTGGCTGCCCGTGGTCACGTTCCGGGGCATTCATTTTCGTTGCCTCTGACGGAATGACGCACAGCTGGAATGCGAAGCTTGTTGGCGGAGGCTTTGCTCGTCAACCGCGCTCTTGTCCTTTAGTGCTCCTGCTACTTGCCTCATGTGTCTGACACAGGCGTCCGATCCAGGTGAAGCCAAGGTGCTCCATAGCAGAGGATAGACGTCCAATGCGTCCGTACAGGACACATGAACTTGGAGCAATATGTTTGTCTGTAGAGCCACGCGTTCGAAGCATCACTTGGGCGCTGCCAAGAGTGCGCACAAAGAGACGAACCTGTTGCGATGAAAGGTGCGCACGTTCAAACGTCTTGAACCTGAAAGCTTCCCGATTGTGGTCCTCCCTCCATGAAAGACGTTGTTCTCGTGCTGCGTCTTTTGATGCAACGCGATCCTGACTGTTCACTCCTCCAGCCACCGCACGCATTGATTGGAGTGATTCCTCCACTGGTCTGGGCCCAACCCGTTCGCGCGCGTTCTCCGCATTACAAATGTTTCCCCCAGTTCTGTGCGAGAGCGTTTTGACACGATCCACATCATTGCCTGTGCAGGCAACCTCTTGACTCCCAGCAATTTCGATCACAGCGCCCTCTTCTGCGACAACATTCACCGTCGCTCGGAGCACACGCGATTTTGGGTACGATAGAAACGAGTGGATCTCCAGCACATCCGGCTTCCCCACTCCCGCCACAAAGCTTCCTCGCGCCGAGTTTCGGGCCGTATCATCAGTTCCTACTCTTCACGTAGTTCGAGTTTCTGCTGCAGCACACACGGGCGCATTGCCCTCAGTGACAAACTTTCCGCCGTTTCAACGTGCCTCCTTTGGTAGGAAAGCGCCCAGTCAGCGCCGCCCGGACACTCAGTTATGTCCCGCTGATCTATGGCAACGGCCAACCCACGACTACAACGTGACCTCGCAAGCCAAGATGGCCAGCTATCGTCGCAACAAGACCCATTGAGCCTACACGAATATATCATGTCCGATTCAAGGACACCAAGAATCGAATCTCTCATCCACCCCTCACCCTCCTCGTCCATGGCCTCCGGCAGCAGTCCTCGCTATCCAGATTTTGCGCAAGTGTCGACAACCAATTTTTCAGGTCCACTTCCACCTCACCAGCGCTCGCCTCCGAATCCGTCCTCAAGTGCGTTTCTTCCCTTGAACAGCCCAAGTCAGCCATCACCAGTTATTCTTCCGCCTCTTGACACACATAACATGCTGAGCTTGTCGACAAATGGCAGCGATACGAGAGCTAAAGCAAGTAACATGAAGGCTGGCGCACCAAGAACTACAAGCATGGAGATTCTCGCAGAGGCCTCGGAGATGGCGTCGTCAGCGGACAAACATGCGCAGACGAAGAGGAAGATGGCTGAAAAGGACAAGAACGAGCCACCACCAGCGTGGTCAGAGCTGAAAACCAAAGCTGGGAAGGACCGGAAGAGGTTACCTCTAGCCTGTATAGCCTGCAGAAGAAAGAAAATCCGCTGCTCCGGTGAGAAACCCGCATGCAAGCATTGCTTGCGATCACGGATACCGTGCGTGTACAAAGTGACAACCCGCAAGGCCGCACCGCGAACTGATTACATGGCAATGCTCGACAAGAGGCTTAAGAGAATGGAGGATCGGGTTATCAAGCTCATTCCCAAGGAGAGCCAATCAGCGGTTCCGCGAGCAGTTGTACGTCCTGCTCTGCCGACACCGCCAACCAAAACGACGGGTAAAAAACGCGCAGCTGACGAGGCTTTTGGTGACGATCCAGACTTAGATAAATGGTCAAGGTCCAAAATTGCGGCCAAAACCAGCGAATTGGCAGAAAATTTCAAAGGAGCGGAAACAGAAGAAAAGACTCTGTTATACGAAGGTGCCGAGTACCTGCCATCGAAAGAGATACAAGAGCATCTGGCGGAGGTTTATTTTGATTTCGTTTATGCTCAGTCCTACCCACTGCTTCACAAGCCAAGCTTCATGGCCAGGCTGTCTGCGGGTAACGTGGCACCGGTGTTGGTTCTCGCAGTTTGCGCAATATCCGCTCGGTTTTCCAACCATCCACAGCTGCGAACTGAACCAGCATTCTTACGTGGTGAGGAGTGGGCAAAAGCAGCTCGTGACATCGCGCTCCGTCGATGGGACACCCCAAATCTCACTATTTTGATTGTCTACCTCTTGCTCGGCTTGCATGAATTTGGCACGTGTCATGGAGGTCGTAGTTGGATGCTCGCAGGCATGGCCCAGCGAATGGCTTTTGCGCTACTTCTCCACCAAGATCTCGACCATAACGGTTGGGGTAAACATGCCCAGAAGAAAGACGAGTCTGAAATCAGCCCTACCGACCGAGAGATTCGCCGACGTGCCATGTGGGCTTGTTTCCTTATGGATAGATTTAATGCATCTGGAACGGATAGGCCGATGCAGATGTCCGAAGACTTCGTTAACATCCCTTTGCCCGTCAAAGAACGCCTCTTCGAGATGGAGCTCTCTGCACCAACAGAAACACTTCAAGGCAAAGTTCTGAATCCTGTAGACAAGGACGCGGGACAATTGGAATGTGCGCGAAATAATATGGGCACGTCTGCGTACTACATAAAGCTTGTTGCTGTGTGGGGTCGGCTTGTTCAGTACTGGAACATGGGCGGACGCGAGAAAGATCAGTACCCGATCTGGAGCGAAAAGTCGAAACTTCATGAACTGCGGAAGCAAGTGGATGACTTTAAGCAACAGCTACCAGCGCATTTGGCCTGGACTCCAGAAAATCTTCAGAATCACGAAAGTGAAAAGACCGCCAATCAATTTGTGTTTTTGCACTTGGTTTATCATCAGGTGCGTCTCTTCATGAATCGATGGGCACTTCCTTCCTCTGGCTTTGGCAGATTAGACAAGAACATTCCAAAAACATTCGTCATAGACTGTGCTCGAGCCGCTATCGATGCCGCAAACAACGTTTCCGTGCTGATAAAGGAGGCCTTTGACCACAATGTCACGGCTCCTTTTGCGGGTTATTGTGCCTTCTATTCAAGCACTGTACACGTCCAGGGCGTCTTTTCGAAGAATCCAAGGACGCAGGAGACGGCGAAGCAGAACTTAGCGCACAACGTCAAGTACCTCACCAAAATGAAGAAGTACTGGGGCATGTTCCACTTCATGACAGAGAACTTGAAGGACCTGTATCGGCACCACGCCGATGCTGTTTTGAGAGGGTCGCCAGAGTCGCAGGGCAAATCAGAAGCGATACTGCAATACGGCGATTGGTTTGACCACTATCCTAGCGGCGTCTCAGAAACTGATTATGAAGATCCAGCAAGGATGAACAAAGTGGAAACCGGACCGGACACAGTTCTTGGGCAGAAGTCGGATTTACAAAGCGTAGAGGAATTTTTCGCAACCCTCTCACCGGCTACAAAGGCATCACAGTTACGTAAACAGGCGAGGAGGTCAAAAGCAAAGAAAGCCGCAGAAGAGAATATACAGGCGCAAGGTATTACTGGCGGCAAATCGATGCCTTTAGAAAGCCAGCAAACTCTTTTCATGGAGACAGGCCGACAATCTCTTCCGAGAGGATCTGAGGCGACAGGCTTCGGCATACACGGCACTGGGCTCGAAGGCGCTCAGAACTATAACCTGTTGAATAATCACAACCCGCTAATTCAGCCACCAATCCTTTCTCAGCTCGATAGACACCTGGTGCTCTCATCATACGCAGGCATGGATCCCACATCCGCAGCGTCAATTTCAAATACGATCAATGAGCAGCAAATCCAAGATCAAGATGTGCAGACTCCCATGCTACCGGACACGAGCAATTACGATATGTGGAACACGGAAGGTCTGTCCGGTTTCGGTGGATTGGGTGCTGATGCAAGCACGGCCTGGTTTATGCCTTTCAACCTCGATCCTCCTCATCTCTCTACGGAAGATCCATTCACTTCCTCAGTTATCCTTGGAAACTTTGATTTTGGGGGACAGGAGCTTATTCGGGGGTATACCCCTTAATCTTGGTCGACTCGGTGTTTGAGACAGGTGACAGCGAGGAAATTTGTCCGAGATAGGCATACATGTTTGGGCTGCATCAAAAGTACAGAAGCTAGCACGGCTCTCACGTTGCGATGTTAAGCGTACTCATGGTCCTCGCCCAATACATATTTCTGTTCTTGGAAAGCACAAGGGACGATTTTCGTGTTTATAGGATAAGCAAAAATAGTCTCTGTGAATTCAGCCAAGTTCACCCCTTACAAAACTGCATTTATTGAAAAGAACATCATTGAGAAAGTAAATCTGGACGCTGCAACATGGACGTGACAATTTCATTGTAGAGAACAAGAGGTTAAACTGTTTCGATAGCTGCAAGTGAGCGCAAATGTCGGCTAACCAAGCTAGTGGGTTGGATGAGCAAGCCAGGGGAGCTCCGCTTACACCTTACAGAACTCCTAATAAAATTGAATGGACATTGATAAAGCATTCAGAATATGCTTGTACTATCTTCAGTTAAAGGCACAGTAGGTGATGGGATGGACGTATAAACGGTGAGGTGACCAGAGTAGAAAAAATATTACCAGTGTGGGTAGCTCAGCGTCGATATGTAGCATAAGTTGGACGTGGTCGGCAGCGCGACTAGCGTGGCGAGGCGAGCTAGAATATATGTACAAGCGCATACCAGCGGGTACTTCTCGTGATTCAAGTTGTGGCTGGGCATTGCTCCGCGCTAAGCCACATCTGATTGCTTTCACTTTCTTCCCAAGTCCTGTCCTCATACTTTCCTTTGGGCGCATAACTATTATCCCACATCAGCGTGCTTCTATTCCAGAAACATTTTCAATTGCATCACTTCGACTTCCATGCGCTTATAGAATATAAATTGTCAAATTTTCCTGGCTCGATCATTCCTCCGAGGTCAGTTGTGCGACTTATTTTGATGTAAACAAAGCCATAACAGCACAGCCCTTACGACAATTCGAAGACGATACTCTAACGCAGACATTGAAACTCTTACACAAAATGAGCTAATGAATCCCTTAGGGGTTGAGGATATGATCTCGACTGGAGAAAACTCCAGCGTAGAATGGACAGTTTCAAGATGTTTTCGCCTACTTCGTCCCATCGTTTCAAGGAAATCTGCGCTTCGTTCTGAGCCTCTTGCTGAGGTGAAGAAACGAGATCAGGAGTCACAGACTGCGCCATTATTCACACGCCATAAATTTGGTGATAGTCCTGGCCCAAGACATGATCCCGACTGGGTAACAGGAAAGCGCCACAAGGCCGTGACACGACAATACGCTAGACAAGCGCACCGCGTTTCCTCCGCTCCCAAATCTCAGCACTCGGCTGGAGCCTTTTCCATCCCCACACCTGTTGTTGCCCGAATTAGAGGTGTTGGAGCAACACGTAGCGAGGGCAGTCTTGACCAGAATTTCGAGCATTCGCTTGGTCGAGGTAAGCAAACACAAAATATATCATGTGCTCACGAGCCAGGATGTCTTCGAGCTTCCTTCGGTACAAATGAGATAGCTGACACCTTTAAAAGATATATTCAACGAAAAGTTTGTTTCTCAATCGGACGAGTTAAACTTCAGATCTCAGAAGCTAGTTAGAGGCACGCTCGACCTGATTGAGGCCACCAATACCTGCGCAACTCTAGATGCACAACATGCCTTCTTCCCAGAAATGGGCCCGAGATCACTTCGGGCTATGTGCTGTCGACGATATGCACGTCATGTCGTTGAACTTGAAGATCAACAAGAAACCCTAGCCGCAGAGAGCAGGTTTGACGTAGCGACAGAAGCCTACTCGCTTCTTCATGAAACATTTCAAATCGGTTCGGACGATTACTTGAGAGCTGTTTCTCGGGAATACGGTCTTGCGCTGTTCGAGAAGATGGTGATTAACTCTCAAATTCCTCGATCTCATGTTCTAGCGCTTCTTCGGCGGATGAGAAATCCTCAGCACTCACGCCTCAAACACGCTTCAAGTGCAGAGGTTGAGTCCATTACCAACACTCTATTACGTTCGATCACTCCAGACAAGCCTTGCTGCAGTCGCGACAATACATTCGCGCACTCTTTCAACACAGTCGCGGAGATATCGAGCCAATTTGACGTACGAGGCAGAACGTCATTCGAATTTCGGCAATTTGGCATTTTGGCTAGATCAGTGCTTCCAGTCTGCTGGTTCGGATCACGTCGATTGACGGCACTTTGGATGAGCGTTTATCATGCATTCATGGATCCTGGTAAAGACTTCCATGAACGTCTAGATTTGGTCAGAGATGTTTCGAACTTTTTGAACACTGTCCTATCACTTGACTGCGCCCAAGAGGAACCGAAATCCTCAAAGAAGCGACTATTGACAAGCGCGGCAATACCAGACTACTACGATAGCGGTCTGGGATGTCCGAAATGCCCAAAAATGTTGCCCCGCGCGAAGTTCATGAATATAGGGCCGCCGCAGCAGCCTCACGCAGCGGCAAACAGTCGCTCAAGCAAGAAGCACTTAAATATGTCGCTGAACAACTCGTTTTCCAGCATTTTTGCCATTCTGGGGTCATTTACCATATGCGCAACGTTACATCCTCAAGAACTGCCCAAAGCCGAGCCAGTTCCGATAATTCGCTTACTCGGGTCTCTCTCGCTCGACATCCTGCTCTCCCCGGTTTTCGACGGGGAAATATCTGATGACTCAGTTCTGGAGCGTTTTGCTATAATACTTGCCACTACACTTCTAGTTCACGTGTTGCAGCGGCCTTCTCCCGGGGAGAAACAAGCCGTGCATATTAGTGACTTGATCGATGGCTTAAGAGCTATTGATCGGTGCTTGCGAGTGAACGCAGAGTACGGACGTGCAACTGTCGAGATTTTGCCAGAGTTGCTCTATTCAGTGTCTCGAACCTCCGCCAAGCTACTTGGAAACGACGGTTTTGAAGTTTTGTCGACTTTGGCTGAATTTTTATCATCCTCGCCAATACTAGAGGACATTTCATACTCGAAACGGCAGTTCTTGGCAGACCTCGTCGTATCCAGTACACGTCTTTTCGCCGCACGGCTTGGCTCCCATGAAGCTGAGAGATTGGCTGAAACGCTTGAAAACTCGTGGCACGGTCAAAGGCACTGTCCCACTAGAGACACTCCATTCAAAGCGACACCGTTGCCCAGACGCGATAGAGAAGGGCTGAAGTGGGAGGACAGTATAGGCGAATGGATCGAAGCAGGACCTACCTCCGTTGACCCTGTCATCCATATGCTGGCATCGTGTCGGCGCTCTGTAGTGCTGCCTACGGATCGCAGTCGATCAATAGAACAGACCGTGAATAGATATCACGGAATAAATCTCACGGTATCTGGTAAACCTTGCTCTGATAGAAGCAGTGCTTGTAATCAGGGATCTCGCAGCGGTGACGTGAGAGATGCAAACATATCATCACTCCTCCTGTCACCAAGCACTCGAGAAAGCTCTTCCCCGGCCCCAATTCATCACATCGATAGCCGCATTCAATCAAATGCTCTTCAAGAGCGAATAGCTTTGGTTGAACGGACCAACATGGCTGAATCCAAGTCAATCTTGACTTTCCCAAATCAGAAAAAAACGACAAATCGGCACGGTCCTTCTTTTTCGAAACGGTGTTATGCAAATAGTAGCGATATTGAGTTTGATGACGAACTTTCACTGACATGGGTACGAAAGAAGCCTCGGATAGTCGATGTTTTGGGAAGTAGCAAAGGCTTCCAGTTGGACGAGGAAATGGATGAGCTTGTTTACTCAAGTGATCCACATTGTGCGACATCAAACAACGTCAAGAAGTCTAGAGTGGTTTCGCGGCGCAACCCTCGGGGCAGGCTCCTAATAAGTTCGCGTACGAAAGTGACGCTAGGCAAGTATTGTCGTCCAACTAAATTGAAAAGCTTGGACGATGAGATCGGTTTGGAGTGGCTATGACAATAGCGCAGGCACTCTCTTTAGAGCATTCTCAACATGTGACTATTGGAATGTAGGAGCCTAAGGACGGCGACGACTATTTGCAAATTACTACGATTTCCTTTGAGACTCAAAACAGTTGTTCGAAAACACGTTGAAAGTGATGGGCTTTTGACGTCTTCGCTGTAGTCGTGCAATAATTAAATTACGGAACGAATATCATTACAAGCAGCAAACAGCTTAGTATCCGAGCTGACGTCTATTTACAAAAAGAGTCATAGATCGAATACGTTCTCTGAGACTCCTGCAAGTCGTTCCTGAAGTAAGATTTGATACAAGTTAGAAAGTCATTATGCATATCACATTAGCTCACTGATGCCGTATAATCCTTCTCTTATAGCTCAACATAATTACCTCAAGCTTTCGGCATCATGTCGGGCTTTCGGGAATTATGCATAGATCGCGTGAAGATCTTCAATAATAAAATGATCAGAATCAAACAGTAAGCGAGTGAATTCGTGTCATATCCAATTTCCTTCTGGAGGATGCGTTATTTTGTACTCTAGTGGCTGCATGGGTGGGGCCGAAAAGTCGAAATGGCTGGGTTGTGGAAAGAAGTCATTAGTTGAGCTGTGGTCAAGTGACATCAAATGATCAGTATCTGTTTTCAGATCGTGGTTATTGGAGACGGAAAACCCTATGCTTGAGTTTTCGGTGAAGGTGCCATCGTGGTTGAATATGTAGGTGGGTTCGGTTGGCGTATTGGGCTGCTGTTGCTGCGGCTCTGTCGAGAGCTCATTGTTTTCCTCTTCCATAGTAGGGGTGCTTTCAGATTCATGTTCTGCAAAGGCTTCAAGTTGTGACGAGAAGCTTTGAGATATCATTGATGTATCGAACATGACGGAGAAACGTTTTTTCTCCTTCGCTGTCGGGGTATAGCTCGAAGTTGGCGTATGCATTGTTGCCAATTGTGGCGTAGACATTGAAGTGTGTGTCAGTTGTGGAGTAGACACCGGAGTTGCCTCGTCTTCGATTTTGACTTCCAATCTGTTGAGCTCCTGTTTTGTCTCTGCACCCTCCTCGAGTTTCACAAGTCTTGGCTCTTTTGCAGACAGCTCAACGCCACTTGACGGCGGAGTACTACACGATACGGTAATAGTTGGTTCACTATTAGAAGCAGGCTCGCTCGAACGAATCGTTGTGACTGCTATTTCACGGCGCCGCTTTGGTCCGTCCTTGACTTTTGGATGTGTGTGGCATTTGTAGGCGTGGCGAAACCATGTGGTACCTTTCTTTTTGCTGCTCACAAGTGCAATCCATTCACCACAACTTCCACAAAGCCCTTCCCAAACATCCAAATTACCTTCGGTACGTCTTGTTTCTTGAGGGCTCTGAAACGCTGCCCCGGTCGCGGCAGAGACGCCATGTGTAAAGCTCTTATCATACCAGAAGGCAGAATTCTTCAAAACAAGCCATCTACCTGGCTTGCAGAGCCCGCACCAGCCTTCGCGCTTATTTCCATGACCACGTACCCATTTTGGAGTGTACAAGTCGCCGGGAAATCGCAGCTCTTGTTCATGCGGCACCATTTCAGGCTCCGATGGGTTCATATCCTCTTCCGGGGGTTCAGATGGTTTTTCGTTCAGTGAAGAATACAAGTCGGGAGGGTCGGAGAGATCTGCACAGTGAGAATAGCAACCAGTCGATCGATCAGCATTGCTTTGTAGCAACCGGAATAAGCCCTGCGATGGAAGTGGTCGAGGAACTTCAGGGAAGGGATCAGACGTCGGGTAAAGCATCGCATTATTTGTAACTCCGAAAGGAGCAGATGGGAACAAGTAGCTCTGAGATGGCAAAGGTGTTACATTCTCCGGGCCAAGTGGGGAAATTGAATGTTGGGGATTCAATGGAGAGCCATAGAAGGATGAATATCGGTTCAATTGATACGGCCGCGGATGCGGTTGTCCAGGATACATTCCGGTTGACCAGCGTTTGTTACGTGTAGATTCTAGCGTATAAGGAGAGGTGCGAAGATTTGGAACCGGAGACGCTCTGGATCTGCTTGCGCTTCGAATGAGTGACGGGGGGCGGGGCGATGCTGCGGGGTCCAGTTGGGAAATAGACGAGGTGTCAAAACCAGACCAGTCAGCTTCCATGTGTGATGGATGATCCAAAGGTGGAGAGTCATCCAAGTGAGGGAGGTCAGCAAATGGGCCGTGGCTCGACATAGAGTTTGTTGATTCTGACATGCGTCGAGAGGAGCCGACTAACATGTCGCGTGCCTGATCTTGCCCAGAAGTCGAAAATCTTCGAAGGTCAATGACAGTATTATCGTCATCCACGCCAAACATTCCTTGACCGTATTCAGTCATATCCGCCTCCAAATTGGAGAACTCAAGATCATGACAGGCCTTTGACTGGATCCAACCATCTGAGCCAGTCTTGTTAGTGGGCAACGATGTCCACTATCATTCAAATATGCGTACTCACTTGGGACCACGACACTTTGTGTCATTTTCGGTTGTTGAACGACCGGGAGTGGCATGTGCGGCTGTGCCAAATATTCGCCTCGTGGATTCTGGACACCCAACTTCGTATAACCAGACACAGCCGTCATGCTTAACGGTCGACCTTGAGGCATGTCGCTTCTAGGGGGGCGCGAGTCGATGAACATCATCGTATGACGCTGAGATGCCCGCGCTTCCGCCGTCATGTTGCTGGTGAACCATCCATTTGAAACTTGAGGGGGTAATGACAGCGTCGGCTGAGGTGTCTGAGTTTGTGGTGTCAGGTTGCTACCACTATACATTTCTAGGGCTGCATTTCCCTCTCGCTCGTCCAGTTGAGAGAACGTGTTGGTGGGACGATGCCTGTCGCCCTTACATGAGCAAGATGTTCCTTTTCGATGCAGACAAGATGTACTTACTGCGGAACGGAGCTGAATTCCATATCAGGCGCGCACCGATCCGGATCCTCAGGCTGCACAGTCGTAGGGTGGTCTAACGTGTCCGATCAGTGACATTCAGGCGCGCAAGTAATCGACACGTTCACACAGCTTCTTTCGATTGGCGAATCGCAAGACGGTAGACCTTGCCCTTGAGGTGGAAGGTGGAGAGCAATGGACCGATTAGCATACAGATGCTACGTGGACACGGAGAGACAGCTTCCAGAAATTATGAAGTAGCTAGGGTGGGAATACTTATGTTGCGAAGTCCAAGATCGGAAAAACCGCGAAGTATCTCAAGCGAAAGTGGGCTAAGAATCGGAGAACCAGTGACCTTTTTTGGCAGGCAGTGCTGGAGGGATCAGGACGTTTGAAGAGAAATGAGCATACGTCAAGGGCCAGCCTAGGGAGAGAATCGCAGCCAGAGACTAGTAGCAGCCGGGATAATGGTCGTTGAAGTTAAGTATATTAAAGCTGGAAATAATTTGGAAGGAACGTCGCTCGGCGCAGGCCGCACAGAATCAAGGTGAGTGTTTGATATGAATGACATACGGCCTTGGCGACACTACTCTGGAACCCATCGCGGTATGATTAGATGAGGCTGTTGTCGAACACGACGCAGCCGGCTGCATCATCCGGCAAGATTTGTGGGAGACAGGCGCTATAGCAGGCAACATTACGGCTTCTGGGACGGCCGGCGGTTCTGCTGGTGATGGAGAGGAAATCCTTGCCGCGCTTCAAGTGGAAGCAAACAGCGATGAGAACAATGGCCAATTGTTTGGGCTCTTTTTCCTGGTTTCGAGGCATGCCTGTCGAGACTAAACTCGAACAAGATGTTTTAGCAAAGTTGGACACGCAGCGTCTCAAGTGTCATTGCGGCGTTGACGGCTGGATTCGGCAGTGGCATGATTTGAGGTGTCAAAACTTGAAGTGTTTGAGGTTGTCTCGAGATCCCCAAGCCACAGCCGGAGCGCGCTTGGGCAGCCGAGCGTGCTGTGAGTCCGCTGAGGTGTTTGGCAAGCCCAGGGTTCTCCCTTGCTCGGCCATGCAGTTCCACATAAGCAGTCTGTTCTTTTGCTTGCAGACCTGCAGCGTGCCGCCTGCTCGCATGCGCGTTCGCTCGCAAAAGCAGCAGTGAAGGGGTGGAGCGGGCACTTCTATTCCTGTGCCAGCGATCTGTCCTATACAGCCTGGCCAGCCCAAGCCGATTGAGCGACAAGAGTTGGCCTCGCCTGGCTGTCAGCTCAAGCGTCTCATCTGAAGGGCCTTGTTTCCCCTGGAGAAGAGCGACAGAAGAATAGGATAAACGTCAACCCTAAGCCCACTTGTCGAAGGCTCAAGTCGCACCAGACACCCTGTACCAGCCGTGCTCTCGCCACCACCTTGTCGTTTAGGAACGGGCCCGTTGATCGCATTGGCCCGCTCGCATGCGACCAGCCACGCTTGTGCCGCTGTTCTCGAAGCTTGCAAGGGCACTGGGTGGATTCTCCCTTGGTATTTGTCCTCCCAATATTTCGTTGAAACTCTCTGTTTTGGAGCAGTCGGTCCAGCTTTAGATCTGCGGCCAACCACCCGAGTGGACCCTGGGCGGCCGTGTCTTAGGCCTGCTCTATCGATACTCTCCATCGGGGGCACGTTGGGCGTCACGCTAATCCTCCAAAAAGCACCATGGCCTTGGTGTACACAAAAGATACCCGTCGTGGTATCCCTTAGGCTTCCACCGTGTGCAATACCTGCACCGAACCCAACCTCACTCTGAACCGTCTCGAAAGACATTGCTGATGGTCGTGTCAGCTCTCTGTCTTTTGTCCATGGCCCAAAAGACGGCCAATCCAAGTCAGGCAGCGGCCTGATACTAAAACCACGGGAGACGAATCATCGTGCGTGAGCCTTAACTAATCCTCACTCACGTTCATGAGCTTGCGCAGTTACGGTCGTATTTCACACTTGCCACAGATATGTGTGAAATTTGAGGTCGCTAATCGTTAAGAATGTTCGGATAGCACGTACCCGAAGCTTCCTCTGAGTCCGTATGGACCGTTAGGAAACGAAACAATCACCCACTCAGACCTGCTAAATTTCCTCCTCTTCACCTTCATGGTGACTACGTAACCCATGTTCTCTTACCATCTCCAGCCTCCTCAAATACCACCCACTTAGGATGCGTGTAAGAGAGTTTTCATTCTCACGAGCACTGATAAACCTTGATGTCTATGAACAAAAGTCAGCAGCATCAACACACCACACGTTATCAACCACCGTCCACGTCCGATCCTATCCTGGGAGGCGAAGCGCAATAGTCGTAAAGCTGATCCCGTTCATTACTGCTTGCTGACGGGTACGTCATCGAAACATATTTGACACTATTCTTCATCCACAATCTTTCGCTCTTTCGTAGTCAGATCTGTAATCCCCCAAACGGTCCGTTGGCGGATCATAAACACATCAACTGACTCTCGTCCTACTAAGCGAGACGATGCGCGGCATGCCAGTTTTATCAATTTAATGTATATGTCACGGCCACCACACCGAGCCCTTCCTTGCTTCCAGAATGTCAAGCGTGTTTGCGGCTTGATCTTGTTCAATGACTCGAAGAACGCCTTCACCCGCCACCTTGTCACGATCGAGGCTAGGCGTTCTGGTCGAAGCTTGTCTCAAAACCAAATTACTACAACGCAAGAAACAACCTAACCCCCCACTTAATCTCGGTAAGTGCGATAAGGAATCACATTTCTGTTTTCGACGTCAAGGTTTTCCAAGATCGCCTGTGTGTACTGCTCCTTGATGGCAGGATGAGCAGTGGAGCCCTAGAGCTGCGCTTTTTCTATCTTGGAACGTCACCATATCGAGATCCAAACGGTCTTCTTACGAAGAAATATCACTTTCTTGCCAAATGTAGCTTAGATTCCCTCTCGAAAAGGGATTAACTCGGCTCCTGCAACATGTTCGAAATAGCTCCACGACTAAAACGGAGGAAATCCATGGCTCCTGGCTCCAAATGCGGTAAAGTGATTAGAAAATGTCTGTCAACAGCAACCACCAGAAATGATTTCAAGAAACGAGCAATTCTTTAGCGATACAGTATACGCTCAGCCAGTCAATGACGGATCCTTGGGAATGTCTTCAGTCTTGATGGTCTGGGCGCTGAGGTCGTCTCTCTCATCTACAATTTTCAGATTAGAGCCCTGTGGTGCTTCTGCATCATCTAAGACCAGGTAAGTTTTGAGTGGCACACCTTCGACTCTCTTCACCTTTCTGCCTTCCAATCCCATCATAATTCCGCCAAGGGCGGCGACAATACAAGCGATTGCGACAAAAAAGCCAGTGCTCCAAGACAGACGGTTGTATCTGTTCATACCCCCACATAAAACCACAAAGACAAGCCTGAAAAAAGGTGTTCCATGCGTTCATCCAGACCACAAAATTCATTCGCCATGTCGCAGTTGGCGGTGCTCGTGTGGTTGTCAGCGGTGCATTCAACTTCCTTTTTAAAGGCAAAGGCACAGCAGGATTTTGTTCATCTTGTGTGGGGTCGCTCTCATTGTACCACTCATCGCTGCCAGAAAGACGAAACCAACTTCGATGAATGCCAGCAAGCATCCTTATGCCCCTTAGCCTCTTGTCTTTCCTTCGTGTCAGCACGCCTCTATACATGAGCAACCAGTATAAATCTCTAAATCGCCAAGGAATCAAACCAAAGCCAGTGACACAAAATAGTGCATTTAAGATCTGTGAATCGATCTCGATCCAGACTCGACGTGGCGAGGTGATGTCATTGCATGATGGATGGCACATTGCTGGGGCTGCATTACAAAGCAGAAGAAAGAGCATGTCACCCCAGGCCACGACATTGAGACCATATATAGTAATACAGATACCGAGAGAAATTGAGAAACTATTTCTAGAATGAAAGCAGTGCAATTCTGATCGATGTCTTCCACGGCAGCTTCAGTGGCGATTTGTAGCCATTGTTTGTCGCATGGGTTGATGAATCTTTATCGTAGGATACTGTTCCTTAACTCCATTGTCGTGAATATCGCGATGCACATACTCTCCCTGTTCCTGCACTTTTTTGATTGCTGAGTCAAATTGAACCAGATTCGTGCCTGTTCTCTTGCTCTTATCGACGAAAAGCCCACTATTATGTCGGCTCCGCTTGTGAGAGCCACCCCTAGTGGCAGTGCTGGCTTTGCTTCGGTACTGCTCGCCTGCACGTTCGTGAACGCAAACTTCGTCGGGGGGAAACACACCGCCTCTTATATCACTGATTGTTGGAGTCTGGGTCACAGTGCTTCCACCTGCTGCCCACATGCCTCGTGGCAGATCAGCATTTATGAGCTTGAGGGACGCGCTCTGCAAACGACCGGTCGGTATTGACGCACTGGTCCTAGAGGCGATTGAAGGCTGCGGTGTGGCGGTCGAGTTTTCTGTTCCCACGTTTTCATCCTTCGCTAGAGGAGGTAGAGGAAGGAAGCATTGAACTGCCCATTTGGACTGGTGCACTAGTTATACTATCGCTGATTGGAAAGGTCGCTGACGAAGAATCCATAAGCACGTTCAAATACGAAACGCCTTCCCACCACATTCCTCTGGCAAGAGTAAGGCAGCGGAGCAAAACTAGAGCTGCGTTATGTATTTACCAAGCAAGATGACATGCTTTCGAATGGAGTAACATCGGAAATACGTCTGCTGAGAGCAGACTTCGACTGAAAGGGACGAAACTTGTTCTGGTGCAACATGGTGTGGTCCAGATCTTGACCAGTCCGCCTTTCTGTGGAAGATCCTCGCCACACCTGAACCTTGCAATTTGAAGACCAATCATGCAGGATAGTTGATCGAAGGGTGAATGCGCTCGGACTTGAGCTATTCCAGTTTTGTCATTCTCCAATTTGCCGCCGATATCAATTGCAAATGCTTATTTTTTGCGTGCGAAAAAATCGCCCTTGCCTGGGGGAAGAACCACTATTCGCAGCTCTGAAAGAGTTGAAAGCGCCACGCAATGTTGGAGGCTACCAATTCACAGCTATCAGCGTTGGAAACGTATTTACAAGATCAGTCTTCTGAAAACTCAAAACATTCAGATCACTTGAGCCTACTTGCGCTCCAGGTGATGCATAACCTGCAGTATCAACACCGGTGGACTGGCTTGGAAATTCACACAAAGGCACCGATAAGCGGCGTACCTTTTCCGAGGCCAATTATCTCAGGCCTTCCGCCCAATAGGCTATACGTTCACCCAGATGAGCAGGCACAGATATTGAAAGATGAGTTGGAACGGAGAGATCAACGCTCCGATTTGCGCTCTGAAGCTGGCGACGAAGTCAGCGCACTAGAAGCTCCCCAGAAAGAATGGGTTCTTCCCTCCCACACTCGAGAGAAATGGTCTTTAAAGCGGTTCGCTGAAGTATTTGATGCCATGGATGCTAAACCTGTAGATCACCACAAGGCCTGGGATGTCTGCAAAAGACTTGTTCTTGCTACTGTTCAGGACGACTCCACTGTTGTGTACTACGTAGGTAGTCCGTCGGCTTTCTTGACTTGTTTATGCTGAGCAGTCTTTAGTTCATGAGCGATGGCATTGTAAAACCCCGTCAAAATTAACGAGCACGACGTGGCTCCGGGGCTCATGACCTGTCAAAATTGTGTGCAGATGCTGTCAGAATTAGGATCATGCACATCACACATAGTTCAAATGTGCAAAGCCTCGCATCAAATCTGTATACAGTTCATTTTTGAAACGTTGACGATTGTAATGCTCTATTTGTGGTCCGGATCTCAATAATTTGAATTTATACGCTATCAAATCGGACTGCTATACGGCCATGATTCTCATCGGCACAATAAGCTTCGGATACTTTTGAAAGATGCACCTCACACCAGAAGCCCCCCACCACTGCGAAAAAAGGACTAATAGGAGAAGTCCTACACTAGCTGAAGAAGATTCAATTGCTGCGAACTGCGACGCGCAATCTCGAAAATAAGATACTCTCGCAGATTCGAAGTTTCAATCCATTAGTTGAAATACATTATCACGTAAATAGTTTTCAGTATCTAAAATGATGCTGCAAGATTACGAATTTGTGTGTAATGATCCGGCTTGAGAAAACATAGAGTAACTAGTCGTTGTATTTGAATAATGGCGCTGGCTTGAACATGGCGTCTAATGATTACTTCAATGGGTTCAGATTTGATGATCGGCATGGCTGTCTCGCACCAGTCATGAACATACGGATTCTCCAGCTTATTTTATTAGCTTTATGGTTCATCAATAGAAAACGAGTTTTGACCATGGCTTCTCATGGGGCATTCTGGATTGGTCGACACGAGTGTTCTTTTCACTTATGTCACATCCGATATTGTCGGGGAAATTATCACCTCATATCAACAATATCCGTGTCCGAATTAGCGACATCCTTTGACCTTCCACGATAATTATATATTTTCCATAATTGGATCTGATAGCACACCCAAGGCTGTGTGTTCATTTGAGCGGAAATACACAATGGAAAAACAACACAGATCAGCATAGCCTCGTATTCTATCCTTGTCCTCAGCTTTCATTAAGAGCTCTTGCGTAGCTATCAAGTAGTTTGTAAGCCAGAATCTACTGTCACATAGCACCATGTCGTTATGAGTCAACGCTCTTTTCGACAAGTCCAAGCCTGCAGAACAGCTGTCTTTGGACAAGAAACGCATGCAAATCATAATAGTCTCAAAGGGTATCTACGCAACGATTCAAATCCCGGATGAATCATATCCTCTAGCCGAATATGCTCAGTCAAGCGCGTGAGGATATGTGCACACTTTAATACTCGTTCCACTGTCGTATAAAAGCTCGAGGTGGTGGAGCAAGTTCGGCTTCTACACCCTTTGCAACCATCTCTTTGAGTTCAATTTCCACTTCTTTCCTTCGTTTCTCTACATTCGTCTCCTCCTCGGATGACCAAATGAAGTTGCCTGCCCCCCCTCGTCCCCGATGCCTTGACTCTGAAGTCGCATCTTTGTCGATAGATCTGCTCTCGCTTGAAAGCTGCTCAGGCGATGTATCAAACTTGCCCGTCTGCGATAGGTCTTTCGGTGAGTACCAATTGCCTGCACCACCTCTGCCCATGTGTGCATACTCCTGATTCAGATTTGCTGGACTTGCTATAGATGAAGACTTGCTCGATTCTGCAGGTTCGACGGGTCTTGGCTCCCCTCGTGAGCGTTGAGCCTCCAAGTCCTGTCGTGCATGGTAAGGACATGATCTACAACTGAGCCTATCATTCATACGTACGTCTATCTGCTTTTGATTTGCAGCCTCAATATTGCCCGCGCCTCCACGACCATAAGGCATCTTGAAATCTGAAGTTTTGAAAGAGTAAGTATTTACAAGAGCCAATCTTTTCCGGTAATGAAGATATATATATATATATATATATATATATATGTGTGTGTGTGTGTGTACAATCCCCACGTACCGAGAGCGATGATTCGGACGGGAAGTGTCAAGAGAATTCGCTCAAGTTGCAAAGGGGAGGGGTGGATGTGGGGGTACCAGTTGTTTTTGTCTGCGTGATTCTTCAGCCACATGCCGAACGTGGTCTCTCTTTCGCACATGTTCCTCCATCCTGGTCAGAGAGCATACGTGCTTGATGACTAAATCTGTCATGAGAGTTTCAAGGTGACAAGATTGAGCAAGATCTGGTTGTACATGATTTACCATTGCTCTTATCCTCAATGCACTTGCCGAGGCATGTTTGCACCCTCCGTGATTTAGTTCTAGTGGCCCCGCGCTTTTAGGTTTGTGCTTTTTATTCCTTGCGATTTGACAACTGTCAGTTTTCCAACATCTGACAATCTCGTTTGAACACCATGGCTGCTGAATCTACAGTTCTCAGCACGTCTACTCCAGCTGGCATCACAACCATAACAATTAACCGACCAGACCGGCGCAACGCCGTGGATTCAGTGACTGGGCAAAAGCTCTACGAAGCGATCCTCGCCTTTGAGGAAGATAATACACAAAGAGTTTGCATTTTGACTGGTGGCCATGGATCCTTTTGTGCAGGCGCCGATCTTCACGAGGTAGCAAAGCGAACGAAGCACGGATCGGAATTCGATAATTTTCTGCAGCCTGTTGAAGGCCGTAATAGAGCCCACATGGGCCCAACCCGCTTGCAGGTCAAGAAACCAATCATTGCCGCAGTCGCTGGATATGCCGTTGCTGGTGGATTAGAGCTTAGCTTAATAGCAGATATTCGTGTTGTAGAGGAAGACGCCGTGTTCGGCGTCTTCTGCAGGCGATGGGGGGTACCTCTAATCGACGGCGGTACGGTTAGGCTACAAGCCATTGTCGGTCTGGGAAGAGCACTTGACATGATTTTAACAGGGCGACCTGTTAAAGCAGATGAGGCACTCAGCATGGGTCTAGCAAATCGAGTAGTTCCAAAGGGAAAGGCTTTAGTGGAGGCAACCAACATTGCTGAACAGCTAGTAGCATTTCCACAATTATGCATGAATTTAGACAGAGATTCATGCTATTATGCTGCATACAACGCTTCATCATTCGAAGATGCAATGAAGAATGAATTTATAAGGGGCGTTCAGGCTATCGAGGCTGAGAGTATTGCGGGAGCTGGTCAATTCAGCAAAGGCGCAGGGCGAGGAGGAAGCTTTGAAAGACTTCCTAAAATCTAAGTTATCAGGTCAAACTTTAAATGGTGCATTCTAGTCTCATCACTGGAGCCTGCTAAACGAGAATGATGGGTGTGCAGCTGCAAAGGAATCATCTGAAAGGTCGCATTCTGCTGTCCAACTCGAGCAAATTTCGTCCTTCAGGTGTAATGTTTAATTCAAGAAACCATCTCATAACAGCAATCAAGCCCAATGGCCCGTAACAATACCATAATTCTTAAAGGTGACGACCGCATCAGCTCAACTAGATAGGAGTCGCGAAAATGCTCAAAATTGATTGCCTTCCGAGTTAGAGATAATCGCAATTGGCCCTCGAGATATGCAATATTTGGATTAGCTTACGTTCTCTACCCATCGAACGACACTATGATCTCATCCGCAATTTCGGGTCCGGTGCATGCAATTAGCTGTGCAACGGCACTTTTGATGCTAGTGTTCTCGCCGCTATCGTGAATGCTCCATTCATCCCACTTTACGAAGTCCTGTGTGACAAAGGTCAGAGATTTGTGTTGTAACTAACAACAGAATCTAAGTGAATGATTCTGAGAAAGATTGGACACTAAGTCTTACGAAAACCAAGTGCTGCATGGGTTCTAATCGAATCTCCCCAATTAAACCAGTCATTGGAACATTAAGCTCAGGGTGCCAGCAAAGATCAAGGTGAAGTTTTACGTCCAGAAGACAGGTGGAATATCGTGACCTACCTTACCATGAACCACAACATCCTTCATTATTCCTATCGAAACGCGGTCTAGGTCGACAGTGGCCATAAGCTCTTGAGCCGTAAGCATTCCTGCAAATTCCACCTCGAATAAAGACAAGCCGTTGCGCACTGCGGAAGCTGCTTCCTGCGCCTTTATGAAGTTAGTGTTGAATCCGTGAAAGATGTATTACAAAGTCACTGCTATCGCATGCAAAAAAGAGTCTTATAATAGCTCGGTAGCACGGAAAACTCCTTTTGAACACATATTAAAACTTACAGAATCAAAGACTCTCCTTCGAGGAGATTTATTCGTCCTGTATAATGACAAGGAAAGATAATGGTGTGTGTCAAGTAGTCTCAAGACATCATTATCGAGCTTATTCCAGCGCATGATCTCCAGGTCCAACAAGTACTGTGGAGTATAGTCGTTCTTGTAGCGCATCTTCTTACAGCTGTGGATGTAGTACCCCATGTAGTAATATTGATAGCCACCTTCAAGTGCCAAAGCAGCCTCGCGGAGTGCACTGATCTTCCCAAAGCTGAATTTTTCAAAATCGGAATGATAGATGAAGTAGACGCCGCTAACGCAATGTGGAAGTAGGTCCAAAACAGCCATTGCAATAAGTCGTCCATCTAATCGATAGCATTGATGAAAAGAGCCCAGTCTTTGTATGTCACCTTCTCTACAACTCCGTGTTGTGGTTTTGAGTGGCGAAGAACACAAAAACCTCCTGAAGCCATTCCTGGAAATCGATTTCTCATGCTCATGATGGACGTGTCTCTGATAGTTTTCATACAGGTTGAACTTCTCCTCGGTAAAAGCATCCGACTCAAGCACGACTTCAAATTCGTGAGCTGGTTTCAGAGGTGAATCTGATAATGTCTTGTGTTCACTCTCGTGTATTGCAGACAGAAGGTCAAATTCTCTTCTTGACCGAGCCTTTTCCCTACGGGTCCATTAGTTTTCCGCATTTACACTAGGCCCAACCAACTCACGCCTTAGATCTGGGACGAAGCCGCGCTGCCTCCTTTTGATATTCTTCTCCCAACACATATTTATTCCATCGATTCACAGCCTGTCTTTGGTCTTTTCGAGGTTTAAACTCGCTGACAGGTAGTCTAGAAATGGTAAGCAAGAGCCGCAGTCAGTACAGAGCTTGACAGGTCACACCTAATTGTATAGTGGGGGCAACACGAATGTCGAAGATCCGGTTTGTAGAGAAGCTTCCCAGATCTGCCAACATAGAAAATTGAAAGTCAGTAGACGGACTGTCTGCCTCCTGCTCTGTTAAAAAACGTACCTTCTCCAGCCTCGATCGACAAGAGTCTGGTAGTGATCAACGGTCAGCTGTTTGGCTGTTGCATAGTATGAAACACCTGTTGAATGGCAAAGTTAGAACTTGTAAGATATGGACGTGAGCCAGTCTGCGTCGCATAGAAAACAACGTGGCATGAAGGTGCAGGGAAGGTGGAGGGTTGTAAACGTTCACAGCAGGCCTGCATGAGACCAACGTCAGATCGAGGATTGCGGGTCAACGATCTGACCTAGCATCGTACGTATCGGGACGTAACCACAGGAGCATATCAGTTCTATATCAAACTTTCTTCCAGGGGATCATAGGTCGGCCCGAGCCATACTTAGCTGCTGAGCACGAGACCAGTCCAAAAATCCGCTTGGGGTCGCAACATGCTTGCGCAGAGAAACGCAGTGGTACACGATCTGTGATGACGTTCATACGATGGCGCAGTACGAGGATGAGCTGCGACAGGTGTGGACCGGGCAAAGGCAGGGACGCACGAGAATTTGGGGTTCTGTTACTTTGATCCTCTTGCTTGCAATATCCGCAATCGCCCGTGTGATATCTGTGAGATCCCGAAGGTTAGAAGGACCATGGTGAGAGGATGTTTGAAGAAAAGAGTGACGCCCGTCCGACTCGGAGCGCAAGTGAGCGAGAGCACCAAACAAATAAACACATGTTCAAATTGAGGCAGGCTACTGGCCAATACTCACCCGATTGGCGTCAGAAGGGAAACGCCCGGCTCTGAATGCTTCTCCAGGATATTCTGCATGATCCCCCCACGACGGATGCTAGGAGAATGTGAGGTGGGCGGTGAGTTGTTGAACAGCTACTGGGTGCGATGGTTTTAAAGTCCAGTCGAGTATCACGGCAATCTCGTCGACTTTGCATGCGAACGCAGGGATATTTCAAAGCGTGTAAGGAGACGGCTTCCAGAATCCTGGGCGGCTGCAACCGTGACTGGACGTCGCCTCTCGTGCCGCGACAGGAGGATGCGAGCTGTGGAGAGTAACGTCACAACATGGAGCTCCGCATGCGAAAACGTGCTCGCAAGCTGCCCGTCTCTGTGGGCGACTGAGCCTGCCGAAATGTCAAATAATAGGACGCTGTCAAGCCAGGTTCCAGGTCGCTGTGAGAGGCCAGGTAAGCTACAGGGGTGTCCACTCCGGCCTTTGCTTTGGGGCCTGTGGAGCAACACTAGTCACGAACGTATTCTCGCACTTTTTTCTCGCCTATCCACTTTGTACCTTATTACTTCCACCATGAGCATACTCTGCCTTTTCGAAGCGTGCACCCGCTGCTCACAGCCCGGCCTGCCGCGGTAGTGACTTTGCTGTCACTGGCAGCCCGTTCTCTCACACACTCGAAAGCTTCTTCGAACTTCATTCCGAGCTGACCGTGCCGCTGCGCCGTTCCTGCTCGTTCGCGCTGCAGCTATCCATCAAAATCTCTTTCCCAACTGAATAGGGAGTTGATATATTCCACAGAGGGAACCATTGAGCCGGAACTGACACCAAATATCGCTTAAAACCTCAGTCTGGGCGTGGCCATATCCAGCCTAAAAAATTTGCCTTCCGCTGGCAAGCTGGCCGTCACTATGGCCCAGTCACATAGCATGACTTCCAGGACTGGGCGGGACAAGCAGCGTATGTACTCGCTTGCGCTCTCGATGTGCCATCAAGCACAACTTGGCTGGTCCTTTCCAGCGTGCTGACTTTCTATGCTTGGTACAGGCTACGGTACCCAGGGCGAGCGACTGGTAGCCGGCATTGTTCCTCTCTCGCAGGATAAATACTATGTTCTCCTCGTCCAGTCCACGACCAGAAGTCGTTGGGTGCTACCTAAGGGTGGGTGGGAAACGGATGAGGCCACGGCGCAAGAGGCGGCATGTAGGGAGGCGTGGGAAGAGGCCGGAATTGTTTGCAGCGTTAAATACGACTTGGGAACAATTGCGGAACAACGAAAGCCGGAGCAGCTCACGGCCCAGGCTCCCAAAGCCTCGTATCACTTTTTTGAGGCGCTTGTTGAGCGGACAGAGAATGAATGGCCTGAAATGAAAAAGCGAACCAGACAGTGGATGACCTTTAAGCAGGCCGAGGTTGCGTTGAAAGACCGACCAGAGCTCTTGGAAGCGCTCAGAAGATGTACAATGCATCGCTCATAGACATTTGCCGCATGGTGTCTCCAAGGGAAGAGTATTGTTGGCATGAATTGCATTGGCGGCGTTTTGACTATGCTTCTCCGCACAAGTCAAAATACATGACGAAAACCAATTCTTAATCTGCATAGTAGAAGGCGACAATATGGGTCTACTGTCATTTCGGTGTGGCTCGCTGATATTGTAGCGGGATGATCAAACCCGGCTCTGCGGAAAGTGAATATATTATGCGTCAGTTATAGATGCTATCAAAAGTCCTGTAAAAGCATGATTCCGTAATTTAACACAAAGCACTGGCTTAGTATTCATACTCAGTATATTAGCAGAATTTGCAGGCCAACTGTGCTTCGTCAGCGACACCCATATGGCATAATAATCTTTTCTTTTCGGTGTTATGTCAAGGAGCTTCGATATCGCACGTGATATGTCATGCCATACCCAAAGTAATCGCGAATCGCTGCCCAGACGAAAGTCAGATGTTACACAAACTGACATCCTTCCATCATCACTGAATTCAATCGTGCGGGTCGGGACAAAAATTATGATTATCATGTGATCGGTTTCCCTGGTGGAAAATTTGTTTGTGACAAGGCCATTTCGATGAATTGAGGATGGAGAACACCAAAGAATGACATAGGACTATTGCTTCGTGTCGTTCCGGGGGATAGCATGCATGTAAATTATGCTGATGACTTGAACGGTATCCAGCACTGCAAATATTGCCGTCACATTACTCTTGAGAAGCTAGCGAGTCCCGAAGGCTATTTGCATGCTCCCTCGCGCTCAAGCCTAGTCCGCAGTGCCCAAAGATGCCGCCTCTGCTCGCTGCTCTTTCGTAAAGATCGAAGCCGACAAGCGTCTCAGCTATGCTTGTCGTTGGCACCGTTCAGTGAGGATGATCCTCAGGTCGTGCTCAACATTTCACATGTAGGCGCTGCAGAGCCATCACGAAATGCACGCCTTTCCTTGTTTCTGTACACCGATGCAGGTGTGTTTGCCCAGTTATTGCTAAAGATACCAACTGAGAATAGATAGGCGACCCGGCGGCGAACCGATTTGACATCACTGCAAAACGCCCATTGAAGGACACAAGCTCTGAAACCACATTTGATACTGTTCGTTCGTGGCTCGCAACATGTGTCAACCTTCATCACTGCTCAACGCCTTTATCGCTGAAAGACCAGGAGCATACTCCAGCTGCCAGGCTGCTAGATCTGGAGGCCTTTACTTTGCCTGATCTAGACTTGCGTTTGATCGACAACGATGGAGAACCTAAGCAGTACGCAACACTCTCGTATTGCTGGGGCAATTCGCGAGCATTTGTTACAGAGTCTCGCTCTATTCAACGCCGAAGATCCCGCATTGATTTCAAATCACTCCCAAAAACATTCCGCGATGCGATTCAGATCTCGCGGAAGCTGAAGATTCGATATCTTTGGATTGATGCGTGTTGCATAGTTCAAGACTCGGAATCGGACTGGCAAAGGGAGAGCGCGAAAATGGGTTACATATATTCGAACTCTTATGTAACAATTGCTGCAGATTCTGGAATCGATTCCAGCAGTGGCTGCTTCAACGTAAGCAGCAGCTCACAGGAGCTTACTCTAGAAAGCAAGCCCTTTGAATTCAGGAGCGAGACGTCAGACGGTCAAAAAACATCAATATTCCTCTGGGATCCAAGTCGAGGCTCCCGTCGACCGACACCTCCCGAAATTGATGGCTCACCCCTCTCCGAACGCGGTTGGGTTTGTCAAGAGCGGATCTTATCTCCTAGAATTTTGCATTATACCAAATCACAAGTGTTCTGGGAATGTCGCCAATGTCTATTGGCTGAGGACGGACTTCGTCCCTGGAGCCTTTGGAGTGATGCCGATACAGTTCCAGGACTTGCACGCAATTTGTACGGTACTACGTCCGACTTCGACAATCAAGATCGACTATTGGACATCTGGTATCAAAACGTTGTCTCTCAGAGCTATTCGCGGCGGAAACTCACAAGGTCAAAAGATAAATTGACAGCGATATCAGGTTTGGCGCAAGCATTCCACCGTCATTTCCGCTCCAGGTACATCGCTGGTCTATGGGAGCTCGACTTGGCATACGCTCTTTGTTGGAGAAGACGTGGCCCAGTAGTCTTTCCAGAGATATATCGTGCTCCCTCCTTTTCATGGGCTTGCATTGATGCTGTCATCGAGTGGCCGCTCCGGTCAAACATGAAGTCTGCAAAACTAAATGTGAAGTCCATTACAGTGAAACTCGAATCCGCTGATGCTTTTGGAACAGTTTCGAAATGCTCTTTGAGTATTCTAGGCCGGCTGAGAAGAGCGATGGTAACATCTCGAAGGCGAATATCTGCACGTGGTATCGACTTTGAGTGGGAGTTGCGTACGCTATCAAATAAGCTTCTTGGTACTGCATTTATGGATTCAGATGATCTAGATGACGGTTTCGAACATGCAGATTGCCTGATTCTTGACGAAGACAACAAAAAACACGCTTTGATACTGCAGCAAAAATCTAAAGAGCATAGCGAGTACATTCGAATAGGAGTGGCTGAGCTTCTTGGACTTGACGAAGACGACGAGTTCTTTTGCCAAGGCCATGAGCAATCTATCGTCCTGGTCTGACAGTACTTATCGAGGTTATTTCGAAAGCATACTCGAAATTAACTTGTTGTCCTCCCTAAAGAGTTGGAACTTTGGCAGTATGTGTAAAGTTTTACTAGTCAGTATGCATCCTCTACTAGCTACGTTCAGCCGAATAAAGCGCCCAACAAGTAGCGGAGCACAGCATTGTGTACAGGATTTAGAAATTTGTAGCATTCAATTTTTTTCGGCCCTCAAGTTTCGACACCGTCGCGCTCGAAAAGGCAAGTGCACAAGTAGTCTAAGTTGTACCAGAAAGAGAAAAGAGGCGAACACATGGAATCAACATGGATGACCTATCTAGTTACTTGAATTCGAGACGAAGTGAACATACCACGACGGCCACCATTCGGTCACAGATTCATGAACAGTAAAATTGTACTCTTCCACAACCCGACTTGTTTCATGCCTAAACGCAAACTCGTCAGTCTTGAACGAGGATGCAGACGGCCAACTAGCAACACCGTTCTTTAGAGATTCAGGCGAGAATCTGCTTCTACTTTTGCAAGTCCCGAGTACGAGACGAGAGCGATATTTTTTACACGGTTAATAATTGTCCCTTCATCACAAAAGCTTGGGCGCCAGGTGTTGGTGCTGCATCGACTTCGTAAATCCCAGCGTGCGCACACTCACCGTCATCATAGGCCAAACTATAAAGCAAGCTACGATTTGACGCTGACGCAAGAAAGATGCAAGAACATTGATGAGATGAATTATACATAGACGAAGGGGCAAAAGTGAAGAGCTCGTGATAGCAGACCTTTCAATCAGCTTCCCTTTCCAAAATCTAAGTTAGGATCGTTCCGATTTCTTTCATTGAAGGTGGTGCTCAAAGGTCAAACATGTCGAAAAGGTGACTGGTTCAAAAATTAGCTCGCATGGAGGATCCGGCGAGACCCCTCGATAACGCTATGACCTGTTCTAGAGATGTGTATACTATATGGTTCGCAGTTGAGTCTTGAAAGGGTGAATTTAACACCAAGAGCTAGAGGAGGTTCTACAATTCCAAACTCTTCAGGTTCGGGCTCAAACAGGTACGAATCTTCAGTGCCCAGGAATTCCAAGGAGCCTCGGCCCAGTAACTGGCAGGGTGCATTCTCGGCGCCACGCATGATGACAGTGGATTGTCTGGGCATGTATGCCTCGTCAAACTTTTCGAGGATGGAACCCTTCCTATAAGGCAGTCAAACGTGGAACGATTGTGCGCTTCTGTCTTCGGCTTTTGTCGGTTCCGACATTTCAGTCTCTTTCCACAACCCAGTAGCTGCAAGGTCCGTTTAGACGCAGGGGCTTTTTGGGTCCTATTTGAATTTCGAACAGAGAGCAACTACTCCGGCGTTGTAACCGCACAAAACATGCATTCTGCGACTTGAGAATGTGGCTAAAGAGACAGCCTAAGTTACGTGGCAGCAGCAAATGCATACTTCTCTGCTTGGGTTGTCGTTGCGTACAGTCTAGGAGGAAAAGAAGGCTTTTGCATTGGCACATCTCCAGACCTAATGGACGATCCCTATGCCGGATCGAGAATGAAACGCTTGGCACTCTTCGCCATCGTCCCGCTTGCTCGTCGGACAAGAAAATTCATCGAAGCACAGGAGATACTTCTGGGCGACGTCCAGATTTGAATTGATTCAAATATTCAAATGCGACGATAGCGCAGACAAGGCTCCAGATAGTGGCGAGCAACATGATCACCCGACGTCTGCAGCATTTGTGTGTCACTCCCAAGCGCAATCACATCCACGGCATCTCAACTGCCAAGGGCTCAGCATCTTGGCTCCTTGTCCTTCCCATACTGTGATCCTCTCGTTCAAGACTGGACAAGATGTCTAGCATTTTCATCCATGATTGTCTTCCCATTAAAGAAGAGAGCATTCCGCTCGACCTGGCAGATACTTCCAAACGCTGTTCTGCGACGTTGCCGACACTCGCCTGTCTAATATCAACGTAGCACTGTACCCACCGTTGATACCTTCCTTCCGCGAGCTTCATGACTGCCACGTTCCCGCAACTGCCGCCTACGGCATATTTTCCTCAGTCTTGCAACCAATCCAACAGCGACAAATCTAGCATTTTTTCATCCAGAGATACCTCCAAGTCACGCAGTCCGGACAACACACTCTCACATGAGTACACACCGTTCTTCCCGGCACCATCTTCCAAAGTAGGTTCACTTACAACGATCTCGCACTCGAAGAGCCTGTCTCTGGACTCATGTCCTGCCGTTGGCATTTCTGCGTCTGAAAAGACCTTCTCCTCTTTGTCTTCCGGTGCTTCAAGTCCCGCAAGTCTCACGTACAGCCCGGCAGTTCAGTCTGCGCTTCGAGATTCGTGCCATTCGAGTATCAGTTCACACTACTCTGCAATGGCCTCGCCGTATCCTCTCGGCAACAACCCCCAGACCGATCCAGAAAAGCGACAAGCTCCGACAAGAAATAGTAGACTAGCAGCAAGTGACGAGACTGGAACGGGACGTCGGTGCGCATCATCATCATTATACGGTCTACCGGAAAGAGAAGATGACGAAGCAACTTTCAACCTCGAAAACAAGGCCTTGAGCATATTGGTGAGCCTAATAGCAAACAGAAGGTCCATCGGTGCTTTACTAACCACGTCGTTTCCTCAGCTTTATCTTTCTTTCCCAAATTGCGTTGTATCCTTCATCATCCTCTTATACACCCTGCTCGCGCTTTTGACAGCAACTCTACTCCAGCCCCTTCGGATCTGCACAAGCGCCGGCTCGTTCTGGCAACAAGTCGCCGTTTTGCTTGCACCAACTCTCAACATCCAACTCGCATATATTCATTCGTCATACTCTGCAATTGAATACAGCGCATCAATGCTGGTCATAGTCAATCTGCTTTCACCCTTGCTTTCGTTGGGAGTTGCCGGTGCAGCCTGGGTCGCTGCTGCCTTTTGGTTCTTCAATGCTATTCTTGGTGATCCCGACGGCTCGGACAAGCCTAGGGGTTATAACGACGGTCGAGCATCTGTAATAGGTGTACGAAGGTGGTGGGAAACGTGGCTCAGGCGACCACTAAGGCATTTCCCGAGGTAGTTAACATTGTCATCACAATTTCATTTTCACTTCCTAGGCTTTTTGTAGAATTGTAACGCAAAGGCACGTGTATTGTATACATACGGTGTTATTATGATACCAAAGGGGGTTATGAGCACGTACGGCGCTGGGAACACTGTATTTTTCATGTGATGGGACAGCAAATCTACTTCAAGATTTTGGTCAAAACGAGAGCGCATGCAAAGAGAGAGAGGTAGGTCAACCTGGATTTGCTTCTGAGATCCCCATTTTATGCAGTTCTCTGAACAGTCTTTGGCTATATACCCTGACGAAACTACAAGGCGGCCTGCGCTCAATGTGCCGTGGTCAAACAATTGAATGTCTGCTTTAAAGGTCGTCGTCGTACCTTTGCCTCTTGTCATGCACAATCGTTTCATCTAACAGTGAGATCTACTACTATCCTCGCACCACCCACTTACGTATTGTCGTGTCAGACGTGCTCATTTAGACGTCGACGTAGCTGCCGCCCCGCTCGCTTTCCAGGCACTCAGAATCAGGCCAACAATGTCCTTGACAGCTACTCCGTTCTTTACCTGAGCAAAAATTGTCGGTCCTCCCTCTCTCATCTTCCGTGCATCCCTTTCCATCACCTCTAAATCAGCCCCCACAATTTCTGCGAGGTCTGTCTTGTTAACAACGAGCAAGTCGCTTTGAGTTATACCTGGCCCTCCCTTTCTCGGGATCTTGTCGCCGCCGCTCACGTCGATCACATAGATAATGAAATCTGCAAGCTCTCTTGAGTAGTTTGCGGCAAGATTATCGCCCCCAGACTCGATGAGTAAAATCTGCGTCTTGAACTCTCTATGTAGATCTTCCAACGCCGCAAGGTTGGCGGATATGTCTTCTCGAACTGCAGCATGAGGGCAACCGCCAGTTTCGATTGCCCTGATACGTTCAGCAGGCAGAGCAGAATGTCGAATGAGGAATTCGCAGTCTTCTCGCGTGAAGATGTCGTTCGTTACCGCGGCTATGGCATATTCATCTCGAAGAGCTTGACAAAGAGCAAGCATCAGCGCTGTCTTGCCCGAGCCTACAGGCCTGATTCGAATATGTCAGTATTCTCTTTCTTGCTTTTCGAATCCTTCCAGGAGACGCACCCGCCAATTCCAACTGTAAAAGCCCGCTCGCTAAAATTACGTCCTTCGACGATAGGCATCTCTCGCCCAAGAAACGATCCCGGGCCATCGAGGATCTCATGAGTGTGGCCGTGCTCTACTCCTTCGTGAGAATGGCTGTGGCCGTCGTGTGAGTGAGACACCATTGCCTATATCGATAATATAATCGCTGAGGTTGTATGCGACAGGTATATGGCGTAAGGGTGTTCTATCAATGTGCAATGCAGATAAATGGAGACCGAACCACATGGTGGGGCAGTCATGACGCCTTTCCAGCTTCCACGCAGCGACCCAAAAAAGCCTTACTGGCAAGACATAATGAATTTGACTCTAACTACGACTGCGTTGCTGTAAAATTTACCCTAGAATGCAAACCATGGTTGTTTAAAGCGGCTCGGACCCTAGTTTTCTTGATAACTTTAGATTAACGTGACTCACCACTCGGCCGTCACCACCACTCAGCCGTCAGTGGGGCTTCTTCCATTCTCTCTTAACACCATATGCCTCTACAACACATCAATATTAAAGCTTAAAATAAGGCTAGAATGCTTCTTATAATTTATACTATCTAATCACACACTATATTAAGTGTCGCTGAGGCTATAAAGCTGTATAATATACCTTAAATAATACTATATAATCATATCTATAGATATACTACCTATATTAAGGTAGTGTCACGGAACCACTAGAAGTGATCTGCTCAAGTTATCATATAAGGTAAACTGATGAGGCTATCAACTATCTATTCAGTAGTGCTATACTAAAATATTATATAATAATTAAGATATTATATGAAGAAGGGAAGGCCTAAAAATAGTTCTGTGAGGAACGGAGTAGGAACATACGCACGGTACAGCTGCGCTCAGGCCGCGGGTCACGTGCTCCAGGGGGAAGCAGTATTTAAGCTATATATAGTATCTACCTTAGTTTTACTCCTTAGTCATCAGTTTTAATACTAATCCATACTTATTGCTCCCCATCCTGATATCACGCTTACATTCACCCCTTACAAGTTCTTACTCAGAATATAAAGGGGGCCTTATTATACCTTTCTTAATTAGGATTTAGGCGCGCGCATAATAAAATTAAATTAGAAAGTTAGTTTAATTTAGGAGTCCAGTTAGCTAATATTAGGTAATATTAAGTTATATTAGGTTATATTAGCTAATATTAGTACTACTTTAATTAAATAGATAATAGGATAATATTAATTATATATTATAAAGATAACCTTATAATTATATCCTCCTCCTAGCTAGCAAAGCCTCTAAAGAGGGGCCTAGGGAGGGAGTTCCAGGAGTTTAAGTTTAGGTATTCGGATCCAGATTATCAGATATTCTGGTTCAGGTATTTAGGCCTAGTTATTTAAATTCAGGTGTTTAGGTTCAGTTACTTAGGTTTAGGTATTTAGGCTTAGTTATTTAGATTTAAGTACTGTTAGGAATACTTTCCCAATACCGACTAGCCTCACTAATGTAAGCCACTTCGGAAGGGTTTAGCTTCCTAGAGCAAAGGAATAAGATATAATAAGAGCTTATTATAGAAGGAATATAATAAGATAGTTATATTTATAACTTAGAATAGTCTGAGCTTTAAGAGTATAAGAAAATATTTAAACTAACTACTAGATAAACTAGACAGTTGAATTATGAAGGAGAGTAATATTAGTAGAGACAGGATATTTATATAGACCTTATCTATAATATCCTTATTGCCTTATTTACTATATGTTGATCCAGAATGAGATCTATAATATATTTCTTAAATAACAGAATGAAAATATTAGTCATTCAGGTATTAGGTAATAACCGAGGTATTCAACTAACCGAGGTTGTATGAAAAGCGGGGTAATT